TAGTAGTACTTATAAAAATGTTCTTGGATGAAGTATATTTCAGTAACTCTTTGTGTCTCTCTTGCAATGGCAGGTATTGTAATCTCGTCCCGAATGAAATGTCAACATATCCATAACAATAACCCAGCAAGTCGCCATCACCTACTGCAAACACAGCACGCCCCCGCGTGACGTCCAGTTGACACAACTCATTGACGGCTCCTCAAAATAATGTGACAGCGGCTCCTGGCTCCTCTGTTTGCTCTCTGATCAGCCTCATTCAACAACCAGCGCCATGCAACAGATGGTCGGCGCCTGTTTGTGTACATACGGCACATATTTAGGTCAGGTACGCGCCGCGGCCGCTGGTTGCCATGGGAACTGGGCATCAAACATGACAGCGATATCTCGGTGAGAAGTTTCCTCCTCTCACACCTCTCGTTCCCCCTCAGCTTGCTACCCGTACGGATTGTGTGGGAACATTCACCTGGGGGGGGGGGTTATTGTCGTCGAAACGGGCTGAGCGTGCACGGCTTCGCTCTGCTGGTGATGGAGACGAAGCTTCGCTTTGGTCAATAATCCAACACACATCTGCTGCAGCCGGAAGCACATCGGCGTTGCCGTTGCTGCCTTTGGCCTGAATGTACAGTACAAAATCCCTACTCCCCCCACTTTGACCTGGATTATCATCTCCACCTCACACTTTGCCGCCTGTCTCGGACCCCTTTGCGAATGCCTGTGCGTGACCTTGGGTGACTGAGTGAACACAAAGGGATTCTCCCTGTCTCTGCCTGTCTCCTTTCATCCCACACACACACACACACACACACAAACATGCGCTGTGCATGGTAAGCGCACGTGATTGGATTCAGTGAGCTGCTGATGCATGTTGAATGCTGATGAGATTCTCTGGGTGGTTTCTGAAAAAAAAAAAAAAGAAAAAAAGAGGAGAAGCGATAAAAAGCTTCCTCTGTGCCGGCAGGAAGGAGAGAAGAGAGAGAGAGGAGGAGAGAAAACAGGCCCAGCAGAATATTCATCAACGTCAGAACCCTCATTTCCAGGTCACACCGCGCACGTCCAATCACGCATGACGCGCGCAGGTGGAAACACCTCCACGCGCCCTCACCGTTACTCTGCGGGATGCGCCAATGCCTTTACTCATCACATGATGCCGCAGTGGAATTGTACACAGACCTGCTTTGTCCCACTTTTTCTCTTTTAATGTCTGTTCAGGCTAATGAGGTGAAACATTAGCTTGAGGGACCACCGGGGAAGCTTTCGGGGTCAACAGCACGCAGAGTCCTTTTTGGTGTGAGATCGCTGCAGATTGCGTATTCATGCACAGGATGATCAGGGGCATCGGTCGCCAAGCCGGGGTTTGCTTTTGCTCCTCGCTTCTCTTATTGTCAACAATGCAAGAAAAATAATAAAATAAACGTCCAAGTATTTCCTGTGTTTTGTAAAGCCTGATATTGCTTATTGTTCTGTGCCATAGATTTAAATTGCTGTCCTAAACTATTAAAAACACATCAGTGAGTCACATCATTGCCCCAGGTGATAACTTCCATTATAACAGTGAACAAGGCAACTGTTTATAGACAGTCCCACAGGTCTGCTGCTGCTGCTATAAATGCTTTGACTCTGAATGCGCATCAATCCACTGCGGCAAATAGTCCCCAGGAAAATAGACTCTTTCCTCCTGTTTGGGAGACATGTTTTAAAAACTACAGTGGAACAGGAACATCGTTTTCATTTAACAGACACTCGTGATCTGATCTTGGCTTGTGTTGAAATAAGGATGTTCGGCGAGTTTCCACTGACCTAAATTCAAACAAGTCAACGCAGACCATCTTTTTTTTTGCCACACAGGACACGACCAGCGGCCTCGTGGGGGATCTCTTGACTGTCAATTAGAACCCCCACCCACTCTCTCTCTTAAGTGTTAGCTATCCCTCAACTGGTTGGACATTTAATGGGACAAAGGCTTAGTAAATCGTCCCCCGGAGACCCCTAAAGAAAATGTGTTATTGTTAAAAGACTCACAAGGTCAACTTGCAGCGAAAAGAATTTCCCCTCAGGTTAATTTAGACTGCGGTCCGAGCAGAACATAATGCCCTGTTGTGAATGAGACTATTGAAATATAGCAACGGCGCGGTGTGACGGACTTGAGAGTGTGTTTGGTCATCCATTCCGCTGTGTTATTTGACGACGCCTGCTGCAGTGTTTGGTCCGTCTGGAAGTTGTTCCCTCTGGGTGCTGCTGCTGAAATCCACCTGACAGTTAGAGTCGAGCACGACGCCGTCTGTCCGCACTTCCAACAACATGACTCGACGCTCGCATTCAATCTCCGGCACACTCAGACAAGTGACATGGCAGCGTGCTGTGTTTTGCCTGCGTGTGGATTCAGATTTCTTTGAGTGACTCGGTGTTGTTTCTTGAAAAGGATGTGCTGAGCCAAAGACATCTGTGTGTCCAGAGTATGCAAAGGTGGCACGTTTTGATAGATGAATATCTCAAATATTTTCATTCCTGAACAGATATTCCTTCACTTGATGTATTACACTTATTTGGTGTAATAAAGATTTGTCAATGTTGATTCATTTTCTGTTGGCTGAGATTTATTCGTTTCACATTCTCCTCAGCTCCCTAAGTATTAAATTAAACCATAATTGACTCAATAATGATTCTGTTGGACAGATGAGCCTGTTATAAATCTTCATTTAGATGAAGTTGATCTCCATCTCACATCTGAGGAGCATCTTCCCAGATTACCTGTAGGTTAAAATATTTTTCCAAATATGAATGAATATGAAGCAGTGAGTCATTGATGACATCATGTCATCATTGATGACTCACTGCTTAGATGTCATTGCATCTGCATTCATAATTGCACAAACATTATACCATATTATACCTAAAGAGGCCGGAGGAATTAGGTGTACTTTGCCAACGAGGTGGTTGACTCTTGAAAAGCGAGCGGCGTTATGACAGAAGTTCTATTAAAATGTTCAAGTACCTGCTCGCTCTGCAGCGGCATGCACACACCATAAACAACATGTGTACGTCACGGACATTTAACAACACTAAATACACACAGCCTTCAACTGCAAACAAAGAGCTTCACATTAATGGTGTCACCTCAGGAAACATTTCTGTTTATTTGGCCCAGCTGACAGTTTTTGTCCACCAGACCACAATAATACACCAGATAAAAGACAGCGATGTGCTTATAGCGCCATCTTGTGTGGCTTAAAGGTATTAAAGTTTAAAGGTTATTAACGGTTTCTTTACCGAAGCTTTAAAAAAACACATTTAAAAAGTAGCTTTGGCTGTCAAAAATGAAACTAGAAAATATAAGACATTTTCTTACACGTGTTCTGACACATTTCTATGTTCCTTTGCCGTTTAGCAACCACATGTCTTTTTTCCGACACCAAAGAATGTTCTTTTCTCACCTCTTCTGACATCAACGGACAAATAATCTGCCACACAAACGCACATGCGATCTTATCTTTACTGTTAGAAGCTCGTGTTAACCGTTGAAGGACTGTGAAGTTTGTTCACATGATGGTCCACCAACAACATGTTCACTTCCTTTAATACATGTGAATGTTGATTATAAGAATCAACTTTGGGCATATGAGCTGCCCATTTAATGCAACATTTAACTATTTAAACTTGAGATCAGGCTAAACCTCTAAACTGAGATCACAAAGGCCATCTGATGTTTAAGATTGATATCAAGACAGTTTAATAGTTAGCTTTCATCTCCAAGATGCGCACCAGCAGTGATATTTACCTGATGCTTGGGGAGAATATTGTTCTCAATGTTCTCTTATTTGTTATTTCATTTTAAATGATATACTATTTTCAGTGAAAGAGGGGTTTGGAAAGGTTAACTCAGAGATTTTTTTAATGTGTTCATTTCAAGAAAATAAGAAGGAAGCAATACGTCATGTTCCTTGTAGTTCCTTTATTGAGGAAACTGATTTTTTGCATTTCAACATAATGTAAAGTCCCCGACCACGCGGCAACATCCCTGGAACAGATTGCAGAATCGAAACTTTTGAATTACTAGGACAGAAAACCATATCACCACAAACCCAGCAAGTTATGGTTCATTTTCCAGGTCAAATCTAGTGTTGTATTGAGGAAGAGTTTTCAGGTATTTGTATTTACGTTTCAAACTACTCAACGATATTCCAGAGAGAAGACTCTCATTCAACATTTGACTATCTGTTGAGGCCCAAAATACTAATATTAAGTATTAAGATTTCACTTGTACTTGCGTGGAGTACTTTGACATCTCTGTATACTTTTAATAAAGTAAATGATCACTTAACGGAACGGAATGAGTCAAAAGTCTAAGAATAACTGTAGTGTCTTTAGAGTTTGTCAAAACCATGATAATACTCTCAAGAACTGCTGCTTCCGGATCTACACTCACGGGGCGCCAATAATCCAATCGTTTTGGTACGACGTCATCATTATAATCTAATTTTCAGGTGATAATTTGATTTAAAGTTATTGTGTCCTTATCATGCAGCTATTTCCTGTGTCATGGTGACATCCTCTTTTTTTCTTTAGTTTGATTTTAGTGGTTTTTGCTCTTCTTATCTTTACAAATATAAAGCCAGAACCTGAACAACCAAAGTCCCATGAAATATTTTGACCTTTCTGAATCTCTCCAGAAGCCCAAACGCGTCTTCTTTTATTCTAGTGTCTCCCATAAACCCTCAGCGTGTGGCCAGGGGCCAGGGGCCCCCCGCCGGGGCCTTTTTTTTAATTTTTTTTACGAGGCTTCCTGGGGAAGAACTCGAGAGCCTTTCCCGGGAGAAACAAAACAAGGAATCAGCTGCTTTGCCGCGTGGACATTTGCGCACAAACGTCGATAACGTCGCACTTTGACCTCCCGCTTCTGTCGGGTTTTGCTGGTGTTTCATCTTCAGCTGGTGGAGAGCTGAATGAGCCTTGGAGAGAAAACAAGAAAGAAAAAAAAAAGAGAAGCCCCCCCCCCCCCTCTTCCTCCCTCCTCCCCCCCGCCTGACCGCCCACAGTCCGGGGGGAGAAAGTGCTGCTTTGTGAATGAAGGGAGCGGCGGAGGACACAAGAGCAACTTCACCGGAATCGTTCCGCACGTCCTCGGACCGGAGGAGCCGCGCGCAGCTGCAGGAGCACCGGGAGGACGACGCGGTAAGTCCCGGCGACAGGAAGCGGACACACGGGCTTTATTCCCCGTCTCCTTTCCGGCGGGTAGATGCGCGCACGGCCGCCGGGCCGTGACCGGAATTAATGTGCGGCGATGCGGGGAGCGAACTCCCGCAAACTCACTCCGTCGTTTTGAAGACGCCTGTTTGTGTTTTTATCCTTTTATCGTTGCTCCAACGTTTGTTTTTCCCCCTGAAAAAGGGATCTGTCGGGTGAACTAAAGTAGCTGCTTTCAGACACTTTGTAACCATCGCGAGTGATGATGATCCTTTTTTTCAGCCGAGCTGCTCCCATTTTGACACCCGACCCGAGTTTATTCACGCAACTAAAAACTAAACGAAAAAGCATTTCACGGTTTCGTGCAAACTTTCCGTCTGCTTCTCGGTGCGTTTCGCAACGTCAACGTGACTCATGCCGAAGACGTGCGCTCCCAATGTCAGCAGGAGCAGAAAACCAGCCCATAGAAGACTCATTCATGACACCCAGGGAGTCTGCGAGTAGTAAACACCCGATTTCACCATCACTCCTTCCTCCTAGATGGTTTCCTGGTGTTGCTCGATCGTTCGCTCCGTTATTCTGAGAAATACAACTTTTGTGTTTTGTCTTTTTTTTTTCCTGCAGAAGCTCCCTCGTCTGGTTATTTGTGGGGGAGCTGCAAGTCATGGCGGCGCGTTGGGCCTGCGTGGCTTGCCTCAGCCTGCTGGCGGTAGTCAGCGGTGACCCCTGCCTCATCATCAGCGAGATCAACGCCGACAACCCCCGGCTGGACACCACGGAGTTCGTGGAGCTGTACCACACCGGTGGGCAGCGGGCGTCCCTGGACGGCTACACCCTGGTGTTCTACAACGGCAATGGAAACGTCGCCTACAAGGTGCTGGACCTCAAAGGCCACAGCACGGACGACCGGGGGTTCTTCCTGGTGGGCTCCGTGGACATGCTGCCCAAACCCGCCATCCTGCTGCCCCCCAACACGGTCCAGAACGGCCCGGACGCCATCGTCCTCTACCACACGTCCGCCTCTCGCTACGGCGAGAAGATGAACGTCACGTCCCTGGGGATGGTGGACGCCGTCGTGTACATGACCCGCCGCACCGGCGGCGCGGAGTTCCTCGCCGAGACCCTGACGCCGGGGGAGCCGGCCTTCGTCGAGGACGAGGCGGCCCTCGAGGGGGACGAGTCGATCGAGAGGTGCCTGCTGTCCGAGGATCGCTGGGGCTTTCAGGTGTCCTCACCCTCCCCGGGTCAGAGGAACAACTGCACCCCGCCCGCCGGCCAGGCGCCCATCCCCGTCATCACCGAGCTGAAGCTGGGAGCGGGGCAGGTGGACGGGTTCGTGGAGCTGACGGAGGCTCCGGCCGCCGGGCCCCTGGTGCTGGTGGTGTTGGATGGGAGAACGGACCGGGTCAGCGTGAGCGTGGACGTGAACGTGGACACCTCCAGCAACGGGTTGATCTCCATGACCATCGAGAAGACCTACATGAAAGGTCAGTGTTGCCTCGGTGGCCCGGGCACTCGTAGATGTTTCAGCCCTTCGGTCCATCGGGTTTCACGCTTGAAAAGCTTTGTGTTCCATCTTCCTTCATTCTTTGTCCCTCTTCTGGTTTCTCCTCAGGAGATGAGTCGGGGGCGGTGGCCGTGTACGGTGGCAGAGCCTCAGATTTCCCCGCGGGCAGCCAACTGAGCCAGATACAGCCTCTAGATGCATTCGTGTTCGCTGGACCCGGAAACAAGCCCAGTGCCAACCTCACAGAGACTCTCATCCCGGGCAGGGAGCCCTACCAGCTCAGCCACAGGCAAGACGCCGCCATGGCGCTCTGCTCCTTTTCTATTTCCATAAGCGAACCCCCTTCCCCTCCATTCGGATGCAGCAGTTAGGAGATATGGGGAGAATCGGGGCGAGTTTGGTGAAGCTCTTTCAGATGCGTTAGTAACAGTCAGTGGTTATTTGTAATGGGTCACGGGTTGTGAAATACTGTTAAAAGACGGTTCCTCTTTGTTAATGATTTTCTTTTAGGTGTCAGATTTGGACGTAATGCGTCATACAACAAGTCAATGGGGTAGTGAGTAAAGTTCGTCACGCTCACAATGGTTGTTAACCACATTCCCCATCTTGGTTAGCATGTTAGCATTGGCCAAATATCCATGGCGGTTATTGGTCATAAATCAAACTATTGCCCCATTGCGAAATGTTTCACACAACCAAAACCAATTTTAATATTCTAACCCTGCAAACTAAGGCTGATCTTTTTTTTTCTCATTTTATTTCTTCTTGTCAGTTTGAGAGAAGGAGGCTTCTACCTGAGTCGCTGCGGCGTGGCCACCTGGGCCAGAGATCCTGGTGTATTCTGGGAGGCCCCTCAAACACCCGCACAGCCCAACCAGTGCCCCTGGCCTAAGATCTGCCCGCACAGCAATGGTGAGCCTTTCAATTTGCTTTAACATTATTTAGATCTGTTTGTTGTTTTTTCTAATCGGTCACTTCTGAGGAGAAAAGGCCACGAGGTGATTAGAACGAGTCCTTCACCTTCACGGATGGAGACTGTTGTTGGATACTTAGTGTGGACCTGCAAACACAGATACTTTCAACTAGAGTTCTCATTTTAATCCCGAGGAACCGCGGGGTAAATCTCAGAGATACGTCGACATTAAAGGCCGCTGACCTGCGAGAAGCTGCAGGTTCTACCCTTCACCAGCTGAGGAGCAAATCTTAATCACCACGACTCATCAGCAACTGAAAGTTGCAGACTTTGAAACATTCATCAGCCAGATTAAGGACACATTTGGGAGATATTAAGATCTATTCTTTTTTTTAAAATGTTAAGCATGACATGTGAGGTCTCCCCCTGGTAACAACCTGATAACCAGGTTAACCAAACTTTTACTTCACCTTTAACCAGCAGCACGCCGGTCGGGGACACATTACGATAATCCAACTGTGGGAAAGGTTCATGTCTTATTGAGTCCTCGGCAAGTCAACAATGTCAATCCAAGGAGGCGGAGGTTGTTTTTAACTATAGTTACTTAAATTCTGTCTTTCTGATGAATGTGTTGACAGATTATTGTTTCATTAGCATTAAAAGAAGTGTTTTCCCATAAACTCCTTGGTAAAAGAACAATGCCAGTGTAAAGACAAATAAAAAAACAATGTCCGTTTATAGTCCATAGATATAAAGTTAAGCATAAATCATTTAATACAAAGTCTCTTTATATAATAAGTGATTAAATAAAATGACATTGTGTTTAAAACGTCATAGTCTTTGATCTTATCACAATTAATACATATTTAAAATGTATTAATATAAAATTCTATATCTGTATATTGTATTTAATATCATTATGCAACACCGCCATCTATTGCCGGAGTATTGTAGCGTAGAGTTAAAGCTTCACTAACTTCTAAAAATAATGTTAAAATCTCTGGACGTCCCTTTTTATAATCCAAGTTATAAACAAAGCAGCCAGTCATATGTTGTTTGATGAATCCCCAAAATCCAAGTGAAGTAAAGTAAAACTGCCAATTGACAGCTTTCTGTTCCGCTCTAGTGACTCCGGGAGGAACCGATTCACCCTCTCACCTCCCGCCCTGGGGCAACAGTGACTTCCTGATCAATGAGCTGAACACCGACACACCTGGCGCAGCTGAGGACGGCGAGTACATTGAACTGTGGCACCCGTCGGGGCGCCGGGTCTCCCTGCAGGGCGTCTGGATACTGCTGTTCAGCGCGCACAACAACAGACCCTACAGGGAGATCAGCCTGAGTGGACACTTCACCACGTCTAAGGGCTACTTCCTGCTGGGCAGCGACAGGTTGGTGCCCGCTCCGTCCCTCCGCCTGCCGCCCAACACCATCCAGAACGGACCGGACGCCGTGGCGCTCTATCGCAGCCCGTACGGTCCGCCGTCAGCCGCACAGAGGGGGATCCCGACCGTCGGCCTGCTGGATGCAGTGGTGTACCGGCAGAGAGGATCGGACAAGGAGGCGCAGGAGCTGAGTAAAGCTCTGACCCCGGGTCAGCTGCCTCTGCTGGAGGATCCGGAGGTTCTGGCCGGTGATGAGGCCCTGAGCCGCTGTAGAGGCCTTTACCCCTTTGACCTGTCTGCTTTTTCAGTGAGTACCAGCAGTAGAAGCCATGCTACATTTTAAAAAAAACTATTTGAATTGATGCAGATGTGTCCTTGTGCTTGAATCCTAAATATCTGAAATGCATCAACCAGGTGGCTCCAACCACACCTCTGAGGGAGAACAGCTGCCCCCGCCCCCCTCCAGCCCCCGAGGGCGTGGTCATCAGCGAGGTGGCCAGCGGCCACTGGACCAACCACAGCCAGCAGAGGGCCTTCGTGGAGCTGCACGGGCCCCCCGCGACGGACCTGCGCGGCCTGGTGCTCTCCGTGTTCGACCAGGAGCGCAGCGGCACCGTCATTGCTCTTCCTCTCACCGGGTCCGTCGACCAGGACGGATTTTACATCGTTGGAAACGTCACCGGCGCAGGTGAGGAAAGGAGGAGGCCGCGTCGTTCAGGGTTGGATCCCTTCTAGGGAAGAAAATGTCCGGCCATCATTCTCGCCCACACTCCTTCCCCCCTCCCCCTCTGTCCCGCATAGATCAGACCTTCCTGGAGGGCTCCGTCTTCCCGGCACGCGGAGCCGTGGTCCTCTGCTACGACCTGTTCAGCGTCTGTAGGGCCGGCACTGCCCTCACCAACTCCAGTCTCAGGGACGTACTGGTGTTCAGTGAAAACCAGCAGCTGCTCTCCTCTCTTTCCGCCGCCAGAGGGAGACAAGTCCTTCCAGCTGCCAGGTGAGTGCAGAAAGAAATCCAGCAACACGAACGAAGCGTCAGCGCTTAAAGGTTTGAACCCTTTACACTCGTTATTTAATCTTTAAACCAATTAAGGCTATAAGCGGACCGCTGAAAATGCCATGTAGAGGCCTTCACCTAATTATCTTGATTAGGCTCAAGTTACAGATGGACACATTCTGGTCAAGAACTTTGGTTCTTGCTAAGTTTTAATAAAGAAAACCGCTCTCTCTCTCTTTTAGCAACGGAAGATTACCATGGAAACTAACCATGGCAAATCAATCTGAGCAGCCCGCCTACAAACCACTCCGTATTCTAGGCATCCTACAGTTCACAATACTAACAAACATGTTAAAACACCTCGACATCTATAGTTACTCCTTTTTATTTGAGATCTAGGAAAGCTTTTAACCAGAATGAACACGATCTTTTATTCCATCAGCATGTGGGATTTTCAGCAAGTGATTTGGCTCCAAGTGGAAAATGGTTTGCAGGTGAACAGTTCAATCAGTCACAATCAACTCCGTCAAAGGTGACTCTTCACCTCGGGTAACCAATTTCCTGTGAAAAGCTCTTGATCCCTGACTGATTATGTTGGTTATAGCTTATAGCGATGTACATGAGACCGGTTGTCCAGGGTCACCAAAATTAAGCTCAGTGAGAGCCGGACTAATGTTGTCAAGTGTGACGAATACCAAGAGATGCATTCAAACACGGTTTAAATATCCCAAAGCTCTTTTGCGTATTGAAATAATTGACAGAATATATTATTACTGCATACAATGCATACAAAACATCCATGTCATTTTTTTGTGGTGTGGCTTTGTCATCCCTATTACGGCACGATTTATACGTCTGTATTCATGCATGTTTTGCACGTGCAGGTCGGTGGAAGATGGTCCTGTTTCGCTGAGCCGGTGTTCCTGCTGCGAGGTGAGGAGCCCCTCCTCCTGGACGAGCTCTTCGCCCACACCTCGGGGCACCAACCTCTGTCCGAGCGCCGCCTTCTCGAGTCACATCGACCTATGCCTGGGACCCCTGTCCAGCGACTGGCAGGAGCCGTCGGCAGGTGAGGCGTCATAGCTTGAATTGAGTTGTACAAAATGTGGAAGACGGGTGCCGACAATGCCGATTATATCGCTTGCTGTGGCCGTTCGTTTTCATTTCTATACGTGATACTAATAATAACTAATAATACTTAATGTTGGAACTGATTAGAAAAGTAACTTGCTTGTGTAATGGTCATATTAAGTATGCCTTAATACAGCTGACTCTCTTCCCCATGTTTCCTAGACTGCGGAGGTCTGATCCAGGGGAGGAAGGTTGCAGAGGTGGCTGATTACCTGGAGCAGAGGTGTCACTGTGGTATCTCTGCTTTGTCTCTCCAAGGTGAGGCCCTCACTATAAATGGAAATCTCCTGTTTTCTGTGAACTCGTCCTTCCAGTTAATCGAAAAAAGAAAAATTTGACTCTGTGGGAGAGAACTGGATGTCGCTGTTACCATGGAGTTGTAAAGTGAGGGTAATTGAGCTGTTATGTAGAGCAGCTAGATTCTGAGTGTAGTGTGGCAAGTAATTCTCACAACACATCCCTGTGTGGCCCGAGAACTGAACTCACAGATTCTACCAAGCACAGCCTGAACAATCCTAGACATATCTGTGATGAAACGTTTTGTCTTTCTCTGCGTGCACAAGGAGCCAACTTCTCCTGTGTGTCCGGGTGGCTCCGAGTGCGGGGCGACATCCGGGCGCTGTCGGACCACCAGCAGGCCCTCATCACCCAGACCTCCCGCGTGGGGCCCTCCTCCGCAGAGGGCGACGCCTGCTCTGCTCCGACCATGGACCGCTACACGAGCACAGGTCAGCGGCCGCAGAGGACGAGGCGATTTCCGACTGAAGCAGCAGACCGCTGGTGTTTGTCATTAAGGGGAAAATGTGTGATTGCAAAGTGAAAAAAGACCTACCTGCTGCTTTAAGGATTCGTCGGGTTCTTTTTTTTTAATTACCATGTTGTGTTGAAAGGTATCTGTCTGGAAAGTGTAGCTGACTTTTAACTTGATTCTCCTAGCGTCTGCCCTGGGGCTGCAGATAGGCCTCGTCGTAGCAGTGCTCCTGCTGCTTGCACTGGGAGCTGCTCTCTTCACATATTTCTACAGGAGGAGGTGAGAACTCTTATTCTGTGGTCTCTCTCTCTCTCTGCTCTGCTGGATGTGCCTCATTACTTCAAAAAGGGTAAAAAATGTAATCAACACCTATAGCAGCTTTTCACTTTTTAATTAGTGAGCTTTAGAGGTGTCGGTAGGCAGATTTCTTTTAATTTAGAGGGTTGGCCGAGCTGCCAATTTCCAGTCTGTGCTAAGTGGAGTAAAAGCATTGTACAGCTGTGATTTTGAGGTCCGTGTTAGAGACCCTCTTGGTAGTCTACGCTAACAAAGGACGGTCATAAAGGGAGTCTGTGTCCCAGGGTACAGATTCATCAACCGGCTCCTGCTTTTTCTCGCCCCTATAAAAACAACCTCGTTGTGTGTGTGTGTGTGTGTGTGTGTGTTCTAACGATTGTCTCCGTGCCCAGGCGCCCTCAGGACTACTGCACCATGGAGCTGAGCGAACACGCGGAGGGGCTGAGCGACCTATAATCCAGGCATCTGGAAGCGCTTGCGTGCCACGGGTGGGCTTGAGCGGCGAGAGAAGATGGTAATGAGAGGTTACTCTGACCTGTGCGTTGCTGATTGTGCGGTTGTTTTGGAGCGAGTGCCGCCACGCTCACTCTCTCCTTCTGTGTGTCTGTGGAAGATTTCTGACAAATCGAGTGGTTCCTGTTTCCGTTGACAGCGTGGTGGGTTCCGATGTGTGGGAAATATGATATTTCATGGCACCGGTGACAGAAATCCCATGAAATGTTTTAAAAAATAACGTCTTTTTTTTTTTTTTAAAGGTTGGTGTACAACCTTTGCCTATGAACAGTGCTGGTTGCTCCTTTTAAAGGGAACAAAGTTCTTTTAAAGTACTCGAGCCCTAACCGGTCATTTTTATTGACTTTACTTGTGGAAAAAAAAAAAAACCTTTTGAAATGAAAAAGTTTAAACAACCATGTTATGCAGGACGCGCTGTAAACTAAATGGCCTGCGTCCCGTCGTCAGCTGGTACGGCGTTTTAACAACCAACTCTTTAACGAAGACAATATTCGTCAAGCTCCTGTTTAATCGCGGAAACGATTGACTTCCTGCTGTTTTCCTGCTACGTGCTGTCAAAGTCCATTTAAGACTCCAGTCCCTCACGGGGCGTCTTTTAAATGTGAACGTCTTTAGCTAACTTGTGATGAGTGTCTGTAACCACTTTTGTATGCTTACTTAAAGCTGTTTACATGTTCTTGAAAGTTTATGAAAAAGGAATGTGAGAGGGCAATTTCTTGAATGACCAGTGTTTTGTTTTTTTTCACAAATGAGGGATTGCTGAAGAAAATCACAGCAACTTGTTTAATGTGTGCGGTTTTTTTTTTTTCGCGGCACAGAAGTTCCACTGTGCCTTTGTACCTGTGTGTGTCATATGATCAGCTGACCCATTTATTTGAGTGTAAATACCATGGACATGTTTTGAGTGAGCAGGAGCAATCATTGCCAATCTGAAGGGATAACTTATTGTGGAAATACAGAAAGATTCGGCGGTTTCGCAGTAGAGCGCAAAATATTTTGATTAAATAATTTGGATTCATTTCATTTTGTTCTTTAGATCTTAAAAATATATAAAAGTTTGAAAGGAATCACGAACTTGTCAGTACAAAGCGGCACGAAAAAAGCTCAATTTTTAATATTGTTGAAGTGTAATACCTTTTATTTGTTTGCTTTAATCGTCTTTGTGAGGAAACTTCCCGCCTCTGGATCGTTTTCCTCACATTTAATGTCTCAGTATTGACATTGACACCTACCACTGTCATGCAAAATGAACCCAGTGAAAGAAAATTCACTTTCACTGCGTCTGAAAAAACACTGTTTAAAACCAGCAAAGTCACTCAAATGAAGACTCCCATTTTGTTGTGCAATGTTTATACAATGACTTCTAATGTAAAAGTCTATATATCTTTATGGTTGCGTCTAACGGTACATTTATAAACAAAACATTTAAAGCAAAAAGCAGTCGCAGATTGCAGCTCAACGTGGGACACTTCTGCTCAGAGCACTTGTTTATTTGCACTGACAACAAGTGAAAGAAAACTAAAGTATACTTCTTTTGAGATACTAACATCGTGTACATGCAGAATATTTCACAGGAAACTTTGGAAAGAAAAAACATTGTTTTTGTCAACACCTGATTTCTAAGCTTTCCTCACTGTGTTTGCCTTCCAGTTTACTTTACCCCCCCGCTCTCCTTCGAATGCCGCGCACATGTAGCAGGTTTGAAATAAAACACGTCCGCAGTTGTGCAATTCTTTCGTTGCCGCTTGCCAGTTGACTCGTCCTGTGCTCCGTCACCGCTTTCTTTTTGCATACATCCTCCGCTGCTTAAATGCTCAAACACATAATTATAATGATCACTTCCCGCTGCTCTCTGGCAGCAGATGCACTCACCAACTACTTGTCTTTCTGTTTGGATGTGGTTGTGTATAATTGGAGCGTATACGTTCCCTCGGCTCTGCTTCTGGGGTTTGCGGTACCTACATAAATGTGTATTATTATGCTTCCTTCCTGCCAACAGAAATTTGGAGAATCGTCTCTCTGCTCTTTACAATTATTGTACCAGCGGCTCTGTGGATCGCGCGTCTGCAGCGGTGCTTTCTGAGACGTTTCAAACTCTTTTGTTCCTCCCTCCGAGGAGCCTTGAGAGCGGCTCATCTCAACCCTCATCTCAACTCTCATCTCAACCCTCATCTGTGAGATTCGTCCATATGGAGGAAACCAGAGAGTAGTATAAAACTCTCGGGCCTTCGCGTGCCGCCGTCAGCCGGTTCTTTGCTGTCTGTCTGCTCAACCTGCTAACCACAACACAGGAAGGCAGATGAGACAGACGGCAGGGAGGAGCTGCAGAACAAAACGGCACCTCGAGCAGCGGGACGCTGCCGTGTGTGTTTCCTCTTGTCTCTGAGTCTTCCCGTCCGCACTTGTCCTTCACCTGCCTTTTTGTGAGCGAACTATGGTCCATTCTGCACGGTGCGTCCGTGACGTGCGTCCCGCGTCCTTTGACACATTCGTACGCCTTCAAGAAGCCCAAGGTGAGTCGCCAGAGCTTTGTGCACTGCGCCGTGCCCGTTTAACCTTTCACAGCCGCAGAAGAATGGAAATGGAATAAGAGGAGAAACTTTACCAAGAGCGTCGATACGCCTGACTGCTGCTGACAAAACGACACGTTTTATTCTATTTACAAGCCAACCTGGATGTTTTCCACTTTCTGGTGTGTCTGCGCCGTGCACATCATAGCATTCATTGTTACTGTTGAATAATGTAACTATCATTAATGCTTCTGTCGCTCCGCTCTCACAGTAGTGTGCTATTAAGTCGCATGAGAAAGAAATGAAGTATGTAAAGTTTACAGCGGAAGCTGGCGCGTCGAGTTCTTCTGAGTATTTCAAACAGCTTCCTTGTGTCAGAACAGACGTGATGAGAAACAAACCACACAGGAAGGCGTCTGCCATTTCCCGTTACTGCTCAGTAACCTCAGACATCATTTGAATTGATGTTTGCAGAACTTTCACTTCATCTTTGGATTTCAATAATACTAATAGTATACCTTCAAGTGGTAATTTCAAACCAAGATATGCAATCGAATGTGGTTTGCAAAGGCTTAAACATCGATATGAGGAAAAATGCAAAAGATGGTGTCAGGCCTTTCAAGTTGTGTGGAATATGAGTATGTATTTTTTCTGATTTCATCTTACAACGCAACATTTTAATAAGACATAATGAATTCTTATTGATGTAAGTATCAAAATAATAAGCTTCCATTAGCTTTTTTACATAAGTACAAGAACCGTCGGAAAATGTTAGAAAATCGGACCATAATGTCTGTTTTCACAGCTTCCGGCTGATGATGAATGGTAGATTTTTATAGTTTAAAGACCACATGCTCTTATGGCGGGCAGGCTTTAGGGCTCAAAGGGTGAAATGAATACGGACACGTATGTATTTCTTTTCCGACAGACTTACTGAATCAGTACTACATGACTTAATACACCTAATAAGCAATAACGATTATGGAGCATTAAGTGTTGGGAAGATATTGAGGCATCTGTTCATTTTCTCACCTCCCTTCACATTCTATCAGGTCCAGTTCCACAGTGTGTGTACGTAACGTAATTCTGTATCGTGCAGACCCGAACAGGAACATCTGAGGGCAGAAAGTATCCAACCTTCTGATGGAGAGGAAGGCCCTCTACGATTCTATCCTGGACCGAAGCAAACGCATCACGTGGCAGGACGACTGCTACGTGGACCTTCAGTCCGCATCCTGCTCGGCCGCTTCACGGGCAGAAACCGAGGGTAAGAGGTTTCCGAACGTTACCATTGTAAGGAAGAAAAAACACAACGGTATCAGCAAACAGTCCTTTGTGTAGAGGGTGGATGAGAGGACGATGAAGGGTAAAAGAAGGAACGTGTGAGAAGAGTCCAGAGCTTTCAAATTGAAATATATCAAGTGAAAGTATGAGGTAAAAAAACAATGATCCCCATTTTTATAATTCTAAAGATGAATCTTGAATATTAAGCCACAGAGATGAAATTATATTATTATTGTCATATTATACCAGTGGAGGAACCGGAGCTTTGATTAATGAAAGCTAATGGATTGAGAGATTTTCCTTTGTGTTTAAAGTACGACTGTTAGAAGAGACAGTCACACAGTGCACATAAGCACAGTTTAAAATATATATACACACATACATGCATGTATATACTGTATATTATCAAGAAGATCTCAGAAATAACTTCTTCACAGGTTTCATCTGAGCTCCGCTTTGGTTTTAGATCTTGACTGGATCCAAAAGCATCAAGACCTGCTGCAACGCTTCTCTACGGCCTCCTTCCTGGAGGTGATGTTAGCCCACCTGAGAAAGGTGGATGCGGTGAGTTCAGCCGAGGAGACAAAGATCAGGGGAGCGACGCGGCTGCACGACCAGGTCAACATGGTCACAACTATTGTCACCGCCAAGGGCGCTCAGAGTTCGGACGCACTGCGGGGCTTCATCGAGAGCTCCGATTCCCAGGTGGCCCAGCTCGTCATCAACCACGGTGAGGAAAGGGATTTGCTCTCTTTGTATGTCTTTGTATGCCTCTTCTAAACTGGGGAAGATATTCCAGGCAAAGTCTGGGTGAGGGTTTGATGCCTGAGTCGTCTTAAAAACTCCTCGGAAAGAACTTTGCAGCCCTCCTCGTGATTACAATCCATTACCTTGCATCCAACAACTTGGTAATCAGAAGATATTAATATGAGCCGGTTTTCTTTTCCGCAGATGCCATGGTGAAGGAGCACAAAGAGGTGCTCCTACGGAGATGCGAGCAGAGCAGAGACAGAGATTCAGTCAGCTGCCCGAAACTGAACGTCTGCTCGAGAACTTTACTTCTGGTTGACGGGCTTTCCGACATCCAGCAGAAGGAACACGACTTAATGCAAGTGGGGGCGACTCGAGGCAGGAAGAGAAATCATCTCAGACAGCTGGGGCTGACCAAGCTCTTGGAGCCCCTCACACGGGTCAGTTTGCCACCCCGGGTCTCCCTCACGGTCGGGGTGGCCGGTATCGGCAAGACGACCTGGGTCCGGCACTTTGTCAGGCAGTGGAGCCAAGGGCTCATCTGTGCGGACGTGAGCTTCGTCTTGCCGTTCGCTGTTTGTGAGCTGAACTCGGTGGAGAAAGTCTCCGCTGAGAAGCTGGTGAAACTGGCTTTTCCTCATTTGACGGACCCCAGCGTGGTCCTGAGCAGCTCCTGCCGCACACTGCTAATACTTGATGGCTTGGACGAATTCCGCTGCTCCGCAAATTTTGCCGACGCAGCTTCTTGTAGCGACCCGAAGAAAGAGGTGTCCATCGATGACCTGGTTACTAACATCATCCGGGGAAATCTGCTCCCTGACGCGGCGGTGTGGGTGACCTGCAGGCCGAGAGTGGCCTCGCTCATCCCTGGAGGTTTGGTCGACAGGGTGACTGAGATCCCGGGATTCAGCCCGCAAGACATCCGGCTCTTCCTCGACCACCACTTCTCCGAAAGGGACTTTGGCAGTAAAATATGGACGCACTTGGAGTCCCATAAAATCCTTATGGTGATGTGCTACATACCCAGCGTCTGCTGGATCGTGGCCGAGACTCTAGTGTACATCATGCGGAGCGAAACGGACGAGAGCCTTCCGAGGACTTGCACAGAGCTGTACGCTCACTTTTGCTCCATGAAGGCGGAAGCCGGCGAACCGAGAGGCAGGGAGCCTGTAAAGATGGAGCAGCTCCACGGGAGCAACCGTAAACTGCTGGGGAACCTCGGACGATTAGCCTTCTATGGGCTGCTCAAACATAAGTACACCTTCAGCGAGCAGGACCTCAGGGCCTACGGAATAGATCTCCTGTTAGGTCAGGGCAGTCTTGGTACTGGAGTTCTTGTCCGGGAGGAGTTGGCCATATGCACAACATACCGGTTCACTCATTTGACTCTGCAGGAGTTTCTTGCGGCTACTTTTTACCATATCTCCTCCAAGCGGGCCATCTTCGACCTGTTCTCAGAGAGCACCATGTCCTGGCCCAAGATTGGTTTCCAGAACCACTTCAGAAGCGCCTTTCAGCACTCGCAACAAGCTGAAGACGGTCACTTGGATGTGTTTGTGCGCTTCCTGACGGGCCTGCTGAGCCCGGCGGCGCTGAAGCCTCTGGCTGGGCTCCTGGCCGTGGGAAAAGACGAGGGAAACCAGAAGGCGTTCGCCGCGGGGTTCCTACAGGGCCTCTTGGTCGGCGGAGGGGCCGTGGTGTCCCTACGCGCAGTCAATCTGGCTTATTGTTTACACGAGCTGCAGCACGCGGAGCTGTTGCGCAGTGTCGAGGAAGACTTGCAGCTCGGCAGCCTTGCGGGGAAGCTAACGAGGGCCCACTGCGTGGTGCTGGGGTACCTTCTGCACGTGTCCCCAGAGTGCAGCGAGCAGACCAACCTGACAGGCTCTCTGAACTACGCGACGGTGAAATGTCTGCTCCCGCAGCTGCTGTACTGCAGCTATCTCAGGTCAGCGCCGTCTCCCTGTGCACTGAAACTCAGAGGACAGAGTGAGAAGTGAAACGTCTCGCTCCGTCTACTCCACAGGTTGGAGAATAATCACTTCAAAGATGATGTCATGGAGTTGCTGGGAAGCCTGCTGAGTGCCAAAGACTGCCATATCCAGAAAATGAGGTGAGACCACACTTAACAGCCCCGAAGCACTGACTTGCCCGGTTGCTCGTATGTTGGTGACACAGAAATGGATTCATATTTTGTTGATGTGTGTGTATGCGATGGTGACCTCTTTTATTTACTCCCCCAGTTTGGCGGAGAACGCCATCGGTAACAAAGGCGCCAAAGCCCTGAGTCGCGCCCTCTTGGTGAACCGGACGCTAACGTCTCTCAAGTGAGATTCCTTACAAATAACGATAAATGTCACACTGTGCGCTTATCTCAAAGTGCCTCTAACACAAATATGTGTCAAATATTTGCCTTCACAAATAGGAAGTGAGACATGGTATTTCTATTATGATTCTCTATATCATCTAACCAGCAAATGTAATGTAATTTAGTTTGCGGAACAACAACATTGGCTCCAAAGGTACAAGGTTCCTGGCAGAAGCTCTGAAAATGAACCAAGTCCTGGTATCAATTAAGTGAGTAAATTTGCAATTCGGTTTTAGTTCATGCAAACAATTATGTTACAAGAGGTCAAAGCACACTTTTAATTTCGTCTCACTGCTTAATTTCCGCTAATCTTCAGCTTCCAGAACAATGCAATCGAGGAGGAAGGTGCTCAGGCCCTTGCAGAAGTACTGCACTGCAACCGCAAACTAGTCTCTCTCAAGTGAGTAATGCCTGGCGTTCCCCTTTCTTTGTGTGCATATCCTGTGTGCACTGTGTGCCCGTGTTCATACTAACAATGAAGAGTATTTATACATTTTTCTTACATGCATTTAATAATTCAGCATACGGAAGAATACAATTGGAGCTGGCGGAGCCAAAAGGATCGCAGAGGCGCTGAAGACGAACCGGACGCTCACAAAGCTGATGTAATCTTGTATTTATTTATTCACTGTGCTGATTTTGATCATTTCACACTGTATAATGTGCATTCATGCAGAAATGTTACACACCAACTTGGGGCTCAATTTGTCGTGCTAACAAAGCATCAATACTGTATAAAATCATCCAGTAACTGGGTCACATACTGATCATGAAGATGATAATTTAACTTTTTCTTAATGTGTCCAGTCTGTTTCTATTCTCGCCTGCAGTCTTTGCAGTAACCAGCTTGGGGACAGAGGGGCGATCGCTCTGGCAGAGGCGTTGGCAGTCAACCACACTCTGCTCTCACTCCAGTCAGTACTTTGTGCAAATGAACCTCATTAGCATTATTCCTCACTCACTATTCAAAGGTCTACTGCCGTTGCTTTTTAACACCGTCGATGGAATACGAGACAGCTCGTGATTCACTACTTGTGTGTTGATACTTTCAGACTTCAGAGTAACTCAATCAGCAACAAGGGGATGACCGCATTGACCAAAGCTCTCCGGCTCAACCGGGGCCTTGTCTCCTTGAAGTGAGTACACATGTTAAGACACCTGTGTTGAGTTAAGGAAAAGCGCCACCTCCCATTTACGTCACCCGAGACGTCAATATAAGAGGCAGCACTTGCTTAAGAAGGAGATTCACAACATTTGAAAGCTGTGTTGGAGTTGAGTACTTAAAACTCCGAAAAGCATTTTTGTTTTGTGTAGCACGGTAATAAATCAACAATAAGGGATTGAGATTTTAGATTGAAAACAAAACATGAAATCAGAGGACTGGAAGCGGACGACATAGTACACGCTGTTTTTTTTTTCATTCATTTATTTTTTTAATTTCACAAATTGAAGCTGTAGAGTAAACAGATGATCTGACAACTGCCTCTTGCCTGTGAGGCGAGAGTCTGTAGATGTTTAAATCAGGCAGCAAGAAACTAATATTCTAATCAACAACGTCTAATTTGTCATTATTACCTAGCAGGGGGTCCCAGCAGGGGGGGTTTGTGACGTTGGCCAGAGATGAGCCAGCTGTTTCTCCAGTATTTTTGCAATGCTAAGCTATAAGCTAAGCGGCTGCCGTCTTCAGCTTCATATTTACTGTAACTCTGTTAAAGAGGATTTTATCGTCATTGTGGTGATAAAACAACAATTTTGTTTGTTTGCCCCAACAAACAATACACAAATGATATAAACACACAGGAGTGAAAACCTTTCCACTCTTGTTCTCTCACGTGCCGTCTCTCCGTCAGCTTGAGGGAGAACTCCATCGGGGTGGAGGGAGCCAAGAACATGGCCCATGCTCTCCACGAGAACAACTGTCTGCAGGAGCTCGAGTGAGTCCCCCCTCAGTCAAAGCTTTGTCAGATAATAAGTCATACTTATGGGTTCCCACTATAGTGCCATAAAGGATATTTCTTTTTTCTTCACTGTAGCCGCCGTCAAGCCGAATCAATAACAGACTTTTAATCCCACCAAATTGTGACACCCAACTTGTTTTAGACAAGATCTTGTGATTGTGTTTGTACTGTTTATTTATTGTGTTGTGTGTTTGTACCTCAGTCTCACAGCCAACCTGTTGCACGATGAAGGGGTGCAAGCTATAGCCGGCGCGATCAAGTTCAATCGCGGCCTCACCTCTCTGCAGTAAGTGAGGCATTTAAATAAAACAGCTTGCCTGCATCACACGCTTTGTTTGCTTTGAAAATAATCCCGAGCCAATACTGTCGCCGGTACAAGCGTCGACTTAATGACCACCAGCATCAACAGCAATTACTTTCAAGACTGCCAACACCTCTCAATGTGGACGAGTTACTTTAGTAGAATATAATCGGGTTGGTTTTTTTGTGGAATGAAACATTTTTTCAATGCAAAATGACTATTAAGATATATTAATATTTATTGCCCTTGCCTGGGTTATATAATAAAAAAAACAGACTTTGCCCCACATTCAATCTCCTGCACCTGTCTGTCTCTTTTCACAGTCTTCAGTGGAACTTCATCAAGTGCTCTGCCACTAAAGCGCTGGCCCACGCTCTCCTCTCCAACGGCACCATGCAGCTCTTGGAGTAAGTCCAACGGTTCAGAACTCTACGTCCAAACAGCGGACCGGAAGGATGGGATCGTCCCCGTCGTCCTTTCCTGCTCTCTACACAAATGTCACTGGTCTGAACCAGGTCTTATGAGCCACTAATACGTCGTGTGGGATTCCGGTCCCATGGTGGGTCGTATTTACATTCGCCACCTGTGTGTTTGTGTCTCCGTCTCTTCTGCAGTCTACAGGAGAACGCAATCGGAAACGAAGGCGTCATCTTCCTGGCCGAGGCCCTGAAGACCAACGCCTCCCTGCGTACATTATGGTTGGCATTGCATGTTTAGATCTTCAACGAATGACCCAAGCCACTTTTTAAACAAACACATGACTTTATAAAGTTTTTAAAAAATCGAAATTTGGAATTCAACAAAATCCTCTGCACGTGTGACAACATGTTGTTTTCTATTACTTTCCTCTGTGTGTGTTCTGCGTTCTGCCTCTTTAGTCTTCAGGGAGTCTCCGCGAGCACAAGTGGCGCGATTGCGATGGCGGAGGCTCTGACGACCAACCGAAGCCTGCAGACGTTGGAGTGAGTCCAGCCGCCTTCTCGAGTCAAACTGTTCCTTTTGCTATTTGGCATTCAGCCACATAAAAGCTACTCACTTCAAATCCAGCAGAGCTCAATCAAGCCTCTCAGTAGAGTTTATGTTTTCCTCTTCCTGTCAGTTATTGAATCTAAGGGAATTTTTGGGGGGTTCAGCGTTGTGATGGAAAGTTACTGAGACCAAGAAGGAATTTACATCAGTGAGAGGGAAAGTAGCAAAAGAGGAATCACTGTAAGCTGCAGGGTTGACCATAGAGAATATGGAGGCATCATTGTAAAGCCGGTTGACTTGCAGGACTCAATCAATTATCTTCTTGCCTTTTGATCGTCTACTTGACTGTAGTTCAAAGACTTCTGTTCTTTTTTAGCATTATAAGGAGCTTCAAGTGAGTTCAGTGCTGTGCTCACTTCACAAACTCTGTGTGCCTCTTCTTGCAAGGATAAACCCGTTAAAATAATTTTGGTTTATTCAGACCATCTGCAAAGGTGATGACAATGATATTGAGTTTTTTCATCCCAGTGTTGACCAATGTTTTTTTTAATAATCATTTATAATAATTTTATTTCCTATTTATTCAATTAGGCAATATATACTTAATGTGGATCACTGTAGATCCAATACAGCCAGGTACTGTTATACAGTCACACTGAGTTATTAATTTATTAATATTAATATGGTCTTTCAACATTGATTTGGTCTTCATTACCAGCTCAACTCATTGAAGTGCATCTCAGTGTGTATTTAATCAACTTTAACACAAAAAAGACATAAATCACAACACAGCAGAAACAAGTAAGACCAAGAAGATGACATGTGTCATTCCTCATACTGTATGTGTGCATCCGCTATTGCTGTGTTGACAGCTGATGCTGATGACAGCACGTTTCCCATTGTTTCAGTCTACGTGGCAACGCTGTGGGGATGGAGGGAGCGAAGGCTCTGGCTAACGCGCTGAAGAGCAACCGAAGCCTCAAGTCGCTGAAGTAAGTCCCAACTGCAGTTCGTCCGCGATCCATGCGAGACAAAATGTCTGTATTTCCCTGGGAAATGTTGCTATATTAATGATGCATTACAATTTGTAAGCAGCAAAATAACGATTATCATTAGAGAACAAACAAAGACAAATGAGCAGAGGGAATAATAAAAGAGCGGTTTTCTTCAGCCATGTCATTAAAATATTTTGCTCCTAGCCCTTTGTTGGCTGATCGGTTGGCCATAGCTGAAATAATGTACATCAAGGACTCTAAGTGAATAGCGAGAAGCCAGCGCTGGGCGAAAAGGAGACGACGGTCTGCTGAAGGTTGAGAGGATTAGACATTTCATCACAAACATCCTGCTACTCCTTGTCATGGCTAATGTCACTCACCTGGTTTATTACTTCAATAATTGAGAATGCAGAGCGAGAAAGGACATCCTTCTGCCAAAGGCAACATTATAGCAGCGTGAAAATACATGCTCGTAGTAACGTCTGTGCATCACAGTAGTTGGAACCTTTAAGATTACCACGGGGTGTAAACCACCCACTTGCTCTCCAGGAGACGGGCATTGCCCCAAGCACACGAGCTGATCAGCAATGCAGGGCCATGTGGAGCGGGACGTTGAGGACGGTGGGAGGCCCAAGAGGGAGCAGCATTGTTTGTTTTTTTCCATCAACATGAAAGAATATCCATAAATAGAATCAAATTACTTGGTTTATATTTCTCGTCAGTCGTGTTGTGGGAGAGCAGAGGTTATCTTCGGACGGGAACAGTGTGCAGTCTGGCATTGAAATGCTGCCACTTGGTTGGAAAAACGAGAAATGAATCCCATCACACATCTGTGGAAACACCAATGCTGTACTTGCTGCAGGTGCAATTAAACTAAACAATCCTTTTGTAACCTTTTTGCTGTGAGGGAGTTTACATGAGCTGCAGACGGTCTGCTAAAAACAACCAAATAACTCCAGTTATATATACATACTCAATTGTCTGTGCAAGCTCAAATTAGAGCAAAAAGATGATTATGCGTGCACACAGCGCTTTCAATGGTACGCCGCTTTATTAAGATTAAGCTCCTCAGGTAAAGTATTTCTGCACTGAGCGTGAGGCAGCAGACTCCCACGAGCCTGACAACAGTGAGCTCAAATTATTTAGTCTCTCCCGCTCAAGATTTATTCTCCATGTTTGTCCACTGAAAGTGAGAGTTAAAAACCTCTATATGCGCTGCACGTCCTGTTTGTTATTTTCAAATCCTGCGCTTTGCATCGAAAATAAAAGCTTTCCACTAAACATTTGATTGACATTTTTGTGCACCGTCAGCCTTCAGGAGAACTCTCTGGGTATGGACGGAGCCATATTCATTGCAACAGCCTTGAAGGGAAACCACCAATTGACTTACATCAAGTGAGTCTTTTTTTCAACATATAGAGGTTATTACATGACGCAATGCTGCTTTCATCACAACCCGTATTCTTAGTTTGCAGGGGAATGGCATTGGAGAATCAGGAGCGAAGGTCATATCTGATGCTATAAGAGCCAGCGCTTCGGGCTGTGTGGTGGACATCTGACCAAGGAACCAGGAAAGCTGCTCATGTAACAATTACAGGACGCAGTGCTGCCAGAAGTGGGTGTATGTAGTTAAAGCTGTATATTGGTGCTGGATATCACTCTGTGACTGTTTTAGATATTCACATATCTATTATGATGTTATTACTATGTAAGGAACACAGCATGCACACATCATATATGAGGTGGAGCAGCAGTCCTCTTGTCTTTCTTGTTTCATTTGTCAATGTGTACATTTGCCCAATCAATCTGGTGTACAGCAATAAAATGGCCTCTGACATTTAAACAGTTGTATTCCCCTTTTCGTTTAAAAAAGGTCAAAGATCTGTCGAGATGGTCGCTACAAAATGACAAAACTCATGAACGCATTTCACAAAGAATGAAGCGGCTCCACAACTTCAACGTCTTTTGTATTCGAAAATAGAAAAAATTATTTGCACTATCCTGCACCTTTTAAATTCAGTTCATTCAGGTTTAAATGTCAACCAGAGATGAACTATTATGTATTTTTCTCCTCTTCTAATAAGTGAAATGTGTGTGCAGGAACTCTCTGTGTGTCCCTGCACACTGCGTTAACATTGGGCTCTTCTATGTCATTTTGGATGTGAGTTTGCTCAAAAGACTTCACATATAATCGTTCTCCGTCATCCTTCAGTTGTAGTTATAGGTTCAGATACAACGGCGACGTGTTGTAGACGGCCACAGTAGAAATGAAACAAGAAAAAGAGAAATGCAACAAAGGATTCAAATCGAGGACATTGTGTTTCATGGTTGGCATTAGAGTATCAAAGTCTAAATAGACACAAAATGGGACAATATTTACGTGAGTTTGCGTGAACTTCTCAAGCTGGCAAGTATGTGTCCGCCGCTTCCATTGTTAAAAATTGTTGCTCCATCCGTCCCCATTTAATGGGTAGTGTGTACAAATGAAGTAGCTGCCATATGAAATGTGCCTTGAATGAAACCTGTAATGACTTATTTTTTTTGGACACTTGGGGAAAGTGAAAAGAAGACACAAATACGGCAGTGTTACAAATCCCAAGTGTTTTGGTTTATTTAAACAAAAGGCCTGAACTAAAAAAAAAAGGTCATGTCTCATTGGCCAAATTATTATTATATTATTATTATTTGTGCCAGGAGACATTTGGCCGCGACGCAGGTGAGTGTTGATGGTTTTGGAGGGAAAGGGATCATTTGTTGCAGTATTTTTGTTACCGATCAGACCGATCGCTCCACATAAAAATCAATACTGAAATCCTTTATACAACTGGTCAAAGTTAACATGTAAAGGTTAAGAGCTGAGAAACAACATCACGATAACAGGCCGCAGGATCAGAGTCCAATCGAAGCACTCGCAGATGGGTCGAGATCCTGCCGCTCAATTCATCCTCTCAATAAACTAAAATAATATTGATCTGTTCGTCTCAGCAACACACACTTACTGAGTAAAACAAACAAAAACACAGTCTCGCATATGATGTTGAAATCCATATATTCTGTCATGCTTCCTATTCTTTTATTCTTACTCAAATAGAGAAACCTGCGTTAACGTGTTTTGGGGGCTGTAATTGTTGTGTGTCATTGTGTGTGTGAATTGTACGGGTGCCCAGGTGACTCAATCAGTACAGTCGTGATAAAAAAAATCAAACACAGCAATGTTGTCTTGGATGAATTTGCAGGTAACACATGTTGCGATGCACTGTAGCACAATGTAAGATAAAATAAGATAAAATAAGATAAACTCTTAGACCGTTTTGTTTTGGACCCTTTGTAGAACCGCTAATAAATGCGCAGAAGACACAAACTGTCCATTTGATCAATCTCTCATCTGATCTCCCCATTCAACAAATAGCAGCCTGCTTGCTCCCGTGTTCGCGTCTCCTGCAGCGGATGAGGTGATTATTCGAAAGCACTTTGCGCACCAGCAAACTGCGCGCAAACTGCGCGCAAACCGCGCGCGTCACGCACGCAGCTTTCCGGAGCGAGTGTTTAGTTCACCGCCGCTTCTGTGCCGGCAGCTGCCTCCTTCTCCACGGACCTGTTGTCTGTAAGTCTTCCTCTTCTTTTGTTCTCATTCAAATAAAAGCTGTTTTCGTGCACAATGTGCACCCAGATAAAAGGGAGTGATCCAAAAAATGCGTTTAATAAGCATCGTTTGCTTTACTCATGTGCATTGTCTTTATCTTTCTTACAACTTGATTTAGGTCAGGCAATGAGGAATAGAGTAATATATGTATACATGATATGATGTTATATATCTTTGAAGATAATTACTAAATGTCTACTTTTGTGATATTTGTCGCTATTTAATGCCTGCAGTCTTTGGAAGTGCTAAAACAAGCATTTAGCAGCAAAACAGCAACCCCCATATATGCACAACCACTAACAACCCTTCAGCCACACTACATCATTATTAGCTACCGCATGATGGTAATTCCTTTATTTCAATTCCCATTCAGACTCAGTGGCTGTCATGGAATCTATATCCCTAAAGCTTCACTGCTTGTTAAGTCACACCAGTTATTTTAACATTGTTTTCTTTTCAATGATCTAACATTTTGGGGTTAAAACAGATCTGCAGTCTCGTTCTTGAAATATTTTGGTGTTTTTGAGAAAGGAGATTACGTAAAGCTCTGGTCTCATAATACTGACTTTAAATGACACATTGTTATCGACGTTATCGGCGGTCAAACTACTTTTTTAATGTAACGCGTCATCACGTCACACCAAAGACAAACTGCCATGAGGCCTTTCCTGTGCGGCCTCGTTCCTCGGGCCGCAACAAGTGACCGTTGATTCCCAAATGAAGTGAGTGATTTGGCTGTTGAGGCGCAGCGGCGGGCCAGAGGGGGGTGCTCGCTAATTTGCTTCCACTAGAAGGGCCAAATATAACAGAAGGGATAAATATGACAGGACGCGCCGTAGCACACCGAGAGCCCACTGAGTGTAAGAAACACATCCTGTCTCCTATTTGAAGGAGGAACGCACATCTTTTACAAATTATACACTTCAGAATCACGCTTTACTTGTAAACTTAATTGGGTGCCTGCTTTGAAGACATCCATCACAACACATCTGCTGTCAATGGAAGACGTATGCAGTCACGATGAAGTTGTAGAGCGTTAGTTTTTTTTAAAATACATATTGTTGTGTTCCTACAAGACAGTCGTGGTACCTGGATCCCAGCGATGTGGTGTGTTTATCCTGGAAAACTGACAAGCAGCCTTTTTATTGTTTGAAGAGGAGATTCCATCAATGCGCCGTTTAAAGCGTGAAAAAACATTATGCATTTCATTTGCATATTGGAATAGATTTGGTGCTTCGCCGTAATTGAAGTAAAAATGCAGGTTGCTCGGATGCTCGAGCTTCACTGAGCGAAACGATTGTTCATTGATCTGTAAATGGATGTTGATGCAACTGTGTGCAATAATTAGCATGGATTCTGTATTTTCCAATGAGAAAGTAATTTATTTATGATGACAGACTAAATGTTGTTTTTTTTATGTCTAAGTGTCTTTCTTTTTGCTTGTTTTCCTCAGACAGTGTGGCACTTCAACGTGTGTCTGCGTCTAATGCGAAGCAGAACACAACCTTGATTTCTTTTGTACCAATTGTTGAACACCAGACCTCTAACGTACGGGATACAGCAAACCTCCGTTGGCCACGCATTCAAACCACCGCCGGTTTAACTATGTACAAACTGTACATATAAGCTCACTGAACTTAAACTTTCGTTGAACTTAAAATCTACTCTTTCAGCTGTTCTGTTCTCCTTCCTGCTCTCGGTCTTCTACAAAGTCGGCAATGATGGACAGGTCACAATACACAAAGTCTTTGGTCTGCTCACTGCTTCTCATGCTGCAAAAGGTCAGTTTTGAAAAAATACACTAAAGCATTGTTCTTTTTGATGGAGCGTTTGACAGATACGGACGCTTGTTGAAGTAAAATGTTGGATTTTTTGATATTGCCTTACAGTGTGAGACGGCCAGCGGGAAAGTCTTAGAGGAGACTTATCGGAAGTGGGTTCAGTATAAAGAAGACTGTGTCAGAATGATAGAAAATGAGCCGTTTCTTCAAGGTACAAACTCCCGTCCACAACTCATCCTGCAAATGGCAAGTGGTGGAAGAGGAGAGGAAAGAGAAACATGGCTTTTCGTTGGTTTGTCCTCCTAGCTGGCTTGTTCTGCAACAGGACATTTGACATATACGCGTGCTGGCCAGATACTCCCGCCGGCTCCATGGTCAACATCTCGTGTCCTTTCTACCTGCCCTGGTACGATCAAGGTAGCTCGCCCCCCCTTTTCAGTGTTTTTATCGTGCCTGAGTATCGCATCTTTGCTCTGTAACGCTGTGACCGCCGTGACGCTGGCGATGAGTAAGCGGGTAACGGTTGAAGGACTGACTGGCTGTTTCTCCTCAAGTCGCTCGCGGGGTTGTGCGTCGCCTGTGTGGCTCCAACGGCAGCTGGGAGAGAGATGCCAGCGGGCACGTGTGGAGGGACATGACCCAGTGTGAGGAGGAGAAAGAGGTCCAGTCTCAGGAGGTACGGACCACCGAGACGTCACCAACTTCGGGGTTTCAATTACATGAGCATTTGGACTACAGACGATTCTTTATTATCTTTGATTATGTATTAAGGGAGACACACCCTTTTGTTTAGCAATCAAATAACCCCCTGAACACAAATGAATTTGAGGGTTATTGGCAGAAATTGTGCAAATTGTACAATGTGACTGAAAAATAGGTTCAAATTTAACTTTTCTAAACTCTTTTTTTCTATTGTTTTTATGCCACTGATTTACAAAGTTCTTAACCAATACCAAAAAACATTGAAATATTAAATACACACAAGTGCTCCTAAAATTCCTAATCAATATCTAATTTACAAGAGTAAAATATCTGATCTAAATTATATCGTTTCATATGGGGCTGTGCAATGACATTTGTCCAATTCCTAGATCTCTGCATTGGCTTCCAGTTAAGTATACTTATAAATAGCTTATAGCCTAGTTATTATTAGTAGTAGTAGTAGTAGTGCAACTAATTCCAGCTGTTTGATTCGCTCTCCATGGATCTAACATATGAGCTGTAATCATTTTGGAAACCAAGCTAAAGACACAGCGTTTCATTCATCATTTCTTACAGCATTCTAGGTATTTAACTCATTTAGTTTTATACGGTAAAGTGGTGTATAGATAAATACGTCTACCTGACATTGTGTGAAAAATACAAAATGGGTTCAGGATGTACATCCATCCAGATCGTCTTACCGTTAGTAGAAGGAAGTTACTGTATGAGGTCCTACTTCCCAGAAGTGACGGGAGGGGATTTGTCTTCCCAGCTGTGGGTGAAACAACTGATGGTGAGCTTCAGGATGTTGTACACGGCGGGCTACTCGCTGTCCCTCTTCACGCTGGTGACGGCTCTTATTGTGCTGCTCAGCTTTAGGTAAGCTGTCAGAGAGCAAACAGCCCATCAGATGATTGGCTGTATTATTCAGTACTTATCAGATAACAAAGAAATGGCAGGTAACCATTAAAGTAAAACATTCAAGGATTCCTATTTAATGGCTCTACTTTCTGCTGTAAATGAACCCCAACAGGAAACTGCATTGCACCAGGAACTACATCCACGCTAACCTCTTCATGTCCCTCATCCTACGAGCAGTATCCGTCATTGTTAAGGACACCATGCTGGAACGCCACTGGGGAAGAGAAATCCTAAAACACGGAGACGTGAGTGAGATGCTCAGTCACCAGGTGGGTCTCGAGGTGTAGCGAAGAAGGTTGGCTGTTCAACCATTTTCCTTTTGTGTAATTGTTTGTGTTTATTTCCTCCAGGCCGCCATTGGCTGCAGGGCGGCACAGGTGATGATGCAGTACTGTGTCCTGGCCAATCACTATTGGTTCTTTGGAGAGGCAATTTATTTGTACTCGGTGCTTATTGCCTCGGTGTTCATCGACAACAACAAATACTTACCGTACATCTGTGTGGGCTGGGGTAGGTTCCACTATTCACAGAGCACGCATCGTAACAGCAGTGGGTCTTTTTGTGGATGCATGCAAAGGAGAGGCTTACATAGCGTCCACCTGTGATGTGGTTTTTGAAAGCACCTGCAGCACTGTTTTCAATCATGAACAATTTATTCTGTACTTAGGAACTCCACTTCTATTTGTGGTTCCTTGGGCAGTGATGAAGCAATTGAAAGAAAACAAGGAGTAAGTGCGTGTGCAGCGGTTCCCTCGTGCGCCGGCTCACTCTGTGAATTATGAACTGCTGCATTTTGTTCTCAGGTGCTGGGCTGTCAATGAAAACATGAACTACTGGTGGATCATTCGTTTCCCAATCCTCCTTGTGTCACTGGTAAGGACGACTTGTTTGAATAGTTCTCTCAGACTCGTCATCCGACACCCCGGTGTCCTCTGTAAAATGTATTGCATAATGCAGATTTTTTTTACTCTAGATACGGGAATTCATATTTTGATTTTCTAATCAACAGATCAACTTTTTGATTTTCATGAAGATCCTGAAGGTCATTCTTTCAAAATTACGAGCCAGCAACCAAAGTGGATACCCTGATTATAAACTTCGGTAAGTTGTCTCAGCACATTTTTAATGATGATAACTTCAATTCAATTTATCATCTTTTTGTGTCTTTTTTTTTTTTAAACCGAGGCCACAACTCTACTGTCTGTGTGTCCTGTTAGGCTTGCCAAGGCGACCCTTACCCTCATCCCTCTGTTTGGGGTTCATGAGGTCGTGTTCATCTTTGTGACAGATGAGCAGACAACAGGGGTCCTGCGCTACATTAAAGTCTTTTTCACCCTTTTCCTAAATTCATTTCAGGTGAGTTCAGTTGGACCGGAAACCAGCGGTTTGTTATTGCTGAAACGTTAAAACAATGTAACCATCCAGACATGATTCATTATGTTGCTGTGCAGTGAATATAGTAAACTTTTCGATGGCCTCTTTGCAGGGCTTCCTGGTGGCGGTACTCTACTGCTATGCCAACAAAGAGGTTTGTTGTTACATCTTGTATTCCCATTTCATTTTATGGATTCTTCACAGACGGTACCCTTATTAACATAGTGTTAACTTTCTGTTTCCATGAAAATGATGGCTGACCTCCTCCCCTCTGTGTGCAGGTTAGGACAGAGCTGAAGAGGAAGTTACGCAGCTGGAGGACCGAGGCTGGGATCGCATGCTGTGCACAGTGACTAGCTGTTCACGACGGTCGAGTTGAAACCTTCTCCATCGCCACGGTGCCGGAGCGCAACAGGTCCTCCGCCACAACAACGAGGGCAATGCCAGATGGTTCACCCACTCCCGAGAGTTCGCTTACTTTGAGACGGCAAGTTCAGAAGACTCCAACGCTGCCCGATGCTTTTCCGCAGCACTGTCTGTCAGTGGCAAATACAGACAGCGCCGTGCAGCAAGGGGGTCAGCTTCTCCCTGGACAATCATCTGTAGAAATGCAGGTTTCATTCCTCATCCACCTCCAAGACCCAGTAGTGTTACTCCCAAATGTTGTGAATATAGACTCAGATTGAAAACATTTTTGCATTCACTGTATTTAAAAAAGATATGTGGTTTGCTGTGAATGTGTAAAATTGTGAATCCGTCTGTGAATAGGTCATTGTTATTCAAACACGATACGTCTTAAATGCAAAGGCAATAGGAATACAAGGATGTAGGATGTCTAGGTTTACTTTTGTTTGTGATGAAAGAAGTGTTGTTTCAGGATGGGTTATTCATTGTCAATGTCACTTAAATATGATTAATGGATAGAATGAACAAAATAATAAATAATCGACAATAAAGTCGAAATAAACGTTGTATACATTTTTAAACTGCTAAGTTGATCCACACCGGAACCATAAATGTCTTCTCTACATAGCATTTGCCCCACAGTCCACATGTGAACTCCATTACCCAGAAGCCCCCCCGGGGAACGCGCCGCAGTGACGTCACACACGCCGTAACCAGCGCGGAGCTTGGAGCGGGAAGTAACGTTATACGAACGCTGCGAATCAGCACCGAACTGCCGTTTCCTCGGTAACGTGACCCGGGCCGCCTGGAAAAAGGTCACAGTGGCGTGAAGCTACGCGTGTGGTCGTGTAGGCTGCTCACAAACGGTCATGTAATAGTTGGCGGTTAGCTTGTTTTGTCCCAGCTAACGTCTCAGCTAACGTTACTCGAGTTTAAACAAGTTGACGCGAGACCGAGGAAGCAACAGGTGGCGAAATTCGTCACCCATGGCCTCTAAAGGTAAAGCGGACTGTAAAGCCCTCGAATAAAGTTGCTATGTCAGAATGGATCAAAGTTTGCAACAAACTGTCATGGTTCACAGGTTGGCAGCATCCTTACGTCAACATATTCAAACATGTCAAAGTGGAGGACTGGAGAAGGTCCGCAAGAGAGGGGGACGTGTCAACATACAAGGTGAGCCCGCACACGACTTAAAGTTATACTTTACCCCCCAAACTATGTTTTGAAACATTGGATTTGGCTTGAAAGTTGCACAAAACAGCTGCATGGCCACACGTATTATGTGATTCTGTTTGGAGTGTCGCTTCTAACAACAAGTCTTCGCACCAAAGTTGTTTTTTTTCTTCTGTCCTCTTTTGCTGAAATCCCCCAGGACAAGAGACTCAAGTGTTCGGTGTTCAGGATCAGGGGTCCTGTTCCTGCCAACAGCTACATCCGGGTACCCAAAGGCAGCGGCCAGTCTCTGGGGCTGCTGGGGCGCTACTTCTACCTCCTCTTCCGGCCCGCTCCCGGCAAACACTTTGTGGTCCAGCTGGATGTTTCCGCGGAGGTATCCGACCCCAGCGTGTGCATGTGTGATGCAATCAGGTGTATTGTTGGACCCAAGCTATCTCAGCGGGCCTGTAGTTTTTGGGGGGGATTTCAATAGAGACTAATCGCCAATGCCCCCTTTCTTTTTTCACGCATTCTTTGTTTGAATTCTTTATTTGAAATTGTGCCATTTTAACGTGTTGCTTTTTTCTACTAATTCATGCCAGTAGATGGATTCAGGTCCTTTGTATTGTGTCACATTGCTATACGTGCTGTAGATGTTGGCGTTTTAATACAATTCAAGAGTAAACGTCGCACACTTTCTCAGCTGTGAACTAGACAACATGTATCTACTATACATTTATGTACGTGAAGACCTCTTTCCCTCATTAAAAGAAGCATCATGTTTTCTTTCCCCCTCTCTCTGTGTGCTGTGATGTGTAGGACGGCCAAGTGGTCCGCATCTCTTTTTCCAACATGTTCAAAGAGTTTAAGTTCACCGCTACCTCGCTTCAGTTTCCTTTCCTCTGCGGATCTGCAAAGGATTCAGTCTATGAAAACACTGCCAGATCTGCAAGGCGAGGTAAATATAGGAGCTATTGTACAAATGCATTTGCTTTGTATATAATGTGAGTAATCTTCCAGTAATAACTGTACTCATGTTATTGTTTTCCAGGTTTCGTGGGTCCGGCCCCCACTTCAGTGCGTTGGACCTGTTTGATGCTGGATCTGCAGTACATCCTCTCCGTCTACCTCAACCGCTGCTACAGTCAACTTAGGAGCATTAAGCTTTGTGCCAACATGGCAGTGAAAAACATGTTTACCAGCGACCTGCTGCTAAACCCAGGTGGGACTCAGACTTTGTTGTCCTGTTCGAGGGAAATGAGATGCCACGGTCTCAACACAGCCGAACATGAGTGCATGATAAACTACAGCGCCTTCATCCACTCCATACAAACACGCCTCAGCACATTGCCGCCACGCACATGACAGTTACTGGGGTGTTTTGTTGTGTGACGCTGGGGGGAAATATATTGTATTGTATATTTATACTTATTTTCCATTTGTGAATATCTCCAGTAGTCTACATGTTTGAGGATAATAAAAATAATGCCACGTATTCAGCTTTTAAGGTCCCTTAAGTGCAGAAATATAATGCTCACAGGCTTCATTTATTTAGGAATTAAGGAGCCTTATTATTTTGAAATTCATTGCTTGTCGAAAAAATATCCTTCAGGTGAATTCAGAGAATGTTTTAGGAGCCCTTTTTTTTTAGAGGAAAAGATATATTTTCTTCACATGCCATTCATTTAGTTTCCTACTGCATCTTCAGATTTCAACACCGCAGTGCGCTCTAAGTGGGTGTGTGACTTTGGTTCTGTACATTCGTCTCTTTTAAACAGGCGTTTCCTTCAGCGAAGCAAAGATGATGGGTCTGGCTTCTTCTCAGGGAACAGGTCCAATTCCCAGGGACATGTCCTATCCTGTGCCTGACGGGGGCTCCTGGCATGACCTCTATGATCATATCAGGTAATGTGACGCACACAATGCCCTTCACTCAAATAGTGCTAAAAATAAATCTGCCCTAAACACTAGTGTTCGTATTATTTGGGAACATATTTTTGGTAGTAATTTGTTGTTTTCATCCCCATTGGAAATGTATTTTTCCATATTGCATAGGTGCTATGTTTTATATATAGGAGTTATTTCCACTTAGATAATGCAATATTTCTAGTCTTTATCATATGCATTTAAGAATTCTGAAAAATGACCTGCTTCTGTCCCTGTGTGTTATTATGAAGTCCCTTATCTTCCCCCACCCCAACAGGTTTCCCTCAAAGGGAACAAAATTACCATTCCACTCCATCCAAAAAGGCCATCTCCAGCCCGAGGATAGTAAGTGACGCATTAACATACTGTTTGGGATCTTCTTCATGCAATATATTTCCTGCTTTTTGCAACACATTCTAATTCTAATTTGTTTTTACAATGTTGTTCTGCTCCACACATTAATGATAAACAAACATCAGGAATATATTGTCGATAACTGTCTACCTTTTCCTTTCTTTTCCAGATTGTGTCTCGAACCCAAGAATTAGAGAAGAGTGTAGCGGTGTCAGCCTCAGCAAACCAGTTAAAGACAGAGTGTCTCCCATTCAGCAGATTACCTCTCCAAATTCAGTGAGACTAAATGCATAATCAGCTTGGAATTTAACAGGGAAGATGTGGCAAATGTCAGGTTTCTCCTTCTGCCTCCTCAGCTCTTGTGGAATCGAACACCCAGGGTGACGGACATACCGGACCTCGGCGGTGTACTGAATGATGACCGGCTTTTCCATAACGACGGGCAGCATCAGAAGGAGCCAACGTGCTGCAGTTCGCAGCCGTCTCCAATCAGGCCTCCCTGGGACACCGATTACGGGGGAGTTCATGTGCATATTCATGCCGAGGACGGCTTCAGCAAACATGAGGAGGGAAGTGAAGAGGAGGTGAAGCTTATTATCGACTAAATTCACCCCCGAAATCCAATAAATCCCACTCATCTCTTTGGACATTACACCCAATGCATTCCAGTTCCTCGGATGCAGTATTTTTTCTTTTTTCTTCTTTTTTTTTTTGGAAACACTATAAATCTTGTTTTATTCCCAGTTTGTGTGCGCTCCAGTTCCACATGCCGTCCATCTATCATTGTCCAAAGAACCCGGACAGAAGGTGAGAGAAATGAAACCAGCTGCTGTTCATCATTTGTTTGAGAGCTCATAACAAGCCTTTCACTGTTCTTTCTGAACCTTCCTTGTTAGAAGCTGCTTCCAGACCCGATTCTCGGGCTCAGTCGGATCATCGGCTTCGGAGGAGCCACTACTAAATGTGTATGCTCACGCTGAGTTAAATTGTTATCGGACGGGCTTCACATATTTGGGAATCTTGAGGGTCACAAATAACTGGCATTTAATCAAAAGCCTACTGGAGGTCTAACAGCCGTACTTGATTGCACTGCAGGCCCTGTGGAGCAGATCAGGTGATGCCGTGGTGTATCCGTGTCACGCAATTATCGTCTCCATGAAAATATCGTCGAACCAGCAGAGGTTCTTCATCGGTCACACTGATAAGGTCGGTTGCCGTGCACCCTCCCATCCGGTCCATGCTGGTCCTCATTTTGTGTTCACCTTGTTGAACCTAAATAAGTGTGATAGCCCTCAGTCCCGGCCTCATAATGAAATTGTATTCTGAAAAGTTAGAGCATTTTGTTGTGTTTTTTTGTGTGCTTTTTAGGTATCTGCACTGGCTTTTAACGGCAATACAACACTTCTGGCCTCAGCCCAAACTGGCAACCACAGTGTGGTTCGAGTGTGGAACTACCACGGAGGAAACTGTCTGGCCATGTGCAGGATTCATGCTCATTCATTATCATCTCTTAGGTAACCAAAAGCACACACAGCCCTGTAAGATACGATGGTATAAGTCTTGAGATGCACTTACAAAACCAGGTCTGAGCTTTTTTACATTAGCGCTCACTCACAAAACCTTTTCTTTTCTGTCCGTGGGCCTTTCTGAAGCTTCTCGTACGGTGGCGGTATACTCTGTGGAGTGGGTAAGGATGGCCACAATAAAACAGTAAGAGACACAAATACATTTTTCCCTCTTCAAAATTCAAGGGCTTTTTATTTTCATTGCAAATAACAGTGATGAGAAGAAGCTGTGACTAGATTCTGTCGGCAGAGCCGTGGGTGTAACTAGACCCAGATGAGAGAGTGCTAAGCAACACCACGTGTCATTACCTGGGTTGATATCATTTCAAATGGCATGTTTTAAAGCAGCTCGCCTATTTTCGCTCGCGATTAAAATGCATGACTGAGAGAACCTGCAACCTGACGGTCGTTACGCTGATCCAACTTTTCATAGATGGTGGTGGTGTGGAACACTTCTAACGTTGGTAAAGGGGGACAGGTGACCGTCTTGGCCAAAGCACACACAGATGTGGACATCATCACCATGAAGGTTGCCTTCTTTGATGAAACGAGGTATCCTCTCCTCTGTTCACACAACGCTTGTGTATTTGTGTTGTTTAGACAACATTACATACTTGGGAACATGTTTTGTGCATGCGTTCAAACATCTGCTGCAAATATTTAATTTAGATTTATTTCATTCGTACTCCTTTTGGAATTAGGAGTTCTGCAAAGCTGGTTCTGTTAATCCTGTCGCTGTCTCACGACCAATCCACATTCAAACTAACACACTCGCAAAATCAGTCGTTCTCAGTAAACTGCAGGATAGATGGATATGGTGCAAGAATTTTAACGAGTAGAGGCAAAACCTAAAGGAGCAATACCAATCTACCAGCCACTTCATTTATCAGTATCAATAGACAATTACCAGCATAAGCCACCATGTTCTGAACATGGTTTCACTGTAACAAAATACTCACATTTGCTGATAAGAGCGCTGCTCTGCATCAGGAAGCAAGTGCTGTGAATCGTGGAAACAATTCCATTAATCCTTTTTAAAAATCCTTTTGGAGGGAGGACGATGATGATTACAGAGACGGGGACGCACTCCAGCCTTCGCCGAGTGCATTCATGAGAGAGACAGATGGGTGGTGGGCTGTAACTATTGCATGCACTGTTTATGTAAGACCGAGTGTCCATATTGGCCTTTTGGCCTCCTACATCTGGTTCCCATGCCCCTGTGAGCCGGTGGTTGAGGTAAAAAGCTTCTGGCTTCAGCCGGAATGAGACGTCCGCACGGCGACTTAGAACTGCGCTGCTTTCAGGATGGTCTCATGTGGTCGCGAAAATATCCGCCTGTGGCGAGTGAGGAACGGGGCGCTGCGTTCCTGTCCAGTCAACCTGGGTGAATACCACTCGCTGGACTTCACTGATGTGACCTTTGAGGAGGGAAATCCCTCCAACCAGCATGTTGAAGAACGCACACTGTGAGTTAGCAAGACAGACACTGACAGCATCCACGTTTACCTAATAAGTCTGCGCCCGATCCAAATGCACTGTTGAATGATTGCTATTTCCTTTTTGTGATTGTCTTGGATTAGATTCGCCAGCAGTCGGAGTGGCTTCATCTTTGAGATCGACTACAGCAGGGTTGTAATTAGGAATGTCAGGAGGCTGTTGCCTGCACAGCAGCAGCATGCAAACCGCAGGGAGAAATTGACTTTTAACACCGGTATGTTCTTTAGTTGTTTTAAAGCAGGTGTTTGGTATAAGAAATCCAATCCACGTTTTAAGAGTGTGTGTGTGTGTGTGTGTCCCAGGTCCAGGCATTGCCATCAACAGCATCAGTGTGTCCTCCTCGTTTTGTTTCACGGGCTCTGAAGATGGCTTCCTGCGTCTGTGGCCCCATGATTTTTCCACTGTCTTCCTGGAGGCTGGTGTGTGTAATGTTTACCTGCAGACAGGTTTCAATATGTACATGTGTTCGACATGTGTATGTGTGCACCATCCTCACACGGACCAAACAATGATACAGACACATGTCGATGTTTTGAAGAGCACGAGGGACCCGTGAGCCTGGTGTCAGTCTCACCAGACGGCCTTCAGGTGCTGGCAGCCACGTCCACCGGGAGCCTGGGCTTCCTCGATGTGAGCAGCCGTGGTTACAACACGCTGATGAGGTCGCACACGGACACCGTGCTCGGCTTCAGTGTGGACGGCATCCGCCGGCATCTCACGACCGCCTCATCCGATGGCACAGTGCGCATCTGGAATATGGATTCCTTGCATCAGGTCAATCAATAACACATTCATCTGTTTTCCACCCTTTTATTATCATCAAATTGACAAACTGATGCCCAAATTCTTATTGTTAGAAATTGTATTTATCTTTATCTTTCTGATTTAAAGAAGCTCCACTGATAAGTATCTCTTTAGCAAAAGTAACCGGCACTGCCTGTGTTACCATCGCTTTGCCCTCGCCTTATTCGCCCTCCAACTGACTGTCTCTCTGCTGTCTCCTGTGCTTAGTTGTATGATTTCGTGTCAGAGGACGGCCCTTGTTCAGTGGCCTTCCATCCCAGAGAGCAGCTCTTATCTTGTGGCTTCAGCTCCGGCATCGTCAGAGTCTTGGACGTCTCCAGTGCCAAGATGCTGGCTGAGCACAAGTACGTCTACATGTGGGACAATTACTAAATGCCATTATTTCGATATGTCAAAGTCTGTGCATTAATTGAACACAGAGCCAGATACGCAACTACGAGGAGGCACAATATCATTGTCATTATGACTACAAGGTCCAAAATACACCATAACGCGACTGGAATAGTAAGCCTGCTTTGGCACTGCCTTTGTGCGCTTGTTTCTCCATGTGTGTTTATTATAGGCACCACAGAGGCGACGTGGTGGCACTCGCCTTCTCTCCGGATGGGGAGTTCATGTACAGTGCTGACTCTCAGGGCTCTTTGGCACTTTACAACGCTTCTGAGGAAAACCACAACCTCATCAGAGTTGTGTGTATGTACACACACACACACACACACAGGCACAAACGATCGTGCAGCCAAGTTCAACGCCATCGTGGTTTGATCCCCTTTGTATCCGTTTGGGTAGGTAACGCGTTGGCCCGAGGCACGGAGCGCGCTCCGGACGCTCTCACGGTGAGCAGTGACAGCCGCTGTCTGGCTTTCATCGGACCCTCGGAGCACGTCGTCACCATCGCGGACTCGCGCTCTCTGGATGAGGTACCTCGGACACTGTCGGCACCGTGTCATCTGCCGCGCTGCAAACTGCAGATCATATTTTATGTAACAGTTCTGAAGGAGTCAGGAGGCAGCACACCCCTTTTGAGCAAACCTAGAAGACGTACCCGAGAATAAAAAATAGTTCTATGTTGTATGTTGTTGTTGCGTCCTTTCGTTTTCCGTCTCTGTCTAGTTGCTCCACGTAGACGTGAGTATTTTGGACGTGCACAGCCCCTGTCTCGACTCTGCACTGAGGGTCTGCTTCTCGCCGGCCTCCACTGAACACTTGTTGGTCGCCACATCGGCGAACAAGATCCTCTGGGTCAGCACCAAGACAGGCCGCCTGCTCCGAGAGGTGAGCATGCAGGGTGTGAAATGAAAGACTTACTGAGAGGGTCCACGGCTGAGTGCATATACCTGAGCCTGAAACGAGAACAAATGGTAAAATGATGTAATGATAAAGTGAACAATCGTTTATTATATATATTATATATCTCTGTTGTTAACAGGCGTCCAAGGTGCACAAACACCAGTGCTCGTCTCTGGCTGTGAGCGAGGACAGTCGATTCCTGCTGACAGCTGGACACAACGCGTTGAAAGTGTGGGATTATGACATGCAGGCCGATATTAGCTCGCAGGTAATCAACACTGTGCCCTCTTGGTTGAATGGATTTATTTCAATTGGCGTACAATTCAACGTGGTTCTCTTCACCAGATGTTCATAGGCCACAGTCAGCCCATCCGCCAGGTGAGCTTCACCCCCGACCAACTGGGCGTAGTCTCAGTGGGAGACGCCATATTCCTCTGGGACTTCCTGGCACATCCCGCCGACTCCTTGACAGACAGTCGGTAATAACGATATCTGGAGAATGTTTGAATCTCTTTGATAAGAGTAAAGTGTGTTACACTTTAACAAGTTTCCCTCTATTGACACTCACAGTTCCTCTCTAAGATTAGGCTCCATCTCGGCTCTTAAATCAGGTAACTTGTCAGTTTACATGTTTGTACTCGTGCTTTAATAATAGATCAGATGAACCCTGATTCCAAGGCGGTTACCGATGAAATAAATCATTGATGGACTTTTTCATGTAACAGTTCAGCCTGACGTTGGTGGAGTTCAGTCTTCCAATGGGATGCCTCGACTGACGGCACCCCTCCCCTCCTCCCCGCCGCCCCGACTGGACATCGGCACGCTAGGACGAGTTGACCAGCGGAGTGAGCTCACTTGTTCCCAGCAGCACACCCTTTAAGTTAACTGTATATTTAGCACATACACATTTGTAGCTTTTTCCTTCTTTTTTTTCAAGTGTTCAGGTGTCTCTTGCTAAAAGTGTACCTGAGTGGTTCATGTCCGCTTCATTTACACATATACGGTTTGGGTTTAGCTTCCTACTGTGAGGTAGAGTTAGCAAAGTTCAAAATCATTGGTTTACCAACTAATATCTTGGCCTGTGGCAATATATACCAAACGTTTTTTTGCGGTGTTCCTTAGCAACAGATTCTCCCTCAACACATCAAGACGGTATTTGTCGCTAATACCAGAGGGGTTTGATTGGCGCTGGGACTTTATTTAGTTTATCGTCACCTTCAGCCATATATTCTTTCTGTTATCCTCCTACAGCTTTGCGCTCCTCTCCGGTTGGTGACGACACCTCGACCACCCGAACGGCTTCGGTCCCACGTTCAGGTTCTTCCTCTGAGCTCAGACCTGCCTCTTTCCTGCAAGTAACAGAGCTGGTCAACCCATTATCCGTGAACGCCGGTCACACGGATGCTGGTAAGTGCCCCGCTGCATTGTCCTGCATTAACAGTCCTGCGACGCTTTTATGTTGTTGTTTTTTTCCTTCTATTTTATCATTCAGTTGAGTTGAAAGGGAAGAAGCCAGCACGTCCTGACTGTTACCGGCACTTTGTCCCTCGTTTCAACACCTCCACTCTTGATCAGGTAGAGGCTATTGTGCCTTTGTTCACTCACCGGGGGACCTGGTGTGTTTGGTGCTTTTGTGTTAATGTCGTCTCTCATCCAGGCCGCCGTGGCTCCTCAGCCAGGAGAAGAGGCCATAAAGCTGAAAGCAGTGATCGGCTACAATGGCAACGGGCGTAGCAACATGGTGTGGAGCGCTGACCAAGGTCCTTATAATCCACTGAAAGCAAAACAAAAAACGAGTTATGAAAGAAGTCTTACGTCACACAGTAATAAACAAAATAAAAGATACAGAAATTGCTGTTTGTTTCATGCCTGCTTTAAAAAAAAAAATCTAAAAAGGGTTGTTTTTTTACCAATCATCAATTTCTGTTGCAGGTTTGTTTGCGTACTCGTGTGGCTGCGTGGTGGTGGTGGAGTACCTGCACACAGGAAGTCAGAGACACCTGCAGGGCCACAGCGGGGAGATCTCTTGTCTAGCGGTCACAAATGATGCAAAGGTATTGTTCATAGTTCTAGACTCTAAGATTCCTTAGAAATGCAGGTGTTTTGTGGTCTCTATATGTCCCATTGACTCCATGCCCAAAGAACTAGTTGTCTCATTCTACGTTTAGTATTCTACATACTGTGGACATTTGTTCCCACGGATAACCATCACAGCAGATGGTGAACACGCGTTTCATGTCTGAAGGCCATTGCTACTTGATTAGTTCCAGCAGGAGGTCAGGAATGTACTCGCCTCTGTCGTTAAGCAAAGCCAGAGGAGCTGTAAGAAACCGTCATCCTTTGATCCGTTATCGCCAGGAGGCAAGCGGAGGGGACGTCTTATCGGGAGAGTGATGGACTCTCAAATTGATTGAATTCCAGTCAATATCCACGACCACAGATGCTACGAGCGACTTCTTTCAGTTGTTAGAAGTCTGTGCACTATTGTAACATTATATGTAGAATTGGCGCTTGGACTGGCGGGATGCTAATTGGTGGTATAAAGTTGGTTTTCAATCAGCCAGGAAACGCCGTTACGTCTGAGAGGCTTCTCAGTCAGACAGCAGATGGCAAATGGGCAAGTGGAGCCGGGGATCGGACCAAAGGACCCCTTAAGGTGTCGATTAAACATCCAGAGGATCACACCGAGGTCTCACAAAGGCCGATAAATCATGACACACACTCCGTTATGGCTTTTAAATATGTTTAGTCCTGTGTCCTATGGAATCATAGATGAAAAAATAAAGGCGCCATTTTACTTCCTGTGTAGATCGTGGCATCAGCTGCTGGCGGCAGGAATGGGTGCAGGAGCCTCATCTGCATTTGGGACATCCAGAACGGAACTTGTCGCAAGACCGTCTCCCACCACAGGGGGGCAGTGCAGAGTCTCGCTTTCTCCCGGGACGATCGCTTCTTTCTCTCTGCCGGTCAGTCAAATTGAAGTTGGACTATATCGATCATCGCTCAGCGCTTCCAACTTAATGTGAAAAGAAGAAAAGTGTACCACTGCGTCTTTCCAAACACGTAGGGGACTTTTCTGACCCAGAAGTGGCTCTGTGGAGCACCAAGACCTTCAAGCTGCTCTCCAGTGTTAGGATGTCGGGACCGATCCACGACGCAGCCTTCAGCCCCTCCACAGCCAGCCAGCTGGGCTGTGTGGGCAGCCACGGCGTCTACTTCTGCCTCATGCACACGCACGGCTTGGATGTGGACCTCCAGGTAAATGACCACAGGAATACGCGTTTGATCATTTAGGAGAGAGTGGTTGGCTCCTGACCCGGTGTTGGCTTATAGCGTGCCATCAATGTATTCTGTTCCAGTACTTAGTATGTCAGAATTACAGAGCTTTGAGTTATCTTTGCTTTGGTACCTGAGGATTCATCACTCCTTCCCACGTGTAGGTGGAGCAGGTGAAGACGCCGGTAGAGCTGGGTGACGTGGAGCTGACGGCTCTGTGCTACCACATGGACTCGTTACTGTTCACCGCCACCAATCGAGGACACGTCGGCGTCTGGGACGTAAACACACGGCGCTGCCTCATGACCTGGGAAGCTGATGAGGGGGAGATTGGTACAAAATGGAGCCTCTGTATATTTTAACTAGCAAATTTGGCTCAATGCCCATTTACGGTTCTCAAAGAAAGAAAAAATTCAAAAGAGTTTTTATTGTTTAATCTTTGTGAGTCACGTTTCATGTATCCTGGTTGTAGGCTTCTACACATGGTTCTAGGATTGATGTTTCTTTGTATAGGAGTGCTGCTGTGTCGAGGGAACCGTCTTTTGACAGGCAGCAACACCCGCTGGTTGCGACTGTGGGAGGTCGATGCTTTACGAGGCATGAAGCCTCCGGAAAACAACTGCCATGTTGAAGACAGGTCTGTACGTAGTTGATTGTCCGATAAGTCTTCTTGTTTCTTATCTTGGCAGTGTCCTCTTTCCTTAAATCGTCTCAGGTGATGAATGCGTACTTGCCGTACAGAAATCAGTTAGTGTCACCGGTGTTTCATTGTCATCAGTCAGCATAGGAGAACCTCATGTAAGACGGTATAATGTATCTGATACATATAAATCACATATATGTGTATTTATAAAATATATGCCGGTGTATATATTTATATATAATAATATATTGGAGTTCCGTCTGATCGTAAATTGGTCGTGTCAAACAAGCGGTCCATGTCTTCTGGTGTGCTCTCCAGTGGGGCCACGGTGGTGTTGGGGCAGGAGATGATGCTGGACGGGACGACCATCAGTGCGGCCTTTGATAACGCCATGGACATGGGCATCGTTGGCACCACGGCGGGAACCCTCTGGTACATCAACTGGTCAGACAACAGCAGCATCCGGCTGGTCAGCGGGCACAAGACCGAGGTACCAGTGCCAAATGATTCCAATAGCTATAATTCTAAGATGTGTCTAATGAACAAATACCACATAACCTTCTCTGTGTAATTTATTGTACTGATAGTAGATCACACCTCAAGGAAGAACGTTTTTTCATATCCTACTCAGTGCAGTATGGAAACAAAGACGTTTGAATTTAAGTAAAAAGGAATGCAAAAACTTACAATTTCAGCTGTGCTTTTAATCTATATTGTCTTTTAATTGGCCTTTAGTTGTATTGCTGAAATAAGCAGAATACAGAAAAGCCCTGCAACCAACAGGAAGGTGCAGATAAGACGGGTGAGACATGAACACGGAGAACCCGTATTTACGTCCTCTGTGCTGTCCAGGTCAATGATGTGGTTTTCAGCGCCGACGAAGGACATTTCGCGACCTGCAGCGAGGACGGCAGCGTGAGGGTGTGGTCGGTCCCCAGCAACGAACTGGTGGTGCAGTTTCAGGTGCTCAGTCGGGTGAGGGAATACTCTTAGTATTCACCAGTACTGCCAGTGTGACATACTTTATTATTAAACTAATCAACTGGTCTCCTAGCCGATTAACCCCATACGCCCCTTAAATAACACTCGGCTCTGTTTTGTTTGTTTTCCTGTGCGTTAGGCCTGCGGCTGTGTATGCTGGAGCCCTTCCTCCAGTAGGGAGACTGCACGTGTGGCAGCGGGATACAGCGACGGGACCCTGCGGATCTTCAGGCTTTCGTCTTCCGAGATGGAGATGAAGCTGCATCCCCATCAAGTGGCCGTCACTGCAGTGCAGTACTCTGCTGCCGGTGAGAGAGGATGGATGTAGTTAAATAACCGACATCTTCTGTATCTACTATGACGGCACAACTTACTTTGCGAGGCGTTACTTCATGATGACGTGTTGGAAGGAGCAGCTGGTTAGCGCCGGCCTTCTTTTCGTAATTGGTTCATGTTTTTAGGAGAAGAGGCAGAATGAGGTTGAGCTGTAGTCGTCAAACACAAATAGAACGATGCAAATGATCAAAGGACTGGTCAAAGCACGGTCGGGTAGTCAGGAGAAGAACTTCAAAGACCCATGATCTATTTCATGTTCTTGCAGTAAGTTTATCTGTTTAATTAAAGCAGCTGTGTTTCGTCGACTCGGGCACCAAAACTCATTTTGGCCCCCTACAGGTGATGTGATCCTCTCAGCGGGGAAGAGCGGTCTGATCGCTGTCAGCAGCGCAGTGAATGGAGAAACCATGCGTATCATCAAGGACCACAAAGGAGCAGCGATTACCAGCATGCAGTGCGTGAAAGAACAGGTCGGCTCACCGAATCCGGTCGAGGAGTGAAGCTCTAACGGCGCGTCAAATGGCAGCGCAATGGGACTAGTGAGCGGTCCGATTGGCCCCTCGGGAACAACAATGGCAGTTATCAACCTTAAACATTTAGAAATGAGGCCTTTCCAAAAAAAAAGGAAGAAAAGGATTCTATTTAGAATGTTGATTAATAATAATAAGACAAAAGCCTATTGTCCATATCCAGGCAGTGAATACTTTTCTGAATACCGCTGTGAATTTATCTTTACAAATCAGGTCACAAAAGGACTTTATGTATCGTATAACGTACACAGCTACTGGTTCTCCAGTAACACTGCTCTTGATTGGCTTCCTGCCTTCTTGGTATTACACACATTACTACAACACATTATGAATCTTATGGTGCCAATTAAACGCAAAGTAAAAAGGGCTCACTGACCCCTTTTGGGGGTTCATTTGATACTTTGGGACATTTTGTTTTTCATTTTTTCAGTCCCTAAAACAGTTTCCTCTAATCCTCAGTGTCAGAGTTTGGGGCTGGAAGGCAACGAGATGTGGTTAGCTGCCAGTGCCGACAGACGCGTCAGTGTGTGGGCTGCCGACTGGTCAAAGGACAAATGCGATCTGCTTGACTGGCTGACGTTTCCTGCTCCGGCCTATTTTGGGGTACTTTCTGTGTTTTAAGTAGTAATTGATGGTAATAATGACTTAAAATACCTGGCATTAATTTGCATGCAGAGGTTCCCTTCCAGTCATTGCATTCTGAATGTATTAAACCTAAAACATTGTTTTTACATTAGTCAGCATGTTGTTGCAACCCAAAACACGCCTTGTCCATATCTAATGTTTTCCTAAACCTGTTGTGCTGCAGGATGACAGCCCACCTCTCAGTCTGGCTGCTTTCTGGCCTGCTGACCCGGGCCTGGTGGTCTACACGGGCTACGGAGTAGAGAAGGAGCTCTGCTTCTACAGCCTGGCTAGAAAACAGGTACCCCCCCCCCCCCCCCCCCCCCCCCCCCCCCCGCCTCAACTCCTCTCCTGCTGGGTTGATTCTGCTGGGCGTAATCTCATATAATGTGTTGTTGTTTTTTTATAACAGATAATGAAGAAGATTGACCTGCCCGACTGGGCCACATGCTTTAGCCTGTCCCGTAAGAGTCCGCTCATAGCCGTGGGGTCAAAGGGTAAGCTCGGGGCTGTTGTTTTTTTCGCGGTGTCAGTCCTTCTGAGCTCTAGTTACATTAATGAAATTAGATTTCAATGGTAAAAGTTTCGGGCATGTTTTGTGAACGACTTCTCTCTACATGTCCTGTGGTTTCACCAGCGCGAGTGTTGAAGGTGATCGAGTCGACCAGTGGAAGGTTCCAGGACTTCCTGCAGCACAGCGACTCACTGCGAACATGTCACTTCTCTCCTTCCGGGACGCTGCTCTTCACTGCAGCCTTTAACGAGATCCTGCTGTGGGAGGTGCTGGGCTTCTGACGGCCTCCGAGGGCCTCACAGCTGTTTTCATTTAGATTTTATGTGTTTATATTGTTCCATATTTATTTTTTTCATAAATCTGTAGAGAAATCGTAATGATTTCAGAGAAGCTTTGTGTGAGATTTTCCAGGAGTTTTTCTTTCATGCGAGTGGTTTTAGAGGAGATTTTTGTTGTTGTATGTTGTCATTTCTATTTTTTTAACAATTTAGGTGGAAAGTTGTATACCCGAGTCTTTTATTGCTTAAAATAAATGACAAAAAACAGAAGTTCTCTTGTTTATTTACTCTCTGAGCAGAGAAGCTTCCATCATGGTGAAGAGTGCCATTCAGTCTTTAGGCAAAGACAAATTTGAATATGTTTATTTGGTGGAGGGGGGCATAAAGTCTCATCGGCGATTAAGATGCAGCCATAAATGATTCTACTGAGTTCAGAGCAGGAGTACAAGCCTTTCAGCATTTACATAATATACTGAGTAAACATGTACTATAAGTAAGTAGTACACTTACAGGCTGTTTTTTTCAGTGGTAAATAGAATCTGTGTAGTCTGCTGTGGGATTATATATCAAAAAACATCATGAGGAAATCTGTATTGTAAAATGACTCCATCTGTGTGAAAGGAGTGCTAGAGTCAAAGGCGTTACGTTTACTTGTCTTTCCAACCAGAACGATGGAGGACCGACATACTGTTCAGAACATTTTGCATAAATCATCTTGGATTTCCATTTTTGTGAATAGACACAAAAGTCTTTCTGTCCGGCTTTGAATTCAGGCTTCACAATTTGAATGACAGGCGCCCTAATCACCCTGTAAAGAGAGCGCAATTATGTGGGACAACTATAATAGTGTCATTATTGAGAGCTCAAGTCATCCTCTCCATTGTCTCCCTTCTTTATTAGTTGGAGTTTATTGTGTGGAATTCACGTGAATCTTCCTGTAAAAAAAAACAAAAAAATGTTGGTTTCCTTTAAAGAACAAGAACAAGGGCAGGTTTGGGCAGGAAAATATGATATTCAGCTGCTGAGAATCACCACAGAAACGCCAGTCTGATGTGACTCTTATAAGTGTTTGCAAAACTACTCATTCTTGGTTGAAATGTCACCGGATGTAGAGCTTTATTCAAATTGTTTCAACGAGCTTTGACCCTTCAAACCTACATTGTTCACATCACTCTGATGAATAAACGGTGTAGTACATGCACAAGGTCGTGGTGTAGTAACAGGTTGTTTTGGGGATCTCAGGGCGGCTGCAGGGTGTCGGTCCTGCCAGCAGGGGGCGTGGTTTCACCCTCCTGTTTGAACCGGAATGATACGGTTTCACCTTGGACGCACAACGCTGCGGAGAGCCGCACGTTTCATTTCAGCTGGAAATTCAGTATTCAAATGAACGATAAATGTCCGTGTAGGACCGAAGCGCGTCTGACTGTTGGTCCAACGGAGGAGAAACATGAAACAAGACGTCAGGATTCTCCTGCTGGGGGAGCGTAAGTGACAGCTGACAACAAGCTAACGCACTAGCGCTAGCAAACATTAGCTATCGAAGCTAACGCTCGAAGTTGCCAGTTAACAGTTAGCGGAGTTTATCTCGGCTTCTCCTGGTGGAGATACCTCTTTTAAAATGGAACATTAATGTCTGCACTAACATTCTTTCTACGACGTGGTCCCTTTCCAAATGTTGATTACCGCTTAGCTTTAGAGTAACTTTGTTAACGGGGATAACTAACTTATAGCTGACGTTAAGTTAACGTTAAGCTAGCTAACTATGGTTGGGTAACTTAACTTAGCTACCGAGCAGGAGTTCGTAAACGAGTCGGGTGAGTGAAAGTGTCCATTTCACAATAAGTATTATTATTTGTCTGCTGTTTAAAATGTTCACCATGACTCATGGCAGCAAACTAACGGCAACTTCAACGCCAAATCCTGCTGACGGTTAACGCACTTAGCATCAACTACCGTTAAGTTACTTATAATGTGGCCGTGCTTTACCAAAAGTAGCTGTGCGTTAAAACACAGAGTAACGGTTCAGACTGCTCTGTAACGTTGCATATCAATGTGTAGTTGAATTAACGCCAACCAGCTAAATTCAACGTTAGAATACAGCAGTATTTACTTCGTGTCATATTTAGCAGCATCTCCTGCCATATCGCAGCATTTAACGTCACGCAACGTTAAATGACTTAAAGATACGTGACAAAGTGCTGACCAGCTAGCAGCAGAAAGCTGTGCACTTCAATTCATCACACGGTGCAAGTGGATCGGAGCGTCTTTCTCTGGCAGCTTCTCTCATGCTCTGCATGTTGTCTCCTCCTGCAGCCAAAGTGGGCAAGACCTCCCTCATCATGTCTTTGGTTGGAGAGGAATTCCCAGAGGAGGTGAGCGACATCTCAACCGCATGAAAGCTGTGGGACCTTGTGGCTCTCATAGTCTGTGGCTCTCATAGTCTGTGTGTTAACCCCAGGTTGCTCCTGATGTGCACAGTGTCTGTGCTGTAGGCAGCACACTGCAGACATGCAAACACATTGTTTGTAGGGGACGTCACATACGTCAACATACAACACCATTTTTTTTTTTCATTTTGCAGCAAACTCACACTCTTTATTTTGCAAGAACTACTTCAAATAACCGAAAGTAAAATGGGGAATAGTGGCATAAAGTCTCATCGGCGATTAAGATGCAGCCATAAATGATTCTGTTTTACTGTGTGCTATGTGGCCGGTGTAGTGTTTGATTTTAGATTATTTTAATTACACTTGCTGTCAAATGCATACTATTTTAAGTACACCAAAAGGTTGAGTATTTTTCTAAATCACACATATGGTATAATCACTAATACATTTTTAATACGGTTTTATGGCTTAATGTTGATCTCCAGAGCCATTGCACCATTGAGTGTGTGTGTTTGTCTTTTGGGAGGTTGGCTGATTAAGTGAGGGCTGATCATTTGTTTCTGAAAGGTTCCGCCCAGAGCTGAAGAGATCACCATCCCTGCCGACGTGACTCCTGAGAAGGTGCCCACACACATAGTGGACTACTCAGGTAACATCACCTGGAGCCTAATGCACAGGACTGCCATGGTTCATAACCAGTGACTGGTCGCTGTGCGTGTTGCAAATTAACACACCAGCTGTAAGACAACTCTGTGTGTTTGTTTGAACAGAAACGTCTGAGTATCATGACTAATATCTGTGTATGTTTGTTCTTAACAGAAAAAGAGCAGAGTGACGAAGTCCTGAGAAATGAGGTCATAAAGGTGTGTACAACATACACAACTATGGGTTTAAAGTGTAATGTAAGTCGCTTTGGATAAAAGCGTCTGCTAAATGACCTGTAATGTAATAACTAATGAACACACTGAACACAATTTGCTATGAAGAATTAAATCAAACCCAGCTGCACTGACGCATTAAATTTGACTGAAATTATCCTGAGTAATGCGGTGCCACCAATGCTTAGGAATTACAACAATAACCTGTATAAATGGAAATCATTGTTCCCCCGTTTAGTGACAATTTAGCTTGGACCGTTTCTAGGAGGTATTCACTCCATTTAGACCATATCTTGTTTATAGTTGTTTCTCAATAAGGTCCCTCACAGCTTTCTCTCCCCCACACAGGCCAATGTGGTGTGTGTTGTCTATGATGTCACCAATGAGGACACAATAGAGAAGGTAGTAACCTGCTGCTTTGTGTACATTGTCTAGATCTGTACAACCATTACATAAACTGTATATCACAATTGTTGCATTTAGTTCAATTGTTGCATTTAATTAATGCATTTAAAACACCAATTGTTTCTGCCACTTGTTTTTCAGATCAAAACTAAATGGATTCCTTTAGTTAATGGAGATGCAGAGAAAGGGAACAAGTATGTATGCAGTTGATGGGTCTGTGCTACGTGCCCATTAACTGCCCTTTGCTTTGCCCACCTAATCCCACCTAAGAGCATCAGCAAAATGCCCAGAGCCTGGGGGGGAGCACTGCATACGAGTGTTATTGAGCGCTACCCTTTTCCATGTGTTTGATCAGAGTTCCTATCATCCTTGTGGGAAACAAGTCGGATCTGCGCTGTGGCAGCTCAATGGAAACCATTCTGCCCATCATGAACCAGTTCTCTGAGATTGAGACATGTGTTGAGGTGAGACGTGTCCAGTGTGCGTGTCCGCAGCCTGTTTGCACCTGCTAACTGTAGCATTGAGATACACGTTGTCTAACCTTTCTATCTATATACTCTTGCCGTTTTCTCTTTCAAGTGTTCTGCAAAGAACTTGAAAAACATTTCCGAGCTGTTCTACTATGCACAGAAGGCAGTTCTTCACCCCACCGCCCCTCTATATGACCCCGAGGACAAACAGGTCAGATCATTTTAGAAATGTGTTGCCAACTGTGAATTCTCTGTCGCTCTCAGTCAACCTATTTCCGCCTCATTAGAAAAAGATTGATTGAATCTTAAAGAGATATTTTGTCGTCTTATATTTGTCCCCAGCTGAAACCACTGTGTGTTCGGGCCCTTAGCCGGATATTTTACATCTCTGACCAGGACAATGACCGGATCCTCAGCGACGCCGAACTCAACTGCTTTCAGGTAAATGAAGTTATGTTATTTTTAGCACTGGATTTCACAAAAACCACGTGTCTGCTATAAAATGACCTATTTTTATCCGTAGAAATCCTGTTTTGGGAATCCTCTGGCACCTCAAGCCTTAGAAGATGTGAAGACAGTAGTTTGGAAGAACACCAGTGATGGAGTGCAGGACAATGGCTTGACCCTAAATGGTAACAGTCACTATGACAACATGCCGCTTCTCAGTGGTCTGGTTTCAAGGCTACATGCAGCTAAAGACTTGTGCGCCTCCTCTTTCAGGTTTCTTGTTCCTTAATACGTTATTCATCCAGAGGGGCCGACATGAAACCACGTGGACTATCCTCAGGAAGTTTGGTTATGACGACAACCTTGAACTGACTGATGATTACCTTTATCCCGAGTAAGCTCGAGACTCTATTGTACTGTATCTGTACTGACGCGTACTGCTGATAACTAGTATTACGACAGGCTGTATTGGGTTGTTGGAGAATAAATATGTCTCCTCAGTTTCCATTCGGCTTTATATTTATAGCGCGTGTATTCCCAACTAGGAGTGCCCGGGTATCTAAATGTCTAACTGTTTTTATGTTGTCAGACTACGAGTTCCTGTCGGTTGTACCACAGAGTTCAATCATTTAGGTCACCAGTTTCTCCAGCGGCTGTTTGACAAGTACGATGAAGTGAGTAGTGAACTTAGTCTTTAGTCCCAATGTCCCAATGGGGAGTCAATTGTAACATTTAAATGATGCGAGGCCATTGAAACAATTCGAGCATTATTGAATATATTGGAGGGAAGTATTTCCATGTTCCATTCAATGAAGGAGGTTCTGCTCAGGTGACCTGTGTTCCCCCTCAGGACAAAGACTCTGCCCTGTCGCCGGCGGAGCTTAGGAACCTGTTCTGCGTGTGTCCTTACATGCCGTGGGGTGCAGAGGTCTGCATGGCAGTCCCAACGACAGACGAGGGCTTCATCTCTAACCAGGGCTTCCTCTGTCAGTGGACGTGAGTCTCTCACTTGTGTTGTTAATGATTTCCCGTGATAGAATGCGGTAGGCTTTCACTTTGGTGCACTTTCATGCAATGCATGCCCCACGAGGTCACGTAGATGTCAATCCCTTCACATGCAGGCTCTCTGCGTACTTAGACATCCATCGTTGCCTGGAGCACCTGGGATACCTCGGCTACCCAATCCTCACTGCGCAGGCGTCACAGACTGCAGCCATCACAGGTGTGTGTGCCAGAATAGTATGTTATTTGTAAATGTCATTTTGAAGGTTGTTGTTGTGTGTCTTGTGCGCGTTGACTGAAAGACTGATTCCTTTTTGGGGATTGATAATTGAACTTTGTAGTGTTTTTTGTAGTTGTGTCTCCGTGCAGATGTACTGTGTAGGAACACTTGAAGGAGTCTGAGGCCATTTGTCAGGAAAGCTTAGTCCAGATCGCGGAGTGTGACGTAATGTGTCTCACTACTGGCAATCACACACATTCTGTGTCGGAGGTCAGCACCTTTTTAGGTGACCCCGCTGTAGATGCCACGGAGGCCAGTAAGCCACAGAGATTATCACTGATCTTTTAACAAGGGGACTAGTTACTGGTTGTAGCATGTGTCTGCTTACTGTTTGTTAATGTGCTGAATAAACCTTTTGTTTAGTAGTGTTGTTGTTAATTGTGATTCTACATGTATGCTAGCCCCTTGCTCTCAGTTGGCTTATCAGAAACACGTTTGTATTTGATGGATGGAAATGTTTGACCTGTTGTTGATGTGAGGCAGCGTTTCAGCTGTAAACTTGCAGCTAAGCTAATCAAACCGGCGGGGTGGTAGCGCTGTGCGTTTGAGCATTGTGTTGATATTTGGTGGTTGTGCTTGTCTACGTGTGCAGTCACTCCGGAGAAAGAGGTGGACCTGGAGAAACGGCAGTCGCAGCGGTCGGTGTTTCTCTGCAAGGTGATCGGACCTCGGGGGACCGGCAAGACCGCCTTTCTGCGGGCCTTCGTGGGTCGCAACGTTTCGGTACGAAACCATCTGCTGGTCTGGAAATGAAAATCCGTCCGTTTTGCGTTATTAAACTGTGAAACTTTGTTTAAGTGCTTTGGTTCTCCTGTAATCATTTTCTCTTTTTTGCCTTTTACAGAACAAACTGCATACCAGCGGTGCCTTTTCCCCCTACGCCATAAACACTGTGCAAGTGAGCAACCAGGAGAAGTACCTCATAGTAAGTACCTCCCATCCTAATGTATACACTTAACCTCTGACCCTGATTAAGGCCAAGGGCCCTCTCCCTCCCACCCCTCCCTGTGCAGCTCAAAGAGGTGGACGTGGAGGTGGAGTTCCTGAAGGCATCAGACGCCAACTGTGACGTTGCTTGTCTCATGTATGACGTCAGCGACCCACATTCCTTTGACTATTGTGCCAGTATATACAAGGTGAGGAACAACAATCACAGAAGCATTTGAATCCATTTATTCTCATGTGTAGGTCGTAATGTTGGCTGCCCGTCAGTTTGTGCTGCTGTTGACAGAAAGTCGGCCAAGTTAGTAACGTAGTACTGCTGCCGTCAGCAGCTTCCACCACTCGTCATTTATCTGCTGATAATACTGTGGAGGAAGAGCAGCAAAGGCGAGAACGGGGAACAGAGATTTCTTTGCTTGGATCAATGACAACGTAGCTGAGAGCAACACACGGCTGGAGGAAGCCATTGCAATTAGAAAGAAGTTCCCATAAGAGAAAGATGAAGACAGTTGACATCTACAGGAAGAAATGGCTTCACCAACATTTTATCTAAATAAACAAACATTTCATCTTTCGAACTTTGACCGATCCGTGTCCATGTTAGAGATTCATACTTTACTTCACTTTGTTTTGTCCTAAAAAAGGTTTATATGAACTTCATCATGATGACTCTTAATCCCACTTGTCACTTAGCAACACTACATGGAGAGCACCATCCCATGTGTGCTGGTCGCCTCCAAGGTGGACCTTCCCGAGGTCAAGCAGTTCCACGGGATGACTCCAGCCGAGTTCTGTTATAAACACCAGCTGCCTCCACCTCTGCCCTTCTCCAGCACGTTCCTCGACTCCACCAGCAAGAACCTCTACACCAGGCTGGCCTGGACAGCAGCTTACCCGTACGTTGTTAACAGAGTACTGCTCCAAAGTAAAGTCACTCCCCTGCAAAATATCGAGATCAGTTGCAGGAGAAGATAGTTTGAACCGTTGAGGTTAGCTATCTGTATACATTTAGCTAGCCGGGCTTTTGCTTTGCTTTAGTTGTGTTGCATTGTGGGTCTGAACCTTCAATACCTTTTTTTTTTTTTCCCTCACCACGCAGACACCTGAATGGTTCCAGCATGAGCAGCACATCCTTCTGGCTGAGGGTGGCGTTGGGCTCGGCCGTGGTCGCAGTTCTCGGCTTTGCCGTCTTCAAAGCCGTCGGCAGGGTTAAATGATCGACAGGCGGCTGAGCTTCTTCTTTCTCTCCCCCGAAGGCCCCAATGAAACTCTTCATGTCTCTGCTCCTCTTCCTCCCCTCTGAGTCAGTCGATTGCAGCACTCCAAAGGCAACTGGAAGCTGGTGGTCATTTCATTCCCATTTCTCTGCCTTACGTTGTCCGACCGGGGGAAGCAGGAGTTTGCCCGTCACCCCCCCGGTGCATTGACACAAAGTATTGTGCTTTATCAAAGCGTAGGAAATGAAGCAAGAAAGTCCTTTCTGTTTTCAATTATGTGTTGGCTCTAAATGTTGGGATTGGAGAGTTTTTAAAGAATATGCTGTATTTCTTACACATAGTATAAAAATGCCGTAAAACCAGACTGAAGAACCAAAGGTTGGCACATGGAACATTTTTTTAATAGCTTGTTTACTGACTCGCTGCTACTGAATATCTCCAATGGATTACTCTTCCTTCTCACTATGCTAGATATTCTCTGATTTGCCAAATAACTGCAGTGATGAGTAGGAGAAGCATGTTCTTGCCTCCTCATCTGCTGCGGCAGGGAGAACTGTGCATGAGGAATTGTTGTATTTTGGTGCAGGAAAAGTAAAAGTAGGCCCAGTGAACCACAACTAGCTGGTCAGATTGATTTTTGCTGGTTTCTGTTCACATTGAAATGGAATTCCTTGGGTTGACTATTTTTTATTTTTATGGATATGCTCTGTTGCGTCCACTTTGACCTTCATGCTTTTAATCTGCCACTGCATTGTTTTCCAACACGACTCAGTTGTGTGTGTTTTGTTGCTTAATTTAGCTCGGGACCTGCTGTTTCTGCAGAACACGCTCCTGTGACCTATAAATATGGCCGATTTTCTTATAGAAACTGAAGTGATTCAGATTGGGAGCTTTTGCCCAAAAGACATTATGGGTGTTGGGATGAAAAATGAATGTTGTGCTTCCAACCTCCAGTATTCACCTTGTTGATTCCTTGTATCTATTTTTAAAGCTGATGCATTTTGATTGAATTTTGTTTTTAATTCATACACATCAATCAGACTCCACACACGGTTTGTTTACTATTAACGTTCCACATTCCCTGTTCTCTGCATCACAACGCTGAGCTAAAAGCCATGGGTTCCAAAGGTAGAACACCTCTGTGCTGATAATATCGATGTCGGGTTACTCGCGCAGAAGCAACACCAATCACCACACGCGTCATCATCATCTTGAGGTGAGTCCGGATGCATTTCTTTCATCACTCAGTCTGAAGCTTAGTTTCACGACACCAGATCTTTCTTTACGTAAATCACTGCCGATGGTAATTGCGTGCGTGGGCGTGCGTGCGTACTCATCAGTTGCACGCGTGTGTCTCGGCAGCACTCAATCGAGGAGTCGTCGCATCTCGGAAGTCGCCACCAGGTGGCGCCGTTGCGTCTCAGGTGAGAGGTCACGTGGTGCGCGCTGGGCGTGTCTGCAAAGCTGCTCAGTGAAAAGGGGGCCCGACAGCAGTGACGTGCTACAGCAGAATGGCCGCAAATAGGTGTATTTTAAACGCGAGGCCTCAACCAGTAGAGATGATTCCACCCGCCAGTAAACATTTGCTTTGACCACGGCGTCATCTCTCAAAGAAACTAACGGTTCATTTCCCCGTGAAATATTCCCGGTGCACAGGAAGGTTCTGCGCGGCCCCTGTGGCTGGTTGGTGAAGTAGTTTAAAGGCCGTTGAGAGCGCAGTTGTGGCCATTTACACGATATTAACACGCGGTGACAAACTGAAAAACTTTGTATCCTTTTATGGTTGAAATGCACTTATTTCAAGTCGCTTTGGATGAACTAAATAAAAACGCGCAGCATTCACTGGTCAGATCCGTCGCTGCTGCGTTTCCACCCACGGAATGAAAACCCTCGCATCCATTCGGTGGCTTTGTCCGTTTCTGCTCTTCAGCTTGTCGCCAAAGAGCTGGAATGTAATTCAGTGCGATTCATTAATTGACACGTCCGTTATTTAATACGCTGCAACGCATTATTTAATATCCACAGAACTCTCATTGTAATAAACTGACCGACACGTTTCGTAGAAGCTGACAAAGGTTTATTGAATTGCAGTAAAGTGTCTGAACGCAGTGGGATGTTTGTGTGTAATATTCTGAATGGAGCCTTCAGGAGGACCATGTCCGCTCCGGCGTGGCCCCGCGCGGCCCCGCGCGCTGACAATGGCTCTTGGATGTACGTTCTTCCTCCTCCTGCTTTTAAACACCCCTGTTTAGCCAGTATGCATTCACGGGTTAAATATATATTAACAGCATTATTAACGCTCGCAATGATTTCTACAGCATCTACAAGCAATAGTGCAACGCGGGGGAGAAACTACTAATAAACAGCGTAAGTTTCCATTACAAAAATAATACATATACGAAAACATTTCCATAAGTATTTACAGCGACTCTCTGATATTGTCCTTTTTTTTTTTTTTTTTTTACTTCTTCTTGGCCGGTTTGGCTCCCTTTTTGGGCGCCTTTCCCTTGGGCTTGGCGACTCTCCTCGCCGGTTTCGCCTTGGACTTCACCGCCTTGCTCGCCTTCTTCGCCGGCGTCTTCGCCGGCGTCTTCGCCGGCGCCTTCTTGGCTTTCGCCGGGGTCGCCTTCCTCGCGACCTTCTTCACTTTCTTCGCGGCGGCCTTCTTGGGCTTCTCCGGCGTCTTGGCCACTTTCTTGGGCTTGGCCGCCTTTTTGGGTTTGGAGGGCTTCGCCGCCTTCTTCGCCTTGGCGGGTACCGCCGCCGCCGCCGCCGCCGGCTTGGCGGGCTTCTTGTCGTCCTCCGGTTTGGCCCACCTGAAGGAGCCGGACGCGCCGATGCCTCTGGTGTGGCGCAGGCTCCCGGCCGCCACCAGCCTCCTCAGGGCCAGTTTGATCTGCACGTCGGCGTTCTCGCCCACTTTGTAGTTCTTCCTCACGTACTTCTGGATGGACTGGCGGGACGCGCCGCTCCGGCTGGCGTCGTGCGCGATGGCCGCTCTGATCATCTCCGAGTATTTGGGGTGGGAGGCGGCCTTCTTGGGCTTGGCTGCCTTTTTGGCTTTGGCCGGAGCGGTCGACGTCTCTGCCATGGTGACTTTTAAATAAATAAAAAGTCCAGTGGGGGTGTGATTTCTGGCTGTCACACTCCGATCTACACGCACGCTCCCGAAATAAAACTCTCCCCCCCCCCCCGAAGAAAGCCCGAGTTCGGCAGACGACGCCTCGCGGTGTCTCTATTAAAACGCACTCGTGCCGCGTGCGCGCGCCGGGATGACTTTGGCGTCTTATTCCACAGGCGGCCTCGCCGAGCCTATGAAGCCTATCCGCGGACGTGATTGAGAGCAGCAACTGCCAGCAGCTGATCTAGCGCGGGTCCGCGGAACTGGCACCGGCCCGTTTGTGTTTCTTCGCCCTGCAACTCCCGCCGAACGCAGAGGCCGCGGCGGGGTTTCGACCCGCGGAACCCCGCCGGCCGACGGCGGGGACGTCGGGCTTCACGCGCGCGCGCTTATCACTCCCCGTCCGCGCCGGCGAACAACTTTTATTCCGGGAAAACCGGCTGGAAGTCACGCGCGCCGCGCACAATTTTGCACAATTCCCGTCAAATTGACCCAAACGGACGGAACCGGGCGGCGAGCCGTCCCGTGCACATCGAAGCCGCGTCAATGCCGCAGCGGGTGCACGCGGTTCCGCCGGGTTCCCGCTGCGTTTTTTGCGTTTAATGCGTCGATACGTTTCCCCAACTAACACACTCCGGCCATTGACTTTGAATGACGTGGTCGAGATTATTTGCTGTTAAACGTCGTATAAATGACATGACGCCACGTGCAAGTTACGGGCGACCCCCGGGACGACGCGGGGGGGGGTTACGCGGGTTGAAATGCGGTGGACGGGTTTGCGGGTTTTGCGGGGTGTTCGACAGAACTGCTTATAGGAGTCACGATGGCAGCCGCCACTCGAGGTCCATTGTCAGGAAAGTTGCCAACACCTCAAAAGATCAGGGACTCCGACACCGGATCCAATGAGAGATCCCCGTGTTTCTGATGGAGGTGCACGTGGCTGCTGTGGGACCAGGTGTTAGTCCAGCTGCAGGACGGGGGGTGGGTTGATGCACTCGAAAAACGAAGGTCCTATAATATAAGGCGCAGTGAGGGTTTTCCTTTGTTCGGGAACTGGCGCATCGTGCACCGACATTAACAGGTCTGACCCCCCGCTGTCCTCCTTTTTACTACGCGGGTCAAAACGCTCCCAAATGACAAACTTTGATAACGTTCTCCTGTTTTATTCCTTATTAAAATAACAGGCCTGATGTCCCTCCCTGCAGCGCCATTTTGATTCCTAAAATCACAGCTACCGGATTGGTGCCCCCCCTAAGCCCACCCCCGACTTTTGTGCCATGCTATTTTAGTAATTGGACACTTGTTATTTTTAATTAAAATAGACACAATTGGACAATGTGCACGTCCACCTGCTCATTGTCCTCAATGGTGCAAGACAACGTGAGGCTGTTTGTCCACGAGGCTGCAGTGGGACAATCCAACATCTATAATATAATAATAAGCTTTGTTGGTTGTCATCATACAACATTGGACATACTGAGGCCTCTTCTGTCTTCATGTGTCCTTACGGGGAGTTGATGACGAGTGTTTTTCTTTTGTGGTGCCCGTTTTAAATGGAGGGTGTGTGAGATGGATTGAAGGAGTGAAAGCGAGTATGGGAGGAAGTGAGTGAGTGAATGATTTATTTTATTGATGGACGGGGAGGGTGTAGATGAACGGGTGAGTCGTCCCCCATAGCGCGCGTGCATAGCAGAAGGAAGGGGGAGCTAATGGATGAGGGATGAAAGAATGAATGAGTACATTGAGCGCGTGTGGAATACAAATGGCCCAAGTAAAGCAGCGAGGAGCACGTCTATGCATCTACGTCTCCGTGACGTGATCGACGTGGCGGCGGTGGTTGGACGCCTCCCTCCACCAGCCGACAGAGGGACGTGTTCCAAACCTCCTCATCATCTTCATGGCGGTGGTGCTTCCTCCACAGGCGGCTGGTAATTACACATTAACAATTAAACCCTTTTGTCTTTTTCAGACGTGGTGCAATGTTGGAATGTTATTAAACTGAACCGAGTGCTGCTTTATGAGTCAGAAGTTACAAGTTATACGTCTGCACAAGACAACTACGTCATTGTGTCACGTTGCATCGCTATGCCAGTCTGTAATTTTTAGAGGCCTGAAACCTTCTCAAGTTGTCCTGCCCCAGAGCATTCTGGGTAACATCACCCACTGTTTCACTACTGATGGTATCAAGGCTGTAGATCACTTTGTCCAAAACTGTCCATCACGTGGCCACATGGATCATTTCATGGAGTTTTATTTGTTTGTTTAATTTACTGTGGCGTTGAAAGTCAAATGAACTCGGATCTCTTTTTATTGACTCTGGCTTTATTTAGATAAAGAAAAAAGATAATTTATCTTTTTCCTGCTATGAATCCTCGAGGTTTCTTAACACTTTTATGATCTCATCTCTAAACGCATTATATTTTACTCCGAATGCATACATTTGAAAGTAGCACGTTTCTATATCTCTGATGTGCTGAGTCTGCATCCAATATCGTTTCATTTAATGAATCACTCTGCCAGACAATGAAATAAAATTAATTTGTGTGTAAACTGTGTGTGACGGGGTGAAACGCTGGTTCTATTCCAGCAAAGTGTTTATAGTAAAAATGAAACAAATGAATACAGAACAACACATCACTTATAGCAGCTTATTGGCACAAGAAAACTGTATATCCGTATATCCCAGTTTAGTTTTAAAGGGCCCGTTGGGGAAGCGAGAAGGAAGCGAGAAGGACAAGTCGCTGACGCACTGGAGGTTTGAACGCACGTTTGTGCGTCCAGTTGTTGTGGGTTTGCGTTGAGACAACACGTGTGAGCAGGTGTCAGAGGCCGAGTGCTGCACCGCCGAGACAAGGCCGTCTTTTTAAATACACCAAAAGCACATTTAAACAGCTGTTTGTGGTTCTAATGCTCTCTTCATACATGCAACAATTCCCAAATCTATAAGAGCAGGCGAGTATTTCATGCAAACTCCCCTCGGACTGTTTACTGGACTTCTGATCGGTGGGTTTACCAACAGAGGGCAGTAGCAGCTTAATAGATACTATTTGAGTTATTTGCAAACATTGTTATCTCATCCACGGCTTGAACATAATTATCGCTGCAGAAAATAAAGGATACCTTGTTTTGTCAAAGTTACAGTAAACCGTTGTGTAAACGGTCTTAAGCGTGGCCTTAATTCGAGAACGGGGGGTGTTGAGCTCTGATTATTTCAAGTTGACTCTGGTGGGACACTTTTCCTGCTCTGTCAGCACTTTTGAGACACTGCGGTTTGTCCGGGTGGACGTCGGCCAGCTCCGCTGCCCTCAATTCAGGATTTCAACGTTGACCCTGGAGACAGAAAACCTCCTTGACTCAAATAACAAAGGGCACCGGGATTTCAGAAATAACAACGGCTGTTTTCGGAGGCAGAGCTGTGCCAGTACAAGACGTTGATGTTGCAGAAAATAAAGCTTCCCCGTGAATCTAAATTGTGACACTTTTACAGAAATATATAATGAAACCCTCCATTATTTAAAGTTGCTTTCCCTTTCTCCTCTTAATTCTTTCCCCCTTTTCAGCCTCCTTCCTCTCAGTCACTGCTTCCCCTTCCTTGCCGCTTCCGCTTTGTGTCCCTGGAGATCCTCCCAAGTAGAGCAGATTGGACCAAAACTGTGTCATTCAGTGACCTGATTCCCCCTTCCTGCCATTTTTTCAACATGCGGGTGATTCCCTCTATTGCACCGCTGCTTTGAATCTGGGGGCTCGAGCGCAAGGCGCCATCGATTTTTATTTCACATAAGTTGAAGTTAACGGATTCCAAACATCCGCCAGAACAACTTTTCTTCCTGGTGTATAAAACACACGGCCAGTTGTTTACGGCTGCTGCACAACGTCAACACGCCGCTTGTGTGTCCGTGTGTTCTTCACTCAACTCAGATTCATTTTCACTTCCCCTCCTTTGAGATATTGTGTAATAGGGTTTATTTAAGCGTCTCGCACCAAATGTTATATGCTTTCGAGTCTCTACACACCCTGAACAACCGAGATGCTCTAATGACCCCCCCCCCATACGACCCCCCCCAGATCTCTCACGTCCTTACGATCCAGTCCGTCTTCGCTGCGCCGCATTGAGACAACACGTCAACTGTAAATGTAAATGTAATGGGTTTGACTCTTGAAACCTTTGACAGTTTCGGTGAATAGTGCTGTGAATGTACGTTACTTTCTTACTTTCTGTAGTTCATGCGAGCTCATCGGTCCTCTGATGGGGGTCGTGAGGTTACCACGGCAACTGCTGCATCCCCTCAGCAGCAATTGCAATCCGTCTCACTTATGGCAAGTGAATTTGCAAATTCTCCAGCAGCTAACTCGTAATTATCTTATTCACACTCACAGTACTCTAGACAAACTTGAGCCTTCGTCACAGAGGAGTGTGTCCGGCTGTTGACTTGGACGCTCATTAATAAAGCTCTGTTTGGACTTGGAGTGTTTCAGAAAGGAAACTCCGGGAGCTCTTCCACGTTCAAGGTGGACGATGCCCGATCCGACAAATACAGCACACAGTCCGCAGCCTCAGTCTGAGGCGATAAGAGCACGAGACGCATGTCGTGATCAGTATTTCTCACATCGAGCCTTCCTGCCGGCAAGAGGATGGAAGCTTTAAAATCTGGCGCAATAAATAAAGGCTCTTAAACAGCCAGAGGCCCTGTTTGTTACTGAGCCCGAGGCGGAGCTACGCTGCTGCTGCTGCTGAACAAGTCAAAAGGAGAGAAACACCGCTGCCTCAATGCAAGCAGGTGTCAAGCGCAGCCACGTCTTTGTCTGCCATCGGCCTCTCGGGAGCTCGCCGTTTCTTCACGAGTTGAGATTTGCGTCCCTGCTGCGGCTCCCTCACGGGTCACTGCGGATCTGGGCAGCAGAGGAAACCTCCTTTTTGAGGGGGTTTCCTTTTTTAATCATTTGTATTTTCTAACCCTCTTGCTCTGGCGTGGCAGACTTTTCACTGGGCGTCAGGTCCACAAAAGAGCCCCTTCCCCCCCCCCCCCCCGATTCCGTATAATGAGGGGTTGTATTGCGATTGTGGTGCTTCTGGTCGGAGGATCAGTGAGCCATCTAAACAGTCTAATTCAATCATGTGTTTGCGCGATTGTGCAGCAGTGCGCACAATGCACAGTGCCGGTGCTTAATTAGCTCAGAGATGTAAAGGGCTGCGGATCTATAGTGTTCACTGTGCTGCAGCCGCTCCATTGGTTTCATATTGTAGTCTGCTTCAGCCCTTAAATGAACACATGGTTTGGACGTCACCGTATGCCTGCGCCTTAGTCGCTTTTGTCTTGTTTACAGTGTGTGGGTTTGTGTGTGTGTGTGTGTGTGCTTGACTGTCACAGACCAGACGTGTGTGTGTGTGTGTGTGTGTGTGTGTGTGTGTGTGTGTGTGTGTGTGTGTGTGTGTGTGTGTGTGTGTGTGTGTGTGTGTGTGTGTGTGTGTGTGTGTGTGTGTCTGTGTGTAGTGAGTGCAAAACCGCAGTGGAGCCCATCCCCTGAGCCGCCTCAACTAGCAGAGAAGAGAGGAGCCGCAGGCCGTGGCCACGCCCTCGCCTCCTCCGATTGGAAAAGCGAGGCCGCCTCCCCTCCGCGGCCTCATTGGTATGCAGGCAGCGCAGCGTGTGCATGAGGAGAGAGGGAGAGAGAGCGAGGTAGCAGCCAGTGCGATGGGATAGAGGAGAGCGAGGAGGAGGAGGAGGAGGAGGAGGAGAGTGAATGAGAGCTGCTGGTCCTGCCTTCGCCCGCCTGGTCGCCCGTCGTCTGCTGAAGCTGGGTTGTTTTTACCGCCGCACCGGCACAGAGCAGAGACGCGGCTCCATTCGCCCCCCCCGTCCACCCTGCGTGTGCCGCACAGCGCCGCCAGCTCGGGGGGGGGCGAAAAAAGAGGCTCACCAGGCTTTCTCCATCTCCAAAGGGGGGGGGGGGGGACGCAGCGGCGAGCGAAGGGGCCTGGCGTTACTATTTAGGCACCAGCTGCCACCTCAACCAAATCCCCCTCCACCTCACCGCATCCTTGACACCGCCACCGCCACCACCTCCGCTCCTCCCTCGCTCCTCCCTATGCCCTTGTCCTCGGCGGCTCCTCTCCCCTCCCTGGCCAGTATATGGATAGAAGCTCCCTGTTTCAGCTCATACAAGAGCAGGTAAGCAAGTGAGCAGGCAGCGGCAGAGGTTTCTATGGTTACGGGCGCCCGGCCACGTCGTCGCCTATCCAGGGACTGAGACGTGGAGGCCCGGGGGGAAGAGCTGATGATTGATAGCAGGGTCTGTTTGCACGGGCGAAATGAGAGCGTGAGACCACTCGACGGACGCAAGCATCATGGAGCCATGTGGGCCCAGAGAATGTGAGGTCAGATCATGGCTTACGGGACGGGACGGGGGGTGTGAGCGAATAGAGGCATGGGCATGCTGTGTGAATCCATGTGTAGACGTATGGGAGCATTCTCCATTCGAGGAATGACACGTGAAACGTTATTGGTCCATTCCAGCTGCAGCATCATGTGTAGCATCCATGCTGTGTGTGCGTCCCCAGTGTTTGTGTTTGCGTACCTGTGAATGCGTTTCCTTGTCTTTTTTTCTGTTACATGTTGACCACGTCGACAATGTCATCATCTCAGGGGTCACAAGAACCAAACGATTGCAGGATTATTCTGGGTTTTTCATGTCGAGAGGGTCCAGCAGCGGTTCCCGTGGAGACCAGGTCACGGTTTCCCTCCAGAATAGAAGCTGTTATTTGGCTTTAGACTTTTTTTTTTCTGCTGTTGAAAACACAGTGTTAGTGGTCATATTCAGGCCATTGAAAATAATGTTGCTCTTGACGACCGGAGTCCTGCAAAAACTGCTGTTTTTACTGTGCAGTCAGATCTCTGCACCATTTCCAAAATTAATAGACCAGTATGGCTTCGAAAGCAGAGAGCAATATCTATATTTAGAGAGGGCTTCCTGGAGAAGTGCGACTGTGTGTGCGCGCGTGCATGTGTGTGTCTCCACCTCTGTCTCATGTCTTACATTTAATGCAATCTTGCATTCTGTCCAGCGATTTGATGAATGGGGCTTCTGGCTGACTGACATAGAGATCGGGCTGTCGTTCTGTCCACCAGGGAGGAATCAATTATCTGTTGCTGGTGGTTCAGGGGTCACGAGTGGCCCATCAGCAACGCATTGATCAACACGCTCAACAGCCTTGAGGGAGAAGTGTGTGCATGTTTCTGCCATCATTTGCACAGTTGCTTTTTTACATATCTGGTCATTCATTTACTGCATGAAGACTAAATGGCAACATAGTTATTATCTTCTCTTCATAGACACATTGTGAACACTGCTCGTCCAAACATCGAGCACTGTCCGGTAAAATGTTTATCAGCGTTCCTCGTTCTGGGCACCGTTGTCCCGCCGCCGCTCAGCCGATCCACAAGAGCAGCTGGAGGTCAAGTGCTTCTCTTGAGGGCATCTTGGATTTAACAATCTGCAAAAGGAAGATATTACGGTGTCACTGCATTTTTTTTTAATAAGCATTGCGGTTCAAGCTAACGCTTTCTGTCCCCTTTAGTCAGGCACACATTTATGCTAAAGACACTAAACTTTTTCACGAATACGCCTCAATTAGAAAACGAGGCGTGTTTAGTTTAAATGTGCTCTGCAGGTATAAAGGAGAGGAGAATTCGCACCCTGGTCACACCGAGCCACATAAAAATGCTGCAGGGAGGAGATGGAGAAAGCAACATTAGCAACGTGAGTTCTTGTTTTATTAGTCTTTGTCTGCAGGAGGTTGCAATGCTGAGCTCAGGCCATTTGTGGCCTATCCAGGCTCACACAGACGCAGCCCCTCTGCTAGTCTTCACATTACAGCGCCGCTGATGGTCGGTAGCACTGAGTACGCTATCACTGGTGAAGATCTCTCCATCTGTCATTTGGTTTTTATTTGATTTATTTATATCCCTCCCATAAGGACTTTGGGAGGGAGTACGACTCTTATAGACGGTCCCCTTTCCTCACTCTCTGATGCTAATGTACATTGAGCTGTGTTTAAAGACGCCTCCGGCTGTTTGCACCGCGTCTACACGCCAGTAAAAGGTAGCTTTGCATTGCGGGAAAATCCCCTTGCGGTCTCCGATCTAACGGCCATCACATCGCAAAGCGGCGGCAGTAAAATCCCAGCGTAATGACGGGAACAGCGGGGCTTCGTTGTGATAATTACAGAATCAGTGGCCCAGTTGTGGGCGAACGGCAGTGAGTCCTGAGGGCGCCGCAGACGAGTCATTATCCGACGCCATGAAAATATGCTCTGCCTTGTAAGCGCAGCTGCCCTCTGCATACAGACTGCCCTGTTTAAAGTCGACGGTCTTGCTCACAGGGAACAAAGCAGTCTGTAATACCGGCTCTGTGTCGTCAGTGAAAACCCGACCAGTGCTGAAGTTCTGCGTAGATATCAAGCGACTAATGAACGACAAAAAATAAGTGAAATCTCAACGTCTCTACTGCACTCGGCCTGCTGTGACTTGACCTCAGTACAACTCGCTGCGTCTCAGTCCGACCACGAGCTTTGCCGTTTCCTCCCGTGCTGCAGGACTCGTTGCTGAGCCGCCGTGGAGCCGACTGATGCATAGTCTGTGAGTCCGTATAGCGGGCTGGGGTCAGTCTGGGTGTCAGCATCCCCCCTCCTCATGTAAACATCTGTATCCCGCGTCCCGTCCGTCTCCTCGTGCTCTTGAAGCAGCCGGGTTTGGTTGCTCCCTCTGACCGACACCTTCGCCTTCCACCCGCGCTCCCGTCTCTCTCCGCCCCACTAATCATCTACGCCACGCTTTCATCTTACTCATTCTCCACCCCGTCAGTCTCTCCCCATCCGTCCGTATTCTGTTTCTCTCTCCGCTCTGTACCCGTTTTCTCCTTTCCTCTTCCTCTCTCCCCCCCCCTCCCCCCCGCATCTTCTCCCCTTTGCTTCTATCGCACCAATGTGTCGGGCTGGGGAGGAGTAACGCAAAGAAAAGCGGGACGCGCAGACGACTGGTAACCACGGCAACGCATGCAGCTCGCCAAAGTGTCGCCCCTCGCCAGCGGCGGATCGCTTCCCTTCTCTTCCAGCCCTTTTCCTCTGCTCTTCTCCCCCTCGTCCTCCAGCCTGCCCCCCCCCGCCGGCTCTTCTTGCCAGCACTCGTTCATCCCAGTGTGCCTCATCTTACTAAGTGATAACCCCCCAAATGGGCAGCGGGGCCAATCCTCCAGCTCTTTGTATCCTCGGCAGAAGGCCTCTCCTGTGCAACCTGGATGAAGCAGTAATCAAGGCTCTCTGTGTAAATCTGATCTATGGCCCCCCGGGGGCCGAAGAACCCTGCAGTGTGTCACGGCCTTTTTATAGAGACGGATGGACGGAACAACGGGCAGTGGCGAGGGGGTTCTTATTCTCTGGGCATCTTTTGTGGGTTCTCTTTTTATACGTTATCTCCCCCCCCCCCCCGTTTTGTCGACCTAATCGAGCTGCGGCGCTGTTTGATCACGCGCTCCCACGTCTCCCTACGCGGCGTCGCCTCACAGCGGCCGGCGCTGTCTGCCTCCAGCTTCAACAGCCAGTGTTTTAACAAAAGTCCGTGGAACACACACTTGAGGGGGGGGGATCATCTAAAAATAGAGCCGGGCACGTTTTCTTTAATTTAATTATTAATTCATTAATTAATTCATTTTTTTGGAGGGCTTAACACTGCTGGGTGTCCGTGCCGAGGCTCTGTGGAGATGTGTGAGGGGCTACGACCAAGAGGGAGGCTATTGAGTATTTGCCATTCGTGCGTGATCCTTGCTGTTGAGTCACATTGACGTGTGGAAAGTATCCAAACAATTGCTTCACTAACCAATTATTTGCTGTCTTGCCACGAAAAATAAAATCGGATTAAAAGGATTCTTGTGCTCAACCAGACGATGAAGAAGATGTTCAGAGGGAGATGCACACTTACACCGATGCATTCCCCGATGGGTCCATTGCCCCTCAGTTGGGCAGACTAGACGCGATCCGCCGGTCCAACGTGACGGAAAGCTCCCTCCTCCCCAGAGCTGTTGACTATCTGAGGCCTAACGAGGCAGCCGCTGGGCTCCTCCCACGCGGCCTCTTTGCGCCGTTTGTCCTCCGGCGCGTCTTCTAAGCCGAGCCGGAGCGATAAACCAACACTCCATCGCCGAGGCAGTTGTGTGCGTTTAGGAGCAGGAGAGGAAAAAAAACAAAAACCCAGTCGTATGTCTGTGAAACTCCTCATCCTGTCACAAACCATCCATTTAATGCCGAGGAAGCCGCAGGTCACCACATATCGGAGCGTTGTGCCCTCGCTGCTACCAACAACAGCAGCCGGCTCGAATTCCTCCAAAGGCATCGCAGAGGCAGCGTGATTTCTGCCTCTGAGCCGAGGCCGTCGGTGTCTTTCCATCTGTCTTCATGAGTACCTTCTACGTGTGACGTGTCTGTGTGTGTGTGTGTGTGTGTGTGTGCTTCATCTCTGCAGTGCCACTCGCCGCTGAAGCACAGATCTGTTAACACGTGCGTAATCAGCGATGTCGTTTTTTTTTTTTTTCTCCTTCCAGCTGGACCCAGACAACACCGGTTTCATCGCAGTGGAGAACTTCACCAGCTTGGTGGAGCACCATGAGCTGCAGCTGGACCCGTCCAAACTGGACATGCTGTTAGCCCTGGTGCAGAGCAATGAAGAGGGGCAGGTGTGCTACCAGGAGCTCATCGAGCTGGTGAGTGGGGACCGGGTGCACGGATCGCAATCTCCCGGGAAACACACACACACACACACACACACACACACTTCCAGAAAGGTCACAGAATTGATTCGGACCGAGCCGGCCGCCTCTGCAGCGGCGGAAATTGACTCGACCACTCGGGTTGTTGTCCGGCAAAGAGGAGGATCGATCCTCCCACTTAGTGTGTCGGTAGATCCACGCGCTTGACCTCGGCCGGCGCGCACAACACGCACACCGAGCCGAAAGCGACACAATGTAGTCGTCATAAGTCATTCAAATACAGGTAATGTGTGAAGGAGCACTAATACATTCTCCTGACATACAGGTGGTCTGCCTGTTCTTTCATTCCCCTTCTTCCCTTGTGCGTCTTTGCCGTTGCTCGTTTGAAATATTACAGCCCTTTTATACGTGAAAGACTCGTCAATGAGCAACTGCATTCCTTCTGCTCCTAGTAATGGAATTCCTGGCATATTTTCACTCCCGTAAGCTCCTGTCTTCTCTCTCTGTTTACCCGTCTCTTGGTTTTTGATCTCTTCCTCCGCCTCGTGTTCCGCTCCCACCGGTTTGTCGCGAGGTCTGTGCTCGCTGCAGTGGGATCGCGGTTGAGGTGCTGCTCCCACATCGCGGCTCTCCACCCGTCCTCTTTCTCCGTCTTCTTCCGCCATGTTGCTGTTTTTTGTTTGATCCAGCCCACTTTGGTGCATTCTCATCTTCCTCTTCCTCAAACCAATGTAACATCCCTCCTTGACGCCCCCGTTGTTCTGCCTCCTTGAACCCTCAGATCTCTTTGCCTTCTTTTTCATTTCATTTCACTCTGTTTGGGACTTTGTTAGGTGAAGAAAATCTGCCAGCGCCTCCAAAAGCATCAAGGGAGACGCTTTGAAATCTGCCCATCAGCCACATGCAAATGGCCTTCGATTAGTAAACGGAGACGGATATTGACCCCACGTCTGATTGGAAAGATCTGTCTGACACACACACATGTGTGTTCGTGTGTGTGTGTGTGTGTGTGTGTGCGCGCCCTCATGCCATCCCCGCACTGTGCATGCATACGATTAGAATACATAAAATGAATAATCACGCCATCCTCTTCCTCCATTTCCCTCCCCCTGATCCAAACATACCGTCTCAACCCGAGACAGACTCTCATTCATACACATGACTAATTTAGAGGATATTTAAATGTGGCCCCCCGTCGCCCCGGCGTGAGATGCTGAACGAAATGCGGATTGTCTGAGACGAGCTGCAGGCCGCCGCTCGCACGCCGTTTCCAACCGGGTTATTCCTCCCTCGCCGCCTTTCGGTTCTCCTCCTCACTCTCCCAGGTCCACATGCGTGTGTGTGTGTGTATGTGTGTGCGTTTGCTTCTGTGTTACGTCTCCTAGCGGCCGTGTTAAACATTTTCTGATTTGTTGTTCTACAAAGTGAATCCACGCTGCTTCCCGCGACCTCAGTGGGTGTAAATGTGTTTGAAGCGCACCGTTAGGCAACAGCCTCTTGTGTGTGTGTGCGTGTGTGTGCGCGTGTGTGTGTGTGTGTGTGTTTCTCTGACATCGCTTGTGTTCGACCCATCTTTCATGCAGGCCGATCTCAGCCAGAGGGGTGAATAAGTAACGCTCTGCTAAAACCTCTCTTGGGGAACTGTGCACACTTAAGCTCGCACACACACAGACACACACACACACACACACACACACACACCAACTCATTCACATACACCGACAACAAGTGTGCTCAAAGTCTGTATCTAGCCAGTAATCCACATCAGCAAGACAAACCCGCACACGTTTAGCACCGAAGCATTTATGATGGGAGGCTGTTCACACATGTGAGTGACCATGAACCTCAGGTTGTACACATTCCTGCAGGTATTAATCTCTTTAAATGGAGTCAACCGATGCTGTCATCTACCAGTTGTGTAATGGAAGAAGTGTGTCATCGTTTTCCTTATGTTGGTAGTTGGTTGGTAGTCCAAAATGGCTGCCGCGGTTCATTTAGCCGCTAGTGGGTGTATTCCAGAGATTAGGATTGAGAGTTTTCTATTTCCGGGTTGGAGGAAGTCCGGGGCTTAGTGCTTCACTTTTACTTGGAGGATATGAAAGTATAGATCGATGCTTAAGTGATATTTGTGCTTTTCCAGTCATTTGCAGTCACATTGAGTGCATTCGTCTCCGGGGACGCTGCCTATCAACATCGCATCCCAAACCCAACTTTCTGTTTTTCAAATAGACAGCTGGCTAAAAGTGATGCACTTTGCTTAAGAGTCCTGGAGTGAAGGTTGTCAAACCTCCCCCCCATCCTCCCACCCTCCGTACCGCGATGATTAAACCATAAAGCACGGCTGTGGCAGCAAAAAGGCTGAGGGGGGGAAATAGATGGACTTTCACTTTAAAGGAGTTTGGGCAAGAAAGAGCCCAAGAATGTGGGTCATGTTAGAATCAGAGAGGCTGAGATCCGCACTGATTTAGACTTTTTTTTTTTTTTTTTGTATCTGCAACGGCCTTTTAAACCACGCCTTTTTAAATTTGTATCTCTAATTGCTATTGAGCGGTGAGGCATTGATCGTGTGCTGTGGCTAAATAATCCATCAAGGACAATGAGAGCAGCACGTACAGTAAACGTCCTGCTGACACCGAAAAGAGGAGGATGGACACTTGCTGTCAGTGAGACGCATTCAGCTGTCCCTTAAGGGGGGAGGAGGGGGGGCGGGGGGAGGATCTCTTTCTCTCTGTGCTCTCTGTGATCGATTATCCAGGCAGCCTCGTCAGGAAACCTGCGTTGCCCCTCGCTCTCTCACACTCGTCTGTCTGCTTTCACAATGTTTTGGCGGCTCCAACCGTTTCCCCGTCTTTCTGATTGCTGATTTTGGGGGGGGGGGGGGGGAGGCGAAGCGGTAGCTGCGCTCGGCCTCGTCTCCTGGGGACACGTTGGAAATGGGAGCGGTGGAAATGCACTCAGAACGCAGAGACTTCATTTCGAGAAGATAACACGATCATATTTACATCCCTCGACCGCTTTCTCTTTCTTTATGAGAAGCCCAGTTACTCTTGTCTGCTGTGACGATTTTTCAAATGAGAAACAAGACGTCTTGCTTCTTGGCGCCACACGCAATCTGAGAACCGAGCTTTTACTTTTGCTTGTACTCCCTCCCTGTAGTGCAGTGTGATTGTGTTTTCCCGGCCTTATTTCCATACTAAATATGCATCCCTCCATCTGCTCAGCATCGTTCTGGTTATCATGGTGCAACAGGCGCTCGCGTCCTCTCTGCACGACCACCAGCGTACAATTAACCCCCCCGTTAGTCACCACTTCCACGAGGGGAGTTTTTTTTCCTTTCTGTTTTTCCTCAGCAATAATGAAGACATGGCGCTTTTATGAATATTGACCCACAGTTTAATTCACTGTGCTTCCTGCTGTGTCTACATGGGAGTCTGCGAGCAGCAGGACCCGGCTAATGAATCACGATCGGGGGACTTTTAATGGCGCGTTGTGCCTCCCACTGACCCCCCCATGGCGGTTTTGTAACACTTCCTATGAGGCTGCCATGTTGTCTAAGGTTGCTATTATTAGAAACCTGTACGCAAGGTTTATACTGCCACCAGTTCCAGCTGGTTCCAGGAAACAGCATTTCATAAAGTGTCACGTTAGAGCACACATTTTAATTAAAGGATAATTACATTTGTCTTGAAAGCAGCTTTATTGTTTGAATAACAGGAGACTTCAGCCATGTGGCTTTGCTACTGAAGGAAATCTTACCTGGAAAATCACGCATGCTGGCGTTCTTTAAGGAAATGCAGATGTTTGTTAAGGACCCCCGCTGCTCTTGTATATATATATATATATATATATCGGATGAAAAAGAACCCCGTGTGTTGCCCTCCACACACTCATCTGCCCCAGCTGTCAAAAATAGTGGCATTGTGATAGTTTTCATCCGTAACTTCTATTAAAGAACTTATCAGGAGTTTGTCCCGCTGACCTGCAGGCTGCTTCAGAGCTGCTGCTCACCAAGCAAACCTGGAGTCTGCGATAACACACACAGACACACACACACACACACACACACACACACACGGATTTGCTTTTCAAGGGCAAAATCAAGCCGACAGCCAATTTGTTATGATGTCTGAGCTGCGATCAGATCTGCCGGCAGTCGCGCTTACATTCTGTTTAAATCAAAAACTCTTATAAATTATTTAAGTTTTTTTTTTTTTTTTTTATCAGCCCTGAATATTCAGCAGCAGCTCTGTCTTCTCTCCTGTGGCGCATACAACTGATGGTCGGTTGCATATACATGTAACATGGCTTTCATATTCACAGTTTAATTGCAGAGGAGACCAGTCAAAAGTACCTTTGACTGGTCAAATATTAGTTAAATACGCTTTTACAGCATTAAAGTGTTTCACCACCTACTTTCTGGATAAACTATTGTAATATATTCAACTGCACGTTGAGTTAAAGGTGACTTTTCTTTAATTCATCTTATTGCCATCATCTGAAATTGTGTTTCTACCAAACATCTGCATAATGCTGATGAATATTATTTGGCCTATTAGAGGTCCTGTCTTGTGTCAAGGAACATTAAGAGATTGCTGGTGGTAGACAGCAAAGTGGCGTTGACCTCATTTAACCACATCTCCCCCCAAATAATTCCCATTAATGTCCCATTTTTATTTATAGTGCTCATAATGTCATAAATAAAGCAAAAATGTGAAAGTTAACAGATTCCCACCCCTCTCCGATATCCGCCCAGTTGTTGCCCACGATAGATTGCGCCGTACTCTCAATAATAAAAGTCTTATGTTTCCCCCCAGATGAGCAGCAAGCGCTCCAGCAGCTTCCGCCGGGCCATCGCCAACGGCCGCCGCACGCTGCAGAGGGAGATCCTGCTGGACGAGACGGGCCTGGGTCTGTACAAGCGCTTCGTCCGCTACGTGGCTTACGAGATCCTGCCCTGCGAGACGGACCGGCGCTGGTACTTCCACCAGAACCGCCTGTGTCCCCCACCTGTCTTCATCGCCGTCGTCACCATCGTGCAGGTGAGCTCTGACGTCGTCCACGTGTCTGCGTTTCAGCCAAGTCTGTTCTGTCGGCTCCATGTGATTTGGCAGTCGAGGCCTTAGTTGGTGCATTAAATGCCATTTCCCCCCCCAAGCTGCAACCCTCCGTCAGCCGGTATGCGAGGGTATTTTTTGTAAGACTTGCAAACCAGGTTGGTCACCAAAGTGACACTAATTAACCGATCATGGTCATTGGTTATCAAGGAGAACCACTCGCACACAAAGATGCTGACAAATGGTTTTAGTTTAAATAATAACGTACAGCTTATGCGCCAAGCGGCATCCTTTCCCCTGAAATCATCACAATTCACAGGAAAGAAAGCGCTTTTATATTGCCTCCAAAGGCCACCCAATGGTCCGTAATGATAATGAGATTGTGATGATAACGGTTCATTCGTTTTGATTCGCAGAGACAATGAGTCATTTTTCTATCAAAAGAAATTAATGGAATTGAACCAGATGTGCAATTTTTTTTCTTCTGCGAGCAGCAATTGTCTCCACAAGTCTAATAAGCGTCAGCTGAGGAATAAGTGAAAGACAAAAGAAAGGTCCTGTTACTTTCATGAAGCACAATGAGTTTTGTTTCGCACTTTTGTACCAGCGGTCTGCAGAGAGAAAGCGAGTAATCTCGTGTCAGTCACCAAGTTTGGTGTCATTTCTGCTCCTGGTGCAGATCATCGTGTTCATGTGCTACGGCATCATGCTGAACAAGTGGGTGCTGCAGACCTATCAGCCCGACTTCATGAAGAGCCCCCTGGTCTACCATCCCGGCCACCGCGCGCAAGTGTGGCGCTTCTTCAGCTACATGTTCATGCACGTTGGGTACGTCTGCAGTATCTCACGCCCGTAGGACCGCGTGTTTGTTGCAGGACTAAACCGTTATCTTTTGTGGCGCCTCCTCAGGTTGGAGCAGCTGGGGTTCAATGCTTTGTTGCAGCTGATGATTGGGGTTCCTTTGGAGATGGTCCATGGCATCTTACGAATAAGTCTGCTCTACATGGCAGGAGTGCTGGCCGGTGAGTGTCCTGTTTAAAGCGAGTGTCTCATTGCGCAAAGCAGCGGTTCTCAAGGTGAATGCGGCGGGTGCAACAGAGCCCATTTCTTCTTTTTATATTTCTTTACGTTTCCAAACGACCCGACATTTAATATTTACATCAGCTCATACACTGTATGTGCCATATCATCAGTGCTTTTTAGAATACAATAACTCAACTATAACAGACACACCGGGTGAAAGCTTTAGCTGAAAATGTGTACTGTAAGTGTGGTGTCAGTGGCCGTGGGTGCATCGCGGAGTGACGTAGCACGTAGTTTAGATATCCGCAGCAAACGCGGTGACAGTTCTGGGTCATCTGCAGTGCGATATGGACGGTGCTGTGAACACAAGTTTGTTGTGTGTTAAGCTCGGTGGTAAAAACCAGCACTCTGAGCGAATGGTGAGAAGTTGCTCTGAGCCGGTTTAACTGCTGCCGTCTCCATTCAGCACTGGACCAATTAAAAAATTGGTCCCCATCAGTCACTTGGACACAAAAGCCGCGGCTATAAAACACTGGAGTTCCCCTTTTAAGAGCTTGTATAGAACCAATAATGCCAATTACGATTACTTTCCTCATCTGCAGTTGAATTTGTCATCATCTTATCCTATTTATATCTGCTGGTGGTCTGCCTGATGGGTTCCATAATAAACCTGCACCAGCTCGGGTCTAGACTTTCAAAAGCAACAAATAGTCTCCAAACTGAGAGCAGCGTGATTCTGGGGCTGAAACCTCATTAACTGGCCTCCTTCAAGCCAGCGAGGACATTCTGATTGTTAGATGTGGTTTCTCGCTGCTGTTTTCTGCTGCTAATGCGTATTTTTCGACAGTCGTATTAACTCTGCTGCAAAAAGCCGTCGTCTCAGGGAACAATTCTTGTAATGAGTTGTAAGGGTTTGTTCGTTCAGTAACGTTAATTTAAGAATTTACCTCAAAATTCTTTATTTATTTTCTCCTGTCTTCTTTCTGCACGCACAGTAGTAAAAAGCCCTCACTCCCCAACACACACACACACACACACACACACACACACACTCCTGAACACTCATGAATTATTGCGGCTTTGATTTATTTTAGCTGTGATCACAGCGAACAGGGGACTTGCAGGAAAAAGTAGCAGAGTGGCGCAGGGTTTCTCTCGGGGGGGATTCTTCTAAGTGCAGTTTCAGATGCTGTTTGGAGATTTAAGCTGCAGCCCGAATTCAAAAAGGAGGAGGAAGCAGCGAGGAGATGGTGATGTTTGTGCCCCTCGAGCCCCGAGTTGAACTACATTCATTACAACTTCTACGCTCGACTGATCAAAGTATTTAAAAATTAAATTGACGTAGTACTGTGGTGTAATAGTGTGAAACCAGCCTGGAATATGGGTCAATTTCCTTTTTGCATTTAGCTTTCAACACAACATAATAGATGACTTTCTCCTAAAGTTTGAGGAGGAGCTGAGCTGACCTTTAGCAGTATGATAATTCCACCTTTGGTTTCTGGCTGATGGATTTCTCGTGTTTATATTCACGCGGTCTTCTTCTTGCTCGCCGGTTGAATCGAGCCAATCGGCTCCTCCGGCATGCATGTTGTTTTTTTTGCAGTGCAGCTTTCGGGTTGCAGCCGTCGGTGCACCTGCAGCAGCAACCTGCTGCAGGTCTTTACGTGTGTGCTTCAGCTCGCTGCGAGACCTTCTGCACAGCTCGTTTCACACCGAAAAGAAACGAGAAGATCAAATACGTAAATGTTTTAATGGATCAACACACCTCCCGTGAGAAAATGCACGTCTGCATTCTTTGTTAGAATTGTTAGAGTTCCCTTTTAAAAGCAAACATGGATGAGTCAGACGGCGCTCAATAGGCTCGTTTCCGACGCCGTAGTGCTAAAAATAAAGCACGACATTGTGCATTTCGTCCTTGGATGCGACGGAAAGTAATTAGAGAATTTTTCCTGCTAAAGGACAGACGTCGTCCTCTGTCGCTTTGCTGTGCTGCAATGACAGCAGACGGAAAGCAGAGACGAGACGAATGTACAATGTTGAGTCAAGTTGAGTCACGTTCAGCTGCAGCCACAATACACACTTTTTCTCCATGAAATAATAAATCCCCCCTCACCATATACATTATTACTTTTATTATTCGGTGGCCAGTGGGAATTACATTAATGGAAAGTAATTGTGTGAGTGGAAGGAGGGTAATTACCAAAAAGAATACTTGAGGGCCATTTTAACACCTCTACTATAACTGTAACTAAAGCATCATTGCTGCTTTGTTTAAAAGTGGCTTGAGTGTTAATTAACTTGCAAACATCTCACTAAAAGAAAAGTGTTCTTTTCTGTGGATAATCAACATTTAACTAAAAAGTTACACCATGATATAAAATCTGTTGAATTTCCTTAATTATTCATAAAAAATATATGTATGTTTTTCAATTTACACGCTGCACAGACATGTCCAAATAGAAAAACACAAAATATTGTAGAGACAAAAGTCTTTAATGATTTAATTTTAAATAAGGAGTGTTTCTCCCCCCCTCATGTCCTCAGTCAAACGAAGGATTAGACGTTTGTGGCCCGTGATGGAAACGTGACAAAAAACGCGACAACATCAGGCACTTAAAAGCCTGTAATGTTGAATCCTTTAGCCGCTGATTACTGTCGTTCTGATATCGGCGCCGTTGTGGCCTTTAGCCGAGTGATCTGACTCACCTCAAGCCCATGAAGGCTTATTCACTCTCTACATTACTAGAAGAATTCTGGCTTATTTCTGTGTGTGCTTTATTAATGCACATTGCACATATTAGGCAGAGTAAATATGATAATGTGCTCTGTCAGGGAGTAGAGGGCCTTGCTGGTGGACTCTTGGCTTTTATCCCTTTTTTGCTGATTTTGATGTTTTGCTCGAGGCACACAAACTGCAAGGATTTCTATTCCATGAAATCCCAAAAGTTGAGGAATGCAGCTTTCAACAAGATCCAAAAATCTATTAAAAAATGTTTAATTGAGTACTTCAATGTTGGATTTTCAATTTGTGAACAGATTGACATTACGTGGTAAATACTGTTGTTTTGTGTTTTAATGGGAGTGTAAAAATACCTTCTGGCTTTGATGAAGAGGTTTGTCATCGTGACTCCAAAGGTTTTAGATTTTCTGGGGGAAACGGGAGGTTTTGGCTCCGGCGCTGATGAGTGAGGGCAGAACGGAGACACGAGGCCTCGGGGAACCGCCGGCTGGACGCATCACTCCGCCTACCTGATGGCTGCTCAGGTGCTCGGCGCGTGGACACATTTAACGGCACGCCGGGCCGACCGGCTGGAGGAGAATCTGTGAGAAGCACTTCAACCGGAAACCGTCACAGCTGCGCGGGTGTCCTTGCCACGCCGTCGCTAAGCGAACACCGAACCGAACAGCGAAACGCCCCTCGCTCGCTCTTTGAAACCCCGTCGCCGTCGATTAGCGAGTGATCGTGCAACGTGGTCGCGAGACGAGGTCGGACTCCCGTCCTTCCAGCCGGCAGACGGCTGCGCGGGTCCAAACGCTGACGTGCTCCCCCGGTGGGGTGACCTTGGTGTGGGGCAGCCGGATTATGGTAATCTCCCCCCCCAGACTCCCGCTTATGTCGCGTCCTCGGTCTCACGGAAACACAACTCCAGGAGCATATTTGCACGTCCGCTCACTCATTTCCTAAATTGTGTCCTCCTGCTTCTGTGGTCAAAGGCCATGCTGCATATGCACACACACACACACGCACACACACTCTCCCCCGGATCAGGTATGATTGCACTGTCCTCCTGGTACCGTGCAGAGCTCAGAGGATGTGACTTGCAGAGACGATTGATTTGTTCCTGAGCCCCGTCCCTCTACAGAAGCATAAATAAGACCGTGTTCTTCCCCATGTGACACGTTTGGACGGAGCAGAAAACTCTTGAATGAATAAAGTTCCATGACACTGTTTGCTTCTATCCCCTCAGCGACGCGGCCGGTTTGAATGCTCCTCCACACTGAACATCAGTCCCATTTGCAGACTTTGTCTTTGGGTGCTGACGGGTTTTCTTCCCTCCCGTCTGCGCTCCACCAGCTCAGCGAGACGGCTGGAGGTGTTAGATTGGACGAGGACTGATTGCGACTCGTGCTTCTCCACTTAGGGGAGAGCACAATGATATTTCCCTTATCTCCTTCTGTCTGGGTGACTCAGACGAGTCCTTCTCCTTCCCAGGAGGAAAACCTCTTTAATAGTCCTCCCTCAGTGCGACAGCACTATTACAGTTGAAACGAGGCTTTGAAAAAGATAAATGCAGTTTCAAGTGATGAGCTTTTCAAATAGACTGTAAAATGGACAAAAGATCACGTGACCGATGGTCCGCTTGCAGTTGAGTCGCACTGACATTTAGTTATTTCCACTCACCTGCGTACAGTTTCTGCTCACATCCCAAAGCCAAAGCAAAAAAAAAAACAAGAAAGCAGCTTGAATGGAAGTGATACGGTTTATTAGGCAGCAGACGCAGCTGCAGAGACGGCAGCACATCTGTCTGCACGGGACGGATCCGTATGAGGAAATTGAGCACAAATACTGCAACTTCATCAGGGGAAACATTGCCATCGTATGAACGGGAAGAGCTTTCCCTCACTGATACTGTCCTGGGAGAGTTTGACTTCATTATTGAACACAATTGACAGAACTCCGTCACCCAAGATCGTTCTTCTCTCATAACAACACACGACAAGACAGATTAGAGGTTTATCCTCGCAGCGTATACCAAGACTGAATGAACAAACGCACAGCTTGGCATAGAAATATTTTCTTGTATGGGAGACTCGACTTGAATAAATAAAGTATCTTTCATTTTATCCTCTGATTTATCGGCTAAACAACCAAGAAATGTAAACACGAAGTGATTTGCTTCCATCTTCTGTCTTAAAGGAAGTAGATACGTTTTCACTTTGGAGTGAACGAGTTAAAGCTGCACTCATTCATATTTGGATGTTAACAATGTATCATCTAGATTTGTAAATAGTTAACAGCTCAGCGGTCCATCAGCTTCATGAGCCGACTGACAATGTGAAGAGAATCTAATAATAAAGATGTAATGTCACACCTGCAATAATATAATCAATGCAGTGTGATAGGAAACACATTGGATCATTTGCTGTCTAGACATCTAGTGCCATGGAAACGTCCTTTAAACATGCATTCGACATAATTTGATCGTCCGCAGTCAGTCACACTTCTCCTTGATAGTAAATAGTCTCTGTAATCACAATGAATACTTCCCCACACCGACTAGAGAGCACAGCGTGAAACGGTTGATACGTGTTTCTGCAGAGGCATATTTTCCACGGATTAGAGGATCTACTTTTGCTCCATCGCGGCCCCTCGGGCCCCGTCGGAGCCCGGCCACGGATCAGCTTACTGCCACTTGTCTGCCCCTCATCCCCCAGAGAGCGGAAACACCGAGCCGACCCGCAGCCGGAGGGCGGCCCGCAGGAACAGTGGTGGCGTTTGACGGAGAGGCTCGGGTTCGCCCCGAGCTGCATCGGGGATTATCACGGCCGTGAGTTCTGGCATCGTTTCCGCTGTCTGCACTGCGGCGCGCTCGTGGATGCTGCAAAACTCACAAAAAAAAAAAAAAAAAGATTTGAGGATGTTGATGAAGACTTCGGGACGGCGACAAGAAGTAATCTGTGCACGAGCTGGAATGTGTCAGCTCGGCGCTGAAATAATCGCACACCTAAACCCTGAATCTTAAATCCCCCCCGAAGCAGCAGAGCCCTCATGACAGCACTGTTTAATATTCCTCATGAACAGGGAGCCTCTCAAAGCAGAGCGAGCAGCAGCGGGGGGGCGTTTGTTTCCTCCCCACGGACCCCTTCTCTTCCTCTTTGCCGGAGGTCTCCGGTTGTCTCCTCGTCTTCTTTTGGCGCATCACCGACGAGTGTCTCGGTGCAGAGGTGGTCCTGTGTTAACCAAGCAGCGGCAATGAGACCCTCCAAGAGGCTTCGTTCAGGACGTAATAGATTGTATTGAGATGTAGAAGAACTCGTAAAGTTGCAGCCAAACAAATCTGTTGAACGATTGTGACTATAACTCGATATTGGGCCGACGTCCGTCAGGTGGCCATAATGTTTATGCGGATCTAGGCGGGTGTATTTGTACACGATGCATTACGGTATCATCAATACAGCATCATTGTGCTTCTAATCTTTCATAAAATAAGATGTTGTCTCTTATCATTCACTTTGCTGAAGCCGGAAGACAAATTCATGAATATGTCAAACTTAATTGCACTGAATCGAGAGCAACAGACGACACAAAACGACCTGTGTGGTTCGCTGCCTGTTGGAACCTGTGACTCTCCAGCTGAAGAGCCTCCTTCCTCTGCGCAGTGAATCCTGGTAGAATGGCCCGAAGGCGTCGGGGCGAGATGAGTGACTCAGGATCGCTCTGATAAGCATCCGGCCTTCCATCCTCACGCACACGCACACACACACGCACATTATAGATCTGAGTCCACAACTCCAGCGAATCCCAGCCGTGATTAAAAAGGGACGGCTTTGTTTTATCGTCCCTCTCCGCTTCCCTTTATCAGCTCGTTTTGGCGTAATTAACAGTGCCGACTGATTTCTGTTCTACTTCCCAGTGTCTCTGCAAACTGGTGCATTCCGGAGGTACAGCTCAACACACGCGTTATACTGAGATACACAACCATGTACAAAGCCAAACGCACCAATGTGCAGACCAGTGTGAGCTCCATCCTCCATCTTAATCCGAGATATGAGTTTACTGTTACTGTTAAATGGTTTTAATGCAGCATCTTACTGCGGTTCTCACCGGCTGACATTGACGGCAGGAAATTGTCCCTCGCACTCGCTGTTCATTATTTGTGAATAAATGTTTTGCATTTGCAAGCTACAAATAATGTCTTGTGGTTTTATAAACCCCCTGAAGGTCAACTGATGTAGTCCCTGAGGACAAAGGAGGAAGGTGAACTGTGCTGCTGCGTGATGAGTAACCCGACTCTCCCTTTCGTTTTGTCCCTCTGCCGTCCTCTGGTGTCCTCCTGTGTCTCCTCCTAATGCCACCCGGTCTGTCCGTGTCTCTCTCTGCAGGCTCGCTGACCGTGTCCATCACCGACATGCGTGCTCCGGTGGTGGGGGGCTCCGGGGGAGTCTACGCTCTGTGCTCAGCGCATCTGGCCAACGTCGTCATGGTAACCGGCATCATCATCATTGCCTCCATTGTGATTTTCCAAAGTCATTCTTCAGTGGCACTGAAATGTCAAAGGCTTCCACGCGATGTGAGATGGACACCCACAACATGATTTCCATTATTTATAATATATATATATATATACTATATATATATATATATATATATATGTACACACACACTATAGACGTGTGTGTATATTCCCTGCTACAGTCATATCACATTGATTTTTTTTATTTATATATTTTACCGCTCAGCTGCTTTTGGAAATATAGCATTGAATATTCCATGTGGCCTCTTCGGAGAAGCTCTTTGAACCTTTTTGTTTAGAACATAACATGTTTTCACTTAATTAATCTAAAGTGAACTGGCATTCCAGAGCCTTGTGTTAATTATTGAGACTGTGTTTATTTACGGCCACTGACGGAGCGCGCGGTGGATTCTCCTGATGCTGCTTGAGAGCTTTTTGTTTTTACAGTATTTATTTGTTTATGTCAGGAGGTTTACATGTGAAACGTCTCGTGCTCTCCAGCTCTCGAGGCGGCGTTGCATCTGACAGACGACGTTAGCTCACGTCGCTGTTCACTCTGGGCAGAGATGGAAATCGGCGCGCGCCGCCGAGCGGAGGCTGTTTGCTCTGAGCAGCTGACAGTTTATTTCCTCTTTTGCCCTCGATGCCGGTTGGTAGCTGGGAAATCCTTTGAGGCGCGTCTCAGTTCTCCTCTCGCGAGTTTTGTGATTTCAAAGGGAAATCTTCAAACCTTGTCAGGTGTCGACCCGGTAAATCCCCGTCCGTCTCCCACCCGACGGCGTCACCCGACTCACGGCTCAGACTAAAACCCGAACCACGAAGAAAACCCATTCAGCAAAAATCCCCCCCGTTAGTGTTTGCTTTTCACATTCGCTCTTTCTCTGCGTCTCTTTAGTCTCTGTTTCAATAACGTGACGTCTAGCGGACTAAATGGATTGGCTGCTGTTTGGTTAAAGATCGGCCTTCTGCAGCATCACCACAGCACCACCAGCTCGCTCTCCTCCACGATATTAATCATGTACGTGTGGAGGTCTTTCAACAGAATGGTGCTACTCCTTGCTTTGCTTTTAAAGGTCTGGGCAGGTTTTATTTATATTCTTCTGTCTTTTATTGAGCGCGGCCTTCTTTTCTGCTGTGGGAGAGGAGAACAAACACAGGAGAAGAAGAAGTTGGGACGTGATCGGTACGCTCCATCCCAGGACGTAAACGCGTTATTCTAAGCCGGGTTGTTCCTTCCCGCCCTGAAGAATCACAGCGGCGTTGTGTTTGCCATTTTCTCCCCGCCTGTTAAATTATCTTAACCCCAATTAATGTGGTGCCACCGGGCTGGAATCAGTAAGCGGAGAGCAGCCAGGTGAATAATCGCGTCTGTGTGTGTGTGTGTGTGTGTGTGTGTGTGTGTGTGTGTGTGTGTGTGTAAGTGCTTCGCCGTCTCTCACATCAATCTACGTCGTCACTCTTTTAGTTCTACGTACGACCGGAGGACAGAAACTTGCTCATTCCATCGGTTGTTTTGTTGCACTCATGTGTCCGTCACGGCCTTTGGTGTCGTGACGCTTTATGCTAAACGAGACACATTTTGCTCCGTGTTGCAGAACTGGGCCGGGATGCGTTGTCCCTACAAGCTGCTCCGCATGATCCTGGCGCTGGTTTGCAGTAAGTTGTCCAGATTTACTCTCTGAGCCCTCTGCTTGTGTTCTTGCTGTTGTCATTTTTCGTCTGAAACGCAATGCAAACGTCTCAAAGCTCATCCGAGGACACGGCGCGGTGCGGGACGCTCCGTGGTTAAACGTGGTTCTTTGTTTTTTCGAGGCGTCCGAGTCAAAGCACTTGTCTCTCTCCTCGAGGACGGATGCACTGTGACTCTCATTAGTGAGCAATATGTTCCTTCCATCTGTCCCGAGCGGGACGCCCACGAACCGAGAGCGGCGAGTCTCCTCGTGTTTTACGAAACCGAGGATTCAGCTTTTCTCAATTAAATGTGACACACGGTTTCTGTGAGTGGTGCTAAGACCGAATGAACATTTGCTCTGGTTTTATGCCACAAGTATTTATTCAGCTGAGACTGAGACGGTAACAAACAACAGCAAATTACTTAAATTACGTAAATATCTACATTGTGTGAGCTTTCTTTGTCTGCAGAACTGTGGGGAAACATCTACTCCTCTACGCTCGTATTTAGGAAACAACATTAAGACCCCGTTTACACGATGGGAAAACGCATATATATTTTCATGCGTTTTGGCCTTTCATTTACACAAAAACGGAGGTTTTATCACGGAAAACGATCATTTCTAAAGACTCCGGCCAAAGTGGAGATTTCTGAAAACTCAGTTTTTGTGTTTGTAAATGTGTAAATGTGGCCTAAGTCAACTCAGGGATTTGGCTTTTGAAATCTCAAATTTGTGAAATGTATTCACACTCAGATATGTAGATGATCTCACTGTCAGACTTGTTCCCCACTGCTTCCAGACAGGGTTTGATTAACAGGTTGTTCGGTCACAAGCAGACTACTAAAGCAGTTCTGTCTCTCTTGTCTCCTCTCTCCTCTCCTCTCTCCTGTCTCCTCTCTCCACTCTCTCCTCTCTCCTGTCTCCTCTCCTCCCCTCTCTCCTCTCCTCTCTCTCCCCTCTCCCCTCTCCCTCTCCCTCTCCCTCTCTCCTCTCTCCTCTCTCCTGTCTCCTCTCTCCTCTCCCCTCTCATCCCCTCTCTCTCCTCTCCCCTCCATCACATCTCTCCCCTCACTCCATCTCCTCTCTCCCTCTCCTCGCTCCTCCTCTCCTGTCGCCTGTCGCCTGTCTCCTCTCTCCTCTCTCCTCTCCCCCTCTCTCCCCTCTCCGTCTCCTCTCTCCTGTCTCCTCTCTCCGGTCTCCTGTCTCCTCTCTCCTCTCTCCTCTCTCTCCTCTCTCATCCCTCTCACCCTCCCCTTTCTCCCATCTCCTCTCCGCCTCTCTCTCCTCTCCTCCCTCTCCTCTATCCTCTCATCCCCCCCTCTCATCCCTCTCTCTCTCCTCCTCTCTCTCCCCTCTCTCCTGCTCTCTCCTCTCTCCTCTCCATCTCTCACCCCTCTCTCATCTCTCCCCTCCTCCTCTCTCATCCCCCCCTCTCTCTCCTCTTCCTCCTCTCCTCTTTCTCCTCTCTCATCTCTCCTCTCTCATCCCCTCTCCTCCTCTCTCCTCTCTCCTCTCTCATCTCTCTCCTCTCTCTCTCTCCTCTCTCCTCTCTCCTCTCTCCTACCTCTCTCCTTCGCTCCCCTCTCCCCTCTCTCCTCTCTCCTCGGCAGTGAGCTCAGAGGTGGGTCGGGCCGTCTGGCTTCGCTTCTCGCCCCCGCTGCCCTCCTCTGGGCCCCAGCCCAGCTTCATGGCCCACCTGTCGGGGGCCGTGGTGGGCATCAGCATGGGGCTGTTGATCCTGCGCAGCTACGAGGAGAGCCTGCAGAAGCAGTGCTCCTGGTGGGTCATCGTCTTCTCCTTCATCACCTTTCTCCTCTTTGCCATCTTCTGGAACATCTTTGCATACGAGCTGCTGGGGGTGCAGATACCCCCTCCTCCCTGATGAAGGCCCCGCCCCGACAGCCCCCTCCACATTCACGATGACCCCCACCCTGCTCCAAACAAAGGTTCCCCTTGGAACACAGTTAGCGTTTCCTCTCACGTTAGCCCCAAAAGGATATGAAATCATTCGAAACTAAAACTCCTTTTTTACAGATACTTTGCAGATCAAAGAAATATGTCTCTTTTATTAAAGAGGGATTACGGTAGCAACGAGTACATGTGAAAGTCCCTCAGATCCATTTTGAAGAGCATAACATCTTTTTTTATATACGTTGAAAACTCACGTGACCAGCACTAAACTTTAAACGAACGTCTTTGCTTTTGGAGTTGATGACCTGCGGGCGGATAGAATAGTTGATGCCTGAAAATGCTTCAAATCACAGCAGCAGCTGCTTTAAAATGACAAACCGAAGGAGCGTTTTGGAAAGAGCACATTTATTTCTAGATGCAGCCGCCACAGAACACAGAACATGAAGTATGATTGCTGATGTGGATTTTTTTAATTCACCGCCTGCTGAAACCCAATTAACAGAACCTTTATCAAATTGTGCTGCTAAGCAGGATCTCCTGCCCGATTATAGAACAATAGTCAAAATTCTTTGCTGTGCAAATGGCTTTCTGGGAGCAGATACAGGAAGAGTGGAGGAATAAAACGCTTTTTAAAAGAACACATGTGGAATACCTTAAAGGCATCGCTGTCATTTTCATTTCACGGGGTCTTAACTAATTAAAAGGCATCCATTTTTATTTCCAAGACTTAACACCTGCACACCTAAGTTTCCTGGACGGTCTGGAACTTGTTGCCGTGTCAAACTTAAACTCCAACTCGCCCGGCGCGCCGTGTAAAATACGCCATGTCATGCTCTGTGGCTCTCAGCGACACACACACACACACACACACACACTCACACACACAATACTGGCCTCTGCCTGTTCTCGCTCTGACAGACTGAACTGGGGAGGGCAAAGGATGTGTCATCACCTGACCTCTGACCTTTTTGTCCCAAAGGGCATGTGTCTCCGTCAGGCCCGGTCTATACCTCACTTCTCATTCTAAGGGACTGTATACTTTTGTAAAGGAATGTACCTATAAAGAAAAGAAAAAGGTGTTAATGAGCTGTCCCCTTTTTTGATTTGATTGTGGATGTGTATAATGTACGTTCATAACCCTGAGTATATTTATTTGTGTTTCTTTCCTCTTTGAGAGGGAAGAAAAGAGTTTCAAATGGTGCAAATGTCATTCTACGATTGTTCTGATAAATCCTTTGATCCTCTGAAAAGTAGTATTTGTTGACAACCGATTGGCTCAAGCTTGATTTTATAAATCTTCAGTTCTTTACAAAAATAAGCCATAGAAAGAACTAATTGGTAAGAGAAGATGGTTGTCGGTAGCTGCAGTGACACTTCATTTTATTTTGAGTGCGATCAAACATCATTTGTTGATTGTGAATATTCGACAGGTAAACGAAGACAAACTGCGAGTACGAGTCTGTGAAACTCTGCACTGATATTTTCACGTAGCGAAACTCATTTTACAGCTTGTTTGCAGCTTCATTTTACAGGTGCCCACATATCACTCCGTCCGCTGCAGCTCGTCTTTAGCAAATAACAAATTATGGACAGAGCTTCTGTCATACATTATCTCCAGTGACTCAAGCTTTATAGAGAGCTGAGGCGAAGAGGGCGATTCCACTTACTCACGCCACTGACTTCCAATCAATAATTCAATTCAATGTCCACTTGCTCACAGAGGGGAAAAATGTATGCGCTTGCCAATTTTTATAGTTAGTTATAAATACATTCCTCTGCATTTGCTTCCTCGTGAAACTGTCAGAAGTAACAAGACTTTGTGTGAAATGAGGAAATCCGTATTAAATAGCCAGAAAAGGCCGTTTTCAGTGGCATTAAAAAATAAAAGATCAGCCAATACATGGTAATGGATCCATGATAGAACTCCTGCGCATACTTGGAAATATTATTGCTTGGCACAGCAAAGATGCAGCGATGAATAATTCATACCCTGTTAGCCTGTAATAAAGATAGAGAGGAGGTTAACGCACCGCCTCCCCTGAAGATTCATAGGAACCAAACAGGTTTGTAAAAAGTGCTGGTGAATGTTTTTCGGAACACATAAACTGTGAATATTTACCCCTCTTGGAAGTACATGAACGACACTGAACTATGGAGGTGAAATGGCTGGTTTTTATTTATTTATTTATCTTCTCAGAAAAGCAGACAAGAGCATCGTAAACAGAAGACAATGTGCTGTATGTGTAACCTAAATGACCAGGTGCAGGGAATAAAAAAACCCTCCTGTCTCATAAAAGCCTTCTCCCGCTCTTCAGGGAAATGGGTGATTGAGGCCTGACTGGCACCGTTTGGCTCGACGGTACGCGGCGGTTTGTAGTTTGGGAGGGATGGCAGCGCAGCAGATACGACATTGCTTAAAATGTTAAAAAGTTTTTAAAAATAATTTATAAAGAGCCTCTGCAGCGTTCCCAGTGTCGGGATGATGCGCGGCTGTTGCCGGGATACAGCGGAGCCTAAACAGGACATCTTCCTTCAATAAGTGGATCTGACAAGCTGCATGATGTTAATCTCATTGCTGCCGTTTGAGTGACACATTTGTTTTCGACCGTATAGGAGAGGTGGCGTGAGCTGAGTGGGAGCAGACTATTAATAACATGTGATCCATCACTTCGTATAATCCCCCCCCTCCCCCTCCCCTTGGTGGGTCTCTATACAGCTATGACTGCGATATGAGGTCATTCTAAAAGGTCAAAGCCGTTGCATCGGAGTCTCACGTGACCACACGAGCTGCAAGAATGCAACAGACTTGACAGGTTTCTTATATTCTTGTTCCTGTATTTTGTCATATGTGGGCCTTTCCTTTTGCACCTATGATGTACTTGACTGACATGTTTCCATGTGCCATATTCTCTACTGCCATAAACATTCGTTGATGCTCTTTTTTTTTTTTTTTGTACCTCCCAATGCCAATCCATCTTGCTGTTATGCCCAATGCCTTGTTCTCATATCTGCGCCCGATGCTAAACACCACTTTGCGTTAGCTGGCAGCTGTTTGGTGTTTTACTTACGTGATCATGCACACAATCTATATGAGACATTGATATTAGTAAATATAAATACAGTAGTACAACAAGATGGCCAGGTTGCCTTTTCTTAGTGTTTGTGGCTACTTAGATATCTCCCTGCAGGTAAAGCGGGATATTAAACCTGGACTTTGGAACTTGAAATGATGGTTCAAGGTTCCGACGCCCCCAAAGGTGCAGATGTTTGGCTTTAGTTCTGAGAATACTCTGGATATTGATGCATTAAAAAAGTTAAATGTGTTAAGATTTAGATTTTGGGGGTATGTTTTCTAGTTTGGAACAGAGAACAAGTTTTCAAGTCTTATCAAAGTTAAGGATCATTTTTATTTTCCCCAAAAACTGCCTGAGCCACTCGGTGTCATGCAAATATCAACAGGAAGTTTCCTAAAATTACTAATTTCCCTCTGAAGGTTTAGAAGTAAAGAAAATAAAGTAATATCTGTGCTGTTGTTAGATTTTCATGAGTTGCTTACTTGAATTGATAAAAAAAAATGGTGCCAAGCCAACTCGGTTCAATCTCTCAGACCAGACGGGAGATTTACCAACGCAGCGTTTACAAAAAGAAAAAGAAGCTATTTTTCTCGGGCATCAGGAAACTAAAGGAAAACTAAATTAAATATGGATAATTTATATCAAAGTCATTAATTATTTCACAATCTACTGTACTTTTTAAATGTTCTGAAGGGAACCATTTTATATTGTGTATATATATGAATATATTGTTTTATTTTGTACTGTCCATTGTACTTGGCTTTAATTTAGAAACTATAAATAAAGAACAATACTGTGGCAATGTCAAACTGCTGTTTTTAGTGTTTCAGCACAAAACCATTATTGTGCTGCAACTTACAACTGTATGTCTAAACTACATGATACCAAACTAAAAAATGCAAATACTCAATGTAGTCAATTTTATATGAAGGCTTTATTATGGAAAAAAACAAAATAAACTGACAATAAAGCAAATTTAATGTAAAAATATTTGTGGAATACTTGGTTTTTATCTTGTTTTGAGCTTTTTTGTCGGTCTCTGGTCGACTTTGACGTCTGGGCACTTCTTCACACTGCTGGCCTTCACATCTACGTCCTCTGGGGTTGGGGGCTGGTGCTGTTTGGCTGTGGTCCATGCCCACAAGCACAACTCCAGCCTGTGGGGGGTCCAGTCCTGCTGGGGATCCACTGGGGACGAGATGAGAGGCCAGAAATCAAATCCCGATATGCGGTGCATAAAAACCGAGCCCTGCTTCTTAATGTTTTGAGCCCGAGGACGTTCAGCAAATGCTTCAGAAGCGGATGGTGTATTTGTTAGTTCACCTTTGTTTAGTTTTTCAGTGCGCTCGACCATTTTGCCCAAGTAGAGCGCGTAGTGCTTGGCTGTGTATTGGACGGGCTTTAGTCCTGGTACGCTCTCCGTGGCTTCATCGGACATGAATGCTGCCTGTTCTGGAGCTCCTGCTGCCAACACAGCTGGAACAAAGTAGACCATCAGTCCAAAGCCATGGGTGCCTCCACGAGGTGAATGCAAACAACACACAGCAGGGAGTCCCGGCCACTCGGCTCCCCCATGTACAGACTGCTCTGTGCTTTAAAAGTGTCACGAAGATGTGTGATCGATAAGATCACTTGAGCTCTTATCATATTGAGGCATATTCGTTTGTTCTGTTGTGCTGACCTGAAGCGGTCGCCGGGCCCACTCCCTTCAGACAGCACAGCTCCGCGATCGCTGCCGGCACATCAGGCAGGGAGGCCGAAAGCCTTTCTGGAACATTTCTCCACGGCGCACTCGCTGTTGGAAGCCACCCAGCTGCGGCAGCCTCTGCCTGAACTTCCCTCTCTGAGTGAGAGTGAAAGCACACACACACACACACACACACACACACACACACACACACACACACACACACACACACACACACACACACACACACACAGGGCCCCTCAAGGACGCAGTTGATGCACTGATAGCGCGAGTGACTCTTCATAGCTATCCGTCAAAGCTATTTGATCCCGGGGGGGGGTTATAATGTCAGAACAACACTTACAGTGAGCTTCCACTCCATCAGTTTCACCAGCTCCGATTGAGTGACGTGTTTGTCAGGTCGACCTGATATGAGTTTGGGCAGCTCCTCCTGGTACCTGTCCGCAGATAAACGCAGGTTATTTTCAGAACCTTTAATCTTATTCACAAATCAAAAGGTTAATTCAAGTGCATTTCACACATTTACAGTTACTTTGTCTCATTTCTACATTTATAAATGTAGATATATATTTTTTCATCAACATCATCAACACATTTGTCATTTGTCATGGAGGTAACTGACATGATGGGACAGTCATCAAAGTGAAAATAATTAATTTTGAATGACTCAGAGATAACAAGTTATGTATGTCTGTTGCTGCTAGGATTAATGATTTACCACTTGTCGAGGTGAAGCAGCTTTCCAGGTTTCTTGCTGTTGGACTTTGCCTCCACTGCATCCCAGTAGCTCGCATACGCACTCCTCCATGTTTCTGGGTCCTCGCGTGGAAACAGGGCGCTCATGTCAGCTGAGAGATCACAACATCACCCGCAGACACACAGCAACATAACCCGGAAGTCAGCTTTTAAAAAACTCTGTTCTACGCGGATTTACTGCAGCTTTATGCTACGGCGACCTTCGTTTGGAGGACAGCTTGAAACAAAATAAAAACAAAGCCCGATTTCGCCCCTAAAACGGCTGAGCGAGTTGTGGCGGAGTCACGTGGCGATGCTGATGTTATGAGATGCCACTTTCATTAGAGAAGGAGAAGAAGAGAGAGAATTACTACTTCCACGAGAGAAGAAGAAGAAGAGAGAAAAAAAATCTACTACTTCCGGTGCCGCAAGCATTGAGCAACAACCTCAGAAGGTTCGTCACCTGAGATACTTTTAATCGACTTTGCGTGGACCCCAAGTAGAATATATAAATACACGTATGCCTCTTACAACTATCTAACTTTCTGATATACTTGCAAAACTTGTGTCGTGCGCGTTTTGTCTGCGCGGAAGTACTCGGTAGCTAGGTTAGCCTGCTAGCTTTAGCATCACATTCCAGTCGTGTTCGCGGTGCGCGCTGTGGATTCATTGAGTTCAGCTGTGTGAAGCCTCTAAAGCGATGGAACTGACGGATGCACGTCCCGCATCTCAAACATCTCAAATGTTACCCTGTTTCTGAGGAAAGTGAACTACCGTCCACGCACGAAATCCAGCGTGTGACATTATTTTACCAGTTGAGTTGAATAGTCTCAATGTGATTTAAATGGCATTCCACTGGAGGGACGAGGCTCTCCCACTCCGTTTGTTTACACTATAATAATATTATAATATAATAATCATCTTAAAGCAGCAATTAATCAATCAGCTGCTCGAGGGAGAAGCTGGTCGACGCAAACCAAACTTCAGCACAGGAGAATGTTAGTTAGAGAAAACGAAACCGAAGTTAACAATGATAATCTGCCAGTATTCAGATCTTGAAAAGTGTCTGAAAATAAACCACTAAATAAAGTGACATACAGTATTTATATGGAATTTTAGCTTCCCCATACTGACGAGATGTTTGTATTTAATGGTCAGTTTTAGCTTCCACGTCTTCGGGACCAAAGTGTATCTAGATAACGGCTCATCTGACAATTCGATGTCTCTTTGTTTGTAATGAACGTAAAATATCTTTCAACACAGATAATGCTGTAAGCGCATTGCGATGCCAAACTCTCGCTAGTATTTGGCTCTCATGGGAGCACATGAAGAGGACTCTGTGCTGCTGCAGACGTTGACGAGGCCGGCAGTTCTTCGAAAAGTAAGTTGTGTCATCTAAAATGTTAAACACACGTAAATGTTGCTCTCACTGCCACCATCAAGTTCTGTTTACATCTGACATTGTAGGACGCCACCTTCTGGGGGATTGTTGAACTCCTTCAAAAACATTTTTACATCTCGCTCGGATTCTGTTTTTTCAGTAACGCTGGCTATATTAACATAATGCGTCTTGGGTTTAAGTAAAGTCTATGTCGTCCGCTTCAGGAACATGGAAAAGATGTCACGGGTCACCACGGCGCACAGCAGCGCCATCAGTGGCCGAACTATGTTCTGCCACTTGGACGCTCCTGCCAACGCCATCAGCGTGTGCCGGGACGCCACGCAGGTGGTGGTTGCCGGCCGCAACATCTTCAAGGTCTACGCGCTGGAGGAAGAGCAGTTTGTGGAGAAGCTGAATCTGCGCGTCGGCCGCAAGCCGTCCCTCAACTTTAGCTGTGCGGACGTGATGTGGCACCAGATGGAGGAGAACCTGCTGGCCACCGCGGCCACCAACGGGGCGGTGGTCACCTGGAACCTGGGCAAGCCCTCTCGTAACAAGCAGGACCAGCTGTTCACAGAGCACAAACGCACCGTCAACAAGGTGTGCTTCCACCCCACGGAGGTCTACATGCTGCTGAGTGGCTCGCAGGACGGCTTCATGAAGTGTTTCGACCTGCGCAAGAAGGAGTCCGTCAGCACCTTCTCCGGTGACGTGTTTAGTCATAAGCATCGGATTATCTGTATAAACTAAGTCTTTGCAGTGTTGTGTCCTGGAAATGTTTTGACATTATTCCGCCTCCCCCGCCTCCTCCCTCAGGCCAGTCGGAGAGTGTAAGAGACGTCCAGTTCAGCATTAAGGATTATTTCACATTTGCTGCAACCTTTGAGAACGGCAACGTCCAGGTGTGGGACATCAGGCGGCCGGACCGCTACGAGCGAATGTTCACGGCGCACACGGGCCCCGTGTTCTGCTGCGACTGGCACCCCGACGACCGGTAAGTTAAAGCGCCTTTTCTTCGACAAACACGGAAATTGGAGCTTTTCCTTTCTACAGATCGCCCTCTGTTCCTGTTTTTAGGGGATGGCTGGCGACAGGGGGCAGGGACAAGATGGTGAAAGTGTGGGACATGACCACGACCCGGGCCAAGGAGATCTTTTGTGTCCAGACCATCGCCTCAGTGGCGCGGGTTAAGTGGCGGCCTGAGAAGAAGTTTCACTTGGCCACCTGTTCCATGATGGTGGATCACAACATCTACGTGTGGGATGTCCGCAGACCTTTCATCCCCTTCGCCACGTTCGAGGAACACAAGGATGTGACCACTGGTATTGTGTGGCGTCACCAGCACGACCCCCATTTCCTGCTCTCGGGCTCGAAGGACAGCACGCTCTACCAACACATGTTCAAGGACGCCACGCGTCCCGTGGACAAGGCCAACCCCGAGGGTCTGTGCTTTGGACTCTTCGGGGACTTGGCCTTTGCCGCCAAAGAGAGTCTGATCAGCAGCGACGCCAACAGAAAGCCTTACCCGGGGGGCGACCGGCGCTACCCCATCTTTTTCTTCAAAAAGCCCGACCCGACTGAACAGTTTGCCCACGTGTCCAGCGCCCTCAGTGTCTTTGAGACGGACTTGGACAGCAACCGCATGGACTGGTTTGTCAAGACGGCGCAACTCTACCTCCTCTGTGGGAAGCCGTTCGCCGAGCTGTGCGATCACAATGCCGAGGTGGCCCGAGAACTCAAAAGACCTCAGGTCAGCCCGATCAATGCAAACAATCTTATTTTTTAAAATAATTTAGTCCAGTTTTCAATTTAAGTGGCGCTTTGACAGTTGAGTTAAAATGTTGAAACATAACTGTAAAACAATAACACCTTTCACCCTTGTTACTTACTGTTAAATGATTAATTGGTTACAGTAACGTCACGTTTTGACACATTACTTTCAATAGTACTCTTATACAGTATGTGTTTAGCAATCTTTTATTTTTTTAATACAAAGGTTTCCACAACATGGACCATGTTGAGAATTATGTTCTCTGACCCAGCAAACCCAACCACGCCCGGTCTAAAAGTGGGCACCTTGCCTTTAATGAACAGGTAGGTTATCTTCTTTGTCCGCCATTATAAATCCCGTGATCTCCGTCATCGCCTGATGCTGATGTACGCCGTGCTTTCAGCTTCAACATGAAGGACATGAGTTCGGGGATGGGCACGGAGAGAGGACTGGAGCGCTGTAAAGGGGAGAGCAGGCAGGACAACATCCACATGGACCTGGGGAACTTGCACATAAGCAATAACAATGAAGGTGAGATTGGTCGTTTAAACTTTGAGACTTCTGTTTTTCCTTACGTCCTCTGTATGACATTCGAGACTTAGGAAGTGATGTCTGTTTCCCTTCAGAAAACGAGGAGACGGAGGGCAGCGAGGGCCAGGCCGAGTACATGTTCGGTGATGCCGAGTTAGACGACGACGACCTCTACTCCATGGAGCACGAAAACCAAACCGGTGAGTCCTAACCCCGTGTCGGGGGACACTTTATCACTTCCTCCGTGCTCAGCGCGCTTTAGACTGATCTCATCTGCGCTCCTTTTGCCCCAGTAGAGGAGCAGGAGTGCACGCTGCCTCAGGAGGCCTTCCAACTGCGCCACGAGATCATGGACAACCCGTCTGCCCCCGAGCACCTCCAGCAGGACAAGGCCGACTCGCCGCACGTCAGCGGCAACGAGGCAGAAGTCACGTTTCTGACGCCCATCGAGTCCTTCTCCCTCATCTCCATTTCGCAACCGCTGTTTAGCCCACAGTTGCCTGCCAGCTTCTTCTGTCCCATTGTGCGGGAGATGCTGAGCTACTACGCCGAGCAGGGCGACGTGCAGATGGCCGTGTCTGTGCTCATCGTCTTGGGGGACAGGATCCGTAAGGAGATCGATGACCTCACCCAGGTAAGACCAACCGCATTAGAGTAATTCATGGTGGGGGACGCTCGAGCACCAACACAACATCGCAGTTTGGAAAACCCAAATCCCGATGCAGCTGTGCTTCCGTTGCAGGAGCACTGGTACATGTCCTACATAGATCTGTTACAGCGATTCGAGTTGTGGAACGTGTCTAATGAGGTCATCAAGTTGAGCACGTGCAGCGCCATCACCTGCCTGAACCAGGCATCTACAACGCTTCACATCAACTGCAGCAACTGCAAGCGGCCGATGAGCAACAGGGGCTGGATCTGTGACAGGTACGAGCCGGTTCCCCTGGGGTCCGCCTGTGCGCTGGTGTTTTTAGTCGCGGGGGTTGTTACACGGGCCTCTGACATGCGCCTGGCGTCTCTCCCGTAGGTGCCACCAGTGTGCCAGCGTCTGTGCCGTGTGCCACCACGTGGTCAAGGGACTGTTTGTGTGGTGTCAGGGCTGCAGCCACGGCGGGCACTTGGAACACATCATGAACTGGCTGAAGAGCAGCGGCCACTGTCCCGCTGGCTGCGGCCACCTTTGTGAGTACACCTGAGCCCCGCCTGTGGGCGCCGTTCCCACAGCCCGGGGCGCTCCGCGGGATCCGGAGGGAGATCGAGCCTGAAGCACATTCCTCCCCGTGGGCCTGCAGCCGCTAATCGGCCTCCGCTTGTGTTGGTTTGAAGTGGGATAAAGAAAAAAAAAAAGGGTGTACGGCGTCTGGAGGAAGAGGGTTTTATGCGCTCTCCTGGACGGCCGTTCAACAGCAAACGCATTCATGTTTGAATTCAGCCAATGGTGGTTGTGCTTATAAGCAAATGTTACAACAGATATTTTACAGAATGACTATATATTTTTGTTAATTCACACTTGCTGCATTTTACATTGTTTTTAAACCCCTCAGTGGAATCCTGAAGGCTGTAAAGCAGTAATTGCCCGTTGAATGTTCATGTTTGTACATAATGGTTTGTTATATTGAAGGAGTGTAGATAATGTTAAATTAATTTATATAAGAAATGGCTCTATTCAGGCAATACACTTGATTCAATCCTTGACCAGTGATGTCCGTTTTGTCAATTACATTTAACAGAAAGCGCCTGAAGTGTTTTTTAGCTTTTCTAATGAATCCCAGCTGACGTAGCCTCAATACATGGAGCCAGCTGCAGGTTCCAATGACCTGGATTCACCGCCCTCCCCCGGTGCGAGCGACGCAGTCGGGATAAACACTTGTGTTCGAGGGTACCTTAGTGCGTAAAGAACAACACACTACTTCATTCATTTTCCCCAAACACACGTCACTCTTCTGGGGCCCAGAACTCCGACTGGCTACCAGCCAACGTCTCAAGCCTCGAGTCCACCGGCCAGACGGCAGCGGAGAGAGAGAGAGAGAGACACGCGAGAGAAGTTTGGGAGCCAGCGGGGACGACCTCCACAGAACAGCTTTGTCTTGGCTCAAGTGTGATTGTTTGCCGCTAGAATCCCCGTTGCGTCCCAGTTCTGTTTATCCTGGTTGGCGGATTTAACGATGCTTGTGGTGTAAATCATCACTGAGAGATTCCACGCCAGTCTCAATTCCAAACACTTTTGGCACATTTACATTCTGGGTGCTGCTCGGCAAACAAAAGCGTTTGTCCTCATCTCCTGTCTGTCCTCACTGGTACTGTAACCATCATTTTAGTTTCTCAGTTCATTCAAAAACCCACAGGCTTTAGGTTGATGTTTTATCTGAGCAGCAACTGGTCAACACATCTCTTCCCCGCCGAGGCCCCCCGAGCACTACAGAGGACTTTCAGATGCCCGAGGACATCCGTCCGGAGGGAAGTCCTTGACCCAGAAGCTCAGTCTGCAAAGAACGGCCTTGTAGTTTCAGCCAATTAAGTGAAGTGACTCAGCGAGGGGGTAAAAAAGAAGTGAGGATCAGAGAAGCCTAGATTACCTGGAGTGTGGTGCATTGCTCAATGAGAACCATGAATCCAATTAAAGGTTTAATAAGTAAAGAAATAACTGTCGTAAATCATTTAAATCAACTATCCTCGGTGCTATTTATGTTGTCCTAATGCATGCTTAAGATTACAACGGATCATTTAAATTCATTTTTTCTGTGTACATTCACGTAGCTCTGCTTCTTCACACTCAACTTCCAGGCGACGAGGTTCTAATACAGCAAAGACAATCTGGCATTTTATAGATATGGGACAATTTGGGGGTTAGAAGGGTCACGTTTGGAAAGCTAAAAAGTAAATCTGATCGTAGTGTAGTTCTGTACAAGTGGCGATTCGCACACTTCTTGAATGCATTCAGCAGGACGTTATTGTCAAACGACGGCATACAAATACAATATTATTCAAATAAAGTTCATATAACTCTGCAGAGTCTTAACTGTGACTTTCTCTTCAGCTTGTGGCACGCACATCATTTAAGGCCCATTTCATGTTGAAAGCGTGCAGCTCTAGAAACGCTTCACAGTAGAACGGCCGCTTCCTTCTCTCAACACCACCGGACAGCATCGTGCAGCAGCTGCCGTCGCTCTTGGCTTTGTCCGGCGCGCTCGGGTCCATCGGCCAATCCGGGAGGAGCAGCGGGTCAGCTGATTTCCCCCCTCGGCGGGATGGGCCTCGTCCTCGGCCACCTCGTTGCAGTGAGATTGTTCAGGGTGGTTCGATCACCCTCCGTCGAATGTTGGCGAGAAGCCTCCTCGGAACAAGAGCACGGTTATTTTCTCTAGATTTACCAGTGGTAGAACTTTTCAGCGCTTTTTGTTTTTTGCTTTTTGTCAAAAGTAATCACCTGCAGGCGTTACGGCCGCTCCCAGCTGTCGGAGACTTTTTCGGGGGCACTGAGTCGCCTCAGACTGTGAAGCACCGTGTGGAGGGTCTCCGCTGTGATGATGAAACGAGCCGACGGCAGAATCAGCACAAAAAAACGCCGCCGCCGACGACACAAAAACCACCGAGCTGCTCGCCGTCTTACCCAGTTCTTCTTCGTGAGAAGCCATCTTCTTTACTAACTCGGCAACACCGGAGCTCCCACCAGCTGCAATGAAACAACGTACAATAATTAATTTATTAATTCCAGAAGGTAAGAAGGAGTTCCCCAGCGGAGGCCACCTCCACTCACCTTCCCCGCCGTCTTCTGCGGCGGTGAGGCAGGAGAGCAGTTCGGCGCTGCAGGCCCGGGACTTGGCCAGTGTGGCGCTCATCTCCTGCGCTAGCCGGTGGTTCTCCACCAGCTCCGCGTGGACCCTCCTCCAGGCCATCTTGTCCTCCATCAGACACCCCTCCATCACCGTACGCAGCTCCTTCTCCTGAGACACTTGGCTCTGAAGGCTCTCCGCCTCCTCGCAGTGCTAGACGAGGAGAAAGTCAGTTCAACGGGGCTGAAAGACGTTCCGGGTCGGGTCGGGAAGTGTGAAGCGGTTGCGTGAGTGTTACTTTGTGTAGCTGAATGGCCATCTCCTGCATCTCCGCCTCCAGCTGGTCGGCGTAGGCCTGTTCCAGAGCCTCGCCGGGTGGTCGCGCGTTGCTGTGCCATCTCGCTATGGCCGAGGTCATCTTCCGCTTGGGTCCGAACAGTCTGTAGGGCAAGAACAGGTTCAGCGTGTTACGAGTACAACAAAGGCTTTCATGAGTTAAAAAAGGGAAAGTGTCACTTACGTGATCCCTATTTCTTTGAGATCGTTCTCGGTCAGAGTGAGAAATATCCGCAGGTCGATGTCTTGCTCTTCAAGAACCGGGAGATACTTAGAGAAGCCAATTTGTTCCAAGAACTCTGCCAGATCCTGCAGAAATAGAATAGACTGCTCATGAGCCCACACACCATTATGGGTCCAAATATGAACGCATTAGAAAGTAAGCAAACGTAGACGTGCCTTTGGACCGGTGTAAGAGGGTGGAAGACCCCCATGGGGGAGCTTCCCACAGTTCCCCGTACCGCTTGATTGCGATGCATTGTTGCTTCCGTGGCGACTCTTCCCTTTGGAGTGATGGCCCTTATTTAGCCGGCGAGAGCTGCTCTTTTTGCACTGGTCGGAGTCCTGTTTGGAGAGAAGGAACGCCGTGTCAGAGCGCAGTCTGGTGGCCGACTCCCAGGGCGAGCTGCTGTGCTCCCGCGGTCACCTCGTTACTCTCCACCGAGCCTTCCCATTTGAGGCCGATCACATGAGGGAGGCCTTCGCTGCTGCTGCTGCTGCTCCTCATGGTGGGCATGTCGTTTTCGAAGAACGGACTGTCGTCTGTGGCGGGGATCACAACATATTGGATTGCTTTGATCGCCGAGGACTTCCGGGTCTTCCCCCTGTCACAAAGCCCTCGTAACCGTGTGGCTCTCACCTCTGCTGCTGTTGCTCTGGCCGTCCAGCTCGTTTATGGGCGAGGTGACGTCGCGAAAGCAGATTTCCTCACTCTGTTCACCGGCGTCGCGAATCGTCTTGAAGTTCTGAGGCGTCGCGGGAGGCTCTGAGGAGAAAAGTGGAATTAACAAACTACATTTTTATGAATGTATGCTAAGAGTGATTGTTTGTATTTCCCTTTTCAGAAACTTTCGTTTAATATGACCCTACAGCTAGTGAGGCTACAGGGTCGAACGCCGGACCGCTTATTATTATTATTATTACCAGACGTTTTGCTGGTGCCTCCCACTCGAAACTTGGCAATGGCCTGGGGGCCATCGTGGATGCTAACGCCTTTGACTCGGTTTCGACCCGGCCTGGTCCGCGGGGGTGCGCTGTCCGAGTCCTCGGAGGAGCTCAGGTCCTCAAAATGTCCTGACGAGTTGGAACACGCACAGAAAAACAAATGAATCTATCAAAATGAATATATAAAAGACGTGGGATGCGACTATATTCAGTGGAAATATGCAATGCTTTAACCACCGTTACCTAGTTTGTTCCTTGGCGAATGCGAGTCAATGAGGCTGACGATCTTGGTAAAGCCGTATAACATGGCCAGAGCACGGGCAGTCTCTCCTTTGCTGCTACGCTCGTCCACTTTAACCTTCTGCTAACGATCCAAACAAAGCAGATTTGTAGACCATGAAGTCTTTGCTGTGATGTTCATCCCCCAGCCTCAGATGCGTACAACCCTAACCCACTCACATGATCGAGCAGGTACTGAACAATGATTTCATGTCCCGAAGCAGCAGCCTCCATCAGGGTAGTGAAACCGGAGCCCGGCTCCCTGCGGATGCGAGAAGAAGCAATGACAACGTGTCTGAACCTCTGGAGTGAATGAATGGAGACACTCACTTGGCGTTGGCGTCGGCATTGTTATCCAGCAGGAAGCGGACCATCTGCTGGTGTCCTGTGCTCGTGCAGTGGAACAGAGCGGTCCAGCCTTGAGAGTCCTTCAACTCCAACTCTGCACCGTGCTGTCGGGAAAAGAAAAACAAGAAGCCTTTGTGAATAACACTGTTAAAATAAAGAACCGTGAATCCAGAAAAATAGGAGTATAGCTTGAATTCAACCAGAGATTGCAGATGTACGTCATCCTGTGAATTTGTTTGATCCAGATTTATGCTTTATGCATTTACCTGAAGCAGAAAGTATGCGATGCTTTCATTCCCACAGCTTGCCGCCAGCATCAAAGGGGTTAATCCTTTGTCAGTGGTCGCATTTACATTCACGCCGGCCTCCAGCAGGAGATTTGCGATGTTGTCGTGGCCGATGTAAGACGCATACATCAGTGGGGTCCACCCTCCGATGTTTTTGCCGTTCAGGTCCATCTCGCGCCTGAAAGCACACAAGATCATCGTTGTGGAGAGCGGCTTAGGGAGCCTCGATTACTTCATATTCTACAACTACAGCGATCGACGCACATTAACGAGGCGGCGGCTGAAACCAACACATCTGGTGACAGTAACACCATTCAGGCACCCACTTGTTAATACACTCCGCCACCACGTCGTACTGGCCGATGGAGGAGGCGGTGTGGAGGTCCAGGGGGACGTGCAGCTCCTCGGGTCTCACCAGGGACTCGCCCAGCCACAGGGACAGGCTGGACCCCAGCTGCTCCGACTCGCTGGCCTCGTCACTCAGTTCCGACATGTTTCTTCCTCTTCGCTCGTCCCTCCACGCGCCTGCAGACCGAGGGGGCCCTGAGACATGAAACAAGTTGTATTACGTAATGAGCAGACCACCCATGTGTTCTGATGATTAGGTTCCCCCGAGTTTCTCTTGAGAAGAACCATCATTTAATTTTTTTTTCCTCCACTGGAAATAGAAATCAAGGTTTCCCACGTTTCAATCTGAATCATCTCGTTGTACTTTCTGAGCTATGTTTTATGCATTTATTGCCTGAAAATGGCATATTTACGAATATGTCATCAATCATAACAGGAAAATAAAGGAGGACTCCACTGAGTGTCAGAATTATTATACAAACACGCATTTCACATGAAGAAAATCCATCATCCAATAAACATTCCGCTGATCCTCACAGCGAATCTCTCCCCTGGAGCCTTTAGCTAGCTAGCATTAGCTGGAGCCTCCAACTTTACCCTTTAACTTCACGTTAGTTAAATAAATGTAACCCTCGGGCATGAACCAGCACTCACCTAATTACATAACATTAATCAGATTAAACAAATGCACATGGCAACACTTAACCAACAAATAAGTTAGAATATAGGCGAACATCTGGCGTTAGAAACTTAACTTACAGGTACTGTTAAGTTTGTTTTCCCAACGGCTGACGCCTTCCTGTTTAGTGTGTCACGCTCAAATGGGCTCGTGTGGAATCAACTCCACCCCCCTCCCCCCCTCGTCTTTAAATGGTGACGTCACCGTTAAACTTTCAGAACCCGTTATGCACTAATACAGTCATAATGAAGTTGAAATCCGTTCATTCTTTATTTTACAGATTCATTTTTTTTAAACTAAAGGGATGATTGAAGTTCTGAAAATGTTCAGGTAAACAGCTGCAATGCTAAATGTAATAACATGATTAAGTGACAAATGACATAACATTACATTAGGGTTTCTTGTCTTAGTCAGGGACACTTCGACATGAGACATGGAGCAGCCAGGGTTGAAACCACCAACCTAACCCTGACATCTCCCGCATGACACAACCCATGAACCACTATATGTCTTAATGTGACGTTATGAATAAAAATGCATGTTCACCACGCTTATTAATTACACCTTCAAATGTTTGCAATAATTACCAAGCAACATTCTGTTACCGCTCTGACCTTCACCTAACAACACACCCGCAGAATGATAAAGTAGCTGCTGCTGAGGAAAAATGTTATACTTTCACACATACACCTATTTAAAAAATAAAAAGCATGCGAGAATACAAAAATCCTTTATTGAGACTGTTGTTACAAGTAGTCAGCAATTTAAAAGTTTGAATATTTCAAGTGTCTCCGGGGCTGGATCACAGAAAATTGAAGTGAAAGGCCTCCTTTGATGAGGTGAAGACAAAAGCGGAGGTCTCCTCCTGCGTCTTTGCACTCAGGTCCGTGTCCTGCACGTCATCCAGCTTCTCCGCTGCGGCGGGGGTCTGCTTGACCACGGCCCTCCGGTGGAATAATGGTTTCTTTGGAGATTGTGAAACAACTTTTACCTCAGCTGATGCAATTTCTGTTGAAAATAGAGAAATCTTTTTCGATCAACAGAACTTTGACCTAACTTGACATTTCTTTAACCGTTTTATTTGTATTTACTAGTCAAATAACTCTACTGCTGCAATCCACGTACCACTCTGTATGAGTCTGTACTGCCTGCTCTTCTCCTCGTCCATTTTCTTCCTGTAATCTCCGGTCATGGCTCTCATCACCTGCCTCTTCTTGGCCAGGGGAGCTTTTGAGCTTCGTAGAGTCTTCAGGGCGCGGGAGGCTTCCTCTTCTGCAGGGAGAAAACACGGTATGAACATGCGTGCTGTGTAGAACAGTGTGCAAAGCATGTTTTGCTCACGGATCACCGATGGAGTAAACGCCATACTCTGTTTAGGTGCAATCTTCTGGGTCGACATGGAACATTCCAGCTGCTCGATGCACCAGTCCAGCTGTCTGCTCAGCTGCTCCTCAGCACTCTGAAACACACAAATCCGTTGATCGACTTGAACATGCAATGATTCACTTAAACAAAATAACTCAATACTGACCAGCTCTGCGTCCTCGCCGCCTCGACCCCCCTCAGCTGAAGTTGCCGCCTGCTGTGCCTCTGTGTTGTCTGAGGGGTTGTTCTTTCCAGATTTGTTCTTCTTCTTCTTCTTTGGTTTTGATTGCAGTGAAGGCTCGGGTGGGGGTTTAGCCCCCCGCGGGGGGGAAGGCTTCGCCTCTCGGACGGCGTGTTGGCTGCTCGCAGAGGCGATGTCTCCGGTATCTGTCGTCTCCATGTTTTCCAGCGGAGGAATTTGAAAGTCGAAGGCAAAATCAGAGCCGGGTCCTGTGAGGGATGCGAGGCCGGCTGCGGGTTGGAACCCGGCGGGTGATGGAGACGTTTTCTCTTGAAGGGGTGGAGAACTGTCAGGGAGGAAGTTAAATCTAAAAGCGTCGTCACCGCGAGTCCAGAGGAGCTTGTCAGCTCTGTCGTCACCACGACCAGAGATGTTTGGCTTTGGTTCAATATCTGTTGAGGGAACATACACACCCAACTTTGTTGCATAAATTACCTTTAATCGTCTTTTTATTTAAATTCAGAACATAATCCAACGTCGTTAAAAAGCATTTTATGATTTGGATCATTTCAGTTCAATTGAAATTCAAATGAAACATTTTCTCAAAAGGATTATACGTCTTTTTCCTCAAAGACGTCCTACAATAGACCACACGTGCACAGTGTGAGGAGTATGTTTAGCTGCAGTTAAGTAAGATCTGATGTACCTACAACCAGCAGCTCTTCCGCTGCCATAATGTCACTTCCAGATGTTCAGGTGAACAGCATCTGTTGCTGAGGTGTTCAGCTCGACGCTTCGGGAGAACAAACTCGCTCAGAGGTTTCAGACAATATTTGTGAAATAGATCTATTTTCTGTTCGTTATTGTTGCGCTGGGAAAGACTTACCCGCGGTGTCACTGGATAACGAGTCCGTGCGGGGATAACTCCCCACCGACTGACGTTCCACCTGGTGGTGTTCCCTCCCGCCAGTTCCTGAGCGCAATTAAGTTTGAAATTAAGGCCCCAGTTCTAACGATTTAACTTTGGCAGCCTAAAAAACAACATCATGAAAAACAAAATTAAGGTACAAGAGAATATTTGAAGGAATTAAAGAACAAAACAAACATTGTAGCAATGTAGAGATGACAACAGCAAGCTATAGTAATGTTTCATCATAAACAGGCTTGATACACTGTATGGTGATAAAGATGATTTACAATAGTAAACAACATATGATAATCTCCACCATAATAATAATATTAATACATTTTAATAATTAAACACCATATGTGTTTTAAAAAAGGTTCATTTCTCACAAGCGTGTTGATGGTTGTCTGCAATCTGTCTCATTTCGCAGCTGGACCTTTCTCTTCGAAACAAGCACAAAGGATCAGATTGTTTGTGTCAGTCTGTTGTCGTGATGCTTGGCCACCGTCCGGAGTGTTACCAAACAGATGCTGATCTAACAAAGCTATGGGGGCATTACCAATGTACAGAATGACAAGAATAACAGAATGATCCATCAGGGCCCTGTCACCAGAAGCCTAACGCTGAATTTGTTCGTGACACTCAGTACAAACAGGTTTTCACACAATGCCGAGTGTGTTTATTTCATTTTTTCACTTTTCTCTTTTTTGTTACTGTAAGAGATCAATGAAGCCTAGCGCTGAAACGAAGATCAACTCCAAAATGTTACGCATTGTGAAGATTCAGTTTCCGGTTGATGAATGAATGAAAAACATTTTGAAAATGCTTCACTCTATGAGCGTTCTCCCAAATGCAGGGGCAGTGATTGTCCTTTCTCCCTCCACCAATCACAGTCCGTCAGAGATTTGAGTTTGGACCAATCCTGTTGGTTCGGAGGCGGGATTTCGGAGCGACGCGCCTCTGTGGCTATAAATACCACCTCTCGCGCCCTCCGCTCAGTGTAGAAGACTGACGTGACCACAACTCAGGCGATTTAACAGGCAAACAAACACACACGGTAACTGTTTACTTGTGGTTTTCTACATTTATTTTTTTCGTCGTCAACAATACGTTATAGTTGGGTCCCCGGCTGTTTGTAAGCGTTAAAATACGGCTGGACTGGCGGTTATCGGTGCCATAGCTAGAACGGTTAGGCTAATGTTTATTGTTGGCTAACCTTACATTTGAGATGCTAAGTTATATAAAAACGTAGACTTTTTGTTAAACCGCGTGCTATTAAAACTAAGCTTTACTTCATGTAAATGGTGTACCAGTCTTCTGTATTGTTAAACCCTTACCGGTAGTGATAGCTAGCTGGCGCCATTTTGCAACGGTCGGTGTTAGCTTAGCTTTAAATCCGCTCGCTTCGGCAAAGAAACGTGTGTTTGTCGTGTGGCTTAATGGTGGCTCGCTTAGGACGGCTCGTTTTTGTTCCCGTCTAACCGCCGGTGTAACGGTAGAGTGGATTCTATACCGGCATTTTAAGAAGTGTCCCCTGGCAGAAGGACTTTCCGCCAAGTTGCATGCTTTCTGTAGTACGGTCAACCCCGATAATTAACTTGATTGAGAATATTTTAAGTTAACGTTATGGTCTATTCGACGATGTCGTTTATGACTGAGTGACAACGGAGAAACGGCTAAATAGTGGATAGGGCTGTTATTGTAGGATTTCTTTTGCAATTAATGTTGTAGGACATTAGTCTATTTTACTGTTTGTTTTTCCTCATCCTTTTTTGTGTTTTTCTCCAGACCGCAGGTGAAATATGGCTCGTACCAAGCAGACCGCTCGTAAATCCACCGGAGGAAAGGCGCCTAGGAAGCAGCTGGCCACTAAGGCTGCGAGGAAAAGCGCGCCATCCACTGGCGGGGTGAAGAAGCCCCACAGATACAGGTGACCATACACATGTTGATAAGTCATGGTCGCCGTGATGTTGCAAGGCTGCCCGGGGCAACGTTCAACCACGTGTATTTCGTTAAGTGATGAGAGGTGGTTTTGGGGTCCTAATGTATCTCATCCTGGGATGTCTAGGCCCGGTACTGTTGCTCTGCGTGAGATCCGTCGTTATCAGAAGTCCACGGAGCTGCTCATCAGGAAGCTGCCTTTCCAGCGACTTGTGAGGGAAATCGCTCAAGATTTCAAGACAGATCTGCGTTTCCAGAGTGCAGCTATTGGTGCCCTGCAGGTGAGGTGGCATTTGCTTTCAGATTTGTAGTTAAAACGCTTGAGAGGCGACCCTGAATTAAGGAATCTCTTTGCTTTTCTTCTCAATGTAGGAAGCCAGTGAGGCATACTTGGTTGGACTGTTTGAGGACACCAACCTGTGCGCTATTCACGCCAAGAGGGTTACGATCATGCCCAAGGACATTCAGCTGGCCAGGCGAATTCGAGGAGAGCGTGCATAAATACTTGGATTTTATTGTTTTAGTAGGGGGTGGGTGGGGGAGGGTTGGTATGGGGGGTTGTTTTGTAAATCTTGGAACTATTGCCAGCATGTGTACCACCTAATCTTTCATGTGTAGTTTAGGCATGTTTTCCTTCTACTTCATTTTATCTTTTGACTTTCTCCCTGACTGTCTCATTCACTGTAGAGTAGCGCTTCATATTTGAAAAACAAATTTCCCCTTTGCCTTTTCTCAGGTTCGCAAATTATTTTAGAATCTACCATTTCATCCTGTGTGCATGTCATGGGATTTCTTTTTGTGCTGTAAATAAACTTTCCGCTACCTCACAGCAGTGACTACATGTTTATTTACAAACATTAAGGGTTAAAAATGAGTTTACATAACTTTGGTAACAACATTGACACTGTTTAGATTTCAAGCGCGCACTGAAGTATAACCAGAAATGTACGTGCAAATAAAAATTGCCAATCCAGGGGTTTACATCTTTAATGTAGAACGAATTGCAAAAGAAAATGGAACGCTTCTGGGTTCGGTTACATTGGATGGCATCGGTGCTGCACCTTAGTGGTTGGGCAAAGGATTGCCTGACAGTTCACAATAAATATATCGACATAAACACGGTCCACATTTTGCTCATTTATTTCTCTTGAGGTTTGTCCTCCACGTCATCAGAAAGTAAGCCAGGCAGACGCTCGAACAGGTGCTTCTCCAGCTCTACGTCAATGTCTGTCTGGGCTCTCAGTGCACACCACAGAAGGAAGCCGGTGAGACCCAGGCTGATGGGGAGAACTTTCCACCAGGGCCGCTCGTACTGGCTCCCCAAAGAGCTCTCAACTTTCCATGTCCGGTGACTGGCTTTACTGGTGGAGAACTTGATGGGTTCATTGACCTCTTTATCCCCATCTTTGGACTCCGCCGATGCCTGTGAGCTCAGCGCTAGGGGACGCACAGGGTTCACTCTGCGAAACAAAAGTATTATAATCCACTGTAAAATAATACAATCTGTCAATAGAAGCAGTTCTACTGCAAACCTAGTACTTTCGGTTTCTGAAACTGGGCTATATATGTAGATTTACGTGATAGACATTAAAGAATCCAATCGAAATAGTTTAAGTCAGGTTTTGAAGAAAAATCCAAATTTGTACACTAATTGCTCAATTAACAAAACAAGTCCGGAGTCATTTATATGATCTGTGACAAATCCTGGTAGCAGAAATTAAACCCATGATGTAATATCTCGCGGGGTCAGACAATTGTCTAGCTGATGTGAATTTAGGCCATTCTGAAAAGAACAATGAGACTTTCTGGTGCTTCAGTCCTCTAGGCTAGAAAGTTCTAGTCAGCCGGCAATCATTTTCGGACCAAACCCAATGAAGAAAACCTGCAATTTTCTAATCACACAGGAGTTGTATGTGATTAAATTACACTACAGGTCACATTGAGTTATGATGCGTTCAGTTTCTTCGGTAAAAAACAATCGGGCGTTACGTTCGTTGTGTGTTCACATCAAATAGACCGTTGAGATGGGAACTTAAGACATACATGAATGTCACGTGTGACCTTATTGGTGTTGCGTTACGTCCAAGTGTCTATTCTTTACTCAAAGACAGCTACGAAACGCGACGGATGATACCCGAAATTACGGCAGCGACCTCTTAGCAGAAATGATACCACCGGTAGTTTACAGTGTTGGACGGAACCGACCCGACTTGTGTCATTGAACCAACGTGGTTTGTACGGACTCGCTAACGTCACTCACCCGGATATCGGAGCGGCCTTGTGAAGAAAAACCGCTCGACCGAGAGAAGCGCGCATCAGGCCGGCGAACACGCGTCCTGTGGGTGAAGACATCTGGGGCGACTGGTCATCTTAGGACACCCGCCGGCAGGTTAAATAAACCGGAGGGGTTTTCTTACAAAACGCACCCGGCTGAGGTCACGTAACAAAACGCGGTGCAACCTCGAAGTCCTTCCGGTGCGGCCGTCGAACTCCGATGAGGACAGTTCCGCTAAGAGTGTTGTTTGATCTATAATCACTCCACATTATCTTATTATATTATCCGTTCCATTATATTATTGTTATTACGACGATATTATATTTCTATTGTTAACGTGATTGACGATTCAACTTGCCAGAACAGTGTATATAGGATATCATCTCGTTTTGCATGACTTTAGTTCAGTTTAGTTCATTTAGTAGCTGCTCTGGAGCTATATAGATATAGAATATATAAAACTGGGGAGGGAAAGATGTGTAGAGATATGTAGAGAGAAATATATTTACATTTACAATCTATAATTTAGATAAGGTGGTCTTAGTTTTGCCTACTTCTACTGTATGTTTTCACACTTTAACAATGCTCAACATAAAATTCAGTTTTCTTCTTTGTGTTCTAAATTGGCGGTGTTATTCCCTGTTTCGGGCCTAAATATATCTACGAACTACAAGCAATTCCTGAGCCACCATCGCTTTTGCGAAACACGTTGTACAGTAACATGTGTGATAATATAAATACCACAGATGCTGAGGGCTACTGAAGCCGTCGTATCTGTCAACCAATCACAGAGCCAGAAATAATATTCGTCCAATCACGATACAGCTACGCAACAAGACTTCCGGGTTGAGTTCCCATGCTCGATTTGTGCTTTTCAGATCTTCACACGTTGTTTTCGCAGTTCAAGTAAGCATAAATGTGTTTAATCGTAATGGTATTCAGTTCATTTTTGGTCCATGTTTGAGTTTCATTGGATGCATTATTTGTATGTGGTGGCGTAGAAAAGTAACCAGCTGAAGTGGGTATTTGGCTTGAAAAACGGTCTACATGTGTTGAGTATTCATATTGAGATGCGGTTGGGGTCAAACGCGCGTCTAGTTCTCTTTTTATTTTCCTTAAATGTAATATGTTCAAATGAAGTCACGTCATGAATGAGCCTCACTATCTGTCCATTTATTACTACCAATAGAATATCACGTTACGCGTTCCTGTTGTTTAATTACGTGCTCATGTCTTTTCTTTGAAGGAAAATAAATAAATCATGACCAAAGACAACTCTTCGATAAATCCCAGCAAAAGGAAGAAACAGACTTCAAATGTCACGGTTCATGCGGAAGAAACAACGGACACCAAAGTAAAAAAGAAAAAAAAGCTTCATGCAGAAGAAACAACGGACACCAAAGTAACAAAGAAAAAAAAGCTTCATGCAGAAGAAACAACGGACACCAAAGTAAAAAAGAAAAAAAAGCTGCACGTTGAGGTGAGTAGCACAATGCATCTTTTACTGCTTCTGGTGTAACAAAATGAAATGTATTAAAAATGAATAAGGCATGATTGTTTATTTAATTTAATCCAGGAGGCTCCAGAACAGATTCCTGATGTGACAATCGAAACCAGCGAGAGAAAGCGGAAGAAGAAAAAGAAGGCAAAGCAAAGTGAGGTACGGATGGTGAGGCTATAATGTGCGGTCTAGCTCTGTCGGTGGCATTCTGCATGGCCCTCTGTGTTTGCAGCCGGTACATAGATGGATTTCCTGGAGGCTGACATGTGCGGCTTGCTCCACCTGGTCCTCAGTTTCTCCTGAAAAGTTTCCCCAAGGAAGCTGTAGATGAGCGGGTTCAGGCAACTGTTCGAAAAGGCGCCCAGCCTGACGGCGTGGCCTGTCAAGGGGTAGTCCTGCCACACGCTGGCGTGGCTCGTGCCACCTCTTAAGAGGTGAAAACTCACAAACACATTCTCCGGGAGCCAGCAGAGGAAGAAGACCAGCACGGCCGCCGAGATCATCCGCAGGGCTTTCTGCCTGCCAGGCAGCTGCCGATGGCCGTCTCGGCCCCTCTGGCTCCGCCGGAGCACCCGTGCTATTTGGGAGTAGCACACGCCCAGGATGCAGAAGGGCAGCACGAAGCCCAGCATGACCTCCAGCCACTGAATCTGCTTGACGTTTGCGAAGCAGAAGTGGAGTTCTCCGACGTGCTGCCGCTGCGCTGCAGCGAAAGGAAGCACGGTGAGCAAAGACGAGCACACCCAGATGATGCAGCAGCTGAGGCGCGGGTGCGGCATCCTGCGCCCGATTGAGCCCGTCAGGGCAACGAAGCGGTCGAGGCTCATCCACGTTAGGAAGAAGACACTGCTGTACATGTTGACCTGCTGGAACAGCTTCATTAAGGTGCAGAGGCCGGGCTTGTTGTAGTAGCCCTGCCTGAGGTTCAACACCTCGATCAGGGAGTCGACCACGAGCAAGATGTCGGCCGCCGCCAGGTTCACAAAGTAGAGGTCCGGGCCTGTCAAGTGGCCCGTGTGGCTCAGGTTCACCACTAGGATCAGGATGTTGCCGAGGAAGCCCACCGGGAACAGGAAGATGATGTAGATGCTGGAGAGGAAGAGGCTGACGAGATAAAGCTCGCCAATCTCTGGTGTTGCCCTCAAAAAATTTGAGACCATGGCCTTCGTTTCATTTATCTGATCGCTGACGACTACGTGGTCCACGCACATGGTGGTCGTGTCCATATTACACTCGATTGGGTTCTACTGGGGACCCTTTTCCGCGGCTTTAGCCCCAGTTGAGACGGATGTCATCTGTGTTTGCCTCTTGGGTGCGTAGAGATGACCACTTTTTGAACTAGACGGGGAGGAGAAGGGCCGTAAGTAGTGATTTCAGCTTCTCCAGAGTGGGATTAGGTTTGACTGAATAGACTGAATCATGTTTACATGATCAATACATCACAATAAAACAATCTCATGTATATTAGTTCATTTTCATTATGGGGCAATTCAGGATTAATTCATATTTCTTGTCTGTATGTAATCCCTGAAGTCGTACACAATGTCATTCAAGGTCACCATACAAGATAACTAAGTAGTTAATTATTGTCTTACGGGTTTGTTGTTGCTTCTGTTAAAGTGCAGCATTTCAGAGAAATGATTTCAGAGTGAAGATTGGAGACAATGCTGTAAAGTAAACCTACTACCTCCTCTGTCTATTTTTGGATAGAAAATCACAATAGTGGTTCCGTCTGCTGGTCTCGGGTTTTAGCAGCCATGAATTAAAAAAAAAAAAAAAGGTCAAAAAATTGCGTTGCTCGCTGCAGACTTTACTGCACAATGGTCCCATTTTCTCTCCCCATCATAGAAATAATACAGACGTGCCTGGAAAAGCTTAAACAAATCTCTATCTTGTGCTGCAGCAATAATGCTGCATTTAACCGATACATGAAGTCAAATAGAAGGAAGACGTCCGGTAGCTTTGATGTTAATTACGTGGTGATTTCGTATAAAAGCGTACCTGGGTTTCCTTGCGCTGCATCGTGCCGCTGTAGTGCTCCTTGTCCTCGTGAGGTGACTTTGAAAGCGAGCGTCACGTTAAATCCGGAGAAGTGTTGTGGTCCCACCCAGCGAGCGCAGACACAATGCAGGCGCACACACAGACATTGTGTCTTCTCAGCCAAACAAGAGCAAATGTTGCTCTGTAGCATTTTTTTTTATTTTACTACATCACATAAATAATTGTCTAAATGTTATAGCAGACAGAGTTAGTTGCTAGTTTGCTGATGCTGAAGTGTGGACGCGATTATGGTTGTGGAATGTTAAAATATATAAATATGGGAGTCGGGGATCTTTAAGAAAAGTCACACCAACAGTTTATTTACACTAAACAAGCTGAAGGAGCATCCCACTTCATTTCTTTAGACTACATCAAATAATGTGTTGAGCTTTTGTTGCAGTTTGCAGGAAGTGGTTTGAGGCTCTTGACGATTTCCCATTTTAATGCTGTAATGTATTTAAGACTTTCTGACATTCCTATAAGGAGTAGTGCACGTGATCATTTAAGGCAAGGCGATTTTATTTGTATAGCGCTTTTCATACACAAGGCAGACTCAAAGTGCTTCACATCATAACATTTCATACAATAAAGTGAAATAAAATGCAGGAATTAATTTCAATTTAAGTGTTACTATGATTTTATACAGTGTGAAATCACAGTACGACTTTTCCTGCTGGTCCCCGGCTTTGTGCGACATGTGATCCATGTCGGCCAGGTATTCCTAGAACTGCTGCCCATCAATACCGTAAAGGAGCAGGAAAGCTGAGGGTGTCACGTGTCCGCCTCGTTGGGGGGATTTTTAACGGCTCTCAAAATAATTGCGTGAAAAATATTGACACATTTTGACTGACTTTTCCTTGACGAAAAGTTTCCTCTGTGTCCTTCTGGGATTTGCTCCCTGTTTTTTCCCCTGGCGATTCGTTTAAATGGGCTTTTGTGCAAATTGTGTTTATGGAAACTGTTTTGCGAAGGAGGAGGTTTGTGAGCAGACGGGAGAAAGAATCGCACCGACTACCAACAGCAAGTCCTTGTTTAATATTCTCAAATTATAGTTTATTGCAACAGTGACTACAAATTGTTCAAAATGCATAACATTCATTTATTTTTTTGACAAAAAAAATCCTATTTAAACATATTTGCTGACTGGCACTAAAAGCAAATGCATGCGTTTAAAAACATTTAAGCAAACACTCATTCAAAGGATGCTTACGTCTTCATTGGGATGCAGCGGAGGGGTTGTGCTCTGCTGACAGAGTCTTCATCCTCTACGCCTCGATGTCCTGCAGCGTGTCTGAGATCTCGATGTGCGGCGCGATGATGTTTCTGTGCGGTTGCGTGCGCCCCGGCCCTCTGCAGCAGTCCCTCAGCTGCCTGAAGGCCCCCCGGAGACCCTCCCGGCGCGGCCGGTTCACCAGCAGCACCAGCAGCAGGCTGGCGCCGCTCCCCGAGAACAGCACCAGCTCGGCCACGCTGAGGAACGCCCGTTCCGTCGGCCGCGCCGGCCGCTGTAGTCGCGCTCCTCTCGCCAGCGCCACGCCGTAGAAGAGCTGGCAGAAAAACACGACCAGGGCGACCGTCAGGAACACGGGACCCTCCTCGGAGCCGGAGAGGAAGCGTCCTTTGGTCTTCCACTGCCGGACGCAGCCGCCCACCAGGAGACCCGCTAGGCAGCCGAAGGGGATCACGAAGGCCAGGCACAGCCAGGCGGCCGCGTAGGGCTCCCCGCCCTCGCCCTCGCCCGCGTCCATGAAACACCGGCGCTCTTCCTGCAGATCGCCTCGGGGGCCGCGCAGCCCGGCCAGCAGTAGAGAGGTCAGGACCGAGGTCAGGACCACCAGAGCCGCGCAGACCCGAGGCTTCCTCAGCAGGTGGTGGGAGGGCGGATCCAAGGTCAGCACGTAAGCCATGAGCACCAAGACGGACAGGCTGCACATGGAGGTCGTGTTGACGGCGAAGGAGAGCGCAGCGCAGCCCAGAGCGGTGGTGCGCAGGTAATCCGGTCTGTAGGCCACCGCGTGCAGAGAGAGGAGCAGAAGCAGCAGCTGGAGGACGCAGAAGGCCCAGAGGAGGCGGTCGAGCCAAGCCAGCCGCCTCTGGGCCCTGTAGGTCTGGATGAAGCTGTAGAGCAGGAAGCAGCCCGCGACGAAGCCCAGCCCCGCTAAGAAACTGTAGACGTAGTTTGCCCTGGAGGTGATGTTATTGGCTTGGATTTCGTTGAAGATGGAGGTCACTTCTGAAGTGAGGTTCGTCGAGACTGAGCTGTTGGAAAATGGAGGCGTGGTGGTCCTCGCTGTGGAGACCGGTTCCTCGCTGTGATCAGACTGGAGATTGAGAGCGCGAGCCAAATTTAACCTCAGTTAAGGTTGAAATCATTGTTCTAGAATTCTGATGGTGCTATAGGTTTAGCACAACCAGATGTTTTTAAAATCTGTCTACGACCACATGGCCCCCGTTGGCCCCTCTTTGTCCTCCCCCCTTCCAGGACTTGCCTACTATGTGAAAAACACATGTTTCCACTTACCATTTTCTGCTTCCGTCACCCACTCGTCTTGTGTTTTGTATCCGGCAGCCCGACGCTGCTGATTGACTCTGAGCTCACAGAGTGATGCTGGCTGCATGGACTCGGGCGTCGCACTGTGAAGCGGTGCCTATATTTCTGCGGGCGATACCCCGCCAGCATACTTTCAGAATGACTTTGTGGCCATGTGATCAAGTCTTTTCCTCCCCTCCCTCCCTCCCTCTTTTTTTTTTTTTTTTTTCCATCACTGTGCAGACTGAGGTCTGTTCAATCGGCGCATACTGCGTCCCTTGTTTAACTTCCCGTGACTCCGCCAAAGCAAAGTAACTCAACCAATTTGATTCTGTCTCTTCGGTGAGTTTAAACAAGCGGGCAGATGCCGTTTTACTCACTCCGGCTGAGCGTAAACCACTCGGCCACCACTTCTTCTTTATGGGGCCCCTCCATACGACCGGGTTGAGGTGACTTTTTTTTTTTCTATTTTGAAGCGTGTGCTGCGGTGTGAGAGTGAGTGCTGGAAATGCAAACCCGAGCGGATGTTGAACACGGTAAGCCTTCAGTGTCGATGGTGACCCGAAGGTGCAGGAAACATCGACGCCCTGAGCTGCAGCGCTACAGGAAGTGATTCAAGCTTCCACATGTGTTCATGCTGTGGCGTAAAAAGGTCACATTCATTTCCCATTTCTATTTCTACCCCAAAAAACATATGTAAAAAAAAACCTTGAAATGAATCCGATTTGCGCACAAGTTTAATTATTCTTCTAAACACTTCCACAGTTCAAGTTTTATGATGTTTTTGATGTCTGATGAGCCTTTGCTTTGGTCTGACAGACGCACGTCGTGGAGGGAGAAGAGGACCTGAGCCTTGAGGAGAAACGGGTCCTGGAGAGGAAGATGAAGAAGATCCTGAAAAAGGAGGAGAAGAAGAGGCTTAAAGCTGCGGGGGAGACCGAACCGAAAGCTGAAGCCCCCGGACCCATCGCTGGTCAGCAGGCCTTAGACTACCTCACCTGGTAGGAGACGCGCTGCGAGGACGCGTCCTGAACCTAAACCATGTAATGCCATTAGGGACCGCATCCAAAACACAGGACATGCGTGTGTGTTTACTGCTGAGGATGTGTTGCTTCAGCTTGTTAACTGCTGAGGCTGTAGTTTGTGTTGCTGCTTTCGGTATAAGAAATGAAGTTTTGTCTTAATGGGGAAACGCCAGTTTATTGTACTCGTCATGAGGAGCAGAACCTTTTCTTTAAAAAGCCTGTGTTGCAAACTTGGTGAATTGACTTTGCAAGATGCTTGTTTAACACACAGGCAGCAGAGATCAGACGCTGAACCGTGTGTCCACAAATCAACACGTTTGTTGTAATTGGACTGTGGTGGTTTTCTCTGCAGCTGGGCTGAGAACCGTGCCGAGTGGAGGTTTCAGAAGACCAGGCAGACGTGGTTACTGCAGCACTGCTTTGACTTTGAACAGGTAAAACAAAGGCGCGGTGATGATGATGATGATGAAGACGAGGGGGGGTTTTACTCGGCTGAGGTTCACAGTAGGCGGAGATGTTGACCTCAGAGCCATATCTTCCCATTTGATTAGAAAGAGGGTTGTCGGGATCTCTGATCCACTACATGCATCTCACGGTGTAACGTAAAATGACTTGTTTTAGGGAGAAATTGTCTTTTAATTCAATGTCAATGAAGCATGTTTGCAAATTAAACTACACGATCCTATAAAATCTACTTGCTGCCTCCAGATTTCCGATGAGAAGTTCTCCGTACTGCTCCAGTACCTGGAGGGTCTTTGTGGAGGTTCTAAAGACATCACCGTCCAGAAGGCCTTGGCCCTGGTTGAAGAGTCGGGACAAGCGCCAGAGGACAAAGACGTCCAGCAGAGGGCGCGCCGAGCACGACAAGTCATCCAGCTGCTCTCCTGAACCCACCCACCTCCGAGATATGAAGCCCACTAGGACGAAGTGTGATAGCAGTTTGTTGATCACGCTGGTCCCCAGAAGTGGGGTTAAACATGTTTTATATGCAGCTTTTTGACTGGACTTCCTTTACTTTTGGTAAAGGATGCGTTTTGATTTAATGACCAGTGTTGTTCTTATTTTAACTTTAATGTGTCCCATGTTTTACTTCTCTATTTCATGCAGACATTGTTGCCTTGCAGTCATCAATCGTACAAGTAACATTAATAGAAGTTATATACAAATTTTGTGTCCTACAAATGTAAATAATTCAGTCCTGTTTCATTATACACTGACGAGAGGAGCCGTGTATCCCCCACAGATGCAACAGAGGGCTCAGTGTACTGGAGTAAAAGGTTTCAGGAATGTATGTTGTCAAAACATGTTTGCGCACGTCGAGGCCCATATTCTTAGTCACTGATCGGAATAACTTCATCCACAAGAATGCTGAACAGAGTCGGATGTGAGTCTCCTACTCAGTACGTGATGCTCCAACTAAATACAGTGGAACGATTCTTCACCTGCAACAGTTTTTAGGATTTTCTTTGAAGTCTAAGGAAACTCTATGAAACGTAAATAAATTCCACAACCACTGGCCTCCTGTTGTACTAAATATCAATACATGGAATGCGGACATCATTTTATTAATGACAAAGACTGACAAAGTTGCACTTTGCATAAAACTTTTTTTTTTTCTTCCCCTTTTTCATTGTGATGTGTTCAAATGAACACTTACTATTTAATATCGTGCAGCGAGTGTTTGTTTGGGTCGCTCGCATTGTTCAAAGTCTTTCAGGCGAGGTGCTTTTGGAGAGTTCACTTCCTCTTCACATTGTTCACACCAGATCAAATATTCCGTTGTCTCCCCGCAGGTGCTGATCATCCTTAACGGTAGTAACCACTGTTGCTTCTGCATCATCTGCAACGAATGGAAATGATATTACTCTTTAGGATAAGATATTCCTTTATTTGTCCGAAAGATCGTGGCAGCAAAGTGGACAGTACCGTACATAGATTAAACAAAGAATAATTAACTTACTTTGCTTTGAATCAAAAGGAATGTTGTGTTGAGTGAGGAGAGCTTGAAGTCGCTCAATCTCTTCTCTCTGCTTTTGAAAATCCTTTAAAAAAAAGACAGACAAAAAAAGTTTCTGTCAGACAGAGTAGTTTTGTATGATCATACGTGAGGTTGTTGACCTTTATTCTGAAAAGCATAAGTGTACACACCTCTGTACACTTCTGTAGAGAGTTGTGTGTTTCTGAATTGGCTGCAACTTCTGGTTGCTTTTTAACTTTTTGGCTCTTCAGGAGGCCGGCGTCCTCAAAAATATCCTTCAAAAGATTGTTGTATCCCTGCAGGAAATGTGCATCGTGTAACCAAAACTGGACTACAAATGCTGAACAAGAGGCGCTGAGCGTTTAGATGAAAATAACTAATTGTATATAATCTGCCAAAGTAGTCTTTACCTGCTCAGTGATGAGTCCTTCATAGCGAGCCTGCTCAGCTTCATCCCATTCCCTTTGGAGCTTCTCACTCAGTGTTGGATACACTTGTAAAAAAAAAAAGGCATACAAATGAAAAGAAATCCCAAATCAAACCACCTCCCCTCGCTGACTTGTGCTGTGGTTGTTTTGTCTCACCTAAAAGCGAATGCGGATGGCAAACAAGTGGGGTCTCAAAGGTTATCCAGTACACACAAGTACTGGGCTCTGAGACTTGAGCCAGCTTGCTGCTTGCACTGCAGACGAAAATCACCTACAGAGAAATGAAAATAAACAAGTCACACTCACCTTCTGGAGTTCAAACTATGGATTTTAAAAAGGGACACTGCTTTTGAGTTGCTCAATTGATTAAAATCAATCTGTTTCAATGGCTCTGGTCGTGACTGCTCAAAACTGAGTTTCAAAATGAAATGCTCAAACTCGTTAAGCTCTTCTATATTTAAGAAGATTGACCTTTGTTTCCCTGTTTCTCGTTCCACAGGCGTCCCCGTCTCTCATCCACATGCCTGTGAACGTGTTGTTTGCCATTTCCCACTCCTGCCAGATCCTGTTAGAAACAAGCAAACGGAACGACAAACCCACACCGTATTACCAGTTATTCAAATATTGAAGCTGATCGTAGACAATATAATGCACAGAGCCACATCTTACCCAAGTATCCCACTGTAGGCATTCCATCTAAATGACTGTTCGTGTTGGGTGATGTTGTGAAAGGGACACAATTCATATTTATACCTGCGAAATTACCCAGGAACACAAATATCCTTTTAGGTTCTTCCACACATGTAACAGCAGCGGGCCAGTGGAAATAGGGGAGCACATGCGATATAAAATACTTGCGTTGACTCTGTGAGACTGAAGCACTTCCCAGCAAGCCGATGTAAGTGTGCAGGGCCTTGAGGGGGACATTGGTGTTGGTACGAGTAGGGGTCAGTGACTGAGTCGATCCACAGAAAATATCTAGACAACTCAACCTTTGAAATATTTACAACACAGTATTAAATTAAAAGAAGGTTTTACAGTCAAAGTATCCACCTGAGACTGGGGAAGGAGTCACTCGAGGCTGTAGTCTGCTTCCTTGAGCCAGAAAATGATTGTTCAACCTAAACACAGAAAATCAGTCAGAAGGCCCCCGGCAACGAGCTTCACAGTGGGAACAATATTTTCCTCAACGTACCCAAATGTGTTTGGCTCCTCTACTATCTTCATTTTACCGGCGAGTGCATGCAATGCTGAAAACAAGTTGAAGGGCTCAAATCAATTACTAACACCCAGCAGTACCACAGTCCAATGTGCAGCATATGCTTCAGTATTACTGGCATTACGAAAGAATACTCCCGGCGCAGTATCAGCACTTACTGAAAAGCGACACGCAGACCACCCACGGCCTCAGTAAACGACGTACCCCGCGATACAAACGCTGCGTCGCTGTCATTTCACTGAGTAAAATGCGCTATCGCTTGTTTTCACGAACACTTCCTGCTTTGCTGCTCGTTCGTCAGATGACGAGTCACGTGACGAAAATGAGATCTGCGCATGCGCGTTCTACGTGTGGGGGACAACGACGTGTTTCCCACGCGCCGCAGACATCTAAACAACTGTAAAAGCGTGTAGAAAGACGGGAGCGATAGACGCAAACTAGAGCCAGAAGTGTTGTGACAATCCATTTGAACGTTTGACCGTCGAGCCTCCGGATAGAACACGAAACGTGTACTTTTGGCGAGCAGCACAGGACGAACTGGTGTGTGTGTGTGTGTTTGTTTTATAGCTAGCTAGCGGGCTAGCAGCTAATGTCAGAGACAAGCAGGTGGAGCGGTGCGTTCGGTTCGATACGAGCTGTAATCTGATCACTGGTTGCAACATGGGGAGAAAGAAACAGGGCGCGTTGGTGCGTCCTGGCAACAAGGGCAAAGACAAAAGGCACAGGATGAAGGGGAAAACCTTAGAGGCCTTTACAGAAGATATGCACACTGCTTTTGAAGGTAATCATGGTTTAATAATAATCCATGTTATGTCCTAATTGTGTAACAAAATACAGTGGCTTACCTTTCTTATTTGAATGATTGAAACCCTTTGACTATTAGTGTTATATTGCCATATTGTAAGCATTTTGTTTTACTTAAATATCATTCAGAAAAAAAGTGCAGTGGAGTGAGGGCGCTTTGAGATGTACATTAATCATCTGTGCTTTTCAGCAAGTCTTCACGTAGAGGAGGGAGCAGAGGCCCCCCAGGTGAAAATGCCATGTCCACTTGCCATGTGGGAGTTGGGTCACTGCGACCCCAAACGTTGTACTGGCAGGAAGTTGGCACGCAAGGGCTTTGTGCATAACCTGCGCCTCAACCAGAGATTTAATGGACTTGTACTGAGTCCCATGGGCACAAAGTATGTGACGCCAGCAGACAGGTGTGCATTTTTGTATCATTATAACACCTCATGATGAGTCATAAACAAGCCCTGACCTGGGACACAAACGAGTTAATTAATCCATCTTTTGTTTTATACGCAGAGAGATTGTGGCTAAAAATGGTTTAGCAGTGATCGATTGTTCCTGGGCTAAACTGGAGGAGACGCCCTTCAATAAGATGGTCGGCACTCATCCCAGGTTGCTGCCATTCCTTGTAGCTGCCAACCCGGTCAACTACGGAAAGCCCTGCAAGTTATCTTGTGTTGAGGCTTTTGCTGCCACATTCTGCATTGTCGGTAAGGCCTCAGCTAGTTAGTTACTCAGGAACTATATAACTACTATATTCTCTTCCTGTTTATGATTTCCTGGTCATGGCAGCGAGACTCTAACATACTGTATCTGATTCTTTGCAGGTTTTGAAGAACTAGCAATGCTCTTGTTGAATAAGTTCAAGTGGGGGACTGTGTTCCTTGATCTCAATAAAGATCTGCTGGAGCGATATGCTGCATGTCAGTCAGAGGAAGAGCTGCTCACGGTGGAAAAAGAATATCTTGCGTCCGACCCAACGGATGAGGAGGAGTTTGGTAAATTGGGGGAGAAAGAACTCTACTGTACCAATGTATTTATTTATTTAGATGGTTGGGATTATTTGAGTTTTGTTCCCACATCGGTCGTGGAATCTTTTCTGCATAGTGGAAAAATCATTACAAACTACATTTCTTTAGAAAAATTGGACCAAAATGTGATTATAAGTCTATTGCATAATTTGTTTTCCTATGGTGACTCACTGCTGATTATTTTATGTCATATAAGGCTTTCAAGCTGCATTTTCGTATGATAATATAATTCACTGGTCATTCTGACATTATAAACATTGAAGGAGGAGTTTCTTCTATTGTTTCCTAGACTGACTATCAATAATGCAACAGGTCATTGCAATTCATTTCATTTGATGAATAAGACAATATTGGCAGTGATTCAGAGGCCTCTCCAATTGTCTCCAGCAAGTCTGGCAAAGTGCGCGATACACAGAAGGATTCATTTTTTGGCTGAGTGATGGAGGTCATCACTCATTATTGTTTCTGAATTTTCTTAAAAGATTATTATCTACCTCACAGATCCATTCGATCTGACCTCTGGAGTACGATGCAGGAATCTCAACAGACCTCCGTGGTAAGCGTTACATTTTCGCATACACTGTTTGCGAACCTTGTAGTTATGAACAAATGAAGTATTAGAACTGATTAAGTAATTTTACTGCTGCATTTGGTCAAATATTATATTCTGCATTTGTAGGATGTCACTTTATACAACATTACGAAAATATACCTGTACATTCAGTTTATTCTCCATATTACTATGTTTTAATAACTGTATTAATGTATATAGTGCACCCGAAGAGGAGGATTCTACTGATGACACCTCAGAAGAGGAGGAGGAGGAGGAGGAGGAGGAGGAGGAGGATGAAAATGATGTGGAAGAAGATGAAAAAGCCAAGAGCAGTGAGTCAAGAACAGTTTCAAATCATCATGAAGAGGAAGCGGCAGGATCGAAGTCCCCACAATAAAGCACATTTCAACTATGGATTTTATTTTACTTCAAGGACTGGCAAAACTTTTCAAAGCTCATGAATCGTTCATCACCTGAAGGCTATTTGTGGTCATGCCGTTTTGTACAAGCTTATAAAAAAGAGAAATGTATAAAATAAACTACGTTTGTCATGTAAACCCTGACTTAATAAATTAATCTATACGAAAGTTGAAGAAGCCTGGGGAGTTAAAATGGTGTAACAAAACAAAAATAAAAAATAAACTAATGAGAAACCTCTGTAGAATGCATAATTTGTGCATCTACAGCTTGTTGGTAACGTTACCGGCTGCAGCCGAGTGAATAAACCCCGGCGCCCGTCGGCAGGATGAAGTTCAGCAGGTTGTAAATGTGGCGAGGGGGGCGGACACAGCGGGACTCTCCTCTGCTGTCCTGCGGTAACATTGTTGTGGAACGACGTCACAGCTCGAAAATGAAGGCGCAGAGGCAGCCATTACTGGAGCTTCTCTAATTATTTTATTCCAAATAAATACTCGAAGAAAACTCCCATGGCAAGGGCCAAAAGTCAGCTGGTGAGTGTCGCGCCTCTGAAAAGAATAACGGTTCGAAGCCGGTGCTGAAAATGTTGAGTGTGGCGGGTGTTTGACAACAAATAGTTACGCGGGGCCTTCATGTGAAGAGCGGTGCTAGCCGCAGTGGAGCGTCTAGCGCTACGACCCGCTAGCATCGTTAGCTCGCTAATGTTGGCTAACACAACACCCAATGTTTGCTAAGTTACGTTCTAACGGACTCTTATAACACCAGGCTTATATCATGAGAAAATGTTATTTTAATTGGCCCGTGTTGGTTAAGCGTTGAAAACTGCTCGCTTGTGGATTTAAGGGATGTATGACCATTCCCCCTTGGCCAGTAACGTTATCTGTTGGCTGACGTTAGCTAAACATGTTCGCGCTTTCGAACGATGCTCCTGCTTGCTAACAAGCTAACAGTAGCTTCATTGCGTCTCCCCCCCCACCTCCCCCTCGGCCAGAAGCAAGCTTTTTACAGTGAACACTTCGTATTTCGATTGTCAACTCATTCACTTTCAAATGTTGACATCCATGTCGGCTCGTCAAATTCGACCGTGGCGGAGTAAAGTTATTTGTGAAAATGGCATAATGTTTGGAACTTAACGTCACTTGTTACCTGGCTTGCTAACGTTAGCTAATTGACTGGCTGTTGGCGTTAAGTTTATAATTCGCTGTCAGCGATGGCCGGCTTTATTTGACAAGGCAGCAGGAGCTAACGTTAGCTTGCTAGCAGGCGTTAGTTAGCAAAGAAAGTTCGCAAAGGCCTGTTGTTGCCCTAGCAGTTAGGGTTGGGTTAACGTTAGCTGACATGGTTCTTACACACATTACGTGGTTGACCCGTGGTAATGGTTCAGTAGATGGTGACACGGCTAACGTTAATAGTTGGAAACAACACAGTCAAGTCCGGGATAAAGCAGCTAAGAGGCCACACCTTGGTTTCGAATGAGAAGAAGCTTGGCTAACTGAACCAGCTAACGTTAACTACCATTAACAGAGTTTTTAACTGAACAACATCGGCACTGATCGTTACAGTGGTTCAGTAACCTCGGTACAAGCACCGAATAGTTTGTTGGAAAGCATAACCTTTCGTTTCTGTTATCTTCAAGTACTCCGCAATGATTTAGTGGTTTTCTTGTACGTGCTGGTTTGCCTTAACAACCTTTCAGTTTGACCATGTAGCTGGATACAAATGTGGATGTGTTCAGTGCATCGTGGTAGTCGGTCACATGAAAGCAGTGACTTTGACAACCTAAACACTTGAGGGTGGGACCGCCAGGCTCACAAGAGGCTTCCCCAACAGCGCTGTGTCCTCATCGATGCTAGACTTTGCTCCTCAAAGGCTCTCACTTGAAATTGTATATTTAACTTCAAGATATCCTACCTAAAGGACTGCTCAAGTCGTCAGCTTGTATGATCCAGATCTCATCTAGTTTTACTTACAGAAATGGCTGGAAAAGGTTGTCTAACTGTTCATTTGCATTATTTTCATTACAGTTTGAAGGACTATAAAATGCCACACATTTGTTTATTTCATTTGTGTTTTCCAGTATGTCATTCTTTATTATACACTATTGTGTTATCCTATTTATAGGCTTTCTGGTATAACTATAGTGCACTACTAGGAAGCTGTTGTGAAATCTGTTTTCATCGAATGAAAGACAGCTGTTGTTATTGTTATATTGTAGTATTTTATTACCGTTATGCACATGGTTGCTAGATTTGATTGGCCCAAACTTGCCAACATTTGTTTCTGTGTGCGCCAAAAGGTGTAATCTTCGAGTAGGTCTTCTATATCTCTCAAAAGAAGATATATTTAAACCGTGTGTGTAAATTACCCAGCTTACTGATATGTTCTTAATGTTCTCTCTCCTCTTCCAGTATGATGTTGTGCCCATTCAGCCCAGCGTTGTCATCTGTTCCTGCTCGCATCCATCAATGGTAAGAAACCACGCTGACTCCTGCTCGCCACTTGCTATCCCAGGCGCAAGCAGTAGCCACTGTCCCGGCATACAGGGCTCACCCTCAGAGCCCCGTGCTGTTGGAGCGTCTGCAAGCAGCCAGGGCTCAGACATCAGGACGCAGCCGGCCATGCAGACCCCTCAGCCACGCAAGAAGAAGCCAGAGGACTTCAGATTTGGCAGGATACTGGGAGAGGGCTCCTTCTCGACGGTATGTAACTTGCATTCCATGCTGTTGGATTTTACCTGGGTAGATGTTTCCACATGCTAGCATTCTTTTGATTAATGTGCTTAGATCCTCAGTTCTTTTGAGAGTAATCGACCAAACTAGCCCAATAAGTTGGAAGATTTTCTCTGGAGTCAAACAAGAAACCCAACATACGGTGTTGTTGTTTTTCTGTTCTTTGACCCTTAGGTTGTTTTGGCGAGAGAGCAGGGAACGGGAAAAGAATATGCAAGTAAGTAATAATGCACCAGCAGACCCTAGTCAAGATGGAAAAGTTATTCTTATTATTAAAAGTTATATTTACTAATATATCCTAAAATTGTCTTTCTCTCCACTAGTTAAGATTTTAGAGAAGCGCCATATTGTGAAGGCGAACAAAGCCCAGTACGTGAAAAGAGAAAGGGATTTGATGTCAAATCTAGAACACCCATTCTTCGTCAAGCTCTACTTCACATTTCAAGATGATGAGAAGTTGTGTATCCTTCTTATAAGTTTGTCAAGGCATGTGGCACATGAACCACTTGCCTTATGTTTTATTGTGGATGTGTTGAAGAAAATCTTTGTTTGTACTTTTTACCGATGGCCTTTTAGTAATCCTTCTTCCTTAACTAGCTGTCCTTAGATTTTGGCCTCAGCTACGCTAAGAATGGCGAGCTGCTGAAATACATTCGCAAAATCGGTTCTTTTGATGAGACCTGTACTAGATTCTATTCAGCTGAAATAGTTTGTGCTCTGGAATACTTACACAATAAGGGGATAATACACAGGTAAGACTTGTTGTTTTATTCATTTTGCTTTTTGGGGTAATTTTCAAATCTAGTTTGTTTCCCTCTTAATTACATCTGGATTTGTCTCATTTCAGAGATCTGAAACCAGAGAATATTCTCCTGAGTGAAGACATGCACATTCAGATAACAGATTTTGGGACAGCAAAACAGTTATCATCAGACAGTAAACAAGGTATAACAACAATCTTGATTTACTTAAACATAAAGTACAAGTGTGGTAGTTGCTTGACTTTTTTAGCATTTTACTGGTACTGTGAAGTTATACGTGTCTTTTTGCAATTTATTTCCACTCTTTGGTAGCGAGAGCAAACTCCTTTGTCGGAACAGCACAGTACGTGTCTCCAGAGCTACTAACAGAGAAATCTGCTTGCAAGAGGTATGAGCTTTGGTCATGACACAACTGTACAGTTGCCAATCATTGTTGTTTTAATGTTAGTGTTAGTTGTGTTGGCCACAACAAAAAATGTTGGCCAAACCACATTCCAACTTCATTCCCCTCTCTGTTTTCCATTTTTTAGCTCTGACCTCTGGGCCTTGGGATGTATTACCTATCAGCTGGTGGCTGGTTTACCACCTTTCAGAGCTGGGTGAGTACTATGTTGACGTTAATTGCCAATATTTCCATTGATTGGTTGTATCATTGAGCTACAAGTGACAATCATGTCTCTGATCCTGCAAACAACAGTTCACCAAGACTCACTATTTTTTATTCCTATATCTCATTTGTTGCAGAAATGAGTACCTAATATTCCAGAAGATAATAAAGCTGGAGTATGAATTCCCAGAGAAATTCTTCCCCAAAGCCAAGGATCTTGTCAAACAGCTTTTGGTAGGTCATCAAGTCGTTGGTTAGTTAGTGTTGGTTATTTACACAATAGAAATGCATGACTCATCTTTTCTTTTTTCTTTTAGTCTCTGGACCCTTCCAAGCGGATTGGGTGTGAAGAGATGGGAGGCTACGACCCTTTGAGGCAGCACCCCTTCTTTGACACTATCTCCTGGAGTGACCTACACCTACAGACACCCCCCAAGCTCACCCCCTACCTGCCAGCCATGTCTGAGGATGATGAGGACTGCTATGGAAACGTAAGATATATTTTAGCACAGTTTCCCAAAATCCTGAAGAGACCTCAAACATCACTTCAAACCTTTTTCTCAACCGTCCCATTTCCAAACTCAGTATGATGACCTCCTGAGCCAGTTCAGCAACATGCAGGTGGCCCAGTCCAGCTCCACACACTCCCTGTCGCCACACGAGTCCACACCCCCGCAGAGGTCCAGCAGCAACATTGAGCAGTACATTCATGACCTGGACAATAACTCTTTTGAGTTGGACCTGCAGTTCACTGTAGAAGAGAAGCAGCTGTTGCTGGACAAACAGACCACTGGAAACCCCTGGTAACACTTATCAATCCATGTGTTTTGAGTCCTGTTTGTCATTTTATGTAAACCTGAGTTGTTCTTGGATTCAATCGTTAAAAATGTTGAAATCCTGTAAGATTTCTTTTGTAGAAAAATGTATGTTTTGAGGTAAACGGACTGTATCAGCAGTCTGATGTTGCTTATTTACACAGGCACCAGTTTGTGGAGAATAACCTGATCCTGAAGATGGGCCCAGTGGATAAAAGGAAGGTGTGTGAATTCTATTTACTTTATCTTTTTTAAGTCAGGTCTTCTCGCGGATATTCTTTCTGCCAGCTACACTGTACAGTGGCGGTGTAGTAGATGTCTGTAGTAAAATGTAAAAATGCTTTCTACTTTGCATGGTATTTCTCAGACTGAGATAGAAAGTAAAAGGGAGCAGAGTGCTGTGCACAGGAAAGCCTCACAGCCCCCTCTGTTGGTGAACCGATGACTTGAGACGTGTTGCATTCCATTGCAGGGTCTGTTTGCCAGACGGAGACAGCTGCTTCTCACTGAAGGACCACACCTGTATTACGTGGATCCTGTAAACAAGGTCCTGAAAGGGGAGATTCCTTGGTCCCTAGAGCTACGCCCTGAGGCCAAGAACTTCAAAACCTTCTTTGTTCACACGGTATATTACTTTTACTGTTGCTTTCTTTCCACTTTATTCTCCTCCAGCTGCTTGTTGATACTCTGCATTCGATTACAATTTCTCCTTCTAATGTAGTTTACTTTTTTATCTCCCAATGTTTTTGCAGCCTAACCGAACATACTATTTGATGGACCCAAGCGGAAATGCAGACAGATGGTGCAAGAAGATCCAGGAAGTGTGGAGAAAGATCTATCAGAGGCCCCAAAATCCAGGCCTATAGGAGCACAGTCCCTCTTGTGGCCACTCCTCTTTAACTCTGAGGCCAATCACTGAGCAGAGTAACACCTTCTTTAGTGCCCTTCATCACCGCAATGTAAACAAAATCTTAGAGACGCTGGCATCTAGACCTTGTTTGTTTTCCTGAGTAGAACCATGGGGAAAAATACAACTTTGGATTCAGGGTTGCTTTGCTTGTTCTTTGTGCTCTCTGTGAGGCTTCTACTGCATTTTTCCTTGTATGGATGATGAGACTGCCACCATGCACATCTGCTTTTTGTACATTCTGCACGGGGGAAGAGAAGGGCAAGCTTGTCCAATAGAGGGACTCAGGCTTGGCTACCGCTAGGACTATCTCAAATGCAAGGACTGGTTTCCTGCTCAAATGATACCATAACACAAAATCTAGCTTTTGTGCACCACAGCCGACCCTGATATCTTAATTAAACCATATCCTATTCCTTCATCACATGCGCAGGCTGTGGTCGGACCCCACTTCAACTGCATAATACTCCGTGGTTTTAACAGATACTGTAAGCTGTCTCACGTGTTTCCCAAACTCAAATCCTATATATATATATATTTTGTCAGAGCCCAAGTGTTTCCCACGCTATTTAAGTTGTATTTCTTTAGTCTCTTGAAACTTGCTTATTGCAGCGAAACTAAGGACTTGATGTTACAAGGCAGAGTTCCTGCCTTGGAACAGGAACTGGCACAGCCGTTACTTAGGATGTGTTGCTAACGGGGGGGGGGCGGGTAAACATGCCACTAGCTTCTACGTCCTAATCCTAACGCTTCTCTTTCCTGCATGGCCGGTTTTGTAGCTCAGCCTTTTCCGCTTCTCTCTCCCAGGGCACTGGAGGTATAGTTTTTTTTTCAAGTTTAAAGGTGGGTATTTTTGACTGCATTGGTAACCATCGTGTATTTTATCGGATGATTTGGCTGTTCTGTACCATTCACTGGCTACTTCTTTGTGATGTGAATCCTACAACTTCTTTTTTCGGTGGGATAGTCTGCTCATCTTCAGTTGGTCCTATTGGAAACTAAATCGTATGTGCTGACCACCCCATGCTGAACGGAGAACCCTTCATCTGCAGTGATACATATATACACACAAACGCACACTATCATTCTCCGAAGCAATCACAGTAACGCTGTTGTCCCCGGACAAGATGGCAGAACCGCCTCATCGGGTTCGTTGGCCCATTTTGTTTTTCACCCTGGCGTTTGGCCCAATAGAAATTAAAGCGACTGATTTAACTTGTGCTCTTGTTTTAGCAGTATGTATTATCATAATGCTTTTAATTTTTGACATATTACCTTAAGGTCCTTTCCAAAGGTCCTCTTCCTCCAGCTGAGTCTGTGTGTGCAGTGTGTGACTGGAGTACAGGTGAATAGGACCCTGGGGCCTGGGGCTCAATGTGGTTGGATGTCAGTAAAAAGATATCTATCTGATCCAAATAACCGATGAAATTGCTGTATCTGTCTATAAAGTCGAGGAAGCACTAGAGTAGTGTTTTCTTCTAGTTAGCGAAATTGTTTGAATCGAGTCGATGGCAGTCGGTTACATTGTGTACGGAACGCTCGACCTGGCTTGTAACTGACTAGAACTGTGATGTACAGATGATGTATTATTAAAATCTGAAGCAAGTAATGCAATGATATTAGGATACAGTTTTTGTATTTTTATTCTTGTATAAGGTTATTTGATGGCTATTGTTTAGCCTCTAGTTCATTCTGTGTTATTTAAATTCTAATATATGAATCATTTGGATTGAAGTCATGTTCAGGGGCCATGTTGTGTATGTATTGAGATGTAAAGCCTTTGAATGTGAATAATTATTGTAAACTATAATATTTTACAGCTTTTTTCTTACTATATCATACATTTTCTATTTGCTCAGTGATTTAATCATATTCTGATAATTTAATGAATCGGTTCATTCTCTCTCTGATTATTTGTGCGCTAGGTCAGTAGATGTTGAATGATGAATTTTCCACTTAATGCTTGGTAGTCCAGTAATTAAAGCATGTAGGGATTTAGGCATACAAATAAGACGTGTGTCCTGTCTTCTGTTATCAGCCACAGTCATGACACCGTGTAAGCAGCAGCATTCAGCGGCATCTCACATTTTGCAACATGTAAATAAAGTACCGGCCCATTATCAGCGCTTCTGTGTCGTGGCGATTACTTCGAGAGAAAAAAAAAAAGAAGAAAAAAAATCCCCTGCACCACCAAATGAGATCTGCAGGCTGCAGGTCGGTGTCAGGAGACCGCTGCGCCGCACCGACCGAGCGCCGCTTCGCCTCTCGGGGCTGTTTACGGTAAAAGCGTGTCAGCGTGAGGTGGGTCGGTAGGAGTGGCGCTGGCATCCTGCTTTGCATGAACCGTCGGGACTCCCCGAGTTAGTGGCCGCAGTCGAGATATTTCCTGTCAGCCGCACACAGCCGAGGCGACGGAGACGGAGAAGAAGAGGAAGAAGAAGAAGAGGGGATGGCCGAGAACAGCTGCGAGGCGAGCGGCTCCGTCCACCGGAGATGTCCGGCCCATTCACCGACGGAGAGACACGTCTCGCCGGGGGCCGGGGCGGCCAAATGGATCCGACTGAACGTCGGGGGGACGTATTTTTTAACGACGAGACAGACGCTCTGTCGAGATCCAAAATCCTTCCTCTACAGACTGAGCCAGGCTGACCCCGAGCTCGACTCTGACAAGGTAAATGCTAAGCTAGCTAGCACCAGAGTTAGGAGCGCTGTTGGTTCACTCTTACTTTCCTTAAGTTTATTTTGATCACGGTGTCGTCGAGCGACCGCGGGGTCTGGTTACGTTGCGTGTCCGCTTTGCTTAACCGAAGGCCCCGCTTTGTGGAAATGTGTTATTCACACTTTGTGCGAAGTCCCACTTCTGTAGCTAACTAGCATTAGCACGCTACGCTAGCTAGCGTCAGATTCCGACAGTCCCCGCATGACATCCGATCTCGCCGTTAGCTCGTGTGAGTGTGAGAGAGAATAGCCGCCTCAGAAAGTCTTTCTAAAATACAAAATACGCTGATCTGTGCGGTTTGAGGTGCTTGATTGTTGTAAACAGTTTGCATCTTCTCCTGAGGAGGAGAACATCCAAGTGTCCCGAGGAGAGTTGTGAACTTTCCCATCGGAGGCCGATGTGTCAAACGCTGACAGCGACCATTCTGCTCCTTTTTTTTTTTAATTCAACTTTAACTGTAAACGTCTTTTTTAAACATTCAACGTCAACTATTTCCCCTGGGCGTATCAGTCCAACATTTGTGCTATGACACACGTCTACTTTAGAACGATTCGTGCCAATTTAAACCCATTATTTTCGCACGGAAACCCTTCTCTGTTCCAGCAGAGTGGAGTCCCCTGGTGACCGGCTGCACGTGGGAGCCCTCGTTGTGAGTCTGTTTGCGTGCACTTGCATCATCCTCTGTGTGCTAACGAGCACATCGGGCCTCTGCCAAGTGGAGTGAGGTGCTGCTGACAGCCGAGAGCTGCATCAAGTCGCTCTGCCTGAATGGCCTTAATGCTCCAGAAGCAGGCGTCTCTTTGTTTGTCCAAAGCCCGGTCCGAACAGCTGTGTGTGTGTGTGTGTGTGTGTGTGTCTAAGGCCGCTGGCTCAGTCAAACACAATGGGAGTAGTATAATGTGTTTTTTTTGTCGTTGGTTTTACTGCCCCATTATCCATTGTTGTCGTCTACCGGCACCTCTGCCCTCCTAAGCCGAGGCCGTGGCTCATCTCCTATTTTCATGCAAATAACTTAATCTCCAAATAATCAGCTTGCTTTTTTGTCAGGTTATCCTCCCGCGGGCATCGGATCAGTCCAACTAAATCCTTTTGTCTTAAGTGTGTATCGGACTCGAGCCCGTTGATGTCTGACGGCTTCCAGGAAAGAACGGGTTAATGGATATTATTTCACTTGCCGCTGTGTCTAAAACAATTTCCATTGACACGATTTCTTTTAATCAGCGACGCAGCCGAGATGGCCGTCTTTTTTTTTTTCTCCTTTTTTCGTATTTGCATAACGATGACCGCATGCAAAGAGGAAGCCCGGCAGAGCAGCGGATCAGCGAAGAGCGCTGTTTTTGTGCGACTGCCGTGTTGTGTTTCCCGGCCGAGGAAAAGGCCGACTCGCTCCAGCGGGACTCCTGAGGAGAACTGCATTATTCATGTTGTTGACTTGCACACTGCGCAGGCCTCTTTATTTATACGTTTCCAAACCGTCTACACCAGAATAGACGTCCTTCTCCTTTTTTGACTTGTGAGAATACCTGATGCTGCAGAAAGCGGTTATCGATTTTGTCCAACCAGCGAGCAGAATGTTGCACATCAGCGGGCGTCGTTCCCGCCGGCAAACTGCTGCTTTCGCGCCGCTCCGCTCAAGACCACTCGAGCAGAGAACCAACGTTCAGGCGTTGAGGACTGCATCCATTTTTAAAGCACTGCATCACGAAGGGTCCTTGTTCCCCCAACGTCTCTATTCTTTTCATATGTATATCCGACAGAAGTTCTTCCGTCGTCACGTGTGATTTGAAATCGGTTCCCATTTAGCTTGTGCGTAGAGTCTGGGGACGCCATGGGAGGCCGTGTCAATATTTAACGGCGATAATTCCTCCTCCTTCCTTTGCGGCTCAACGGGGCAGTGCAGAATAATAGCCGCATATCAGGTGTTGTCTGAAGGGCGATCCCATTGGCTCTATTGGTCTAAAGTGTGCACCTTTTGATTGTTGTAACCTCGTGTTACCCGATCGGTATTGTGCGGGAGAAAGTTCGGGGTTTCTGTGATTTCATGGTTTGCCAGCTTAGTCGCGGAGCTGCTCATCCGCCTCTCACTTTAACAGCAGCGCTCGTCGGGGCCTTTTGAACGGAGCTTCTCCTTTTTGACGGCTCATTGTTCCGCAGAACGCGCTAATGGCGTTTCCTTTTTTCGGAGTTGAGAGTGGTTGAAAGACAAGACGGTTCTTCCCGCCCTTCATGAAAGGTTTAGCTCCTTGAGATGCATGTTGTTAAATGTCTTTAACTATGAGATGGTTTCGCATGATGTAGCCTTGAAGTGATGCGTTCATTATTTAAAAGTTGAAGGGCACTTTGACTAAGCCATTACTGCCCGTCCTCCAGAGGGTCTCCTGGCTCCGGCTCCACGAGCATCGTTCTTCCACTTGGCTAAGTAGCCAGAGTCACGTGACTCATCAGATCTACTGCAACGTCTTTTAAGTGGTGGTTCTGCAGCACGTTCGTACTGCAGTGGAGGCTGAGCGGCGTGTTGTAATGCTTTATCGGGTCTGAGCAAACCCCGGAAAGACTTCACCGCTGTTGTTGTTCCTCTTTGATAACCAACCAGCACGTGATGTACCGCTTGGAAGTCTCTCATACGGCATTTAGCGGTTATACCGACACCTGCCTCGGGTCGCATGTGGGAATCAAGCAACGCAATGTTTGGGTGTCGATGTGTCTGCGAAAAAAGCCTCACTGGACATCCATGCTGAAGGGTGGGTCGCCATGACGTTTCCTGTGGGAGGATGTGTGTGAAATGATAAGCCGAATACTCAAAGCCCCCCGCGGCCCCCCTTCTAGTTTGCTTCTGTTTACCTTCATTTCAAGTTCTCCTTGGTTTGAATCCAGTCCCAGTTGTGCCTACTCTACATCGTCTTAATGTTGCTTATAAATCAACCTTTTAATATTCATAGACGAGGAGCTGGTTTTGTTTCATTATCACACTGGTATTATAACCCCGACATGGTGAAGTTCCTCTGAGCATCACCCCCCCCTCCCCTCCTATGCCTGTTGCCCAGTGGGCCCCCGGAGACACAAGCTTTTTTGTCTTTCATTAAAGACACTGTGCCCTTTGTGTATATGCCCCCCCCCATTAGAGCCCCCCATTATCAGCGTTTTCTGAAGTGGGACGCTGTCCCCCCTGAATGCCCCGGAGGTGCACGCTTGAGGCACGGCGCCAGGCCGGGAAGCAGAAGGTCTGCAGGGTTGGAGGACCCGTGCGCTACCTCCAGTGTTCTTCTAGGCCGCCTGTAGTAGTTTATTTTTCTAACGCGGTCGGCCGTTTCCCAGCAGACGTTTTGACGCGTCGCAGGCGGTCCGGGGGGCCGGCCGATGGCGCTCAGCTGTCACCTTCCCAAATGCTGCTAGGAGGCAAGGTCAACGGATCGCATTCATCTGGTGATGATCACGGTGGTGCCGTTGTTCTGTGTTACGTGGCGTGCAGCTTGAATGTAGTGAGCGGTGCAGCTCCACTCAGGGCCTACCGTGTGCTGCGTGTGGATGTAAGGAACCGACACTGGGCAAGCAGGACCAGAATAGAGCTCCATTAGCCTCCAGTGGGATATTTTTGCACGGGAAAGGAGGTCAACCAGCAGGGGGGGGGGGGGGGGCTCTGGTTCATTACAAAAGAAAATGCTCTGGGACCTTTTTGTCATTATTGAAAAGCTGAATAGGTTACGGGTTGAGCCTCTGAAGACGTCCTTCGTTGTGGTCTCGTATGTTCCGCGTGTGGTCGCGGCCCGCGGAGTGGGACCGTATCGCTTTGCCATCAATGCAGAATTGATGGGAGTGCGTTCCGGCGCCGACGAGGCTTCGTCGTTGGTTCCGAGCCGCGCTGCTCCCTCCTGGTCCCCGCGGTGGATTCAACTCGCCGTCCCACATCTTTTTATCTTCTGCTCTAATTGTTTCGGCCTCCCCGTGAGACGAAAGGCGCTCTAATCAAGGCACTTGCAGAAATAGGGAAATACCCAGTAGTTGTGAAGCAATCCGGATCAAACCCACGGCCCGTGGGAATAGTGGCGTGACGTCCCCCGAGCTGTGGCACCTGTGGTGGTTATCACCACTTCTCACTGATGCACGACGGGGATGTCCGCCCCCCCCCCCACAGATTAGGTTTTGATTAAGATACACGCATGCTCTTTGAAAAGTTTCGAAAAAGAGTCAGAGTGGAGTTTTTGAAATCTCTTTTTTTATCCGTGTACTTTTCCCTTCAAACGCATCACTGTCAGTGACTGTCAGAGTGTTTCTGGTCATCTCACCTTCCTCCTTCTCCACATCTCAGGATGAAACTGGTGCCTATCTAATAGACCGAGACCCCACGTACTTCGGGCCGGTGCTCAACTACCTGAGACATGGAAAGCTGGTGCTCAACAGGGACTTGGCAGAGGAAGGTAACGTCTCTGTGCAATACGTATTCCAAATACACTTGTCTGCCTGCGCAATGATTTGTTTTCAACCTTTTTAAGGTCATTATTGTTGCTCGATCATTGTGAAAATTGAAATGAATCAAGGCAGCTACGTACACGTGTGTCACATTTGACTGGTCCCGTGCAGATTCTCACACGCAATGCTTCCCTCCTAGGTCACTACAGTCACCGCTTCTTTTTTACCATCTCAGGTGTGTTGGAGGAGGCCGAGTTCTACAACATCACATCATTAATCAAGCTCCTCAAGGACAAGATCAGGGACCGCGACTGTAAAACGTCACAGGTACCTGAAGTTCTTATTAACAACCCTGTTCCTTTTATCCCTTCTGGGTGTTTCTCCCCCCTTTTTGATGCCGCTGCTCCCATGTGTGCTCCTCCCTCTCAGGTGCCGGTGAAGCACGTTTACCGCGTGCTGCAGTGCCAGGAGGAGGAGCTCACGCAGATGGTGTCCACCATGTCCGACGGCTGGAAGTTTGAACAGGTGAATCTCTTCCTGCCGGGCTTCCGTTGGCAAACCTCCTTCCCGCGTGCTCCACGCACCCCGCTCTGCTCACTCTGACCCCCCCCCCATAATGGAACTGGCCCTAAAGGCCAAACAGCAAATCCCATCTCTCTCTCTCTGTCCGCATACGTGATCCGGGCATCCCTTCTGTGCTCTGATTGGTCGTTGCAGCTTGTCAGTATAGGTTACGGGCGGGCCCACCAGTCAGAGTTTCTGCTGATTGTGTCAAGGGAGGTGAAGGGAGAGGAGTCTGCTTTGCCAAACAACAGCGGAGAGGTGTGTCTAACCACTTTCTGTCCCCGGGCCGGTCACTGCATGGTCCCCGTGTCGTCCACACGCACCCCGTCGGCCGCCGTTTGTCCCACACACACACACACACACACACATGTGGCTGTTGGTCCTCTTTGTTTTCAGTTGATTCTCCCCGATGTTCATTCGTGCTGCTTGCTCGCCAGTGAGGCCACGACTCCTTGTCTTGTCTGTGTTTTTGATGTCCTATGCTTTAAAAAAAATGTTTTACGTTTTCAGGACCGTCAACCGCTTTGTGTGTTGTGCTTTCATGTAGCCGCTTGGCTGTTTTGTGGGCTGCGCTGTAATATAGGGGTTGTTTAAAAGTGAAATGTGGTGTTATCTTTTAACTGACACAGACTCTAACAATAGGAAGGAATAGTTTACAGGGATTCCTGATCGGCCGGAGCTGCCGAAAGCTTCTATTTCTAAGGAGAAACTACACTCCGTATATTATATGTGAATAAAGGGACCTCTGCATCTCCCATTAGAGCTGAAATCTCTCCAATCGCCTTACAAAGGTCAGATGGGGAAACTCCTTTCCTCATGCAAAGCCCGAAGCTCGGCCGTCAGATCAGGAAAGTCTGCAGGGGAGACAAGCTGCCGGTTTAAGATTCCACTAATAAACAATCTGTCGACGTGTTTTTCCACCCAGAAACTCGTTGACTCGTTAGCAGCATGACGGGTGTAATCCGTGGAAGCCGGTAGAGATTACGAGGTCCTTTTTCGCTGCGTCGACGCTCGCTGTGAGGAGGATTGCTCAACAACAACAAGTGCGAGGCAGCGCCGGCTAATGAGGCGAGGCAGCGCCGGCTAATGAGGCGACGCGTGTCTGAACATGCACAGTGTGCGCGCAGCCTGCAGAGTACACTTAGCATGCAGCAGGAAGCCGGTGGTTCAGGAACAGGAGTCACCTTTTGCGGATTGTTCTTATGAGATCTCCTATGCCGTTGGCCCGATGGCGTGTTTACGGACGCCATGTGATGGATGTTCTCATGCAGTGTCACTGACCACGTTTCCCCACGCTCGTACGGTCGTCGCGCACGCTGCCCACCGGGCTTCCACCCGAGCGCTCATTCGCACGCCGGCGCTCCCAAACCTCTGAGAGAGGTTCAAGGTTACAACATCTGGCCCCAGAGACGCGTGGACCGGAGGAGCCACCGACGAGAAACCGAGAAGGCAGATGTTCTGTCTGGTATTGATACGGTTAATATGGCAGTCGAGGCAGCGAGGAAACTCCACTTGAAACAACGTGAACATGTCAGTCAAAGAGCTGAAACACGCAGCGGGTGTTACTGATGGAGCGATGTCGTTTGCTCCTCCATTTGCTCTGTGGGAGATGATGATGTTTTCACTGTAAACCAGCATGGTCCTTTCAAGTCAAATCCACTGTTTCCTTCCTGTGAGTCCCTGCACTTTGTGTTCACTCCTCTTATTACCATTATTCCCTATCTGTTCTTTGGTTTCTGTCTATTTTACTTTGTCTGGTCTTTCGATCTTCATTGATGTTTCATTTTGTTTCTGAAGGCCGGGCCGGCCTTTCTCCTGAGATGTGCAGCTACTTCTAACGCACGAGTACCTCCCTTTTGAAACGGATTCCCACGTCTTGTCTTTGGTGTATTTGTTGAAGGGGGGGTTCCCCTGTTGGCCGAGTGGCGTCTCCACGACGTTCTGCGTCGGAGCCTCGGAGGAGCTCAATGCGTCTGTAGCTCGTATCGTACGATGTAGTCAACAAAGACGAGACGATTCATGGTGAAAACAAACACAAACCACACTCCACAATCGCTCCGGTCCGTACGAGCCGCGTGGAGCCGCGTCTTATTCCGGAAGCTCCAACGCGATACACCGGTGTGGAGGCCGCGTTACTCCTACGTCTACTTCACCAGACGGCTGATTCCTCCTCTTCTGCTCTCGTGTGTGTGTGTGTCTCTCTCTCCAGCTGGTCAGCATAGGCTCCTCTTACAACTACGGCAACGAGGACCAGTCCGAGTTCCTGTGCGTGGTCTCCAAGGAGCTGCACAACCAGTCCTACGGCACCAACAGCGAGCCCAGTGAGAAGGCCAAGGTAAGCGCGTCAGCACACCGCCGTGGATGCTTGGCGGTTAGGGGGGGGGGGGTGAAGGCGCACTGCTACACACGACCAACGCATCTTTCATCAAAAGCAGAAATTAGAAGTCGGTCATAATTTCCTCCCGCGGGTCTGTTTTGTAGTGAAAACATTTCATTTCAAGTTTCTATGCAAAAATGTAAGTTGTCAAGATAAAATTTAAACACATATTTACCCTTTTCACAAAGTTTTTCCCAGTTCTCAAACAATATTCAGCCGTCGGTCACTGCGCTGAATCTGAATACTGAATACACCCCTGAGCCAGATTAACTTGGGTGATTCCCGCACTGCTCCTTGTGGGTGCTGCATGTCGTGGTCTTCTTCAGCCGGTGGAGTTCTTCCTGTGTGTGACGGAAAAGGAATAAATGGGAGCGATTTGCGCGGTTAAAACAACTTGATTCTGAATCACTTTTCTCTTTTTACGACTCTTGTTTGTGTCCTGAGCAGGATGGTGATGAAGCATCGTGTCGCGCTGCTATTATAATATATATATCTATATATAGATATATATACACACACAATATTACTGTAGGCTCTGCTGGTTCAGTCCTGCATCTCCTCTTTAGATCCAAGTCTTTTCAAACCAGGAGGGTCAATGTGTTTTTCTTCATTCTATCGTTTTCTGGTCCCTGCAGATCCTTCAGGAACGAGGTTCCCGGATGTGAAGAGGACTCAGTATTATGAGCTCCGGGTGTTATGATGCTAACATATCATCTTTGTGGAAGAACGTTTGGCACAATGCAGATTTAAAGGAGTCCTGTGCATTTGTTGTGTGTTTTTCTCTTTTTTTTGTTTTTTTTTATTTCTTGATGTAAATAAGTCTGTTTACTGACAATTTGTGCCTGTGCATCGAAACTGGACCTTTTTTATTTTGAATTAGCGCCAAGTTCTTTTTAATTTATTTTTTTTCTTCAAATAAGGAATTTCAATCTAGAAATGTTTTACGCTAGAATACGGCCGTCATCATACAAGGCCAACGATTCACTCAGGGTCATCCGTTGACTTAAATCATCCTCTTCACGGCTCTGCCAAGGGATCAATCCTTATCATTGTTTAGAACCCTTTAAGGGAGTTGAGTTTATTCAGCACCTGTTAAGCAGTTATTTAAATGTGACATTCACCCCAAAAACAAATCCATAAAACCTTTTCCAACAGTTACGCTGAGATTTGTGATCATGAGGATGAGCTATACAACACGAGCGTTTGCAGATGCATTTAAAACGTTTTACGTGACATTAAGTCAGCCAGTCATTTGAGGAGCTTTTACTGGCGATGAGCGATTGACACGTAATGAACAGGACGATGAAAGCGCCGTTTTCACACGGAACAGATCCGCTGACTTCAGAGAGATCGTATATATCTGCTTAATGTCGTCCTTTTATTGCTTGAAAAGTGGACTTTCTGACCACACGTTCTACTTAAGTTCTATTATTATACAGTTAAGTATTACACATTTAATCACACGTCATCGTTCAAAATGCCGTTTCAAAGTAAGAGTTCCGCTGCTCCTGCGAACGTGAGACTTTAATGTAAAGCAGTAAATTGCTCTCTAAGTGTTTTAAAAAACACATTTGTATAACTTTATCTTGCCTGACACTTTTGGAACTCCTCATGTTCAGAAGTCTACAGTTAACTGCCAAAATATTCAAACGTGTTTTAATAATGTGAATTCTGTTTTTAAACTGACTTGTTTCTCGTCGGGACAAATATTCTTGAGAAAACGGCGTTTTTAAAATAAGATTTTCTGAGTTTTAGTTTATTGTTTGAGGGGACATCGTGTTTGATTAAAATCTTTTTTTTAGGGGCAACAGTCGCTCGAAGGCCGAAGTCAAGGACTTTCTTTTCGTAACCAGAGGGTTTTGTTTTGATGTAAATAATACAAATTCAATATGAATATTTAACTCTTCAAAAAAACAAACTGCACGTTTTGTACACTGTAGAGAAAACACAACTTGAAACCACAGTTGTTTATACTGGACGATTTTTGACAACGTTAACTTCTGTTTTGCATTGTTTGTACAGGATTTCTGAGTTAAGATTGAAACCGCTGATGCTGAACACGGTGTCTTTCACTGAGAACATGCCTATAACATGTTTTGATAACAAAGCTATACTTGGTTGTCTATGAAGTTGACTGTTACATTTAAAAACAAATGTGTTTTTCCTGCGTTGTGATTCTTCTGAGCATTTTGACTTGTAGATTTCGTACACAGCATTACAAGCACTACAGTGGGAATCAGCACTGTGCACATTGCTAACAAGCCTGTAATGTTGGTGTAAATCCTGCATTTCAGAACACGGTTTCTTTTTTCTTTTTTTTTTTTAATAGGTTGTTTTCAGGTTTGATGTGTGATTTTTGATAGTTTGGATAAAAATCCTTATGTGTTGCCTTTTTCCCCCCAACGACCAAATCCAATGTCCTATATGTACCGTACACGTTAGTGTCAGGGATGAGTAAACTTTTATCAATGCTGACACACTATGTACATATAGACTTCTTAAAGACACACAAACCTCCATTTACTCTCATGTACACGTATACACTTGATTAAAACAATTTTTATATTGTTGCAAAAAACAAGTATGGATGCATGTTTTTGATATAGCTACACACACACACACAAACACACACACACAAGGGCTTTTAAAGTGCAACATTTCAAATCTGCAAAGAGGTTCAATCAAAGACTGGATTTCCTGCCAGAGTTAGGCTATGTTTACATTTGCTATAGTATTCTGAAGCCTTCCAATTATATACTGTCTTGCACTTCCTCTCACACACGTTAACGTTTGTCTTGATTTGTGTAACGCACCCCCCCCCCCCACTCCACATGAACCGAGCACGGACGTGCTGACTGATAAGTTCCTCTCTCCACTGCTTGCAGCCTACGGAGCGTCGCAGACAATCAGGATTTCCGCCCTCTCTGATGGCCCAGATGCTCACTTTTCATTTTGGGGTCCTTTTTCAGTCTTTTTTTTTTAATTTTTTATCCTGCAATGAGATTTAAAGTGTTCTGGTTTGGTTTGTTCAGTTGTAATTTCATTGACGTCGCAAACAGGCCGTCTAGTTGAGCATTTGGCATCAGTTATCATTTCATGTCACGGATAAACTTATCAAATCTGTAGCCTGATGCTAATAAGTGCCCAGTTTGTGTTGCATTCATGTCATAAGCCAGAGACACTGTAGTGCATGATTGAAGTTTATCACACTTGTAATCAGAGCAAAGGAATGTGATATTTTTACTCAATCTTGCAATTACATCAATGAATAAGGTTCTCTTATCACTACATAGATCACTTCTATATGATCTTATGCAACGTAAAATATGTACGAACTAAGTATGAGGTTAATGGGCTATATCTATACGGTCTTGCATAGGGTAAACCCAATAAAAATGTTGTCATTCATACATTTGTGTAGGGTTTTTATTCACCTTAAGCTGTGTTTATTAATCGCATCACATATAATTGTCCTTTCACATGTAGATGGGAAAAGTGAGAGAACCAATCATTTTATTGTACGAACAGCGACCTCTTGTGTCAGTACCTCAGAAATCATGCCGCTGCCCTTTAGTTGCCTGGAAACATGCCTGTCTATTTTATAGACTCTATTCTTTTAACAAGTTGGCACAAAACAGTGTTCAAGTATATTGACTAAAGATAATCTGTATCAGTTTAATCCAAACTCTCTAGATTGTGTGGACATTGTGTGGTTTGAATTGTCGAACGTAAACGGCGCCTTCAACGGCTTTGGTCTTTGGTCCGACAAAGATGACATACAAGACAAGATAGAAACCTCCCGCCTTTGCGATAATTCGACATTTCTCGCCTGACACGATATATATATATTTAAAAAAAATACTTTTTACCTCATATAACTAATCAAATTGCAGCTGGCAGATATTCCGAACAATATACATAATACATCTCGCAGAAAGCCATTTCATAATACTACAGATTAAACTCCAACGGACGTTGTGCGGTTTGAAGTAAGTGTAAAGTAATAAACAAATAAACGGTACAGTCGTACGACTAATTCAGACGTTTTTTAGAGGTAAACGCGCAGCCATGAGCCCAAATTGCACATTGCGAGGGAAATATTTGCCCCACTGTAGCTCGGGGTTTTTAAGCAAAGACGGAAGTGAGGGACGGATGACTGTTTCATTTCGCTGTTTCTGTGTCTCTGGAGTCGGAGCGGTTGGTTTTTCAGGAGGGAAACTTTACAAGGTTTGCCGGGATTTGACCACGATTAATTCATTTCGCCTAATAACCAGAGCCGGTGCGCCATACCGAAAGGTAAGCGCACGCCTCGACTACCGAACGTGTTGATTCAGTCGTGTTTAGTCATGTTTTACCCGCTTCAGTTTGCGCCATTTTCGCTAGTTTTGTAATGCACAAATGTGCGCCTTTTCGCTCTGGCGTTCTTTGTCCCTGTGTTTTAATGGCTCGTGAAGGGCTCCGCCACCGCACAACATCTCACATCACTCGCTACCAACCACGATTATACACCTATAAGCGTCATAAGACGGCCGGTTATCCCCATTCTGTCACCCAAAGAATGTGTTGAAATCAAGCGCAATTGCGCATTTTTGTGCTGCACCAGGCCGTGTCAAGACGCTAACGGCACCAGCGCCTGTTGGGATACAACACGAATCTGGCGCACATGAGTTAGCTCATCAAGCTAACCGGCTAGCTTGCTAGCCAAATAGCTCAGCACAGTCAGGTTGTTGACACCTGTGTTGACAGCGTGTTTTTAAAATAAAGCTCTACGAACGTTCGGGGAAGTTAAGTTGTTGTGGTTTAATTTCCGCAGAGCCTTTAAAGTTTGACAAATCATTTTAAATATGGTTTATATTTTGTGGACATGTGACGTTATCACCAGAGGCTAACTAGCCGCCGTATCGTTAGCGGACAAGTCTGTTCAAACGATGCTATAAAACATTGTATATTTAGGCTGAGGATGAAACGTCTGTAACATGTGGAGAACAACTCGTGTGAAGTTCGCTAACGCTGCGGGGACAGTTGGTCGCCGTTGCTCAGCCTGTTTTTAAGTTCTATCCACTTCATCGATCCTATGAGGAACATTAGTGCCAATTAAGGCTCCTAATTGGCTTTGAGGCGGACCGGCACCAATGAGCCGCTGAGCCGCTGCTGTGAACTCGTACGGTCAAGTTTGTGTAAGTGTCCTAATTTGCAATGCTGTCATGTTTGGTTTACTATGGACCACTCTCCCTTTTTAACAGTTGCATACCACAGTTTGCCAATTTCCTAATTAATAATTTGTGTGCGATTAGGTTTTGAAAGTGAATCCCAGATGCGAGTCGGACCTCGTTCTGAATGGTTCGCATTAAATTCACCCTCCTTTCATTCCAGGAGTCCACGAGTCATGTCGGGCATTGCATTGAGCCGGCTTGCACAGGAGCGCAAGGCATGGCGGAAGGACCATCCTTTCGTAAGTGACTGTTAATGCTGTGAGAAGCACCTGTCCTGGGGTGGGGTGAGGGGGTCTCACTCCAGGCCTCCACTAAACACAGATACCATAAACTGTTTACACTGTCCTGTGGAATTTTTCAGGGATTTGTTGCCGTACCCACAAAAAATCCAGATGGAACCATGAATCTCATGAATTGGGAGTGTGCGATTCCTGGGAAGAAAGGGGTAATGTGTTTTACTGCCTGTTTGCATTAATAAGAAATGTGCTTTACGCTCTTGTGCTGTTTGTTGTTTACGCGACTAATGGTTGTGTTTCTCCTCAGACTCCGTGGGAAGGAGGCTTGTTCAAACTGCGCATGTTGTTCAAGGATGACTATCCTTCTTCACCTCCAAAATGTGAGTAGCGGTGTCTGACCTGTGCTCGGCTGTGACTGCATTTTTAGTTCTATATCACACCCTGTTATTAGCAGGTCCTTGTTATTAGCAGATGCTTGTAGAAGCCTACATTATGGAACTAGTGGCCAATCCGACCTCCCTTTGAAACTTGGCCAAAAAGCATTCTGAATCTTTACCAACATGATGACGTCCTTTATAGCTACGGTCTTAGAGTCCGCTAAAGTGGTAGTCTTATCTTGGTTATGATCGGTTCAACATCGTCATGGTAACTGTTTCCATTCATTTTATTAAGAAGTTTGGATGTTGGCCGGCGGCTCCAACTAGTGGGTGGACTCTCATAAATGTCCCTTTGCTGTTCCTTTAACAGAATACTATTATACTATTGTGTGTTGAGTGATAACAATAATGCATCTTACACTTTCTTGTGTTTTAGGTAAATTTGAGCCCCCACTCTTTCACCCGAATGTGTATCCATCAGGCACAGTATGCCTATCTATTCTAGAGGAGGACAAGGACTGGAGACCAGCCATCACAATAAAGCAGGTTTGAATTGACCCGCATGCAACAAAAACATTACTGCGTTTTCTGAAATAGTTCATTTAAAACTTGAAGACTTTCAGCGGGGGAAAGGTTCTGATTATAGAACTTAAAATGTATACGTCACATAACAAAAACTAATAAGTCAATATTTATTGGCTGGTGGAAAATGTATGTAACTGATGTAACTATTTAACATTAAATGTAACTGACTTGAACTTAAGTGATCAACTAATAGAACAAGCAAACAAAAAAAAAAGACAAAACTGGGAACTTGTCTATTTCTCCTGCAGATCTTATTAGGTATTCAGGAACTCCTAAATGAACCAAATATCCAGGATCCAGCCCAAGCAGAGGCTTACACAATCTACTGGTAAGTGATTACACATTACATCTTTTCCCTAACGGGACAAGAAAATGTAAAAATGCTCGGGGATTTACAAAGTAGCTCTCGTGAAAAGAGGCCAAGGAGCTGAAGTCACTCTGGGCTGATACGATAAAAAGCCAAAGCGGACGCTTACTTAACCACGAGTACCTACGTGGTTTCTGGGAAGTTCAGTGTGAAACACAAAATAACTATTTAGCCAAATAGGCCATATTACACGCTTCAAACTAAACAACCAAATATCATAATCCATAATCATTCAAACATTTCTAGCTCTCTAACACTTCCTTCATTAAACAAAAACAGAAAACAGAAATATGTAGTCTGGTTTATTATAAAACAGAAAACGTCCTCTTATGCATTGGGATGTATGCGTGCGTGTGTGTGTGTGTGTGTGTGAGAGCAATCGGTGCACAATGATAACTGCTATTTTTAACCCTTTTCCAGCCAAAACAGAGTAGAATATGAAAAAAGAGTTCGAGCACAAGCCAAAAAATTCTCCCCCTCGTAAGGGCGAAGACTTGCTCCGCTGTGGCAGAAGGAATTTAACAAGAATCACCTCCCCGCTCGGTCTCAATGAATGTGCTCCTCTCACACCAGGACTTGCTTAAAGACTTCTATTTAAACTCCACACATTCTGTGCCATCCGACCCACCTTTTTTCTTTTTTCCGTTGTTCTTAATTGCCAGTTGGTGCGTGATGCTGGGAGGGGGATGGGCGCTCCGGCACCCTGGTCATTTCTTTTTAAACATTAATTGTCTTATGTGGTGCGAAGGACGAAGCTCGGTACCAGTTTCATCAACTCCGTGCAGGCTGGCTGTCATCAATGTTCAAAGAAGATTTTTGTTTCTGTTTTATATTGCTCTTTTACAGGGTCTATTCCTTATGCCCCCCCTTTAATTTTCCATGAATTTAATGTAAAATCCGCTTATTTCATTGTCAGTATTTCAACTGCTGTATAATGAATGGCACTTTTATACTGTTGTATCTCACTAGTGTCTCTAGATGGCTCTGTCTAAATTCTTTCCCAGGTTTTCTATTCCGCATGCTGTAATATACGATAGAATCTGCTGCCTTGGCTGTCCTTTTGTTATTCAGAGTGTTTGCTATGAAATAAATAAAAATGGCCACGATGACTGAGGCAGGTAGGCTTACTTCTGTATCAGACTTTAAGGTTATATGGTGCTTTGTTCATGTATGTGTTGGCGTAAATAAAACTTTCTACAAAATGTTAGAATTTTTATTTAATAAACAGCAAACCATCTCCCGTCAAGCGCGTCTTATGATAGCAACATGTCATGTTGTTTTTAGCGTGAAGCATTTAATGCTGTAAATGTGTGTAGTTGAACCTCCGGTTGCATTTCAACTTTCTGAGACGTTTTTAAAAAAAATTTACTGCGATGTTCCCAACTGGTCAGCTAATGCTTCAGTACCGGCCTCCGCTCTGAGGGCCCCCGTCGGGCAGGCTTTGGTTGTAGGGGGCCCCCGGTCCTCTGCTGCGCCTGTCGGACCCTTCTGGAAGGCGCTCAGCGTGCAGTACTCGTTGCAGTACATGGGGCAGTACTTCTCCAGCCAGCAGCCGGAGTCTCCCTCCGCGTGGCCCCCCGGGGGCAACGGCGGCGGCGGCGGCGCCATGGAGCTCACGGCGTACGGGACCCCCAGGAGGCTGACGTTGTTGTACGCGCTGCCCTCCGTGAACTGGTGGTGGAATTGAGCCTGGCTTTCTTCTTCTTCTTCCTCCTCTGGGACGCCGCACTCGGTGAAGGTGTCGATTTGGAGAATTTCCTCGGCCTTCAGCATGTCTGCCGTGTTTTCTTCTGTAACCGCCCAGCTCTGTAATCGGACGTGTTCAGGGAAGCTGTCGTGAGATAATAGTATTTTATTTTAAGCCCAATTTACCTTGAAATCGCCCTGGCAGTCGCTGTTCGGCGTCAGGAAGTAGAGTGCTGGAGTTGGGATGAAGGCCCCCTTCCTCCACCTTCACATTGAGTGTGCGTTAGTTGTAGGAATTGTTAAACTGTACCGAGGAATCGCTGGAAGGAGACCTTACTTCTTCACTGGAGCGTAGCAGAAAAGCAGGACTAACGACGCCACCACGCAGAGCGGGACGAGAACCTTCACCAGTCCAGAAACCAGCGTGTTGGATGGCAACTCTGGATGGACATTCAGGCAGTACAACCATTTGAAGGGCGTTTTGTAACAGATTTACAGTTGGTGCAGATCTTCATTAAGCTCAGATCAGCTGACTCGTTGGAGACTCACCCGTCACAGCCGGCGGTGTGTCCCAGTAGACCTCAGACGACCAGTCGCTCCAGTGGCCCTTGAAGAACGCCTGATCGGGACTGGACCGCACTCTGGCAGCATACTTGGTGTTTGGCACAAAGTTGTCGTCGTCCACAGAGAGGTTCAACAAGTTGGTGCGGAGGGTGTGCGGTAACGCCTGGAATACAGATGTAAAGCTAAAGGGAGTAGTACGGACTTCTGTCCAATCAGCAGGATGTTCATACACATATAAATAAAAGGGCTGTCGTGATAAACTGAGAAGTCAGCGGCCGTCGTTAGTCAGAATCGTGTTATTTGTGCTCATGCAGGGTAAAGGAAAAAAAATAATTAGGGTAAGTTCATGAACAACACAATCCTAGTCGCTCTTTGTGGCAAGATTACAAGTCAAATCCTGGATAATGATTTCTGGAGGACGGGTGGGGGCTTAAAATCCCCCGCTTTTGGGGGGGAATCAGTGGATTTTTGGCAATTTGATTAAATGTGTTCTTGCTATGTATTCATCTTGAGCTCTTTTTGTGGTAGAGTCCCGTATAGTTTAAGACCATCACATATTAAATCCCTTCGGTTTAAAGCCATCTGATAAACAGAAAAACAAGACCCCGAATCCCGGCGGCCGCTTTGTCTCACGTCGCGCGCGTGTCCCCGCTCGTGGTAACGCAGCTGGTACTCGAGGGCCTGGACCAGGCCGGTGACGTCATCGTAGGGCTCGTAGGTGCTCGTCCACGTGAAGAGGTGCCGGCTGGCGTTGCGGCGCACGGCGAGGCCTCGCGGCGCGTTCGGCTTGACTGCGGAGGAGGTCAGAGGTCAATGGGCACGAGCGGGCGTCGCGTTTGCGGCGTGCGTGCGTGCGTGCGTGTGAGAGCGGTGCGCGGCTCACTGTTAAGCGCCGGGTTGAATTTGTCCCCCAGCCGCTCGCAGGCGTCCGACCCCTCCGGCCGCCGGTGACAGAGCGACACCGCGTAACGGTTCAGATCCTGAAAGGTCGCCTCGTCCTCCGCGTCCTCCTCGTCCTCGTCTGGCGTCGGGTTGTGAGTTTTGATGGAGCAGCAGAATTCCTCCCCGGTGTTTGTCAGCGGGCACGCGAATGTCGTTCTGCACACAACGGTAAGGAGGCACAACGTCACATTCCAGGTCATCCGGTATTCCTGAATGCCGGGGTGTGTGTGGGGGTGTGTGTGGGGGTCGTCGGGGGGGTGAAAGGACTCACCCGTCGTGCGTTTCCGTGAAGGTGAGCCAGTAGCGGCTGCGGCCGTCCGGCTGCACGATGCTCAGGCTGCAGTTGATGGTGAACAGGTAGTCGTTCACACACTGAAGGTTTCGGTACACAACTGAAAAAGTAATGTTTAGTTTTTTTTTTCGGATTGAAAGCCGAGATCCAAGTTAAGGATCCTTCGTGGTTTTAGGTTTAATTTTAAATCATGGAGTTTTTTTCTTTATGAATACCATCCGGTTAAAGAGCCCTTAGTGACGTTTCAAACGGCAGACTTTAAGCTTCCATCGCTTCCTTATGAGGGAGCTCAGAAAAAACAATTAATGTCCATATGAAATTGTGTTATGGTGGTTTTTTCTTCTTTTTTAAAAACTTTTGTAAAATGTACAATGCTTCAACAGGTATTATTTACCTACCAGCATGTAAATCTGCTTGTATCCTGGTTTATTGTAAAAAAAAAAAAAGAACCAACACCACATTAACAAAATATATGGATGTTTTCCTTTGAAACATTAGCCAACTTTTCAGGTCAAATAGTACAAACAGTATAATAAATGCTATTTGCTCAATATATTACAAATCATCTTACAATTTTACATTTTGGGCTTTTGTCCCAACGAGCGGATTAAAAGCGCAATCTGATCCCAACGATTCGGTTTCAACAAGAAGCAAACGGACCGGGACAGAACCTGCGGGGGGGTCTCCGCCGGCGCCGGCGGACGCGAGCAGAAGCACCGGCAGCAGCGTCCTCAGGCCGGGCGCGCGGCGCGGGTCCATCGCTTGCGGAGCCTCCAGACGTCGCGTCGGCACCGAGAGGTCTCCGCGCCGGCGGCGGTTTATCAGTGGGGCCGCAGAAGAGGGAGGAGCCCGCAGCCGAGTCGCTGCTGTGCGCGCTGATAGAAATCACTCACGCGTCTCTGCGGGGAGAGGATGTGCTTCGTTTTTTTAAATTAATTTTAAAGAGAGCGGTTGAAAAGGGAAAGTGTGTGAAGGGGGCGGTCGGCCCTTCAGTTTAAATAAAACAGAAAGTAGAATCGTCCTCGCGACCCTTTTGCACTCTGCACCGCGCCTTGTTGTTCCTTTTAGTCCAGCATTGGTGGCTTCTTTTGCTTTTAAAAACCATTTCTCCGGGTGTCCTTTAATCTCTTCTCCGATGATATCGTCACTGTGGTGAGATTCATTTCAATCCGTGAGCCAGAGACACGACACTAACGCGTGCAGCTTGCATGACAAAAGGCTGCAAAGACTCTTCTCTCAAAGACACAAATGCTCCTTTAAAACTTTAATTGACATGAGTGTGATTGTGCAGAGAAATCGCACACGGGCATATAATTCATATACATACATCAACTAATCTTCTGCATTCACAACAAACAGCTTTGTCTGCATGTTAAAACCCCCTCTTTAGATAACAAACAGGCATCTCACCAGTTGACCACTGAGCCTTTATTGGAGCTGCTCAAGTCTAAATGTGAATTATCGTGCCACCTGTTTTGGAACGTGTGGCAGTGACAGGAGATGAATGTGGGTTGTGTGCTGATTTCTATAAAAGAATACCGACAGATTCGTTTTGAGTTTGCAGCTTAGATACATGTAGATGTAGATCCATGAAGTTATAACTCGTAGACCAGTTGACTGTCTCGCGTTGCATTTCGCAGTTGATCAAGAAGACGCAAACTTTCAGGAAAGAACAGGTTTTATTCAAATGCAAGAATCTTAATTTGTGTCCCCAAAGCATCAGGATATTGTCACCGTGTCAACTTCATCACTCATCGCACTTGCAGTAAAGGTTAAAAGTCAAAACGGGTCGACACTCTCACGCTCCTTTTTATAACTGCACACATAAACCTCTGAATGACAAGTAAGAACACATCGTGTTACCACACAGGCAGTGACCTCCACGTGATAACCAAGGTATCACTTTAATGTTGCGCTTTGCCGCCCAGAATATCTGCAAACCTCTGATCACGCTACACTAGAGCGTGAAGTAGGCCTATTTTTATCCGTGGAAAACCAAAATGACTTTCTGTCCTCCTCGTGTGAACTAGTGTTGAAAAGGAGCTTGAGATCAGCAAAGAAGCAAATAAATATCTTTAAGTCTTTATTGCACAAGAGCAGAAACCTTTTGCAGTGCCGCAGCATCTGATATAAGTTTGTTTTTGTACTTTGATAAGAAAGCTTCCTTCTGCGTGGCGTAGACTGAAAAAAGAGAGCAGCCCTGGAAATAACACGTAATCTGATGAAGATCTGAGTAGATGATTACGGCACAAAGTTGTTAAGGCTTTGGAAAAACTCTAAAATCATAATATTAGAATTCAAACAAGTCGACACATTCTATTATTTTCTAGTATTATTATTTACTTATCTGTCGAATACAAAAATAAGTTAAATTACCTTAAATAACCTGCACGTATGAAACGAGTCCATTCTCAAGTCTATGGATTTTATTTTCCACATATTATTGTATACAAAGTCTTGCAATGTAACAGGATACAAAACATGAAAAATGACCCCGCAGAAATTGATGGGTATGGTTTGTACTTATTTAGCTCGTGCACGCCGGCATTGGTTCACTCACAAGCCAGTTTACCGTCGAATGAGGACAGGGCGATGGCGAAGGCCTGCAGGGCGCACATGGGGAACCGGTAATCCATGGAGAAGACGTCCTCCGCCACGCGGCCAAACTGCATCACGATGTAATCCTCTGCAGCAGGGGGCAGAAGAGGAAGACGCGGGGGAATAAGTCACATGGAATAAAGACGAGGCGGCCATTGTCCTGGTTGTGGGGGGGGGGGCGTCTTACCGTTGTCGGGGTGGATGATCTGGAAGTTCTTGACGGAGGCCTGGGTGACGCGGCCGTGGAAGTTGAGCACGTACGACTGAGTGTGTTCGTTCCAGCTGGGGGATTTGTTGAGCAGCGTGACCAGTTTGTCCGTGTTGTTGTTGGCGTGGCGCGCCAGCAGAGTCTCCGCTTCCTACAAAGAGACGGCCAGTCGGTCCCTCCGGCGTATTTCACACTCGCTAAAGTCACCAAAAGGGGTTGTGTTGTTGTGAGCTTACGCTTTGGGGACGAATGGACACCCTTTCATCGTTCTCCAGCATGCCGGGGATGATCACCGTCATTTTCCTGGGACCCTTGAATCCCAGCACGTTTGTCTCCTGCAATGTGAGAGCCAATCGTATCACAGGTTTCATCTCTTCATGTGGGACGGGAGACGGTAGAAGTTTGCGCTTACGTAACAAATTGCGGCCAGCTCTTGTCGCACGGATTCACACTCTTTGACGAAGGGCTTTTTCTCGGGGTTTTCGCCTTCGTCGTAGACCGTGAACTTTGTCCCCAGAACATTGGACCTGAAACAATCAGATCAGTGAATGATGGATGGAATTATCTATAAGGTTAAAAGGTCAGAAAAAGCAAAACAACCACGGGGTGCATTCGACTCCGTGTAAAATCATTGCAAACAAAAATCACTGAGGAATTCCACGAATGCCCCCAAAAATGTACACTCAGGATCCCATAAATAAGTAGAGAAGCGCTTGTTTTGTTTGATTCTTAATGTTTTCTGAGGGATAATTCACTCGTAAGTAGGATATTGAAACGCCAACCGCACACCTCAGTTTTCCTATGTAGCAGTTCGTATCTCTGGACAGATTGGTCGGGTCGGTGGAGATGAGATAGTTGGATGTCTTGCACTTCTTCCTCTTCCTGCCTGCCATCAGGAACACCTTGGTGAGGACACAGAGAAACGCACGGTGAAAAGAGCTCCGCACGGAAACGCCGCCATCCCGACGTTGGCTGGTGTCGAGGTGCCGACCCTTTTGCCGTCCTCCTTCTCCATGTGGAGGTAGTACGTCGGGTAGATGCCCTTCTCCATGCCTCGCCTGTCCCTGGTGACCCTGCACTCGATGGTCACGTCTCGGGGGGCCGGACGCAAAGAGAACTTCTCGAGGTCCTCCACTGACATCGGAGACGCCGACTGCAACAAGAGAGAGGGAATGATTCTCCTGCACGCTGTGCGACAGATCCAACAAGGCTGATTTGCTTCCGAGAAAACACAAAACGCTTTTTTTTTTTCTGCTTTGCGAACGTCTCACTCTTTCATTGGATTCGCAGTCGGAAGAAGAGGAACTCTCCCTGTAGTTGGAGTTGAGGGAAGCGAGGCTCGGCGTAGCTCTCTCTGCTTTCTTTGTCCTCTTTCCCGTTTTCTCCTTCACCCGGGTTTCTTCGTTTTTCTTCTCCTCGCTTATTTGGCACCTGGCTGCATGATGACACACACAAATGCATTCCTCACCCGCGGCTTCACGGCATTACGGACCCTGCAGGGCGCCGGGCCAGATCGTCGCTCACATGTGTTGAGTGTTTTCTTCTTCTGAGGCGATCGAGGCAGAGCCGCCTGGGCCTCCTCTTCATTGCTGCTTTCGGCACATTTATTCCTCTTCGGACTCGTCATCTCCGTCCCTGACTCTGTCTCCGTCTCCCGGGCTGCAGGGAGTTGGAAGTCCTGGGACGACACCTCCTGCAAGTGATTCTCTGCAAAAGAGCAAACAAACGCCATAAAAGCTGTACCGTGTATTCATAGTAGTGCTAAATATTAAGTTACTTTTCCGCTCTTGCTTGGCAGACTTGTTTGTCTTCTGTTGGTCTTCAGATTCTTTCATCTTGTCTTTCTTCTTGTTTTTTTTCTCCTTCTCTTTGTCCTTTTCATCGTCCTGCTCCATCGCTGTTGGAGAGCACAGCAGTCATTGATTTATTCCTGCTCCTTTGCTGCCCATGTGCATACATATTCAGAGTGATGTGGTCACGGACCACAAAGGGCCCAACGAAGGTGGGAATACATATTTATTATTTACCTTTGAACTCTTGACACACACTGTTTTAATCGTAATCTTGCATAAACACACACAAACATACAGAATACCTCCACGAATAAAGACAAAACCACCAAATGAGAACCAAACATTGTGCTTTCTTTATCCTCACGCATGGCTTTATCTTTTTTCACGTCTTTCTTCTTGGTCCTTTTCCCCTCCGTCTGAGCCTCCGCCTCCCGCTTCCCCTCGGCCTCTTCGTCGATCTCCCAGTTCATTTCCTTGGGAGTGACGTGATTCTCTGAAGGAACCTCATCACACGTCACGCTTGTTGTCGTGTCAAACTCCCCTAACGTGATCTCGTCGAGTGGGTTATCATGGGCGTGCTCAACTTGATCTGCGGAACGCAAAAAAAACAAAACATACATTTAATACAATTTAAGACACTGGACTGAGCTTCACATTCTGGACTTGCACAAAGGAACACGAGTGGTGGTGACACCCACCACTCAGGGACGCGTTGCTGAGGGACTGGTTGATCAACAGCGGCGTTTCATCAGATCGGACAGATTTGTGCTTCCTCTGGCGAGCGTCCCGGTTGGCCACCACCATCTGGGAATCCGCCCGCTTCTTTTGCTGTTTTTTCATCAAAAGGGTCCTCTGCGGAAGAGTTGAGTAGTGAGTTTAGGATTCAACTCAATGTTCATGCGTGTGGCTACAACTACGGAATAAAATAAGGACTCTAATGGCCGGTTTATTTATTTCATTTAAAGGGACCATGTAGTGAAACGTCACCATTTGATGCCCTGTTCCAGATTAAAGCTTTGAATAATTTGTCCCTCTGCAGTCATAACAAGGACAACACAATGAGAAACATTAATGGGTGAAGAACAAAATACTAAACCCTGAACCCTGTTGTGAGGTTTGGGTTTCGCTGCATGTGTTCACATGCTCGCCAAGAGAAAGCTTCAGTGTTTTCTTTTCATATTCCGGCTGATGCAAATTTTAAAAAGGCAAAGCAGTATTGTTGGGTTTTTTTGTGCGGCATGAAAGGAAGACAACTGCATTTCTTTTTGCAACCACGCGTTGGCCAGAATTACCTATTCTAATACAATAAAATGACATATATTGGTTGTAGCTATATTTTAAAGGTATAGTTGCTGCTTACTATTTTAATCATTCTGATTACTTCTACCACTGGTGGCATCGTACTCTCCATACGAGGACAGCGCATGAAGGCTTTGCTGCACCACACAGCAGGTGGTTCTGACACAGGTAACACAGCTCCATCCACTTATCTCAACAAAGAACTAGTTCTCCTCCAGTCAGTGTGGATGTTGCTGATATTTTTGAATAAAAGAAACACGGATAGCTTCCAAAGTCAGGAGGCCCATCTCGTTTGTCAGGTAATTGAAGTGAATTGTAGTTTAGCCATATATATTTGGCCAATGTCACGTGTAAATGAAATAAAATGCGTAAATAACCCTCGTCTATTTACCTGGTTGTCAAGCTTCTGTTGTCGCATGTCGGGGTCCTCCATGTCTGCGTCAAAGACTCGCTGCTAATTACAATCAGTAGATAATTAAGGACCGTAGATAATTAACGACAGGCGACTTAGAAAGAGCTGAAATCCAGCGTTGACGTTCAGCGCGAGAAACCGCTCAGTTTCCAAAACAAAGGGAGAGGGAACCGGAATACGGACGCGCGCGTGGCGCGTTGCGTCTCCGTGGACAGTCTGTCCACCTGCGAGCAGCAGAAGGCAAAGTGGATTAAAGGGGGATAATGTTCTTAAAGTGTGCGGCAGGCTTCCGCTCCCTGTTTACCGCCAGCATCTCCCGGTGGGGGGGCGGGCGGGGGGGAGACACGCCGAGGCCGTCGGACGTCCCCCTGTTCTCCGCCGTCGCACCGCGACTCACCTGCGCCGCTTCTGAACTCCGGTCTTTTTCTCAAACTCCCGCAAAACGAGAAAACTAGAAGAGCCGTCGAGCATCACCGGCGCGGAACCGGGTCACCCGGTTGCCATGGATACGGCTGCCATAACAGCGGCGAAGAGCCGGGATTTAAAGCACTAATAATAATAACAATAATAACAACGACCAAAAACAAAGCAGTGTCTTCATCACAACATTCAAATTAAAATGCTCACAGTTGTATCTGTTACGGACAGCTTAATTAGATGCACTGATTTTTTTTAAAACCTATTTGTTTTCACAGATGCAACTCAATTACCTCTTAAAGGCTTAGTTTGTTGTAATATGTTTCTGTTATTATTATTATTATTATTATTAGCCGTGTTTTGGTATACTTAGTATTTGCACACGTATTTGTTGTTTTTATTTGTGCATTAAAACGTTTGTGACGCACTATACTTTACTCCTTCTTTCCCCTCGGACTTGACCTCCAGCCAAAGCGATGGAACGTAATGTTGTAATTGTAGTGACGTGGCAGTTGGTACGAATTGAATTGTATATGTTAAACGTTCCATCCTTAGGACACGCTGAACCGGAAGGGGAGACAGTGGGTTTACTGTTGCTAGGATACGCCGAGGTGACCAAACAGGAAGTGCTCCGGCGTCACTGGACCCGACAAAGTCACGCAAACATTGCGTTTTCGTTAAATACTTTTTTGTGCTCGTGATTTGATCCATTGATTAAATTGAAGTATATATTATTTTTAAGCCAAATCATTCACACTTGTGTTTTTCAGCGGTTAGCTTTCCGTTTGCTCAATTGCTAATTGAAAAAAACAGGGAAATGGACACGGAATCAAAGGTATGAGCGAACGATATGTTTATTTTATTAGCAGAATGTGTGGCTCAGCAGTATGATCCTATTCATCGGACCTTTTATATTTTGTAATCATGTGATCCCACTATAAAGTGTTACACTAGATACAGCTTTTGCGTCAAGGATTGCTTTATAATAACATTGTTTTATTATTTGGTACCACAGGCCCTGAAAGCTAAAGTCATGCTATGGTGAGAGTCGTGCCTGTTATCTGGATTCGTGTTTCTTTACGCCCTGAACGACTACCTTCTAACAGTCCTTTTCATGCGTGTTTTTAGGACGGATGTCAGCTACCATGAGATGGAGGAGATGGACCAAATGCAGTCCATTCCTGATCTGGAGAGGTCTTTGTCTTTTTATGATCAGAATATATATCTATTTTAACATAATTACACACGAAAGACACCTTATGTTTTCTGTGGCAGGTGTTTATGCAGCGTGTTGGGAGTCCACCTCCCTGAACCCAAAAGAGGAGTTCTGCTGGAGATGTATGTCCAGGCCGTGCTTTTTGGCAGAGAGTGCAACTTTAAAAAGGAACAAACCTCGGCTCTTTTGTCCATCATGAAGTCTATCCATGAGGCTAATATAGGTTAGACAAGTTGTTTTATTATCAGACATTTAAGAACCACGCAGATAATGCGCCTTAACTTTGTATCAGATGCTTTTGGAACTATTGCCTTGCAGAAACTCCACTTAACAACATAGAACAGTGTGTGGAATACGCCATGGATCTACTTCTCTGTCACTCAGTCAGGGTCTGTAAACAATCTTTTAACTTTTAATATCACTTTAAAACATAAATTCCCATGAAATTAAATCGAGATGCTTCTGTGTGCTGCCTCACCACAGCGCCCCCCCTTCAGTATCAACATCTTCAGCTTCGAGGAGGTGGGATGTATATTAAAATACATCCACAACAGCTATGTGAGACATTACAAACTCTACAAATATATTTTCACCAAACAGGTGAGAACTGTATATGAGTTTTTCTGCACAAGTTGTTTCAAGTCACTTCTGCCAACAATTCATTTTTGTTCTACTCGACTTTCCTGATGTGAAAATTTCCACTTGAGGGAACAATGAGTTCAGTGTATGACTTTTTCACAGGTAAAACTGGATTTATCTCTAACTTACTCAGACCAGGATGAACCCACCAAGACGGATTCCTCCGCTCCAGGTAATTACAGTTTAACAGCTCCTTTAGAATCACAAAAGTTGAACTGAACATCTGTACCAAATTGAATTATATATTTAAATACTTTACTTGCACTAGAGGTTGAAAATCTGATGGAAAAAGCAACAGAAGCCGCACCAACGACAGAAAGTTCTCCTCAAACAGAAGAAGCAGAAGGAACCAAACTTGGTAGAATCAAAAATCCTAAACGGACTGTGCAAAGAAAAAGTCAAATGCACCTCGAATAACTCACATTTTCTCCCCACCAGGTTACTCAGAACAGGAGGCCCTGACTGAGCACGAGGTCAGAGAGCAGATGGTGCTGGTGTAGAATAGAAAAATAAATAGACAGAAATAAAATGAAAGATATTGCAGATCATCATTTGACCAATAAAGCTCAAACCTTAGTTTTATTATCAATAAAACTTTGTTTTTTCATATACATCATATCTGCATTTGTACAATTACAATTTCTCAGAGAGGCACTTTACGTTAAAGTGCCTCTCATTGAACTGAAGAATGAACCGGGTACGGAATGATGTTGGTTAAATAGAGTCACTCATTTAAACTACATGTTCACAGTTGGTTTAAGTGGGTTTCTGACTAAGGAATGTCTGCATGCACGATAGCTGCAGGTTACTCTCCCTAAAACCCTCCAAACACTATACTTAAACAGTCACGTGTATTTCAGTACCTATTTATAACACAGCAACATCAGTAAATTGTAACATTATGTATGTTAGAAATGATTCACTGTCCACTTTAGCCACGCAGTGTTTAGAAACACGTCACCTACTCAGTTATTACTGACCATTAACTGGTAATATTCATAAATACACCAAATGCACCTTATATGTGATGTGTTATTTCAAATGATTGTGCAATATATCCGCAACTGCAAACATTATGGCCCGACAAGCACTTTCAAAAAGCCACAAACGTGGATCAATGAGTGGATAAGATAAGATGTGCATGCTTAACTTGCAGAACCACGACGCGCATCAACAAGGCACGCAGACGTCCCGGCCCCTGAATCCTCATTTTAAAATTAAACGCAGTAATTTGAGGTCACAAACACTGACGTGACAGCGCCTGTAAATGTTTAAATAAAAAAATCGCTGCGCTCAGGAATGAGCCGGACCTTTTTATGTTTCAAAGTCCTCCAGGCCCAGCAGCATGATTTTGGCCGTGTTCTGAAAGAGGGCGGCTCGGTTCTGCTGCTCCCCTTTCTTCACCCAGTGGCCGTAGATGCGGAAGGCGCAGCCGTCGATGAGTTTGCGCACACCGCGGAGGGAGTACGGATCTCTGGCCAGCACCTCGCGGGTCAGCGGCCGAGTCCTGCGGTACCGGCCGTACATCCTGATGCAGGCCAGCACGCTCACTATCAACACCTGAGAGGGTTCCAGGACAGGAAATAGGAGAGAGTGGAGAGGCTTGGAGTTTAAAATCACCTGCCATGAAAATAAAGAATTGAGTAGCGACCCTGTGACTCACCCTAAATGTCTTTCTGGGGCTAAAGAGACGCACATCCTCCCTCTGGTACTGCCTGAAGAAGGGATGCGCGAGAGCTTGCTCAGCGGTGAGACGGACAGCTGGTTCCACCACCAGAAGCCTCGATATCTGAGCAACACGAGCAGAATGATTGAAAATCAGGACTTTTGTGATACTGTTGAAGCTGCAGGAGACAACAGCGGTTAAACCTAAAGTAGGAGAGATAAAAGGGCAACGATCCCGCTGTCATTTAGATCAGCTTACCAGATCTTTCACGGTGTCGGAGCGATCGTCCCACTCGGGTGAGCTGAACTGATAGCGGCCCTCCATGATCATCCTCAGCATCAGCATCTGCTTGCGATGCCAGAAGGGCGGCGAGCCGGCCAGAAGGGTGAAAAGGATCACGCCACACGCCCAGCTGTCCCACGCGGTTATCAAAACAGGTGAACAGGGATTAGAAATAAAATCCAGGATCGTGCAGATTTAAAGGTTTCACCATATAGAGGTTATAGACAACGGAAAAGTCTTACAGATCGACCTCTTGGCCATAGCCGGGGTGCATTTCATCCATGGAACATTTCAGTATTTCAGGGGCCAGGTAACCGGGGGTCCCACAGAGCTCTGATACAAATAGAATAATAAATAACATAATAGGAAAAATGTATCCTTCTAAACTCGGACTGAAGAAATGATCTACATATATAAACAGATCATCAATTTATTGTACGTTACCTCTAAGCTTTTCTCCGGGTGGCAGTTGAACAGAGAAACCAAAGTCGGACAGTTTGATGTGTCCTTGGTCATCGAGGAGAATGTTCTCAGGCTTTAAGTCCCGGTGGACGATGTTGAAGGAGTGAAGGTACTGCACGGCCTCCAACAAGGCTCGCATCATACTCCTTTAGAGCAATACTTTACATTACCACTTTTATATTTGACTTATAAACAAATATTTGGTGTCCTTTCCAAGCAGCAACATTTATTTGCAACGCTAGGAAAAGATGCTCTAAAGAAACTTTTAGAGATGTCTGATATGAATGTGATTCAGTTTGAAAATGTTCAGCCAATATTTCAATTGTAGATTAGTTGGCATGAGTGAGCTTAAAACCTGCAGATCACCAGAGAGCGACATGCTGCCAGAATAAACTGGATTATGTTGTGCATTGATGATGATGCTCACCTGGTTTCCTTCTCACTCAAAGTAACTTTTTCCGTGAGGTAGTCAAACAGCTCTCCTCGCCTCATGCTGTCAATGAAAACATGAGAGTGAAACCATCCTACTAGGAATTCACGAGTATTCATTCACATAAAAAGGGAGGATTTGTGAAGCATTTCAGCTATTTGTTGCAATACTCACAGGTCAAAAACCAAAAATATGAAGGTTGTGGACTCGTAGGAATCAATGAGAGTGACTAAAGACAATCAGCAGAACACACACACACACACAAATAAGTTTCAACACACGTTTATGTGAACAGAAAAGGTAAAGAGTCTCGCTTTTCAAAAGAGCAGAGCAACGTACTGATGGAGGAGTGTCCCTTCACCATGTTGAGGACCTGGATCTCCTTCAGCGTGGAGGTCTTCACCTCCTCCAGCTGCAGCACCGTCATCTTCTCCGCAGTGATCTCGATGATCTTCACCGCCAGCTCTTGACCCGTGTGCCTGTGCACACACCGGCGCACCACGCTGCTCACCCCCCTGAGGCGCCATCGGTCAGAGGTCATTCATGTTCTTTTTTTTGTTTGTTTTTTATATTCACACGTCACCTGTTATTTTTGCGGGGACTCACCTGCCGATGACCTCTTTGGGGTCATATTTCTGGTAGAACTCCTTGGCTCCCACCCAGTCCGGTAATTCATCTCCAACAACGAAGTCTTTGGTCATGGTGACACGGTGCGAATCTAGAATTAAAGCAAACTGTTACGTAACAGTGCTGCGCGGTCTAACAACAGGAAGCGTCGATCTTTCTCCTGACATGGAGGTCTGTAGTTACTCGGCTTCGTTCTTCTTCTCGCTACACACGCGCGTCTCCTCTCGGTTGCGACTCGATGCCCCCGTTATCGTGAAGCCAGTCCGAGGGGGTCCGATGAAGGCTAGCGACGTGCAGCTAGCTTACCGACACAGCGGTGTTTACATTCTGCTCGCTTTCCTCGAAACTGTCTGTTGTCCGTCGATACCCGATGTGGCGACACCGCCCCCACGAGGCCAAGCACGTAGTTGCATTAATAGGTTGAGGTGTGTTTCATTTAAAATGTACATATATGTATATATTTGAGTTGTTTGTGTTCAAGTTGCTATATTTCAAGATGTTCCTTAAATACAGATAACCGGGTATTCGTGTTTTTTCTATTTTCTTGATAAACAGAAAAAAAGATGAAAATAAATAGTTATGCGGAAGTAGATTGTCGTCATTTCCTGTAGGTTCTCTGGATGCACTGAGTTGTATTTCCAACCGCTTCTTGTGAAGGTTTGTGGTGGTTATACTTTTGAGAAAACGATCTAAAAATGTATTAGTGTGTATAGTATTTTTTCAGAACACCTTACGCTTGCAGTGACAGCACGGGAATAACAATATCGCCCACCAGTCATTAATTACTCTGGACAAAGAGCCAGCTAGCCAACTGACGCTAAGAGTTAACATTAGCAATAGCATGTAGCTAGCGCTGACGGCTCGCTAACGTTCGTCGATGTTCGCAGAAAGGCCAAATGGAAACGAGTCGGTAGATTTCCATGCAAGTGCTTACACATTAGCGGTCTTCATAAGCGTACGGGGACGCGGATTGGACCATCAGTTGGACCATCAGTTTTCGGAGACCGTTAGGAGTCAGTGGCCCTGTGGCTAATGCCGTTGCTAGCTGTCATCAAATGAATGAGTTTTCCATTTTCAGACCGATTCAATACAAATAATCATTTTTAAAGAGGTGCTGGATCTGTATTGACGTAACGTTGAATATCACATGTGATATTTGTTTTCTCACAGGGGAAGGGAAGATGTCAGGTGCTGGGGGAGGAAAACGTCCCTCGGGTGGGGACAGCCCCCCTGGCCCACCTGAGAAGAAAAGCAAAAAAGAGGAAAAAACCACCACGACCCTCATTGAGCCAATACGCATAGCTGGGGTCTCCTCCACGGTCAGCTGTTTGTGTTTACTTCCCTGTAGTCCACTTACTACTAATACCAAGACCAGGACGACTTACGCGTGTGTGTTTGTTCCCTGCAGGAGGAAATGGACATGAAGGTCCTCCAGTTCAAGAATAAGAAGCTGTGTGAGCGCTTGGAGCAGAGACAGACCATGGAGGATGAGTTACGAGAAAAAATTGAGAAGCTGGAGAAGAGACAAGCAACAGATGACACCACCCTGCTTATTGTCAACCGCTACTGGTCGCAGGTACCTGTTCACATGATTATATTGGTTTAATCTAACGGTACATTGGTTTTGCCTTACTTTCATTCAGTATGTTGGGGGGTGTAATTGATCCGTTTGGTTGAAATTAGACAACGATATTTAAATCCTTGTGTTGGTGATTTGCAGTTGGACCAGAATGTTCACGTTCTACGCAAACGCATTGAGCCGGATCCTCCTGTGACATCCATCCCTGCCCCACCTGCGCCCCCACTGCCTGAATCCACACCAATCGAGGAAGATGGACTGAGCCTGGCCACGCCAGCTTTTGGTGTGCCCCCACCCCCCCTGCCAGAGGGCCACTATGAAGGGGACCAAGCAGAGGAGCGTCAGGAAGAGAAGAAGCAGCCCCCTCTTCCTACTGGCTCAGAAGAGTTGTTGACACCCACAGACTCGCCACACGACTCATCAGCAGGTAAACCACGTTCTGTCGATATAATGGGTTCTGTGATCACAGGCTGAATTAAATCAAATATAATAGACATGCAAAAGAATACCAATACTGTGCAGGATAGTCATAGATGTATAAGATGATTAGTTCTGTAATTACTATTACAAATCACGGATGGGTCCGAGTGCAGGAACAATGTCTTCTGAAAGTCTTTTTAGAGACGAGAGAAACTGTCATGTGAGTTTCTCCGTCCCTTTTTTATTTCAAAGAGCTTGTAGAATTCTTGGCAATGTGTGAGCAATTATATTATAATATTTTTTTATTTTTTATTCAGAGCATGCTCAATTATTGATGTTATTCTATGGATTTGTAATCAATTATTTAATTGTATTATTATTTTGTCATGCTGTACCAACTCCACACAGTTTCCAATTTTCTTCTTCTTTCTTTCTTCTTTGATGAGATTTGTTGTATTGTGGTTTGTTCTTCTGGTTTTAACCCCATCTTGCTTGTTTTCAGATGCGTTGCTACCCGCCGCTCCACTCAGTGAGAATGCCAAAGGCTTCCTGGCTACACTGGAGCACAGCAGCGAGGAGGAGCTCACCCTCCGCTTACAAGACCGCATGCAGTTCAGCAAGGAAGCCATCGCCTGCTTGGTCTGTGTCTTTGACCGGCTGCACAGCCGCATCGACAACATGTGCAAGCAGGTCCAGGCTGCAGGTAACTGAACATATGCTCGTTACTGACAAAAGCTAATATGATAAGCCATTGACACGAACATGCAAATGAGAAGAGGATCATCAGCAGCACATTGTATATCCTACAGGAAAACCAATAGACCATTCATGGTTTCATACGTCACTATTGCGTTGTTGGAGTGTTTCGCCACTTGTTAGCTCAACTCTGATTTGGCAAACAATCTTGATCCCCATCGGCAGCGTTTGAGGACGATAGTCAGTCTGACATCGTCCATGTGAACCACACTCTGCTGGACGAGAACACTCGACTGCGAGACCTGGCCACTCTGCTGCAGGGTCGACACCACAAGATGTCCATGGAGGTACGATGTCCGTAGTTCTGCTGGTTTGTTTCAGCAGTTATGAAGAATGTTTGGGCTTGTGTGTAGCTATGAGTGGTGTGTATCAGAAATAGTTTGAGTATTTGAATGAGCGTATTGATACAGGCGTTTGTGCGTACGTAACCTTTGCTTATAGATGATACTTGTTAGCGCTGACGTTGCTGTTGTCGGGTCTTTTCCCCCCATTGCAGTACAATGAGTTGGTGGACAAGGTGACCAGCTCCGAGACCAAAGTGTCCGAGATGGAAACGACCGTGGAGGACTTGCAGTGGGACATCGAGAAACTCCGCAACAGGGAACAGAAGCTCAACAAACATCTGGCCGAAGCCATGGAGCAGGTGCGTTTGAATAAAAATGTCTGCCACTGTCCTCGTTCGCACGTGTCTGTCCAAGAGTTGATGTGTGTCTAGCCGGCTGTTATTGGTGATGCACGTCTTGCTGTTGATGCGCATTAGCTGCCTTGCGGTTGAATAAAAACTAAACTCCAGACGCTCGGTTGACGCGTCTCTAAGGGGCCGGCCACATGTTTCATCGGAAGGATAAGAAGAGCCGTCATGTGCAGACTATCCCATTACAGCTTGATGTCTTCCGGCTCTCTCTGACTAGGGTCCGTCTGTACGACCACAGACTCTTGTATGATCCTATCAGCGCTCCTTTATATCCGGGTTGGAGCAGTGATTATGTGGGATTATCGTGTGCAGCAGTGATTATGTGGTTATGAGAGAAGACGCAGTCGTCATCTTTCCCCAGAACAAGCAGGGTTTCAACCAGCAGAGGACAGTATGCGTCCATGTCTACAACAAATTAAAATACTGTGCATCAGGACGTTAAGATTACGACCTCAATCTGCCAACAGAACTACTTAAACCCAAATACATTGGTTTTCCAGACGGGCTCTTTTTTATTTATTTTTTTAAAATCTGTCCTATAATGTATGTGGGTGTTTTGTTCTTTTATGTTGTTTTTTTTTCCCACATGCTCACTTGTCGGTCGTCCACAGCTCAAGTCTGGATACAGCAGCAGCGGCAGCTCAGGAGGACTTCCTGGAGGCCAGATTACACTGAACATCCAGAAGGTGAGCATTCAGACAAAGGGACCCTTTTCAGTTACGTTTGTGTGTAATATCTCCACCGTGGCCCATAACCTACTTCAGATGCCAGTTTAATGTTTAACACCCTGCGCTTTTTCTTCTCTAGTTTGAGAGTCTCAACGCCGAACTGGAGCATAACCAAGAGTTGGCTAATAGCCGCATGGCCGAGTTGGAGAAGCTGCAGGTGGAGCTGCAGGAGGCAGTAAGAGAGAGTGAGAAGCTCAAGGTGAATAGTTGCATTGAGCGCGTTGGTAACACTGTGTCCATTTTATCTCCATCTTGTACATTTGTGGAGGAAATCGTGTGTTGACACACTCCCAGTGCTCAACCTTCACCGTCCGCTCCTGGTTTCTCAGATGGACTTGCGGAATATTCCAGAGGAGGTTGTGAAGGAGACTCTGGAGTACAAATGTCTCCAGTCCCAGTTCTCGCTTTTGTACAATGAGTCTCTCGGGGTGAAAACCCAGCTGGATGAGGCACGGGCCCTGCTGCTCACTGCCAAGAACGCCCACCTCCGACAGATTGAGCACATGGAGGTAACTTCACGTGTCAAACCGGATCGCTTTAGTAGATGAATGTGTTCTTCATCACAGGAAATGTTGAAGACCAGTTTGTCTGGATTTCTTTGTCCAATCAACTTATACATGGATTTGTGTATTTTGACCCCCACAACAAATATCTTGCGGTTTCCTTCTGTTTAGAGTGATGAGCTGTCCCTTCAGAAGAAGCTGCGGACGGAGGTGATCCAGCTGGAGGACACGCTGGCCCAGGTGCGCAAAGAGTACGAGATGCTGCGCATCGAGTTTGAGCAGAACCTGGCAGCCAACGAGCAAGCAGGTACCTTTTCTCTCGACGGGAAAGGGAAACCAACGTTAGCGTGTCGTGCATTTGTAAGGCTGTACATTTTACTCCGAGATGGATTAAGACTTTACGGGAATAAACCCGCTCGTCCTTTTGTCTCCTCCCTCTCAGGACCAATCAACAGAGAGATGCGACACTTGATCAGCAGCCTTCAGAACCACAACTTGCAGTTGAAAGGCGACGTGCAGCGCTATAAAAGGAAGCTGCGGGAAACACAGATGGAGATCAACAAGGTAGATGTTACACATCTGTTCTCGTTTGTAGTGGTATTTTTCATCCAACTAATGTGACTTTGTTTAACAGTAAAATGTACAAATTTGTTTGACTCCATCAGCAGTTGCGCTATCAAAGCGGCGACGCGGGCGTTCTGACTATAGAAGAGACGACGAGCGACAGCATCGAAGTGAAGAAAGAAGAAGAGGAGGACCAGGAGGAGGAGGAGGAGAGGAGGAAAGAACTGGAGCGACAACGTGCTCGGGAGAGAGAGCGAGAGCGAGAGACTGAGCGGGAACGCGAGAGGGAGCGCGAGAGAGAGCGGCAGCGCGGCGACGAGCTGAAGAGAAAAGACTCCGACACGCTGAAGATGCTGCGAGTGGAGCTGAAGTACATCCCCTTTCTGCTGTCGTCCGCTTAAACACAATCTACATCTGTATTCTTAAAATAAAGTTTGATCTTTGTCTCTGTTGAACCATCAGGAAAGCTCAGGAGTCCCAGAAAGAGATGAAGCTCTTGTTAGACATGTATAAGTCGGCTCCGAAGGAGCAGAGGGACAAAGTGCAGCTCATGGCAGCTGAACGCAAATCTAAAGCCGAGGTTTGTCCTTCTGTCTTCTAGTCAAACTTTTGCACATTTCATATTTTTTTTTTTTGCATCTCACGTGTCCTGTGTGGAAATGAGCAGGTGGACGAGCTGAGGATGCGAGTGCGCGAGCTGGAGGAGAGGGAGAGGAAGGAAAGCAAGAAGCTGGCGGATGAAGATGCCCTCAGGAAGATCAGAGTGGCAGAAGAGACCATCGAGCATCTGCAAAAGAAGCTGGCTGCAACAAAGCAGGTATGTGCGGCTTTTTTTCAAAACGCATCAGCGCGCGTGAGGCAGGAGGCGGAGCCTGTGTTCCGCTGCTCCTGTCACCCGAATGCTGTGAAAAGCAGAAGTGACTGAATCTTTTTTTTGTTTTCTTTGCAACCGTCAAACATCGTTTTGCAGCAGCTTTAACCCAAACATGCAGACACACATCCAGCACTTTTGTTCCCAGCAGTAAATTGGCATGTGTTTCATGCTTCTCTTTTTAAACGTGTTAAGAATTGCGGATGTGATGGAATGAGACACGGAGCCTCGTGTGGAACACTGATTCAAACCTTTGGGAAAGCACCAGATATGAATGTGAACGAGCCAGCTGTGCTGTGACTATTTGCCTGAGACAGAAGTTCTACTAATCTAAGACAAAAAAAGAGGAATTGAAAGCTGACGCCTTTGCTTCGAATCTAAATCTAATCAGCTGGTTTTTATTTTTTTCAATAACTTAAAAAAAAAACTTTGTTCTTGTCTGAACTATCGGTTATAAATATACAAACATCTTTGCACTCAATCTGTGAAGATTCAACAGTGCCGTTGAAAAGATTGAAGAAGCCACTTTGGTTTGTGCAACATGTGACAGTTGAATGATCGTAACCTTGTTAATACAACTCTAATCACAAGAATAGTTAATTTACTTTTTTAGTCGTCACACTTTTCTAAGTTGCTGCAGATGAATGTTCCGTGGGTCAGCGTGAGGACAAAGGAAGATGCTCTGAAATGGCCACGCCGACATTTTTATGAGAAAATATATAGATGTCGCAATCGGGTTGAGTCACCTCGATGGATTCAAAGTATGTTAAACATCGAGCTCACTCACTCCGCTCTGCTGTCTTGTAAACGATGAGATGCGTTTACGGAATTTCATTAGAGGTGGATGAGCGCGTTCGCTGACTGGAATCCAGCGCTCGTTTAGTTGTGTAATCGTAAAAGCATAGCCGCGTAGATGGAGGGCCACACCCACATGACTTCGTCTTATACAGACACAATAATATTTATACGCGCAGATGTTGACCTTATTGCTTCATTGAAGATGCGTATCTCATAGTAGGATTAAGCGAGGGGGATCCGTCGCCTCCGGCTGCTCGTGTCTCTCCACTTTGGTCCGAAGCAAACGACTGAGACCTCCTGCAGCCCTCCTTTCAGTTAGCTCTGAGACTCTAATTAAAAAAGATAGTTATGACGGCGTATCCAGCTGTTTTACTGTTGTTCCACCACATTCTATGCTTAACACATGTTAACATCTGAAAGTCTACTGCTTCTCATGCTCGGGAGGCCCGACAGGAGGCAAATTACCACAACAACACAATGTGGGATTAATGCCGATGTATTCGGCTCTTTGCGTTTGCCCTCTCGTCTGGTGTAATGCACAGTAACTAAACTAATTCAGACTCGGATGTGTTTGATTTGTTTGCTTTGGTTTTTTGCTGCCAGCGTTTAAGTTCGCAGACTGACGATTTGACAAAACCATCCAATAAACAAACAATCATTTAGTTTGTGGCCCCAGTGACCCAGTGAGTGGGGAGCAGAACTGCAGACTACTGATAGTCATAATGGGCTCATGGAGACGTCACATGTCATACTGTAGTTTAACAAATTGAACTGTATTATTGATTAATGCTGATAAGACTCATAACTATTAAAATGAATTGTTACATAGTAAATTAATACGTTGGTTTGAGTGTAGAAAAATGTTTCTACATTAAGTAGTTGATGTAGAATCTGTGTTTTTTTTTTTTAAGAAAGATAAGGCCCCAGTGCTTTTTAAGGCCGATCCCTTTCTGTCATTGTTTTTGATCCCTGACACGTCTGTCTTTCGAGGAGGAGGAAGCCCTGCTCAGCGAGATGGATGTGACGGGCCAGGCCTTCGAGGACATGCAGGAGCAGAACAGCCGCTTGTTGCAGCAGCTCCGGGAGAAGGACGACGCCAACTTCAAGCTGATGAGCGAGCGGATCAAATCCAACCAGATCTACAAGCTGCTGAAGGAGGAGAAGGAGGAGTTGGCCGACCAAGTGCTCACATTCAAAACCCAGGTGACGAGCCGCTTCTTGACCCGCGAGCAGCCGAGTCGTTAGCGGTGTCGCGGCACCTCATTATTCCCCGTGTCCGTCACTCTGCAGGTCGACGCCCAGCTGTTGGTTGTGCAGAAGCTGGAGGAGAAGGAGGGAATCCTGCAGAGCGCCCTGGCTGCTCTGGAGAAGGAGCTGTCGGTCCGGACGCAAGCTCTGGAACTCAACAAGAGGAAGGTGTGAAGAGAAACGCCATCAGTCATTTAGTCAGCTCTTGCATTTAAGGTTCGCCGATCAGCAGAGTATTTGATTGCTGCCGGATGACTACTCCCCCAAATATAAACACGGCATTTGAAGGATCCGTGTGGTGGCGTGCGCCAAATTGTATAATGATGGACCACACATTGCCAATCTGGTTTGTTTGGGTTCGCATGAAAAGTTCTGACATCTGAGACTTCTGGTTTCCTTCCACAAAACATTGTATTCATGAAGCTGCAATTGAAGCCACCTGCATAGTAATTGTTAACATTTGTCAAGTACTTGTCAAAACCGCATCTCTCTCTCTGTGTCTCTCTCACTTTGTGTATGTGTGTGTCTGTGTGTGCGTGTGTGTGTGTGTGGGGGGGCGGGAAGCCACAAAGAGGATCAAAAAAAACCTACAAACTGTATGTTGTGGAAAATAGTCGTCAGAGCTGGAAATGATTCCCAATCTGCAGTGAACAGGGTTCAAAAGCGATGGTGCTATTTCTCAGTTGCTACTGGACTGAAACGTTTAAAGTTGGCACAGATGAATGTCTAGTTGTGTTCATATCGTACTACCAGCACACTTACAGCTCAGGAATTTCATTGGGTCTTTTAAAAAACATTTTATTGAGTGTGTCCGGTTGCTTTCCTCCTGCAGGCGGTGGAGGCTGCCCAGCTGGCAGAAGACCTGAAGGTGCAGCTGGAGCACACGCAGGCCAAGCTTAAGGAGATCCAGGTGTCCGTGGCTGAGAACCGCACCGCCCGGGAGCGGGAGAGCAGCAACCTGAAACGAGCGCAGGTACGTCCCAAGTTTCCCGATAGCGCTGTGAACTCCGCAAAGTGGCTCCTCGGGATGCGATTGGGAGAAGCCGTCGGGGGTCCTCGTGTGAAACAAAACGCCTCTCCTGGTGCCTTCTAGGAGGATCTGTCCAGGCTGAGACGGAAGCTGGAGAAACAAAAGAAGGTGGAGGTGTACTCTGATGCCGACGAGATCCTGCAGGAGGAGATCAACCAGTACAAGGTGAGGAAAAGGAGGGGTTTGCCTTCAATTCAGAGCAATGTGTTTGTGGTTAGGGAAAAATAAAGAAGTAGACTGTAGTTCACGGAAAGATTACAGTTCGGACAAAGAAATGTGATTTGTTCCACAAAGTGACCTCATACCTCCACAGAAACCTCACTGTGTCGTGATTTGGAGAAGCTTGCCTGTGTTAACTCCTGCGTCCATGTCGTAAAGGGCTCGTGTGTCTGTGCATTAATCCGTCTGCAGGCCAAGCTGCGCTGCCCCTGCTGCAACACGCGGGACAAGGAGACGGTGCTCACCAAGTGCTTCCACGTCTTCTGCTACGAGTGCCTGAAGATGCGCTACGACACCCGGCAGAGGAAGTGCCCCAAGTGCAACTGTGCCTTCGGCGCCAACGACTTTCACCGCATCTACATCACCTAGTTCGCCGAGAGGCGGAAGGTGGAGAAAAGAGAGCCGGCGGGCGGAACCAAAGGAGAGAAACTAACCAGCCAGAGGAGCTGAAGACTTGTTCAAAGGGGCTGATGCGATGTGGTTCCCTGGTTAATCTCTTTGGAAAGACTTGTTTTTACAGCATCGTTGCTCATTTGGTGACCAAACCGATAGTGACACATCCGACTGAAAGTGTTGTGCTATAGTTAATAAACAGTTGTTTGTGCACACAGTGATAGTTTCACATGTTGAGCTGCTCTGCACTAGTTTTCTGTCCCCCTCGTCTTAAAAACCAGCTGGGCCCAGTTTTAAATACTTCTTTCGCTTAACGTGTTCGCCTGGATCTCCAGAGACACACGGTGCATCTCAATGAAGCGTTTCTTTGCGTACTTGTCACGCCGGTCGTCAGAAATTCCGTAAAAGCGGTGAAGCGGAAATAGTATAAATTTCCAAATTAGAAGAAGCCATGATTTAGAGTGCATGTGTAAACCTAAATATGCTTCTAATATATCAAATACAAGAGAAAAGCTCTTGGGCTTTTTTATGACCATGCGTAAAAGAGACGTCAGCGAGTTTGGCCCCCAGTCAGCGCATACAGCAGAGTTTGGATCACCTTGGCCAAGGTCCTGTGTGTGTGTGTGTGTGTGTGTGTGTGTGTGCGCCCTGTTGCCATGGTTACTATGGGAGAGTTTGACACAACATCTGCAGCTTACACTGCCTCATTACTGACGAATTCACTGCAGTGGAAAGTCTGCTCATATGGGTGTCCTTAGCGGGCCGCTGTGCTCCAGCTCCTCTCTCGGAGGCTCTCCTGAAGGTTAGCCCGTGACGGCAGAGCACAAAAACATCTGGTCAACAACAGGCCTCTTACCTAATTGATCCAACGAAAGCCCTTTTTGCTCCGTTCGGATGATGTGAACGGAGCACTGGGAGGCTGGGCAGCGTCTGTTTGACGTTAGCGCTTGTGGGAAAGGCGGATCGCGTCATGTAACACAAACCAAAAGCTTCAGGCTGCAGAGAAAAACAGCGCGTACGTGAGAAAACATCTAACGTCTATCGTTCAGGAACAGTTGAGCGAGGCCCCTCCATGGAGCCCCAAAAATAACCAGACGGGCGGCTGTACATTAGCAGTGGTTGTTTACTTTATATATATATATATATATATATATATATATATATATATATTGCATTGCATAACCTGTCATGAATAAATAAGCAGTTTCGACTTTTGTGCTCAGTGATGGTTTTGTATGTCGCAGTAACTGCCGATGAGGCCCCGCGGGGCCCCGCGTCCACCGGCTCCGCCGTCCGCATATTTGCGCAGCGGCACCGGGCTACACCCAGTCCCGGACGTCAACAACCACCACCCTGCGCCGCGGAGCCTCGCGTGCACTGCGCCACAAACGCAAACACCGTGCAGATGTTTTGGCATCTGCCGAGGGCCACTCTTTGAGTGACGGACGCGTGTCTCGAGTTTTGCTTTAAGAGGCTTTAGAAGCTGGTGGTTTTTCTGGAGGAGGTCATCGGTTTCTGCCTCCCCTCTCTCTCCCCCCCCGCCTCTCCCCCCTCTCCCCGGTGGGCTCGTGCCAGAGAGTTGTGCTTCTTGGCCGCGAGGAGGGGATGACGCCGACAGGCGTGGTAATAACAATGAGAACACTATTAAGACCAGACTGCGCGGAATCTGGTAAAAAAAAAAAAAGAAAAAGAAAGAGACAAACGTGGAGAAGAAGCCGCGGCCGTAAAATATGAAATGTGTGCTTTTAAACGTTGATTCCCGAGGGGGGAGTTTCTTTCTTTTTTGAAAAACTTTTGCCTTGAAGCGACGCAAACGAGCCCGCACGCTGCGCCGGAGGAGTTTCCTGTCGAGCCGGGGAGCGCGCACGGAGAATCCGGGCAGCAGAGCGCATAGGAAATGACTCATAGGACTCCGACTGTTCGCGTGGGTGTGTGTGCGCGCTCGCGTGCGGGTGCGCGTGCGCGCTAATAAAACAGGGCTCGGGCTCCGTGCGGCTGACTCACTCCGATGCGCTGCCGCCTCTCCCCCCCTCGTCCCGGACGCCAGCACGGGCTGTTTTAAACCCGATGAGCTTTCGGGACGCGAGCAGCCCGGCAGCGAGCAGCTCTCCCCCCGCGCGCCTCATGGCTCCCGGCGCCCCGCGCGCGCTCTGCGCGCTCATCATAGCGGCCGCGACGCATTTCTACGCCGTCGGCGCACAGAAAAGTAAGTCCGACCACGTTTTATTCTCACGCCCGTTACAGCCGGCTTGTTTCTCGGGAGTCTACACACCTCCTCTTTGTTTTTTAACATGTGCTTTATTACTTTATTAAGCGCTGGTCCGGTCTCCCTGTGATGATCGACAGATACTTTATCCACGGGTCGTTCTAATGGGGTCAGATAGTGGGTCTGCTCGTAAAGCCGCTTCCTTTACCAGCTGCGTTTCCCACCGGTTCCGCATTCCGATCGCCTTATTTCACCCCGTCCTCCCGTGGCTCTGGTGCCGCATGGAGAAGGCGCACTGCCGCTGTCCGCTTCCTTCAAATGTGTGTCGTTGTTTTATTAGAGAAAGTCACTTGTGTTTGTTTTCACCCGAGAGCCTGAAACGTTGAATGACTGTCGCGGGGTTAGAGTGATTCAAACGTTAGTTAACGCGTTTTTCAACCCACTTAGTGAAAACATGCTCGCAGGGTCCAGATTCTAGAGACCGTGTCTACATCTGGACATCAGCTGTTGGTCCCCCACCCCTCCTCTCTCTCCAACCCATGACAAAACACAGGCCTCACACCCCGAAAAACACCCTTTGTCAGGCAGCTAGGAGACATAACACAAGAACTACTCCAAACCGGGTCTAGTTCCTCTTGTGTGCTGAAGCATAATTAACCTCTGCGGTATTCAGCACAACATTGACTCCGCAGAGTGAAACTTTAAAGCCGAGATCAATATCATGGTGGAAATTCAATCTGCAGTTTCAGGTTGTGGTCTGACTCACTCGTCAAACGCTATGACGACTCCTCGGGTGTGGTTTCGGTCTCGATGGAGGTCGGCCACAGGTCAAAGGCTCGGTTCCTCTTTGTGAACTTTTGAACCCTGACGCGTGAGTCCGGATGGACCCGGCGGACTGTATGAGGCGCCGAAGTCATCTGGAGATGCTCACGAGAGCGGTGACACATTTTTGCCGTGAGACGAGTCGGCCCGGCTCTGCGGGCCGGGGTGGGTCTCTTGGGGGGGGGGGATCATGGGGGGGTCACTTTTCGGGGCTTTTGGAGTCCAGAGCATGTGGCTGTAACGCAACCGGAGAGTCAGAGGTCAAAAGGCCTCAAACAAGGTTCTATTCAGCGAGAGTCTTGTGTCTTTTATCTTTTAGATTTGTCGACTGGGAAAAGTAGGCCGGGAAACCGACTGAACCAGACTGGTTTTACTTTTTATCCAACAGGAATCTTTTGTATCCGTTGATGACCAGGTTTCCTCACGAGCTCCTTTAACTTGTGGGATTCCTCATGGCTCGATTCTTGGACCCATTTTATGTTTTCTGTATGAGCTCTCGGGGGGCACCGGATCCAGAAATGTGCTGTTTTTTTGTGCTTGTGCTTGTATGATGACAAATTACTAATTGAGAAAACATCTTCAAACCGCTCATCCTTCATAGAGGGTCGCAGGGGGGCTGAAGTCAATCCCATAACAGAGCTTTCTATTCTAATGTTTTGCCCACTTAATCTTTCTGATAGCTGCATTTGATTCAGATGATCAGTAGATAACAGTCAAACATTTACTTCTTAGTGATCAGGTACTTACTATATTCTTTTTAATTAAACTTAAGGAATCAGAGAAGCGTTTTTGATGCATCGTTGGTTCCTTGGCACAACTGTCACAACTTTCATTACCTGGTGTTGTTGTTGTTGCTGAAGCTGCACCAGCTTCCAGTACATCCAGCTGAATACTTCAGTCTTTCGTCAGTGTCGTTTCTTGGTTTTGGCACTGCGGTTAGAGACGAGACGGTTTTGATTATGCCAGTTACCACAAATGATGAGTCACGGTCTGCATGCAAATCAATGTCTGACATTGAGAAGAAAAATAGTTATTATCATATTACAATTTCCTGTCACTCCATTTGTAACTTCGTTTCATACATCATGGTATAGGCCGACATGTGTTGTAATATTGTTTTATTAGGCGTAGTTTTTCAGTGCGATGTCTAAGAAATGCATTGCTTTTTGCACGATCTCGGGTTGTCGATACACAAGCCAGGAACCGGCAGAGAAAACAACACAATGTTGAATAACTTAAACAGTTTCTGCACCAACCCGGCTATTGCTGTTGGCTAATCCCTTCCTCACAATGTGGGCCGTGCACAGCGTTGATTGTTCAGCTGCCACCAGAAGAGACGCGGCGGTCCATTGTGTTCACAGGAGCAGACACCGAGCAGAGATTACACACTTCTCACAGACGTGTTTGTTCATTCTCTGGAAGTCGCACACGTACGCACGCGCAAAACAATTCAACGGAAGCCCTCTGAAGACGCATCCTGCTCCTCGCGCGCTCGCTGCTCATGCAGCCAAACTTACTGAGTAATTCTCCCTCTTGCATCAGCACTGTGACCCGTAGGAATTTCCCACTTTCGTTTTTTTTTTTTTTTTATGAGAAGAAGAAGAAAACCACAGAGTTCCTCAGATGTCCTGTCCAAGTCAAACCTTCTGCTGCGTTAATGCGCCTGTCCTATAAGTAACCCACTCAGTGCTTATTTATTTAGTTTTTATTTTATCCTCTAATATCACCTCCACATCACAATATTTTGTTGTTTGTCTGATAAAATGTGAAAAGTGTTTTTCCCTTAAAACTTACTAACTAACTTACGATGTCTGACTTTTTTCTGCGTGCAGGTCAGTGTGGAAAGTTTGAGTTCTTGAACTCAGATCTAGGCGTGTGCTTGCCGTGCTCGTCGTGTAAGCAGTACCCAAAGACCCCGTCGTGCAACACGTGTAAGACATTGAATTGTTACGGCAAACGGCGGGTTCATACAACAAAATCCTTTTCTTTCCCCGCGGTTTAATCTCTTTCTATACGACCAACAGGTAAATCTGTGGATCAGACGCCTGACGTGTGGAAGCTGGCGGCCATCACCAGCTTCTCGGTGCTCGCCGTCGTGCTGGTCGGGGCGGCGCTGATCATCGGGGTCATGGTGCATCGCCGCAGGTCACACAAAAGGCCTCTGCGTGGTGAGACCTACATTTAATACATGCGATGGTTTTATGCTCTTATTTTATGCTCTGACTTGTGAGGTAATTTCAACACATTTTCACATTTTTTTTAATCTACGTTTTTACTATTAAACATTTCTTCTCATTTGTTCTCAGAATGTTTTCATGAAATATTATCCTACTTATTTATGTTATCCTTTTGCTAGGTTGTCGGGGTAAAATGCTAATCTTTGTCTTGATCTATTGCAGACCCCATTGAAGAAACGGCGGGGCCACTTTACCAGGCTTAAACCTTACAGTAGGTACACAAGAAGAACTGTCATTTAATATTCACAACATGAAGTATTTTAGACAGAAAATATTTAATGATATTCTTTCGTTGAGAATAAAGTGTTCTGTACTTTGTGAACCTACCTTTAATTGCCCATAATTTGACGCGTGATCTTTGTCGCAGCCTCGACCTGATCTGGAGACAGATGCCCCAGAACCAAAGAGCGACTGGTTCAGAGCGACCGCGACGCAGGTCAAAGGATCTCCTCGCCAGAATACGACAATTTTAATTTATCGTGGCTGTTGAGTAAAGTGACGTGCATTATATTAGTGGCATCACTCTCAGATGTTGTGTGCCTTCACGTCCCACTTAGATAACGTCTCCGTCTGGAAGACCCTTGTGGTTTTTACAGATGTTTGATCAGAAGACTGCAGTCCTTTTCTTCAGAGGTTTTTCTGACGTAGCTCATCTCCCGCTGCGCTGCAGTGTGACCTCCGGCCATAATGTGACCTGCAGGTCACTTAAAGATGAATAACATGTACTGTGAGGCACATCAAGGCCGTTTGAATGTATTCCAGCCTTCTTCCCTGCCTGTATGTGCGAGCACCTGCTCTTACAGCAAAGCGTCAAGGTGTCTTCTCTTCACTGTTACTTAGGACAACGAAACAAAGACCCTCTATTGCAGGTTTTCACTATATATCTTTTTTTTGGTCTGATTATTTCTCTGCCACAACACCAGATTTAACCGGTCCCGTTGTTGCCGGCCGGGACAGAACACTAGACTGACGTGTGGGGATGTTAGTGCGCTGTAGTGAAACATTTGGCTCCTACGTTGCTTTGGTGGAGCAACGCGATCACTCTGCTCACCGGCTCGTTATCGTCACACATCTCAAGAAACACGTGGCGATGTCTGTTCGTGGGTTTTTTGAGTTGTTGTCCTCCATTTCTTCAGTTCAGGACGTCCTTCTGTCTTCGTCAGCGTAACCGATGTATTCCACGCGGCCGATGAGGTTTCAGGTCATATTTTGGATTTGTCAGCTCGTGGGTGAAGTGCTTGTCCTTTGGCAGCACCATTAGGGAATTACTTAAAACACAGACACTCCCTCTCGTTTTATATATATACATATATATTATTTATTTGTATGAATCTTGTGTTGTTTTCCATACATTTCATGTGACAAGCACATTTTTAAAGGGACTCTAGTGAAGATTTTTGTTACACTTCAACCAGGCCAGCTGAGCAATAATTTACATTTTCCGCTAACTTCTCTTGCATTTTATTCCCAATGTATATACTGTACATGCACTGGCTTCTTCTATGTAATGCAATCTTATAAACTGCTTTGTATACCAAATGTATTTTCACAATAAAACTGACAACTTCCCATAGAAGTCTTGTTTAAATGCAAACAGCAAAAAACGCTCTTTTCTGCTAAGTAACATTTATTTTAAGGATCCTAATATGCAAATCATGGGTTATGTTGTTGAATAGTGACAAGTCACAAGAAATGCATAAATAGATCATGGTAATATCTATAATTAAAATAAAGACATTATAGTATGTCAGAAAATCTGTCAAATACTAGTTGACTAAGCCTAAAAAAATTCCTTGAAATAGTAAATTATATTTTGTCAAAAATAATAAAGGCATAGAATTGTTAAAAATACACGTGAACAAGTCATTGTGTAACATAAGCAAATGCTATTAAAAGACATAGCAATGAAAATCAAAGTTTGTTATAAAAAATAGAAAATGTCACAGTAAACCATGTGATGAAATAATGTCTTGAAGAATTTATAGTCTGTTCGAATGTCTGTGGCGTATTGGTATTACAGAATGTAATAAAGTTGTGGTAAAATGTCCAAAATATTACGTAGCATAGTATTCAATCAAAAACCATTCAAGTCATATCAAAGGATGTCATAGTATAATACATAAAAATGTCATAATTATATAATTACAGCGCTACAAAGTCACATAGAAAGTAATGTTAGTTTGTCATAAAAACGACGATTGTTCAATATACCTATACAGAAAATCATTTGACAATAAACAAACATTGTATTTCTTTCAGTCTTTTAATTAATTTGAAATAGTTTGAACTGCAATGATTCTTATTTTCTAAACTAGGTGCTAACAAACAAGTAGTCTATGCAGTGACAAAATACTAGATAAAATATGAATGAAGTAGTGAGCAGGCGTTGAAATTAAATCATGTGGTAAATATCTTTTTTTAATACACAATAGCAGTTTTCTCCTACCCAAAAAAATCTTAATTTACATAAATCCAACGGATAATTACCGTAAAATATTTACAGAGAACTGAGATTCACACACGCCACAAATAACCGGCTGTGATTGTACACAGTGACGGGAGATCGGATGGAGAACGTTGTTAGAAAATAAAGTAATTAAAGTTGATGGTTTCAACTCAAATGTGCACGTGTCGTTTTACATGTAGGCTACCGTGGCATCAGGAAATCTATGGTTCAGTAACAGCATCTCAATCATGACAAATAATACATGTGGGATTTTAAATAATGTCAGAAAGCGTCAGATGGCGAGTGGTCGTGGTTCTTCAAGGCTAGCGTAGGTATTCCGACGGCACTGTACTGGGAACAATGGTGAGACAAAACCAAAGGACTCTTAAACAACACTTTACGCATATTGCTTGGATAAACTAAGTTGAGGTGAACTATCGCCCGGGTGAAAACGGATTATTAAGAGACTTCCTGTCCTCTTATGCTACAAGCGTCTCGTCTTTAAATGTGCAAATAGAACTCGGAAAACAACAAACGGCAGAGAAACAAAATTTCCTGGAGAAAACAGCTTCTGGAAAAACCACTAAGTAAAACCTTAAAATTGATGCTTCAGCCATTCTGTCCGTCTCTCCACAGTTACAGTGTGTTCTCTGCAATGAGGCATTACGTAGTTAGTAGGCAGGACGTCCCGTGAGGTATTTCATACTTCTGACCAGTGCCAAACAGCATGAACTGGAACGTGTGAGGCATAAAGTCTCATTTCAGACTACTAGGAAAAAAGGCAAGAACCAGGTGCTTCCTTTGACAAAAGAAACCAGTAAAGGAACAACAGGCCGGTTTGGACAACGTGGCAACTTAAAAGTGGATCGCAGACTCGACAGCCAATGAGAAACGGGTTCGTCCACGAAGCCACGCCCCTCTGTAGTGACACTCGTGCTCGGAAGCAATCTGTTAGTTACAATGTATTTTGAAACAATTTATATTAGTTCATGTTCCTTCACGGGAACAACATGGAACCGTTTTATTTCTTGTAATACTTTTGCCAATCGACTGCGTTTAGTTCGTCAGCAGCGCTTCAACCGTCTGTGGCCGAGGAGATTCACAGATTACAAAAAGTAGAAAGAAATGGTGTTATGGAGCGGATGATTTTAAATCAGCGTTTATAACAAGTACAGTGAGAGGAGGTTTGTTCCCATTTAACTGAACAAAGGGTTCACCAGGAATCTGAACAGCGATCGTATGTGTTGAAATGGAAGAAATGAAAATAAAAAGGCTCCCGTCGGTCACGGATTACCTGCGATGTTTTACACATCAGGTGTGTTCCTTTAGAAGGTTTACCTGAGCGCCGCCAACGTCCGGCTGATTCATTCCTGCCTGTTTTAACTAAGAAGTAATGATTAAATACTCGGACGACAGATGAAGGTCCTTAAAGGCTACATGAGTTTTAGAACAACTTTTTCCATGGAACGCTTTTCTAATAAAATATGTACATAAAATAAAAAGGAATAAATTAATTTAAAAAAACGCATTTCTTTTCATATTATTAACAGTACAACTATTTACTTGATAATGTTTTCAGAAAATAACTTTGCCACTGACCTTTTGACACACCCAGAGGTATTCGACTTAACAACCGGCCCAGTGTGACACTGACAAAAGGATTCAGAGATAAATATAGTTTGTATATATTTAGTTTCCTAAGGAACTTACAGAGGCACTGAACACAATTCTACATAGTAAGAGAGGAGCAATCACGCGCAGCACTGTCTTACCACAACACGCTGTCTGTGTTAATGTTCTCACGTGGACCCGGCCTGTTCACTCCTCTGCTCACTCCTCTGCTCACTCCGGTCGGGCGGGTCGTCACTGAGGAATGAGCGCCGCCCCGGATTCTGGGATCCTCTGTATTCATGGAAAACATTCAGGCCTTACTGAAAGCTGACTAAAACCCTCAGGAGACCTTTGGGGTCACGTCAACATCGGTTGTGGGCGTAAGACTGGAAGTCGGTGATAAAAAAAGTGCATGTCCTCAATGGAGCGTTGGTCTTTTTGTTGTTGTTGTTGAAAATACTGCTTTACAATTATCGATAGAGGGTTGAAGAACATAAATAAAAGGAGCGCTCGTCTTCTCCTCTTGTACGCTCCGGGAATCCCACTTTAGAGAAAAGACCCCATGTCGAGGTCCATGAAGGAGTCGGCATCCATGGTGCTGAAAGAGGAGTCGTAGTTCTGGCTGTTCTGGTGCATCTTCTGGTGGTGCCGCAGGTTGGACTTGCTGGAAAAGCTCTTGTCGCACAGCGGGCAGGCGAACGGCTTCTCTTTGGTGTGGATACGTCGGTGGCATATGAGCTGCGTGGACACGCGGAACGCCTTCCCGCACTCCAGACACTGGTAGCGCTTGGGCTCCGTGTGAATCCGCCGGTGGTTTTTGAGGGCCATCAGGTTGGTGAACTCTTTCTGGCAGACGGAGCAGAAGAAGGAGCCCGTCTTGTGGCTGTTCTTGTGGTTGAGGAGGGAGCCGGCGTGGCGGTAAGTGCGGCCGCAGTGCTCGCACGCGTGGCTCTTCTCCTCCGCGCCGGAGGCCTCGTTGCTCGTCTGGGAATTGGTGACGCGTCCCGGAACGTGGGACAGAGGCGGCGGGGCCTGCTCGCGCATCTCGTCGATCCCCAGGGTCGGATTCATTCTTCTCGAGTCCCAGCAAACGTCGACACCCTCGGCTTCAGCCGCGCCTGGTTGAAAGGAGTCCTGATCCCCGTGCCGCGTGTCCTGGTGCTGCTGGTAGCTCGCTGCGTTGGGAAAGCTCTGCTGGCAAGGGCTGCAGACCACCGACTGGTCCTTAGAGTGCACCTCCATGTGGCTCTGCAGGTGTGCCACCAGGCAGAAGGTCTTGCCGCACTCGGGGCAGCAGTGACGCCTCATCATGGAGTGTATCTGCAGAGTGAGAGGATCGGGAAAGGTCTGGAGACACAAGGTGCAGTGGTGGAGGTTTTCGGAGTGTGTCTTTTTATGGTTGAGGAGAGAGCCGGCGTGGCGGTAGGAACGCCCACACAGGTCACACCTGCAGCGGGGATACGTTCATATTCAATGCCTGGTATTACAACTCGGATTTCACTTTTTCAAATCAACCAGCAAATTACTTAACTGTTACCAATATTAAACATTACTTAACTGTCTAAGTAACAGCCTGATCCAGATCTGGCGATAAAAATGTGTGGATGAAGCAGCAACTTGTTCACTTTTTCTACCGTTATGAAATGTAAGGGGCGGGACAAATATATGTAATAGGCTGGGGACATTTCACTGTTCAAAACAAGACCGGTCATTGAATTTTGCTTTAAAAAAAAGGAAGCTATATTAAAAGGAGCCGGACGACGACTAATGTCTCACAGGAACTCACATGAAGCACTTGTCCCCCCTCTCGGACTGCTGGACTCCAGCCCTCGGGGAGTTCTCCTGGCCTCTGCGGCATCGGTGCCTCTTCAGGCCCGACCTGCCCTGGAAGCTCTTGTCACACGCGGGGCAGCTGAATTGACTCGCGACCCGACTGTGGACCCTCTGGTGGTTGTGCAGGATACTGGCGAGGCGGAAGGCCTTTCCACACGTGAGACACGCGTACTTTTTCTTCTGTGTGTGGATGCGCGTGTGATTGCGCAGCGCCATGGGGTTGGTGAAAGGCTTCGAGCAGAAGGAGCAGCTGAAGCTTCCCGTCTTGTGGGTGTTTTTGTGGTTCAGGAGCGAGCCGGCGTGACGGTAGCTGCGATCGCATATGCTGCACGTGAACGGCCGCTCCTCTTTATCTGCAGCCACATCTGTTTGCGCATCACCGCTGCCTGAATGTCCATCACAGGTGTGCGCTGTCAGGAGGTCAGCGGAGAGAAAGGCCTGCTTGCATTGGTTGCATTTAAGGGCTCTGGATTTCGGGCCCCGCCTGCTTCTGGTCCCAACTCTTCGGAGGTCTCCACACACGTGGGCCAACAGCTGCTTCTTTCCCCTGAAGCCCTTTCTGCAGTTTTGACAGGAGTGCTTTTTATACGCAAAGTGGGTGCGCAGGTGGTTCTTCATTGCAAGTTGATTGGAGTAAGTGTTGTTACAAACAGAACAGTAGTATTCGCCCGTTTTATGAGAGTTCCTGTGGTTGACCAGACTTCCCGCGTGGCGGTATGTTCGTCCGCACTGGTCACAGGCAAAAGGCCGCGGGTCTCCAGTGTCCTCTGATTTGACTGCGGTCTCGCACCTTGCTTGCCCTCTCCTGGCTCCCCGTGGCTGCTTGCAGCGTCGAGAGGAGGACAAAGCCTGTCTGGCATTTGAAGTTACCGACTGCATTCCTACATCTGGCTTGGTCCCGTTCATCTGCATGAGGGCCTGGATCTGGTCGTTGAGATCCTGGATCTTGGCTTGGTTCTCTTTGTGCCTCCTCAGGTGATTCAAGAGCTGCTTCTGAATTTTGAAGGCTTTCCCACACTCATGACAAGTGTGCCTGGATAAGGAGGAGGAGGAGGAGGAGAGCATGTGGTTCATTGTGTTTGACATCTCTACAACATAAACAAATAAAAGTTCCACAAGAAACTCAAAAAGGTTGTTGGCTCAACGCTGACTCATAAGTCCTAATAAACAGCGTTATTCAACAATGAATGGCATGTCTACATGTATGGCGGATGGGTACTAACCTCTTAATATCAAAGTGGGACCGCTGATGGTTTTTGAGGGCCAACAGGTTGTAGAAGCGCTTCTGGCAGATGAGGCATCTGAATACACCCGTTTTGTGGGACTTTTTGTGGTTGAGGAGGGAGCCGGCGTGTCTGTACGAACGGCCACACTGATCACATTTGTACTGACGATCCAAAGTTTTGTTTGAGTTACTCGCGTCCTCGTGGCCGGCACCATCGTTTGTTTTCATTCCCTCCTCACGATGTGTCGACTCAACCGTCCTCTCAGCTGTGCAACCATGGTGTTCAAGATGATGGTAGCTGGTGCAGAAGATGCCACAGCTGCCACAGATGATACTCTGAGCTTCCTCTTTTCCTACAGATACACCACCGTCGCTCGTGTTTATATGATTTACATCATCTACCTGGTCCTTTTTGTGAAGGACCTGATGGATGATCATGTCTTGCCTATTTGCAAAGCTTTCTCCACACGTGCTACAGATCATCATCTCTCCAGGCTCAACGTCTTTCATTTCTTCGTGGGAGGACATGGAGGAAGGCCCTGAGCTCGCGGGAGTACCATGGGACTGTGTGTGACCTCGGAGATGGCCCCTGAGAGCCCGCATGCTCGTGTAGTTGTTCCTACATATAGAGCATTGATAAAGATCTCCATCATCGTCATCATCTGCTGCCTCCTCCTCCTCCTCCTGGTCCTCCTCCTCCTCAGCATCACCACCCTCATTCAGCTGATCAATGCTCATATTGTCATGGAAGTTCTGTTCAAAGTAACTTTGGTCGTGGCTACCATTTAGACCATGGAACTCAACATTACTCCCTGGGTTTCCGACGAGGCGGTGACCATTACTCTCCTGGAAATTCAGATTACTGTCATAGTCACTGCTAGTAGTGCTGTGTCGCTGCTGCAGCAGTGGGCAACTGTGAGACTTAATCCCTGCGATATCTGCGAATATCTCCCCACAGTCTGCACACATGTGCCTCTGCATTGGGTGTTCGTTGTGAGGTAGATGCATGACGTCCTGGGAAAAGTCCTGTTTAAACGGCTCACGGTACAAAGCACCAGTGCTGCGGTCAACTCCGTTCCCCGGATTCATACCAAGAACGGTAGTAGCGCCATCCTCCTCCTCGTCTTGAGAGGAGAAGCAGCCCTGTTGGCTGTCGTGGGTCAGCGGCTCCGAGGAGAGCCAGTCCCCCTCAGCGGTGAGACCAACAGATGCCGACTGAGCTTTGTGGAGACGGAGATGACTTTTTAGGGCCGCTAGATGAGGATAGCTCTTTCTGCAGATGGAACATTGGTAAATGCCGACCTGATGTGACCTTTTGTGGTTGATGAGGCTCCCGGAGTGCCGGTAGCTTTTACCGCAGACTCGACACCTGAAAGGACGCTCATGAGAATCTTCATTTGAAGTCTCTTCCGTTTCAAGTGCATCGTCAGAGTTTTGCATCAGGGCAGGATTGAGAATGCTTGTGTCTATGATAGGGGGTTCTCCCTGAGTGCTATTGAAGGGAGGCGTTTCGTTATCGGTGCAGTCAGAGTACACCTGCCCGTTACTTCTAATCAGCTCCTGTCGCTGATCAAAGCCGTGGTTATCTATTGATGATACGGAGGGAATATTATTTAGTGGAGATGCATAAAAATTTGACTCAGGCGAAGCAATACTGTTGTCATATGATCTATTGTGGCTCTCGGACAAGGTATCATGAAGACCGAACGACAGAGATGAAGAGTTATGCATTTGGATGTGTTCTTGGAACTCTTCATCATTGGGGAATAGTACCTGACACAAATGGCAAAAATTTACAGGAGCCTCGTGGCTCTGAGGTGAAAACTGGTCGAGGGGTGTGCTCGTGTAGGACCCACCCATTGAATCGGGGTCTGCCCCGCTTCTTGTCTTGTGAGTTCTCTGGTGGCTGTAGAGGGCAGCCATGTTGTTGAACAGCTTGAAACACACGGTGCACTCAAACATTCCTACTTGGTGAGTCTTTTTATGGTTGGTCAGGCTTCGATGGTGTATGTAGGACTTGTCACACAAATCACATCTATACGGTCGAGTTGCTGCACCATCGGACGTCTCAAATTGGGGATTATAAACGGCGTCCATCTCCTCGTCAGCCGGGCTATTTTCTGTAGAAGTCCGGACGCTGCCTGACGGCTCACTTGGATCATTTTCAATTTCATCTGTGGGATATTCCATGTCTACCGTCCGGTATGACTTGTCCTTTACTCGCCTGGCAAGATGGACCCGCTGGTGTGTGGTCAGCTGTGTTGCCAGACGAAAAGCTTTCCCACATTCGGCACAAGAGTATTTTTTCTGGTAAGTGTGGCTCCGGAGATGACTCTTCAGGGCCAAAGCGTTAGAGTTTTCTTTAGCGCAGATGTTACATCGAAAAGAACCCACTTCGTGAGTTTTTTTGTGGTTAGCTAGGCTACCGGCGTGCCTATAGCCGCGCCCGCATTCATCACATTTAAATTTGCGTTCTTCTTCTTCTTGAAGGTGCGCATCCATGTGCTCGAGCAGGCTGGGCATATTGGGACACACCATGCCACATTGTTTGCAAGGAAAACCTGTTGTCCTGCCAGGATCTTGCACTGCCATTACAAGATAGCACCAGACACAGAGTGTGTGAAAATGCAGAGGGGAAATGCATTAGATGCATTTATCGTCCTTGTGCAAAGAGGATTTAAATTGAGTTGCAAGCGATGCCCAGTGACGTAGCAAGGCAGAAGATGTTGACAACCAGTTCCTCACAATCATGAGAGTGACTTAGATTTAGAAGGAGCTGTTGAGGACAGAAGAGATGCCAGTTAGTGCGGTGGTAAACACACAAAACAATATATGCAACAGTATCCGGTATTATGACAGGACGTTTAACGTTACAAAACGTGCAAATAACCTTTCGTGAATTATTCCAAATGAGTGAAAGGTGTATTCATTAATCATAATACAATTCAAATCGACATCTGAACCTGTAACGTTACATCTACGCGTGTTATTTATGTAGCATTAGCCTAAAGAGCATAGTGTTTATGCCTCACGGCGACATATCCTTGCTTTAAATCTATTAAATGTAAATTAATCTTTTTAAATACCAGCCGACATACTTAACTTTACATGCGTCAACTGCTGCAAGTAATCAGTGTCATCGACAGACGTATTAAGTTGAAAATATTTAGGGAGAAACGGTAACCACCCTACCATGTTTGTTCTATACATCTGCACCAGCATGCTAACAGAAATAGCTATGTCAATAAACCGGGAAACGCCTCTATCTCTACGGATTCATTGCCACACGGAAACACATTTTTTCCCGAGATTGTAAATAAAACTGTCATCGTCGCTTGATACGGGAGAGCGGACAGGTTAACCACAACTACATTTGTATAATAGGGGCCGAACGTTAGCACGATACCAGCTAGCACCATCGCGGCTAGCTAAACAAACATTGCACCAAAAAGCCAAGGAGTCGTTTTAAATGAGTCACAACGTCAGCAAATATGTCAAACTAAATACCTGCAGCAGTACTGATTCAATGACAGCCTCCGAGTATATTTCCATTTATTATTTTGAAAACGTTATTTTTGTGTAAAAGGCAACCCCCTTTTTTCAATTGTCTTTTTTCTTCCATTCTCATTTTCACATTGCTCGCGTTGCTAGGAAACAGGAAATGTGCAGCAGCGAAATGCTTCCCCCTCGAAAGTAACGTCGGATAGACTTAAAGTCAAATTAAGAAAACAGCGGTGAGCTCAATGCTAAATAAACCACAAAGAACATTAACATGAAAATAAGTTAAAGATAATTGTACTACTCTGTGGCTAGTTGTCGTTTAAAGAACATCAACTTCTGAAAACTAGTTAACGTTACGTTAGCTTGATGTAGCGGAAGCTTACGTTAGCTCTGCCATTGCCTTCAGAGCATTTCCTTCTTATCTTAGCTTCAAATACAAACACATGTTTCCACTATGGCAGGCGACCCGGTAGCTTCATAAGAACTACCGCGTTTCATTAGGAGTTTTTTTGTACATTTATTACGTGTCTTATCTTGACATTTTTAAACATAATACGCATTAAAATGTTGCACACTCGGCTTGCCGAGAGCTTTCGTCATCATGGTCCTAGCGCCGTCCCACACCCCGCAGCCAGTCAACAGCCATCACCTTGTGTCCCGCGAAGCTTCTCCAGGATTTATCGTCCAACTGCTAATGTCCTGAATCAGGTGAGTAAACCCGTTTGTTTCATTAACGCGCACACGGAAGTTAATGTTCGCCAAGTGCATTCCGCAATATCACGGCCGTTATGGTGACGACACTGCCGGAGTGTCGAAGAATCGCTGCAGCCGGTCCTAAAGCCAGCCATTTTGAGTCAAGTTAAAAGTGTTTAGCGAGACCGCTGGCGAGGAAAGCGACACCACGTACGCGTCTCGTATGCCGTCGCTGGCTCCGCCGGACCGGCTCGCGATCTTTGATCCTCGCGCACGTGCCCGTGATTCCCGCACCGTGTTCGCTGTCACCGCGTTGTCGACTTCCTTTGGCATCCGCGCGGTTAGCTTATTGTCCCTGAGGTCCTAATGCCAGCCATTTTGTGATTTAATGCCCACCAATATATGTTTATTTCATCATTGGCCATTGTCACTTTTGACCTGCTGTCCTCTCACGAACTGCGTCTGGGGATAACCTCTCCGTCTCGTAGCCGTATGCTCCTAAACATCTCTGTATACAATAATATCAGTTGTTATAATTAATATAACACTTTAATTTGCAGGTGTAATGATGGCCTCTCCTCAGCCCGGCGCCCCCGCTGCACCGGACCAAGAGAGCCAGCGAGAGGAAGAGGTGCCTCCAAAGAAACGTGGCAGAGGCAGGCCTCCGAAAGCCAAACCGTCCTTCAAATGCCCCGCGTGCACGGAGGCTTTCGGGAACCTGTCGGCTCTGCGGAGCCACAAGCTGTCAGCGCACGCGAAGGAAGGTCCGCAGCAGCAGCAGCAGCCGCCGCCGCCGCCACAGCAGCAGCAGCAGCACCCGTGTTCCCAGTGCACTAAAACATTCTCCAGCAAGGCTCAACTCTCAAAGCACGAGCGCACCCACTCGGCCCAGCGCCCCTTCCAGTGTCCCGACTGTCACAAGGCCTACAAGACACCCACAGAGCTGCGCAACCACAGCCGCTCTCACACCGGGGAGAAACCCTTCGTGTGCACAGAGTGCGGCAAGGCCTTCATGCAGGCGATATGCCTGAGGATCCACATGACGCAGCACAGCGGAGAGCGTCCGTTCTCTTGCCGCCAGTGCTCCAAGAGCTACCCGACCCTGTCCAAGCTGAAGGTGCACATGCGCTCTCACACCGGAGAAAAGCCGTACTTCTGTGCCGAGTGCGGCAAGAGTTTCGCCGATCCTTCGGTGTTTCGGAAGCACAGGAGGAACCACCAAGGCCACCGGCCGTACGCCTGCGACGAGTGCGGCAAGACGTACACGGAGCTGAAGGATCTTAAAAACCACGAGCGCTCCCACACCGGAGAAAAGCCCTACCTGTGCTCCGACTGCGGCAAGGCTTTCTCCCGCTCCTCGTCCCTCGCCTGCCACCAGCGCATCCACTCCCAGAAGAAGCCCTATCAGTGCGAGCAGTGCGGTAAAGGCTTCACCCAGCTCTCCTCCTACCAGTCCCACCTGCGCACCCACTCCGGGGAGAAGCCGTTCCTCTGCCCGCAGTGCGGCAAGATGTTCTCCGACCCCTCCAGCTTCCGCCGACACCAGCGAGCCCACCAAGGCTTCAAGCCGTACCCCTGCGACAAGTGCTCCAAGAGGTTCCGGCAGCCCGCCGACCTGGCCGTGCACGAGCGCGTTCACTCCGGGGAGCGGCCTTACAAATGCCAGAGCTGCGACAAAGCCTTCGTGGCGTCCTGGGACCTGCGGCGCCACATGCTGGTCCACACGGGCCTCAGGCCCTTCTCTTGCACCGAGTGCGACAAGTCGTTCGCCGAGCGCTCCAGCCTCAACAAGCACCGGCGCGTGCACTCCGGGGAGCGGCCTTTCAAGTGCGAGGAGTGCCTGAAGTCGTTCGTGGTGTCCTCAAGCCTGCGCAAACATGAGAGGACTCACCTGGCTGAGCAACAACAACAACAACAACAACAACAGGAGGAGGAGGAGGAGGCAGAAGCCGGGTCGGCCTTCCCCACAGACACGACTCTCCCTCAGTTCTCCTGCACCCACTGCGACGCCACGTTCGGGAGCTGGGATGAAGTGCAGTCGCACGAGAGCCTTCACGCGGTCGACTCCGCCCCCCCGGCCGCCGCCGCCAAGGTCGCGCCCGGCTCGCACGTCTGCGAGAGCTGCCGGGCGGAGTTCGAGCGGCCGGCGGACCTGCGGGAGCACGAGAAGCAGCACCCCAAGCCGAGGCCGCACGTCTGCGGCAGCTGCAGCAGAGGCTTCCTCAACAAATCGGGGCTGCGTAAACACCAGAGGATCCACTCGTCCACCAAGCCGCACAGCTGCCCTCGCTGCGGCAAGGCCTTCCTGTTCGCCGCCTACCTCCGCAAGCACCTGCGGACGCACGCCGACGCGGCCGAGCCCGCCGAGCGGCTCAGCGACCTGAACATCATCCACACCGACCCGCTGCCGTCTCCTCCGCCCACCGGCGAGGCGACGCCGCCCGCCGGCGCTCCGCCACCGCCGGCGGCTCCAGCGGCCGTGCCCGTGATGGGGTATCAGACTGTGCCGGAGTACCTGGTCAAAGACGAGGGGCTTTGAGGTCCGAGCCTGTAGCCGGGGGGTCTTCCTAGTGTTCTTTTTCAAGAAACCTTTACAAAAAAGCAGTGTTGTTTGTGTGTACTGTCAGCGCTTTGCCACTTGTTGTATTGCCCGGACGTGTCAAAGATGTTACGTATGCTGGTCATGTTTTAAAATATATGCTGCGTCGCTTACTATGGAATCTGTTATCGGTAATCTCTTCATTACCACATGTGGTGTTGCAAACATGTAAGCTGATCACTCGAGTGTTTTTATAAAGCCTTTTCTGCTAATGTAATTCTCCTCTGAAATTACATTTTTTATCGGAACAAAGTTGTCTGTTTCACCGCGTAAGTATTGGAATTATTTAATGTAAAATCTGTTCGGTGGAAAGAAAGGAAGTCTGTTGCATTCCAAAATGTTTAATTGGATGAGTTACATTTTATACAAATAAAAAAAGATGTGCGAGGTTTTAGTGGTCACTTTGTTACACGTTATATTGAGTATATCTCCAAATACACCAAAAGCCGTTATAGTTTAAGTGAAAATAATTATTTCATACTTATAGAATTCCTTAAACCTATGAGCTTGATTGGTCCTAAATCCCTCCGTTAATCATATTCTGGGGCTCTTTATTCAGCCGGATGATACAAATCAAACAGTGTTTTTTTTTTCCTCGTCCTTTATGACACCAGCTGCTTCCACGTGGACGAAAGCGGAAGCTCAGGTCACAGTTTCTGTTTGTCCTTCAGCGAGATGGTCTTCCTGTTGCTGCGCATCATCGTGTAGAACAGAGCGGCGCCGGCGTCTGTGACGGCCTGGCGGGAGGAGAAAAGTTAATAAAATATGGGCAATAAGTATTTAATTATCAAATACACAAGATGAATTCATTACCTGCGACTCTAGAACGTCACATTCTCTCTGGAAAAAGAGGAAGAGAACGAAAGAAGGAAGTTTAGTGTGATGTTTTTAACTAACGTAAGACATTGAAGCTGATGACGAATACTGAGGACTCACTCTGGTGATGTCATCTTTCTGTCCGTATATTGGCTCCATGGTTTTAATCCATTCCTGGTATTGGTGGTCCTCTGCACTGTGATTGTGCTCCCTGCAGACAGAAGCAGATTCACTTTGTACACGCGAACTGTAAATAATCTCTTACTGGTGGCGCTTATGAACCCTTGAATTAAAAGATAATATTAACCAGTTTGAGTTCAAAACTTGATCAATAAAAAAAGGTTAATCTGATCTGAAATCCAAGATATTGTCAATAATGTATATTCATATTTTCGTCATGTGACCTGCACAATTGTTTTTTTTCATAAAGATAATCTGGCCTCTTTAAATCCATGTGTCGTACATCAGGATCAAGTAACACACTCACACACTCCCTCCTGTCACTCACATTGCCTTCTCGATCAGCTTCCTCTGCACCTCTCCTTCCTTCCTGGCGTCGAGGAGGCGGCCTCTGACGGCGAGGGCGGCGCTGGCCTGTGAGGAGTTGAGCTGAATGATGGCGAGGGAGAGCGTGGACAGGGCCGCCGAGCTGAGCGGGAGGGCGACGCCGTTATCGCACCAGTGCCTCTTAACATTACAGCCGCGAACATTGTTAACAACGTGAACGCGCACACTTTGGAGCGCCGGACCGCAACTCGGCGTCGACTTCAGCGGCTCATTTGCTCTGTGACTAACCGTTAGAATGGATGACCAGTGGGAATTTATAAATATTCTCCGTGACGTGAAGGGTTCCGTATCTCGGCAACAAGCGCTTCGCTCAAAGCTTCAGCGCGATTGGTGTAAAACGATACGGCTAATAAATTGTTGCCCCCAGGAAGCAGACGCCTCGTTGATTAAAAGACGCCAGACGATAATGACTTGTTTGGGCTTACAAGGAAGCCGGGAGCATCAGCAGCTCAGTGGCGTGTGTGTGTGTGTGTGTGTGTGTGTTAATCTTAAAACCCAAAATAATCTGTAATTATGGAAGTATCGTTATCACCTGTCGTCGGTAACATCTCGGCTTGTGGTGATCACCCGGAGCATCGTCTGTCCCTTCCTCTGCCTGTAGCGGATCTGCAGCTGGATGAAGACACGGTTCCCAACAGCCGGCGCTGTAGGGAACCACGGAGAAACACACAAACATGGATCCACGGGTGCACGCGCACTGGTAGACGCGCTCGGCAGCGAGGCGGTTCTTCTCACCGGCGGCGTCCTGCTCCCGGGCACCAAACTGGAAGGTGATCTCTGTGTCCGGGTCCACGTTCCCCACCTCTCTGGTCCCTTTGGGCCCGGCCTCCTTCTCTCCTCTCACGTGCCTGGACCGGAGGAGGACATCGGCCGGCGTTAATGGCGCCATTGAACGTTAGCGGCGAGGCGCTTACGGAGCGGATCTCACAGTGATCGGGGCAGCAGCAACGTGACGGTGCAATGCGTGGCTATCATCCTGTTCTCGATGATCTCTTCAAACTCGGAGTGCAACCTCTTGGGACTTGCTACCACCACCTAGAAGGAAAGAAAGCGCAGACGATGACTTCAAATGAGTGATATATATATATATATATATCCATAAAAGAACAATAGGGGTACTTCAAATAATAGTAGGACAAACGTTGACATGCAGAACTTACTGTCCCTCCAGTGCGCTCAGCGAGTCTTCCCAGCTCGTCCAGCCGGCAGTCTGTCCCCTCTATGGACAGCACGGACACCGTCACACTGCGGAAACGAGCACATTTAAGCACGAACCTCATCGGAGTGTATTATTGCATCTCTGACGATGAGATGTTTGCCAAACCCTCGACTGGCGGCATAGTCCCCCAGGTCCTGGTAGAATATGGTGGAGGAGAGGAGCGTGCGAGCGTCATTGTCCTCTAGCTCCAGATCACCCAACTCTGTGTTGGCCTTTCCATCTGTACAGAGAATGACCTTGGAGATCAGCAGGGATAGCGAGGTCAGGATAGTATTGGTTTTTAGCGAATGGACAGATGAAAAGTGACACGTGGCTGCTTAAGGAGTCAAAAATGAACACGTACGACAGGTCACCTGATACGGTAAATGAGACCAAACCCACCTTGGACCCTGGCTGTCTGGAGGCGATCTCAATCGTCAGGAGCGCAGCAGGACCGAGCGCTGTGGTGCCACCGTGACGTAATCTAAACGGAACACTGTTATTCAAGTTTTACCAGACACAACCCTTGGCAAGGAATTCAAAAGGTATTTAATGTATCTTCCTTCAATGGCAACTACCTCAGTCTAGTGAAATCGACTCGGTCAGCCCTATTACTATTCAATAGAATTAAAAAAACAGCTCTCCATCTCTTCTCTTACCCCATGACTTGTCTCTGGAAGTAATCCTTGTTCTGGGAGAGCGGAGGTGGAGTCGGGAAACCGGCCGCCTCCTCTCTCAGAAAGTCGCAGTTATTTAACTCGGCACTGCTCAGAGACTGAGACGCGAAGTTCTCATTTCCATGCATTGTCACCTGGTGACGGAAACATGATACGATACGGGATGTAGACTAAAGCAAGCGTACGTCCAAATCGATGGCGGGGATCAAGGCCTCTTGGGGACGGCCTGCGTACCTGACTGTTGAAGGTGACGAGTCCCAGTCGGATGTCCGGCTGCTGCTCGCTCAGTCTCTGAACGCACCGCAACACGGCCTCCAGAACAAACTGTTTGGAGGACGTTCATCTCCCGTCATCACCCGAAACGCCATTAAAATACAAAAAAAAAAAAAAAAAAAGACTCACCTGGAGGCGGGTTTTGTGTACGACCTGTCCTCCCTCCGTGACCTTGAAAAAAACAAAAGGAAACTGAAACACCACCGAGCGGATTTTAGAACGCCGGCCGCCCCGAGCGGCCTCATGGCGCCAGGGCGGTTAGCGGATCGGCGTCGGCCCACCGGGTTTCACCTGAGAGGGGATGCTCATGGAGCCCGAGGTGTCGATGCAGAAGAGCAGCAGACCGTCGGCGGCGCACAGGGCCTCTTCGTCGGGACGCAGCAGATAGAGGACGTCCTGGGGACACCGTGGCGTGCTGGGGGTGCTGGGCTGGCAGAAGTAACAGTCATTGATCTGTAGTTCAGCACGAGGAGAGAACGCAAGTCTGTGTCAATCAAACCGGCCCCAGTCGTCCATCGTTTCATTACGCGGAGATCGATAAGGCTTCAGCTTCTCCTGAGTATCGATTACAAGGAAATTTACACATATGAAATGCACGACTCTTCGTCCTACACCTATTTAGAACGTTCAGAATATAGATTGAATTAAATATAGGGTGTAATTACCACATTGTCATAGCAGGGGTCCGTCACGGCGCCGCATGTGGAGCAGAAGGTGGGTTCCCCCTGTGTGGTCTGACCTGTAAACATGTGCAAACATTCGTTGTCATCTTGCCGATTGAAAACCAAGGGGCACATAACGGGGGTTTTACAGCGATCCTAAGAGTTTACTGACCCGTTTCCTCCGAGAGTAATTTTTGCAAACTGACGAGCAGCACGTTTGGATTCCCGGGCAGCGGCTCCTTACCTGCCGATTGGTAGTTGGGAACAAGAAAAACATTTGAAACTAAGCACCTGGTGGTGTGGATCGTTTGTAATGACAAACAGCGTGACAGAGCTTGTTGCTCTTTACCAGCAGACGGCGAGGCGAGGGATGCGTCCGAGGACGGTCCAGACAACAGCGTCAGGTATTCTGGCTCCCAAAATGGAGCTACAGGAGGAGGGCAGAACGGAATGAGACCAGGACGTTCCTCCACAGAGCTTCTGCTACTGATACTGCCAAAAGACACAAAAGCTGCCCAGTTACCCGACACCTCCGGCCGCTTCATGTCGACCCGAAGGCCTTCCGGCGTGGCGTACGAGTAGCTCGGGTCTGAAGGTCGTTCTTTTAAATCGGTCTCGTCCGGGAGGTTGTGGGTAAAGCGGCTGGAGGGAGGGGACCGGTTTTTCATGTGCGGCGGCAGGAGCGCTTGGGGAGGCAGACGGGAGAAGTGCGTTGAAGGAACGATTGACCCAAGCGGCATGAGCCGTCACTCAGAGTGGGAGTTTAAACCCTTAAAGGACTAATTCACGCAAATTCTCTCACAGTACCTTTTTTTACCACCGCTTTATCAGGATTTTCAGCCACAGTCACATAAAATTGACTCTTCGTTGGTGCTTTGGCTTCTGCAGACTTCGTTGGAAGGGGAGGGGGAGGATGGCGAGGACGCCACCGGTTAACGGGAAGAAGAGCTAAAAAGCGAAGACACAAAACAGGAAACACACAGCGGCCGTTAATCTGAGAGCAGCCACTTAAACGGCGAATGTGAGCGCAGACAAAACCACCACCGGTGCAGCGATGACCTTTGAGCCGTGAAGAAAATGGTGACTCAGGCGGCAGATGGCTTTGACTGAGAAAAGCAGAGTATCTGAAAGGAATCTGCCTCTAAAACAAGACAGGGGAGGCTGTGCGCGTGTCACGTTACATAATGGTATGTAATGTGATGGTATTTTTTGAGTTCGGCCTTCCTGCCGAGGATGGAAACGACAGCTTTGTGTCTGCTCCCGTGTGTCTTCACACAGGTAGCAGCTGTCCCTGGAACGAGTAGCAGTGAGGCAGAGAGCTTCTTGTGTTTGGAGGAGGCCACACCTGAGAGCTTGGTGGGATTCGATCGGTTGGCGTCCCGCTGGGTCACCGACGGCGGCACGTACACGAATCCACAGGCAAACTCCATTGTGAGGCTCCCTGCTGAGGGAGGGGGAGAGAGAGAGAGAGAGAGAGAGAGAGGAGGCTATCAAAGGAAGAAACCCGACACCACACCTTAATACTCGCACTAATAACAGCGAGCAACATTCCTCTTTAAAGATGTCGACACCCCTTTAATTAAGAGGCGCTCAATTCAATCCGCATCCGATGAAGGCCGGCCTTCGTCTGTTGTACCGCAACATAAACCCAACATATCTGCAGCAAAGCAGCACTTACCCACTGGTGCGGAGTGCTGTGAATGCTGGCAGAACAGTGGAATAACAAACAGGTCTCTGAGATGTTTCTCTCGTTACGTCTCACACATCTCGTCCAACTCGTTTGTTTGCTCGGCTGTGTGTCCACGGAGCCACAGAGTTGTGTTGCTCATTGCACAACGCCGGTTGAACGTTTCAAGCCTGATAATAAAAAGGGTGGAATAATGGAGGCGGTGAAACCGAGCAATAAAAGGTCGAAGGTCAAAAGGATATTAAAGTCCTAAACATACAACTAAATACATTTAATGGCATGCTATGTTATTACTACTGCAATGTAACATCATGTATTGTTCTTTAGGAATGGCTACAAGACCTCTGTGTACCAAATGACGTCTCCTCGCTCTGGTTAGGTGATGGAATGCAGGTGCGACCGACGCCATGTGCCCAGTGGCTGCAGCACCTGCACCAGGTAACACACTCCCTCCATCGCCTCCCCCAAATCGGGCCTGGGGCTCCGCCTCCTGGGCTCCGCCTCCTGGGCTCCGCCCCCCTGGATCCGCCCCCCTGGAATCTGCTCTTCCCCCTGGTTCGCCCCAAGACATGTAAAATCTATTTTTTTTTCCCATTGTGTTGTTTTGTCTTGTGTTTTAGTATTCTAACAAGTGTAAACTCGTTTTAAAAAGCGGTGGCAAGATGAAGAGTGACAGGGTCACCTGGGTCAATGGTCACACACACACACACACACACACACACACAAACACACACACACGTACACACGCGCTATCATCGCAACAAAGCATCAACCAAATGGATTAGAGGCAAAACAACAATTCTTTTATTTTGAAAATCAATTCCCTCAGACATAGTAAGCTCCATGTGTCTCCACATAATACTTAAGTAAACATTAACCGTGTGTGCTCCCATCATTGTAACCTGGGTAAACATCATTTATGGATATCAGATGTCCTAATTATTACGAACTATTGACTCAAACATGATAAATAAATATCCTCTCTTGTTCTCTTCTGTTTTGACATGCATGCAAACACACGTAAACACTTGCACATATACACATGTAGCTTCTGCACAAACTGTATATTTAGTCTTGGATAATTCATATTGCAGAAGCACTCAAACCAAAGATGGTTAGAAAATGAAAGCCTTAACAAATATAACATTTCAAAGTGAGGGGAAACAGATGGTTCGAGTTATATATTATACAACAAAAATTGTTATTTTTTGGAAGATTTTTAAATAACTAGATAAGTACAGAACAAATTCTATTTGACTGTGTGACGTCACTCTACAACTTCGACGTAATTCGCTGGGTAGAAGCCTTCTTTTCCTCCGCTGAGGACTCCTCGACACCACCCCTGGTCGTCCTCCTCCTCCACCTTCAGGAACACTTCTCCTGCGGGTCACAGGGAACATCCGCCCGTCAATCACGACACACACGGTGGTTATCTGTCGAAACTTTATTTAATATATTTTAGTTTAAAAAATAATATTTCAGAGATTATTTGTTTGATTGACTGAATGTGAATGTGTTTTTGTAATTTCAGCGCGTTATCAGACCGAATGTAATGCACACAAAGCTAAACTATAAAGCATTTTTGTTTTACTCTCCGTACTTCGCTCTACCAAACATATATTTTCATATTTGGGTAAAACTGTCACACGTTTTAAATGTTCAAAATGTTTAAAACTTTAAAACAGTTGAATTCCAAATTCTATAATAACCTTTAGACAAAATGTAATTCCAGTAATCGGCGAGAAACTGGACTTTTCTTCTTTCTTCTGCTTTAATACTTGATTAAAAACGTACATAAACCCTGTTATAGTTTTAAAACATTGGAAACAACACATCCGAGTGTCGTCACATCACACTTTAGGTGTCACCTGCTTTGAAGGACAGCTCATCGCCCTCCTCGCCCACGTAGTCATACATCGCTCGCACCTTCACGCCCCCGATCATCACACTAACAGAGCGACGACACGGATGTTTGAACAATCCGGAATAAACAAACGGGAATAGGAATGAAAATATATTTATATATAATGCTTGTTAAACATTTAAAGAACCAAAACTTTAATACTTACGGACGATTTTCTCTTTTTTGTTTCTGTTCTCTTTTCTTTCTGTTTAGTTTTTTTATTGGCGGGACCCATTCCTGAAAAAAACAAATACAAGTTTAGGTTTCGACTTGATCAACGCTTCCACAACTGGAGGGAAACAGCCACGCATTGCAATATGCACCAGATACGGCATTTATGTATCATTCCACTGGTTGTCACGTACAGCGATCTTTGGCCAGTCGGTGGGCATGCCGGGACCGTGGTTGTTCTTCCACCACTTCAGGTCGTCTTCCTCGTTGATGGACATCAGCGTGTGGTGGAGCTCACTGTACACCGCCTTCACACTGACACGAGGACACAATGAATACTCGCCGCTCTGCGCCGAAGCGGTCGCCGGGGCGGCTGCTCACCTCTCGTCGTTGGTGACGTCAAGATGCCGGTGGATGGAGAGGAAGGCCTGCTTCAGAAAGCTGATCCTCTTCCTCTCCTCTTCCTGCGCCTCGTCAAAAATGGCTTCCATCTCCTCCATGTAGCGAGGGGTGTAGGAAGTCGCATCCTCCAGGAGCTTCTCATAGCGGCCTCTGATCTGCAGCCGGAGCACAAGAACAATCTTAAGGGGGAAAAGTAGGGTAAGTGTGTAACTCATCTGCTGCTCTTTCCTGTTGCCATGTTGAGCCACATAAACACTGCAGAGCGGAACAATAACACGTCTCCATACAAGGCAAGTGCTTGGAAGGGGAAGCGCCCGACGCTTGGGTTTAGAGCGGAGTCTTTCTTGGAATGCGACATGTTTGACTTGGTGGAATGCCGTGATTCAGTAATTGGGAATTTAAATGCGCCGTGAACGAGGCCCCTTGTTTAACACGCGTGACCTGGGTTCGAGTGGCGCAGTGTGTAAAGATCCTTTCCTCACCTTTTCCTTCTCTTCCGTGATCTTCTCTCTGGCCTCCGTGACTTTCTGCTTTTTCTCCGGACTCAACTCAGTGTTTTCGTTTGCTTGCTTTTCTTTGTCGAGCGCTGCCTGCTCCCTCTGGCAGGACTTGTGATATGCGACACGGGCCGTCTCCAGCTGTTGGATACACATTCACACACATGTAGGTTATTTACTTGGAGGAGGATTTGCCTACTAGCTGCCGTGAGTCCGTCCAAAGGTTTAAAAAAAAGGAAATGTGCCCCCCTGGTCTAAATGTCACTAATTAATATGTGGTATCTTATTCAGTGGATGAACATCAGCTTTCCTCGTCTAACATGTGGGGGATGTTGCGGATGCCAAACCGCCTTAAATCCACAATTTGTCAATTTAACTCTTTTTGAATGATCAGACAGATTTCACCAGCACAACTTTTATGACTCTCTCCTGGTTTTATCTGTATATTTAGTGTAAAGACTTGACAGAACGGTGTTTCTTTCTGCTCTAAAGAATATTCAGGGCGCTAATAACCATGTTTGCTGTTCATAGATACAGTGAATGTCTACCTGAGATGAGGACATGTTGAAATGACTCCCTTTGCTGATAAAGACCATGAAATGCGCCAAAGAGTGACCTCCTGACCTCCATCACATGCCACGCACCTTCATCAGCTTTTGGGACCAGGGCTTCTGCGCACGGGAGAAACTCGTCTTGTTGTTGTGGCTCTCCCTGAAGCCACACAAGATCTTCTTTGGAAAGATCTCCTTCTGCCAGGTTTTAACGCGGCCGCCTTCCTCCACCATGAGGGACTGGGAGATGGAGGAGTGGAGGGCGGACAGGCGCTCGGTGGAGGTGAAGAAGCACTGCCACGCCCTCATGAGCGAGCCGTAAAGTGGCCCTGGGGAAAGGAGAGAGAGTCTCAAACGAGCACAGTTTAGAGGACACGATGAGCCGCCGGAGATGATCGCAGAGACGTTTTTGGGGCTCCTCCGTCACGCCGCTTCTCATACTCACGGGAATCCACTATGGACTTCCACTTGCTGCTCCACTGGCTGAGCTGCTGGGCGTACTGCTTCTCCACCTTCGCTCTCTCCGTGAAACAGGCCACGATGTCGTTGCAGGCCTGGAAGGACTTCTCGGTTCGGTGCACCGTGCGCACGTAGTTCCCCGGCTGAGAGCAGGAGCGGTGACGGCATGTGAGTACTTTCATAACACACGTGGGAACTGATTTGCTTGAACTAGCTTTTCCCTTGTACGGCGGCGTCGTGACATCGTAAATATAGTCCTCACCATCCAGAAGCTCTGTTTCTTGGCATCCTCCGGCGGCTCTTTGGGAAGGCTCGCCATGGTAGGGAGCGCGTCTGCCTCGGGGAGCGACAGATAGCTGTGTTATACGGGGGAGAGTTGCTCGACGGGTTAAGATGCGCAACAAGCGACGAATGAAAGCCTTTTATTGGCCGACCGGTGACATCGGTAATCACGGGGGTTGGGCGTCCACGCGGTGTAATATGCAGATGGCGCTGGTTGGCTTCCTCATTGACAGATCTGTTCCGTTTGCGTGGCAGATAAGTCAGATGTGAGAGATATTCAGGCTGAAGGCTTGTGTGTGTGTGTGTTTGGTTCAGATCCTATTGCCATAACAACTTTGATGATTCGGACCAGGCGTTATTTACACTGTACAGTGCTGGGATACATGCACGCAGCCCCCCCCCCCACCCACCCCTGCCCCGGGAAGGGGAGGGCCAGGCTGGAATTCACAGGGGTGGGATCTGCCAGTAGGAATAGAACAGCTGCTCCGGCATTCTTCCTGTTGCCTTCCCAAAATAAACAGCGCGGAAAGGTCATCTTTCCCCCTCGCTGTGACTAACACGAGGCCTATTACACCCAACCGCCGCCCGCCCTGACTCCTCCCGCCGTTCGATCCGGAGATCAGGACCCCGGGAGCACCTTTTCTGAATGCAGGATCTGAAACACATTTTAGCGAGGCGTGCAAAGCCCAAGTGGCGCGTTCGCATCGGAGGGAGATTGAACAAAAAGCCGGGCGATGCAAGCACGAACACGCGAAGGACGCCGTGCCATTCGGGCCTATTCCTGTCTTACAAGTTGACACATTGCCGGCTGAGTAATATGCAAGTGACTTAACCACACCTCATCACAAGACTGAGCTTGAGTTGCACTCGTCCAGGACTCTCTTCCCCTCAGCCTGCGGCAGTAAATGCATCTATCATCACGTTGCTCGTTACTTTTTTTCCGTTACTATGAGGCCCTGCAAGTCCAAACATGGCTCGGCTTGGATTGGGCTTTTCTTCAGGTCGTCCCGCTCGTTTATCCACACGCAGGAAAAGGAACAGCGCGCGTGTGTGTGTGTGTGTGTGTGTGTGTGTACTCGTTTTATCTCACAGAAGCATTCACATCCAAAAGTATTTTGACTCTAAAAGTGACTCACAAGCGTTGAAAAAGAAGCCCGAAGTGGCGGCAGAGCAGTCGCGCCTGGAGCACTTACGTTTCTCTCTGAATCACCTCTGATTGCTCGAGTGACCACTTGTTACTGTACGTCAAGGGCCCGGGATTTTCTCTCCTCTTCCCAGTCCGTCTCCCCCCTCTCCCAGTGGGCCTCTCCCCCTATAACGCATGTTTCTGCCTCCCCTCTCTCTCACCCCACTCACTTAAAGTTACACACACACACACACGCGAGTTGGTTGTTGATTCTAAAAGTGGGGCGTGAGACTCCGAGAAAAAGCGTGCAAAAGAAAATGAGCCGAATCAGAGCCTTTGAGGGATAATCACTGCTCTTCTAATTGGCTTTAAGGGGAGGAAGGAACTTACCTCTTCTGTCTCTCTTCTCCTGTGGACTCGGACGTTCTAGTTCACAGTCACTCCTCTTCCTCTTCCTCCTCTTCCTCCTACTTTAATCCCATCCTTTGCCCCTTGGACTGGCTTCACTCGCTCTCTGACTGTCACCCTCTCGCGTTCTCTCCACTGTGCTGGCAGAATAAAACAGCTGGAACAACCCCCCCCCTCCCCCCTGCCCACCCCCCCCTGTCTCTCCACGCCTGCCCCTCCCTCTGGCTCTCTCAATATGGTGCTAATGAGATGCTCAACCTCCTTTTCGGCCGTTCACTGGTCACAGAAACGTGTCAGTGTGGCACCGAGTCATGTGAGCTTATTAGCGGGTGTGTGTGACAGCAGGCGGCAGGGGGGGGGGGGGCGTGAACCGCCACATTAGCCCCCCGTAACCCCCTGCGACCCCTCTGTGGTCGGGCCTAGAAAGAGAGCGGTCCAGTCCTTCTCAGCCTCTTTGAGATAAAAGCTGTATATGCGTCATATGAGACACTTTGCACTCTTGTTTCCTGTTCTTTTGAGTCTGTCTGCTTATGGTTGAAATGCACTTGTTGTAAGTCGCTTGGGATAAAAGCGTCAGCTACATGACATGTGATGTAATGTGTCTCAATTACAAAGGTTTAATATCAGTTTATGTCCATTTTTCTGCTACAGAATAGGGAACCCTGGAAACAAATAATACAATTATGATTATGGACTAAAACATAACTTTGGAGGGAGTTCATAGAATTTCTATTTGGAATTATCTTTGTCAACAGTATATTTATATATTTATTGGATTGTAATTTATAAAGCCTTTATTTTAAAAGAGACATTGTGTCCTCAGACACCTTCGATCTCTACCATAGCAACAACATTTGAGCGAAGATCGGCCTTTACGAGATTCAGTATACGATGCTGCGCCACAATTTGTCTTTAATTCTCGGCCTTTCGTTCTCATTGAACTGGAATAATGGTCAATTTCTTATTTCACGGCCATATGAAGCAAACTGTTTGCTTTTATTCTTTCTCGAGTGACGCCAGAAAACACCAGAAGCTGCAATCACCCCATCATCAGCACAAATAAAGTGCATCATTTTTTGAATCCACACTGTTGTTTGACCCTCATCTGTGTGAGCCAGTGATACTTTTTGATAAAGGTTATTCTATTATTCTATCCATCTATGTATCTATCCATGGAATCTCCTTCGAAGCTGCTTTTCAACAGGCGTCTTTCAGTGAGCTGCACGAGTGCAGAAACACGGCTTGCTTTGAATTGAGCCGTCTCATCTTCTCCCTCCCGGCGAGCTCTTCTCTTTGGTCCTATTAGCTCAGGCAGCCTGATGGGAATATAATCCTGGCCCTGAAAACAACGTTGTGTTCATCCACCGCGGGGAGACGAGTTGCTGCCAAATTACTCAATTCAAACACGGCGCTTTAAATTGGATCATAATGTGAATCCGTCAGAAGAGGGAAGTTAAGGAGAAATAAGAATCAAGACAGGTCCACATTTCATTTTAGCATTTATTTCAACACTTTAGTTGTACCTCTATTATATAGTTTATCAGTATATACTTTATTTAATTTAAAGCAAAACTCTATTCATATATATATATATATGTACCTTTTATCTCTGCATTTTATGCTCATACTGTATGTAGTCATATTCATTATGCATTTTACTAGACCTAAAACACTTAAATCATAGAATACAATGCTTTCTACACTACTGCTCAGTCCTTCCACTTCTCAGAGGGGTCCATGAGGAGATAGCAGTGAGGCCGAGAATAGAGAGTCATAATTTCAAAAACTCACACGGAGAGAATACACATCAACCGGCGTGTGTCGGCTTCGCCGGGGTCACCGCAGGGCGAGCAGTAGAGAAAGCATTTACAGAAAATCAAAAGTAGAACGGAATCTAAACAAAGCTTCAAAGAATTTCTCCACGCTATTTGGAAGACGGAGATTCTCAAACAATTGTTTACATACTTAATATTATTATATTTATTATACTATATTTGTATGTTATCGTTGTCATCATCATCATTACATTTAGATCTATAAATGATGTGTGTTTGCTTGACGGTTAAATTCACTGCAGGGAAATGGTTGAACTGGCGTGTTCATAAAAAGGGGGCGTTCCTCTTCAACTCGCGGCAACATTACGTAGCATTTTCTTTACGTTTCGCCTCCTGAAAAAAAGTTTTTAAAAGCGTGTTTATTTTTGAGGGTTAATGTGTGGGACGAAGAAACACTGGGGTTGTTTAAATAGTGAGAAAAAAAAAAAGAAATTCGACCGTGATAAATATGTTTTGGAAAAGGCCTTAGAAAGAGAATGGTGGAGGCCAGTGAATGCATTTTGCTGACAAACACTCACGCACTAAATCAGTCGCACAGGCTCACAGAGGCTGAAGGTTGATGTTCAGGTAGACAGATTAGCAGTAAAAAGCCCTTATTGATCACTGCACCTGCTGTGTGAGCGAGAGCGGTCAACATCATGGCATCGAAGGGGACGGATCCGTCCCTCGACCTGTCCTATGGCAATAAACACCGGTAAAGTTTATTTTTTAAAAGAGACAATTTGCAGTCGAAAATGTCATGCAAACCCTTTTCAATTCCGCTTCTATATATTTCATCTCCTTTCTACAGAATTCTCTGAAAAATAATAAAAAGGTAATTTCACAACAATATAATCTCGATACTTGTACGTCCCCATTATGCACAACTTCAATTCAACAGTTATAAATACCCTGACCAGTTCGAAATGAATGATTGCGATCAGCACTGTGTACAAAACATATGTTTCTACTATAGTAGTGAATCCCGTTTAACATGTAAGATATATATTAAGTGCTCGCAAAGTACATACATACAAAGCTTATTGGGGCATCCTTTGGGGTAATATGGCAAAAATATAAAAAAGAATAGCAATATTGTCTACCATTTTATCTATCATCATTTACAAACAGATCTATCATATTCTGACTTTGGCTCCTGGACTCTCGGCCATCGTAAACTCTGATCTGCTTCAAGCTTCAATGATGTCACTTCTTTGAACTCAGACTGATCAATGCTTTTAAACAGCGTATAGTGTGAGAATCAATGTCAGTGTGTGTGAGAATGTGTGTGTGTGTGTGTGTGTGTTTGTGAGGGTATGTATATGTGTTTGTTTTTTACAGCACAAAACGGTGAGTTAATTAAACGCCTGTCCAAAAAAAGTTTTAAAATATACGTTCAGTTAAAGAGCATCATTTTCATGTGATATTCTTAACTTCCTTTGACCAAAAATCCCTCCACAAGTTTCAACAATATTCTTGGAATGTGTGGCAAAGAAAAACTAACACATCCATCCATTCTTAGTCTTAGTCCAACATAACCTGTCAAAGTCCATTCTTCCCATCTTTGTAATTGTCCATCTTTGTCAATTATTTAATGTCCCTTTCTCTCATCTTTGAATCACCCCTTCACTCTCTCAGTCTGTATCTCGGGGAGAAGTAGTGAAATGCAAAGGAGAGGAAGGACGCCTGAGGAGAGAAGGAGGGCAAATCAATGAGAATTAAAATGAGAAGAAACTAAATAAAGGCGGAGCAAACTAAATAGGGTTGATAAAAGTGGTAAATCAAGAGAAAAGGGTGGAAGGGAGGACAAGATAACTTGTGACGAAAGGGGATGACCCAGCTGACGTGACTGTCCTTCACCATCCAGTGCTTGCCTTTTTGTCCTTCGACCCCATGCCTCTATTTGTTCCAGAGTCTGTTAGTCCTCTCTCACCTGTCTGTGAGTTTCTTCAGCGCCCTCTCGATGTTCATTCGGTGTCCCACGCGTGTCACTCCCAGGTCCAGGAAATCATCCTTGGTGAGCGAAGGCAGATGTGATCCATCTATCTCATTGTCTATAAAACGCTCCCTGTGCTCCGCCAGGTTTAGGTAAGCCAGCCAGTCAGCCACATCGTACTTGGTCCAGTAGGGCAGGGGCTTGACAGCAAAGGGTTTGGCTGGCGGAGGAGGGGTGAGATGGGGATAGTTTAGGCAGGATGGGCTCGGGGGCAAGTGTATGGGGGAGGAGGCTCCAGAGAGAAAATGGGTTGGGGAGAGAGAGCGGGAGACAAGTAAGGGGTTCGCACTTGGCAAACCAGATGGGGAGTACATTGGAGTTGAAGTATTGTAGGGATCTCCTAGAGGGATTCCAGGCAAAGGCGGAGTAAGGGGCCCGGGGAAGTCAAAGGGGTTACTGTAGACAGGTGTAGTGGGAAGGATGGGGAGAGAGGAAGGCCTGGGCGGAGCGGGGTTTGGCTGTTCAGTGTTATAGATGAGAGGACTTGGAGCCCGCCGTCGTGCGACAGAAGAACGCATTTCTTTAGTCGGACTGCATTGGAAATCAAAAGTCTGTCTGCGCATCTTGGACCGATGCTTCGGCGACGTTGGGTAAGGGCAGTAGGTCGGAGAATGGGGAGGGTGTGCAAGCACTGGTGAGGTCGGCATCTGTGGAGACGGGGAGCGGGTCCAGTTGCGCTGAATCGGGACTTGAGTGGATGGAGAGATAGAAGGAGTGGCCGACAGATTTGGTGTCAAGATCTGACGGTGCTGTGGAGAGGAGGTCGGCAATGGCGAGGTAGAGTGGCCAGAAGGGGGGCTATGAAATGCATCAGTGAAATCCGCGGAATACCTGGAAGACAGGCACAAAAAAACTCAGGTAACATATGCAGATATGCAAACTTTAATTTTAAAACAAAGGAACGGTAATGAAAACCAACCAACCTGTGCATGGTGGGGGATTTTGGGATGTGGCTCCAGTCGTCCATGCTCTTCATGCCACTCATGTGTTGTAGCTTGGAGCTTAGCTCATTGATGATGCTCGCCTTCACGCCAGAAAGAGGTGAGTGAAGTCTGCGGCCCTCCAAAGCGATACCACCTCTCTGTACTCCTTCTCCGCTTTGCTCATGCTCCCCAACCTCAACCCAGTTCCCCGACCGGGTGTCTATCTGCCTTTCTAAGCAGGCGGCCAAAGTGGTGTTGAAGCCGTCCTCCATTTTGGATCGACTCTGCTTGCGCTTCCTTTCATCTTCAAATGCTCCATCTAGCCTGATTTCGTCCGGGTTGCTATGCCTGTGCAACTGTAAAGGAGCAGGGTTAGTGCTGTTCTGCCTACGTAGTGCCACAGGCGGGCACCTCCCTCCTCCCTCCTTGTGGTGAGTCATCCTAGGAAACACAGGGTTGGCCAGTTTGGTGCTGTGCAACTCAAACGTTTGTCCACCTGAGTAGGTCGTGCTGGGATCCTGATGCTCACTTCCTCTCTCTCCCTCCCCTCCTTGCCCATCAACTCCGATCCCTCCTCTCTCTCCTCTTGGCCCACTCAACCCTAGCATTTCTAAATGGTGGTCGCTACTGCTGTGGCTGTCCAGCTCCTCAATGCCTGAATCCACCACTGCATCTTGCCAGTCTCCGCTCTTCGGTATGACAGCAGGGTGGTGAGTATGGTCATTGGCTTTGCCCACAGCGCTGAGGCCAGCCTTGTGCCCGGCCATGGTCATACTGTGGTCAAAGGGTCCCAGTGAGGTCGTGGAGGAGGCGGCTGCGGCGGCTGTCATGGTAGTGGTAGCATAGGTCATGGTGGCTGTGAGGACTGCTGTGCCTCTATCCTGGGCCTCGATGTGACCCCCTACTGAGGGGTCGTTAGAACTGCTGTAATAGGTGTGAGAGTGAGACATGGGCTGGGGTCTGTGTAGTGAAGAGGCAGGCAAAGGTGCAGCGATGGTGGTAGTGGCGGACGGAGGGGGAAATATCTGCGGGGACGGATACGATGGGGAAAGAGCTGACTGCGTAAGGTTGGCCACCTCACTGTCGTAGGATGTAAGGCTGGAGGCAGTCGAGTCGCCAGCCTGTGCAGAGGGTTGGGGGGCATTTGAGGACTTGGTAGATGGTAGTGGGGGTGGGGGAGGTGGTGCAGCAGCAGCAGAGCGTGGACTCCGGTGTTGTTGATGCTGCTGAGGATACTCCTGGTCCCTTTCCTTCTTACCATTAGCAAACTCTAAAGGAGGGGGCAAGGGATCCGCAAAGACAAACTCATCATCTACATCTATTGAGGGAGCTGGTGGAGGTAAAACCATCAATCCTAAACCACCTGCACCTGCTCTTGCTTCTCCAATAGTTTTATGTGTCTGTGTAGGGGCTGTTGGGACAGTATACTGAGGGATGTAGCTGGTGTTGGGAGCGCTATCCATCTGCAGAAAGGAAGGTCTTCGAGGAGCGGTTTGAGCCGGCGGTGCAGGAGGCTGCGTGGGTGGAGCAGGTCGGCTGTCATACACCTCCGTTTCTCTTTCTCTTTCCCTCGGGCTCTGTGGGTAATGCTGTGTTGAATACTGACTGGTTCGGTCCTCTGAGAAGCGAACTCTGAGACCCTCCCTGGGTGCTCCCTCCTTTTCTCTTTCCATTCTCTCCCCACCTCCTCCTCCCAAACGTAATATCCTTGGGGACTGTGGCCGGCTGATAGATGCAGGAGAGGTGGTGGCGGTGGGGGAGCTTAGGTTGGTGGGTACAGGGGAAGTGTAGGCCGACTGTGTAGGGGTTGCAAAAAGCGAAGGAGTTGGGGTCTGAACAGGGGTAGGAAACGCCCCGACCGTGGACAGCTGCCGACCAAAGTGTCTCTCCTCTCTTCGTGTCCTTCGGTCATCTTTGAGGGCCCTTTCTCTTGCAGCTAGGGCCAGGCCAAGTGGAGACGAGGGGTCCAGAACTTTCCCTGTAAGTGGGTGGATGAAAGTGGTAGTGGCCTGGGTGCCATACATTGAGGGAGCTGACTTGGGCTGGCCATCCTGACCAAGAACAGGGGAAGAATATTCAGGCAGGCCAAAGGCTGGGGGCATGCTGCTCGAATAGTGGACGTAGCTGTCTCCTGAAAACATGCCCTCATCTATAGACTTGGAGGGCCGTAGACGAGGGGAGGGCACTTCCATTTGTATTCCCTGTAAAGGCTGAATTCTTGCCCCCAGCGCTCCTCCTCCCTCCGCTGCTCCACCCCCTGCCTCACCTTGAATGTCCTCTTCAGACGATAGGAAGAAAGACGCACTCTTTCTTCTCATATCTCGGAAACGTTCTCTTTCTCTGCGAGCACCTCCTCCTCCGAAGGCCGTACCGTATGTTGACGTGTAGTCCAAGTTTTCCAAGTTTTGCTGCGAGGAAACGGATGGGGCAACAGTTGATGAAGGCAAGGAAGTGGGCGTAGTGGGCTGAGGTGGCAGGGGGGTGAGTGGTGAGGGTAGACTGGTATTGGGGCTGTCTGAGGTTGTGTCTGCTGAGGTGTGGTTTTCAACATCCTGGGCCGGCTCAGCTTCCATGCTGCTACCCTGGCTGCTTCGCCCGCTGCTGCTGGTGGAGGGTGCTTTGACAATGATGGTGGGAATGGGGATGGAGCTCTTTTCTTTGGCTGCAACTCCTTTTCCTCGGTGCTGTCTCAACCCATCCTCCACTTTTGACTGTTTCATTAGAGCTCCTCGACCACCCCTCCTGGTTGTCCCCCTGCTAACCCCTCCACCTTGCTCCCGGTTGGCTGTATGCGGGTGATGTTGCGGTGCTTGTGGGGCCTTTGGCTTTGCACTTGTTGGCGGTGTAGCACTGCTGTAGCCTCTCCTTAACCCTTCTGTTTTGCCTCCACCTCTCCTAGGAGCCTCCGGCTGTCCTTCAGATTGTCTGCGGAGGGTGGGGACCATGCCTTGCTGGTTCATCCCACCAGGCCCTCCCCTCTCCCAGCCTGCTTGATTAGCATGGCCTGGCTGGGATTGGTAGTGGGCTTGAGATACGGGGGGTATTGGCATAGCAGACCCTCTCCCAGGATGAGGGCCTGCAGATAAAGGCGGTTCGGGAGCAGATGTGTTAGGGGGTGGTGGTATTTCCTCTGGTCCTGGCACTGACAGGCTGCGAGCCAGTTTCATAGCGGGTGGGTGCAGATACTGTCTTTCCTCCTCCGTGACACCTGTGAGAAAAAGAAGACAAAATTGCAAATGAAAAAGGAACTATTGAGCAGGCAGAAATCTTTTCATGACGATTGCATTACCAATAGATTTTTGACGTATCATGACCGCATGCTGAGTGTGGCCGGGTTGAAAATGAGCTTGGTTGTAGCCAAAGCCCGGTCCGGGCTGCACCATACTCACTGATGACTGATGCTCGTAGGGTTGCTTCAATTGCAAAAAAAAAACATTTTGAAAAGGGAGAGAAAAAGAATTTGAAAGGATAAAGGGAGTAAAGAAGGGAGTGGAAACATTAATAACACATAACAAAATCAAATTGATATTGACTGTCAAGCTGATATTACTATACCGCATAATGTAATACAGAAGTAGCAGTCAGTCAGAGTATTGGAGAACCAGGTAACAGAGCATGGATGCATGGACACAAACTGACTCACACTTAAATAAATGCTTTGCAGTGAATGGTCCATTGTGCCTAATTTGGTGCGGGAACAGCAGGAGAAAGTATATTGGAAAAAAAGATTTTTCTAGCATTAGTTCCTTCCATAACTAAATATTTGCTATATCATAAATAAGTGGAAAAACTCTGTAGTGTGTGAATCTGGCATGGAGAGGGATTCATAACTGTACAGCACATCCTTAAATCTTAAAAGTTAGCAGTGCCTGAAGTGTGGTAACGTCCACAATTAAGGCCATTTCCTTTCAATTCTCCACAGTACCTCATTCGAGACGTTGGGAACAATACTCTTGCTCCGGTCCCTCTTGCCTCCGTGACCCCTCTGGCCCTGGTTGTCTGATGTAATAGTGTGTTGGGCAGCAGCCAAGATTTCGTCCAGTTTATCTAAGACAAAGACCCAGCAGGGGCAGGGCAAGAGAGGGATGTAGAGCGAAAGTGAGAAGGAACATCAAATAAAGGCAGAAACATAAAAAGAAGGATTCCCTCCCGTCCCCTCGGGGCTTAAAACACTCTTTCAAAGTTCTACAAGAGCGGTGAGCGTGATTTCTTTACTTAGTGCCATCTGATAGACGGTCCTCTTCTTGTCAGGACCAAGAGACGAGTCGTATTCTGTGAAAGAAGAGTGAGAAAGAGCTTCAAACAGGCTAACTTTTAATTAAAGCTAAGGGGCTGATTGGGGAGCGATGATCACGTCTGATATTCACCTGCTTTCTTTTTCCATGAAGACGCAGCTGACATAATTTGGGAGACAGAAATGATGTGTCACTTCGAGTGCAGTGTGGTCACGTGTATTAGGTGGATTGCATGGTGGATGAGATACATACTCAGACACAGGTGATGGTGTGAATGCTTATGTGATGAGAGGAATGGGGACGGGGGACGGAAATGATAATGAGATCACACAAATCCGTGATCCTCCCACCTTTGTCCACTGTGCGCAGAAGCATATTTGGTTAAAAAAAAAAAAAAAACATTTTTTGACCAGAGAGCAGTATCATTTCACAACAATTGTAATTATAACCTTTCTTCAAATGCATCAAGAGAAGACAAAACTTGTGGGGACCATCGTCTTTTTACATGCTCTTTCAAGACAAACCCTCTTCTTAATTATTTGCCTTCACTACTTTGTCCCATCGATCGCCTTACCCATGTCTTCCAGCTCTGATGTCATTGACTTGGAGCGAAGGGCAATGGCGGGAGGAGTCAGTCTTTTAGTCTGCTGCGGGGCTGCCAAGGGAAGCCAGCCAAATGCAGACTTAATGTTCAGTCATCTCGCGTAAACACGCAGTCAACATTTACAACCACATTGCAAAAGGCCTCAGAAAGGTGAAGTGAACACGCAATGAGCGCTATCTTCAAGCCGTAACCATGCGTTGGAAACGATGCGCGTGGAAAGTTTGACTCGTACCTCTCTTCCGAGCGGTGTCCTCCAGTTCAGGGTTTCGAGCGACCATCACGACTTTCACCATGAGGCTGTTGCCGCCCTGCCGGATCATGTTGACCACCTGCCTGTGGCCGACCTTCACCACATCCTGGCCGTTAACCTTACGGACACAACGGCACAGATGGGCCGAATGAAGAATGAGCTGATCCACTTTAATGGCAAAGAATAAATCACACGGTGGGTACAAGCGAGTGGAACTGAAACGCACTTTACAGAAGTACTCGTTGTCTTTATGTGATGCAGCTTTCCCAAGTCTGGAATATGTTGTTTTCAAAGATTTTTCTTCAAACATCCACCATTTTTCAGGGTTTTTGGACGAGCGCAGAAAGAAATTCAGTAAAACACAGTCACAAAGGCTTGGGCAGCTACACCAGTGACTCATGTTAAGTTGAATATTAATTAGCAGATCTGTCAGCGTTAATACTGGTTTGACACTGACAATTTTTATAACTGAATTTCTTTAATCAAATAACCCCCCCAAAAAATCTGCTGCCTGAACATGGATGTAAATATGAAAGGGCAACGGTCGTCAAGCTGGATGCTTTGAATGACGGCCCACGTTGCGAGTAAAAATAACTTTCTCAGTTAGGGGTTTTCTAAGGTGGGGTTGGCATAAATGTATTTTTTTTAATCACAATCGTTTTTGTCTTATTTCACAGAAATCCAATCTGCGCCCATAATCCTAGAAGCTACTTCATTTTCTGATGTGTCCACTTTTCTTCAGGCTCTTTTTGGTTTCCTACATTTCCCACAATAACGTCATTCATTCACATCCATTACTGAGAATACAACTTTCATTTAAAGTCAATTTAGTTTGAGGATTAGTCCAAAATGCATCTTGTCCATATACCTCGATGAGGAAATCTCCCATCCTCAGGCCGGCCCTCCAGGCCACCCCCCCCTCATCGACAGACTCCAGGTACTGCAGCGCGGGGAACGCTGGCGTTGGAGTGAACTCTTCTATGGGAGTCTGAGCTGCAGAGGACCGAAGATGACAAAAGAATGAGCATGAATGGACACAGATAAGAAGAAGAAGCATCTGAAAATGAAGAAGAACTACGGGGAAATAAAAAGAGGGAAAAAAGCATGTGAAATTCATAAAGGCAGAAAACATGATGTGCTGTAGATGTGGCTGAAGAGGCTCACCTTTGGCTCCTCTGAGCACAAAACCAAAGCCCTCATTGTCTTTCTTCTGTAGGAGCACGGTCTTCTCCTTAATGATGTAGTCACTTAGACAGAGTAAAGTAGTAAAGAGGAAAGGAGAAGAACGTTGAGAGAGACAGGGAGAAAAAGACAGATAATAGAAGGGAAACAGAGCTAGATGACTTCTATGGCAACATAGCGGAGTTCTTGTCATGCAAATAAAACATTTAGTGAATGAAAACAGTCACACTGCATCACGTCACGATATCACGCTGCAGCAAAAGAGGTTGGCTTGAGAATGTCATACAAAAAGGTGCTGTTGCACAAAGGGGTTGATGTCAGGGATGCAGTTAGTGTCACAATGGGAGGAAGTGTAAATGAGATGAAATTCCCCACTACGCACTAATCCGGCTAGAGCTGAGGAGCACCGCGCTCGGAGGGGACGGCGCCTTAGAAAAACGCACACACACACACACACACACACTTTGCGATAACGGGCAACTTCCAAATGCACCTAAATTGCTGCATTGGCTTTTAGTGTCTCTGGCAGCTTTACGGATACTGCTTTGTTTTACCGACTACTGGTCACACATTCCACATCAAACCACGGACCACGGGGCTATTGGACAGGCCTCTGATCCTCTTGCAGAAATGATCACAGATCTGAAGCGATCTGGAGCAGCTGTTTGAGCGAGCGCCTTTCGTTATTCTATCCCCGTCTTTTCTAGCCGAGTCGCTTTATGGCCCTTTCTATATAATAAAGTACTTGTTTTGAACGGACTGCACGCTGCCACACACAGCCACATCTCCCGACATCTCAATCCACCCCGGGTTGCGTTAGAGAGAGCAGAGCTGTATGATATAGGAGGAATTCCAGATATTTCTTTCCCAGGCAACTGATTTTAGTGTCAGTGTTTGCTCTTCAAGCTAAACCAAACCGACACTCCAGCTGAAATCAAATCAAAGGATTTGCTTTCCTACAATTGTCTTTATTTAGAGTAATATTTGGACGCCCAATAGTGCAGTTTTTTCCTTTTGACCTTCCACCTTTTAAATAATTTTGGGGTGAATTGTGTTTGTGTTCACACGTCAACCTTCGTGAGAAGTAGGGAACACGAATAGTGTTTTGCAGCCGTGAATTGTCGGGCACTGCCTTCTCTTGGGCCTGAGACACATTCTAAATGACAATTATCCTCCGCTTCAGCCAAAAGACCCAAAACCGTGGTGCTAAATCCAACCACAACTGTCCAACCAACCCAAACACACCCACTTGATGGTCTTCCTGACTATCAGCACCGCGGGAGGACTTGGCCACGTAACCTTAAAAAACACAAGGTAACATTTAAAAACGTCAACATCTTGATTTATTTCTAAATTAGAACTCTGGCAGAGGACCCCAGCACTCCGACTTCATTCTGCCTCCGCCACTCGTGAAACACCCGTGTGTATACGGCTCCAAAAATAACAAAAGCAGCAATAGAATATTCCACACCGCCTCTTACAGCGCGAAGCCAGCAAGGTTTGGTTTATTCCGGAGTGTGTGTTCAGAGCATGTGATGAGGTATCGCCGATCACGGAGGTACAGCAGAGTCACGAGCGCCACGGGCCTGAAGATCCAGACTTCGACACCAAGTTGTAACTCTAGCGCCGAACAGACGATCGCTAGTTTTCCCCCCGACTGAGGTCCGTCCCTCGTGTGTTCTCCGTCGACGTTACTGTTTCGCCAACGCACGGCCGCCTTCCAGCCATCTGCTCCTCACACCTCGTTCCCTTTTCTCTCACCCTGTCCTCCACCATGCTTTCCCTCTCTGAGGATCAAAGTAGCAAAGAGTGGGCGGACCGATCCATCGGGCTCTTCATCCGTCCCTTCCTACAAAGGGGGACATGTGGCCTGCGTTGGTCCCCCAGGTGGTCTGAGTTGCGTTGCTGGCTCGCAGTAACACACCTGACTTTCTTCACATATTACAAAGCCCTTTAACTTGTACGTGCACCACATTGACCACTGTTGTCTGGGCAATTAGGGCCATAAAACCTGCAGAGTCCCCGGTTAATCCCTGTTGGCCCTGGAGGAGACACTCTCCTCTGAACGGGCTGCAATGAAGCTGTAAGCCTACTAGAGACCAGAGTTATTATGTTGCCTCCTGAGTCATCCTCTCTTCTACCCACAATTACTGAGGGGGGGAGAAAAAGCCGCTTTTTAACCATTAACTCGCTGAATGTACCTGCAGATAAGACTGGCTGTGGGTTGGTGGGGGGGGGGGGGTTGTACACAAGCGAGACACACGATGGGTGTTAATGGCACACACACGTGGTAGATAGATGGACATATACATAGATAAAGGTGCTCCCACAGCAAGCACAGCTGTGACATCTAAACGTGTACGTTTCATTCAGCGAGTATAGTCACATGCACGCGCACGCGAACGCAGATGCACACAGACGTGCGCGGGAATGAGTGGCACCTCAAAATTAGAACTCGAAAGCAACTGACGGATCGCCCGCTTTCCACTTATTGACACATTTGCTTTCATCCTTCCGCTCGGACAAAAAAATTGCCTCCCGATGGTCACGCTGGGAAGCATCAATGTTAACATGGGACGTGACGACACCATTCTTAAATTCTGAGCCGTCCCGGTGAATGAAAACAGATGTGCTAAAATGAAATGCCGACTCAAAGGGAATGAAATACACCCACGCCGTCTGACGGAAAGCATCGATACGTGCTCCCCTTTCATGCACTAACGCACACGCACGCATCATTCACAGGCACGGAAACAAACGGGCTGCACGGACTCCATTCAACGTCCCCTTCCGTACCACGGATATTCACGCACGAGGGAAAAATACACGTTTTAGACGCACGCACACACACGCACACACGCTGACTGGAAGACGCACACGCACAGAATACACAGCTTATCAGTCCATCTTTGAAAAAGCACGACCTCTCAATAGCATCATCTACCTCTCCCCTCTCTCCATTGTCCTCTCCTCACTTCCATAGCCAGCCAATGAATGAGGAAACAGCCGCTACCTGTAAATGAACCACACGCTCCTGTTTCTGGGGCCCAGTGACGGCCACGAAGAAGAGAGGGAGAGAGAGAGATCTCTCTCTTTGCAACCCCCCATTGCCATGTCTCCCCCCCCCCCCCCCTCCACCTCCCTACCCCTCTCTTGCGCGCGCGCTCTCTCAACCTCCTCCCTCCTCCCTCCTCAGATCCTCCATCCTCCCGGTGTTCCAGCGAGAGCTCGGCCGGAGAGCACCGCGAGAGTGGAGGAGAAGAGGGAGGGAGGGAGAAGAGAATGAGAGAACGGCGTGATGGCCTCTGCACCCCGCGTACTTCAGACCAGAGGAAGACGGTGTGAATGGAAAGAGAGAGAAAACCCGAACGATTATCCCGACAGGGAGCGGCTGTGTGGAGCGTGTGCTCTGGTTGCATGGAGGAAGAGGGTTTGGCTGCAGAAAGGGGAGACGGATGGGGGTGTATTTGCAGCGTGGGCATGCGGGAGGGGGGGAGGGTATAAATGTAAGGCGACACAGAGGCGCAGCTGGAATTGCACATCGCAGATAACAGCGAACAGCTGATTCTCACCCTGGATTTACCCACACGCACATTTGCAAACTTTTGTGTGGCTCCCTCCTCTCCTCCAAAGCAGAGCTGACATCACCGCGCAGGCTGAAAAACACCCTTCCTCTCTCTACGTCTCCCTGAAATAGCATTTGACATTCTCCCAAGTGCCCAGCTGCCGTGACGGAACAATGCCCCGGATCACCTTGCTCTTAATTGAGCGCCACTTCACCACCGCGAGTACACTTAACCAGCTCAGCACAGGTACTGTAACCCCACCGGGCTGCAGCTGCATTAGAGAGAACCCCAGGGGGTCCGTCTCACTGGCCCGAGGACCTAACCATCGCTCGGTGTCTCAGCCTCCTCGTGACTCATCAGCAGGATGATGTACATGCACACAGAGACGCGTTCAGATGCACACCAACTCCCAAACAAACACGCAGAGCTTCACAAAACACAGCTGCAGCTGCCCAGGGCTGAGAAGCACAGCCTCCCCCCCCTCCCTCCCCTCCCTCCCTACCTTTCATTATGGCATTATTGTGTTCAGTGTAAACAAGCAGCCACAGACGGGAGAGAGGGCGGCATGTGGCTGGATATATCCCAGAGACAAGCGGAGCCAAAAAGGGGGCCGAGCTGGAAAACGACATGGCTGCTCTTTGTGCTTTCAGCGCTGACGTGTTTCGCACAGCGAAACAATGGAGAAGCGGCTGCTCACGGCGAGCAGAGAAACCAGACACGTGCACCTCAAAGCGTGTCGAACAACCGGATCACCTTAAACGGCCTCACAGCCGAACCGCATCGAGTCCACCCTCATTTCAGGGTCTGTTTTCCGAGGTCATGAGGGTTTCGCGGCGACGTTTCTCACCTGGGCCCGTCGGTGCCGTCGTAGGCTCCAACGGTGACGTTACGGAAGAGCTTCCTCTTGGCTTTCTCACTGCGCGTCTCTGCAAAGGCACACGCAGGCAAAACGGACACTCGATTTAAAAACAATGGTCAATGGTTGAGGAAAAAGGATAAAAACTCCAACCAGTTTCGCGTTACCTGATCGATTGTCTTTGCCGAGAGCCGCCACCTCTTCCACGCAGTCCGATGGAAACCAGCCAGTGCGACCTTTCGCGGTTCCTTCCCAGTATCCTCCCTCGCCGACACTTAACACTGAGTCAGATGGATAAACAGATGGCGTAGAAAGATGGATATCATTTTATTTGGAAGTCGAGTCATGTGTCACAAACTCTTCCACTTGCACTCTTACATTGTACAGCCCACTGAACATCCTGTCGGTTACAGTAGTTTAAAATGATGTCCGAGGCAGGTTTTTTCTTAGATTCCCATAATTCAACCTCACCTTTGACCCTGTCGCCTTTGTTAAGCGTGAGTTCTTTGTCTCCGCCGGCAGAGTGGCCACGCGTGGCCATGTAAACCCGCCCCGGCACCGCGCTGTACATGCGCTGCATCTGACCTCCTCCACCGCCCGCCGAGGAAGCCCTACAGGGGGAGAGAGAGGGAGAGAGAGGGAGAGAGAGAGAGAGAGAGAGAGGCCCTTTCAAAACCAAGAGATAAGAATGTGTTGCACACTGTGGAAAAAACAAGTGAGACAAAGTGGGACGACATGCAGCCTGTCGGCCTGTCCTTCGTCGCGCAGTCAGCGGCTGAGTCACGCCAGCAGTAAGAATGCAAATGCAAATCGCATGTCGGACGTGTAGAAAGTGCAAACGCATGGGGAAGACGTTTGGCATTAACCGGGATTTTTTTTGGTATATTTGTAGCCACACTAGAAATGTTTGAAATGCCTTTGTGTTTAGTCCTCATGAGTCCTCAAGATGGTGAGCGTGGTCGTTATTACAGCTGTGCTCATCGTCATGGTAATCACAGCTGTACGGCCTCACGGAGCCACTGGCGAGGCTGTAGACTCTGACGTGTAATGGCTTCCCTTTTAAAACGTATTTCAGGCAGTGATGAGCTCCTCTCTTTTCTCTCCATAACACACTTCAGATTTGTGAGATTCTTGTCCCTCACATGACAAATATATTCACCACCGCTTTCCCTCCCTTCATGTGTATTTTTCCCTCCTCACCCCTGTCGTCCCCTCGGCTGCCGGTGCCTCTCCTCGGTGTCGCTTTGGCCTCCTCTGCCCCGCGATGGGGAGCGGGTGCGGGACCGCGGGCTGCTGGAGCTCCTCATGGCGATGGAGGCCCTTCGTTGGCCCTGCAGGAACACACAAGTCCCACACGGACGGCAAGTCAAAGCTGATCCCGCGACACACCTAAAGACACCAGCAAAGCTTGTCTATCATCACAAGATCAGCAGATCAGAGCATCCGCCCAACGGTCCTCAGTACCTGTCCCGGGGGGGGATTGGTCGCAGCCTTGTTGGCCGGGGCCAGGGGGTCAGACTGGGTCATGGAGTTATCGCTGTTAGCGCGCAGCAGGGGGTGGGCATGAAGTGAGGGGAGAGGCAGCGTGTGGGCGCTCTCTTTTCGCTTGGGTACATACTTTGGCGATTCCAAAAAGGGCACTGGAGATGGGAGGGGTGAAGGTCAACGGGTGAGGGGGTCAGAGGTGGCGAGTGAGAAGGAGTGAGGGAGGGCAGCGGGGGGGGGTTTGATGTGACGGGATGAAGCGGAGGGAGGAACCAGGTAGATCGTTAGGGGCAAAGCGGGAGATCGTAAAGGCAAAACACACTGTAATTTCTGAAAGGTTCAAAGAGAATCAGGTGTGGAAGCGCAACACCGGACCGCCGCCTCAGACGGGAGCGTTCGGCGCCATCGCTTACCTACGTCGGCGTCCTTGTGGTTTTTGATGATTTCCCCGAGTTCAAAGTGACCGGACAAAACAGCCAGCTGCGAACGCAAACAAAACCAACATCTCATTAGTTTAGCTACTTAACTATTGATCATCCATTGCTGTTGTGTGTTGTGACACAACTGTTGTTCTGGTTTTGACTGACAGTCGGACCCCTTTACCTGAAAGGGGGTCTGACCCAGCTTGTTCTTTGCCTCCTTGTTTGCTCCCCTGTACAGCAGGACGCGCACACAGCTCTCCTGGTTGTTCGGAGAAGGAAAGCGATGCGTTAACACCTTCATTTGAGGACATCAATCGTAACTATGGCAATAATAGTTTCACGTCAGGGGATTTGTCTCCGTACTTGCCTTGTTGTACAGGGCAGAGATGTGAAGCGCCGTGTTCCCTGAGGCATTTAGAGAGGAGGTTTCCGCCCCGTAAAACAACAGATGCTCCAAGTGCTGCGCAAAACCGTTCTGGCAGGCCTTTATTAAGCCGAATTAAAAGGTACAGAAAGGGACGAGTTAAAACGATGAGGGTGATTTCATTAATGAGAGTTTCGGCGGAATGCAATTAGGCAGAAACGGAGCGACGAAATCTATTTCAAAAGAGAAACATGCAGGATTGAAAGAAGGTAATGTCCACAATCCATATTTAGACCCGTAATTACTCTTACGTAAAATGCCATGACAACCAGCTAGCAGCACAAACACCAATTTACCAGAATGTCACACGCGATGAGACACAGTGACGCGGTAAGAAAGGCCGCTTGAGTTTATCTAAATGTTCCCCTCATGCCTTTCCTCTGTGCCCTATGACATGTCCGCGGGGACGATGAGATGTCGGGATGAAGACTACCTTATGTATCTCTTCCATTCCAAACTCCTCTTCATCCCTGAGCTGTGGACAGAGGGGGAGGAAGGGAGGAAGGAAGGAGAGAGAATGGAGGCACGGGTGAGGAAGGCTGAAACGAGTGCGAGAAGACACGCCGAGAGCGAGACGGAGGGCGACGGCGAGGGACATCGAGCGCAGAGATCAGACGGGGGGGGACATGCCGGTGTCCCCGCGGGTTACCTGATGGGACTCGTCCCAGCCGTTCTCGTCCCTGGTCCCCAGCCTGGCCCTGTAGTACAGCAGGGTCTCGCAGCAGGAGGTGTCGCCCCCGGTCAGCACGGTGTGGTACAGGGGGGTCAGGCCACAGCGGTCTTTGTAGTTTGGAGACGCTCCGAGGGACAAGAGGGCCTGGCGAAGGATCACAGAGGACGAGGACAGAGTCACTTGTGGATGAAGGTGGAACGGTCCGAGGTTCTGCTGCTGACCGTTGGGCGAATGAAAGTCACGTGACGATGATGCCAGTGGCCCTAAAAGGCAAAATGCACTGTTCCCAATTGTGAGTGTAATGTTTGACGGAAAGTAACAACGTGAAACTAACCAATGGTTTCACGCCTAAAGCGTTGAGCATCTGTATAAACTTCTAACCACCTTTCTGTACAATGAACACCTGCATTTCATGCGGCATTTGCAATTTATTCACTCCTACACTCAGTTATTTGCATGTACGATGTGCATGTGACTGGCACTAAACAAGATGAATTCTTTTAATAATCATTCTATTCACTTTGTTGCACTATGAATGTTGAAAGTACAGCACTTGTTTGCACCACACATGGGACTTTAATTCAAGGTTCTCACCACGAGCGCGGCGTGATTATGGGCCCGAACAGCTTTGTGCACCGGTGTGAAGCCGTCTCTGTTCCTGAAGTCCAGATGAGCGCCACCCAGGACCAGCAGTCGGATGCCCTCCATCGGCAGGCCGGACTGCACGGCCACGCACAGCGGGGTCTCTGACCCGCCGGAGGGGAAGAGCATTTTGTATCACAAACCCCGATACAACCATTGACTTGAAATAGAAGAATAAATCCAGTCAAAGGTGTTATTTTTCACAGGGAACTCACCTCCACTGTCGGGGTCTTGAAAATTTGAATCAAGACCTTTTTCGAGGACTTTTGCCATTTTCTCTATTGCTCCAGTCTGAATGTATTCGAGGAACTTCTTCAGACTGGCCTGAGAATGGCGGAAGAGGAGAGATGAAAACGTCTGACTAGAAACGAGGAGCCCCGGCGATATTCAACAGACACGAGCAAGAAATACCTTCGTGCTGAGTTTGGAGAGCGCCTTTTCATCCAGATTCGTCTGTTTATAAACTCTGGTTTTGTACCTAAACTGAGGACCAGAAAAACAGTGAAAACTGTGACTCATCGTCATCCTGCAACGCAGCTCGGTTGGATGATGAAATGGTGGAAAAAACAAAAATAATTCTTACTTCAAAAGATGTTTTGAGAACTGAACTTAAAAAAAGTAGAGGATCTAAGTTTCTTGGGAAAAGCTTATTCAAATGTAGAGTAAGGCAGCATTGCAAATGCATTCATGTATATAACTGCATCTGCTAACCAGGTCAGTTTCCTTGTCACCATAGCAACAACTACACATCCACATAAAGCCATATATGTCATATGCTCTGACGTACATAAATAATAGCTGCGTATTTCAAGCATCCAGAGGTGTGTTTGGCCAGGAGCAAACCGGCCTCGTAGGTAATGCTGAGTTGATCTGAGAAGCAGGGAATAAACCTGCCCAGAGACCACGCACCGCCAACGCACACGCCATCACTCATGTGTCTGCGGATGCACTCATGGAGCAGCGAGATCCCGTCCTGTCCCCTGCAGCAGCAGTTCCTCATCTGGAACCTCTGCAAGAGCCCAAACACTGGGAGCCAAACGCAGAGTGCAGGACGCTTCCCGGCCCCACCCAGCGCACCAACATCTACAGCCGCTGCACCACCAGGGGGCGCTGTCAGACAGTCCTATCGCTGCGTGACAAAATCACACTGACGTCACCACAGCCCACTTCCCTAAACTGGAGGAATGTAACACGATTGGGTGGTTACGTAAAGAGCAGAATGCAATTAAGTCAGCGGATGTAACATTTGTCGTGGTGAACACGGGAATTCTAATAAAACAGAGTAATTTGTCTGCAATTGCATCAAACAAGAGACGGATGAAAGATGCACACGAGGATGCTGTTGTTCAGAAGTCTCCAAAACAGCATTTATATTCCGAGGGGAATACAATTGAACAGTATCATTTAGGGGATGTTTTTGCTTCGTGGATACTTGAACACACAACCCCAGTTAATGTCAAATCCCGTATGGTCCCACTACTCCCCCCTCCATACCTCCAGGTAGGGCACCCCTTTCTCAAAGGTCTGCGAGTAGTCTCGCAGGAGCCGCTCCTCCTCCAGGAACTTGGCGTCCCGTCCGTCTCCAGCCGGCTGGAAGAGGCCGTAGTTGTAGACGTCCCACAGCGACTCGCTGAGGGAGGAGATGATCTCCTGCTTGGCGCTCCACACCATGCAGTCCTGGTCGAACTGGAGGCACCTCTGAAGAGCAGAGAGGTCAGCTAATGCGTCTCAGCGTACATTTGCAGTAAATGCATGATCAATGGGAAAAATTTGGGTCTGGGCAATAAAACAAAAGGAGGCTCGGCGCTAAAATGCCTTTCAGTCCACAGACGTGTCAATGTATTTCAGGCAGGAACACGTTCTTTGAGACATTAGTCAAGACTTCACAGGAGTCCCTATATTTAGTCAGCTTGGTTTAATGGCGAGCCACTGGAATTTGATCATTGCTGATTAATAATGTAGCATGACTGTTTTAACGTCAGTTGGGGAATGATGGATGCATGAGAATGTGACATGTGCAGACTATAAACGCATGACTCTAAATAATGAATCGTCTGTCAAATCCATTGAAACTCAATGACTTATGCTGTCCTTATATCCCGATATGTGGCGGCGGCGGCGGCACATATCGGGGGAGTAGAGAGGGTGTGCCGGGAACCGTAAGGTCGGCGGTTTCGAACCCTGGCTGCTGTGTCCCTGAGCAAGACACCCGACCCCCTAATTGCTCGCCGGGCAAAATGTAAACCATGGGTTGAAAATACAATGTCGCTTTGGATAAAAGCGTCAGCTAAATGTAATATGAAGGTCAATTTTAATTTCACATCCCTTTTTCTCTTCACACCCAATCCAGAATTACCGATTCTATAAAGGGATAAATATTTCCCTTTGTGCTTTTCTTTCACTTTGATCTCTCTGTACTGTCCGATTGGCCCTTCAGTCCAGAGGGGGAAAGAACAAACTAGCTTGTAGAGAGGAGCTCATCTCTTACTACACCCCTCTGGGTGTATCATGCGTATGCACTAGTCCTAACCAGATTTCACGGTGATTCGTGCAGCACTGTGCATTTCCTTATATTATTACATTCCCTTGGATTTCCACAGGGGGGGGGGGGGGGGCGTCTCTTTTGTCCTTTCCTTATTCAGGAGCCTCTGGAGCCGGAGGGCACAGGTGACCTGGAGCGGGTCCGTAACACCAGGACTTGAGAGGTCTGAGTGAGATGTTTGCATCCCTGCCATTGTTCCCTCTCAGAGAACTGTAAATAAAAATTGCACAGCTCAGCACACTTTCATGTCCCCTCCGCCGCTCCCCCTCGCTGGGCTGCACTATTTGATGGTGTAGCCAACTCTATTGGCATGGCAACCGCTTCATTAGTGAAGGCAGGCACCCGTTGCCGTGGCAATGGCTTGGTGGTCCCCGGGAGGTAAACCACACGAAGGGGGGTATGCGAGCGTATGTGTGCATGCTTATAAGTGAGTTGTGTGTTTTTCATGGATGTAAATTGTGCAGCGTTGTGTGTTGTGCGGCACAGAGAGAGTGTGTGTGTGTGAAAGAGAGAGAGAGAACAGATAATCTATAGGAGAGAAGTTCAATGTACACTGCGTATTGCTCTGACCACGTTTAGACTGAAAACTTTTATGTTCAGCTTCGCCTTCTGCTAAATTTTACCTACATTGCACGTTTAACCTCTGCCTTTAATCAAACAATTTTAATGAGATTTTAATTTATAATTTTATTTGCTGTTTTTAATTGTCTTTTAATTCCTGCATTTTATTTCGCTTTATTGTATGAAATGTTATGATGTGAAGCACTCTGAGTCTGCCTTGTGTATGAAAAGCGCTATACAAATAAAATGGCCTTGCCTTGCCTATATTAAAGTATTCATTCTGATAGATGCCTTCACATATTCGTTCCTTCCCGGCGTCACTCACTTCCCAGCTCTCCCTAAACTCATTAAAACCTATGAGATAATTAGCAATCACTGTTGTATTGAGGGCAGATATTAGCCGGCATGTGGAACAGTCGACATGTTTGGGGAGTTGGAAATGGAGAAAGGCAGATTAGGGGCGACGGGGTTACAGCGGGGCATCATTTTCACCTGGATAATGCGTGTGTTCAATTCTCACCTGGCGCCGCTGTACAGCGGAGGGAGATCCTGTAAGTGCGAGTTGACTAACTTCCGTTCTGGAAACTAATTAAGACCTCAGCTGACCCAAGGAAGATGCTCACATGGTGTTGAGCAAATATTACAAGCAAGCTACTATTGTGGCTCCAGTTCCCCTGAGTTCTGCTCAGTGACACATTTGAAACTGAGAGTGTAGATGTCAGCAAACGTGTATTTTGGGCCATATGTAGACAAAGATCAGAATCAGAAATGGTAAATGCTGTATTACCTGAACATTGCAAAGTTGCCCACGCTATTCTTCTTCTATTGCGTTTGTTGAATTACACCCATCCATCTCACTCCCTATATGCTCAAACTACTTCCTCGTTGGGAAGGAAGACTTCTCCTTCAATAGATAACTAGACTTTGTGTTTGATCGAGCGTGAGAATATATAAATATATTTTCTTCAATTTAATTTCCTCACAAATTGCAGATGTGAGGAGCTAAACTTTGCCACATGAGGCTTTCTGGTCACAACCTCATGATGGGGGTCAATTGTTTCACGTGTAGGTGTCTCTTTTTTCACAGTTGCTTGGATGAGAACGTGCACCTACTGTTTGTTTGATGTCAGGAATTCCTATGCGGAAGATCATCATGGTGGGGAAGGAGTCCTCCATGGGCGCCACTGTGGTCATGCTGCGCTCCATGAGAGCTCGTCTCTTCTGCACGGCGTTCGGGCCGGCCTGATGAGTGTGCTGATTGGCTGCGACGGGATAATTCTGTTGCTTATTGGCCGGTTGATGATGTAGCGGGCCTTGATTGGGCAGGTGTGCGATACCACGGCTGCCCAGGTGGCCCGGCCTCGGCGGCCGGTCTGCTCTCTGTCTACCGACCACGATGGCCGCCGGTTTCACCACTTCCCCGCGTTTCCCTTCCCAGGATTGCCGTCCGCCCGTCATTTCCTTCTCCTCCAGATCATCTAGCTCTCCGTTCTCCGCGTCAGGTCCGTCTTCCCCTCCCGTGTTCTCTCTCCCCTGCTCCTCTTCCTCCTCCTCATCCTCCCCATCTCTGTCATCCTGGCCGGGATAAAAGCGCTGGTTATTTCCCAGCATGCTTTGCTGTGCGGGTGTCACTGCAGAGAGGGCTGAGTGACATAGCTGTCATGGAGACAAAACACGGCTATCCCATGAGACCGGCTTCGTCCTTAGAAACATGCTGTGGGAAACAGGCAGAGAAGGACGCGAGGTCATTTAACTTCTTACACTGATAAAGTGAATTCAGCTAAATTAGTGATGTAAAAAGACACGTGCAAGAATAGAAAAATTGGCCACTGGCAATGCTAATAAGTCCACATGTGTGAATGAGCACACTGCTGGTCCACATTTTCCATTTAGCCACTGGGAATGCATCGGGGACATGCAGGCTGATGAGAGACGGGCTATATTTAAAATCTGTAAATCACAGGTTCTTTGCAGAAGAGTTTGATATGAAATGTGTCTTCACATGAGGTCAAGATCATTGCTACTTTGTGGAGATGGAGCTGACCTGCTGCATGTCTGAGGCGCAACCCAGGGCTAACCGCTAAACGTGAGCTCCTTAAAGGAAAACTCCACCCTCACGTACCTGCACAGTGTCGCACGTCACGTCCACAAGCACGACGTGCATCATCACGACCCTAAAAAGGGCCTCAGGGTGGATTTTTGCTTTAAGACTGTGTCATTGCTCCTGTGGTTTTCAGATTTGGCATAATGGCGCCTCCATAGGCCCTGTCCTGGTTTTCGGGGGTCTTGGTCTATAGGGGCTTTGCCATCATGCAGATCTGGACCACTGCCAACTTAATAATGACGGTGAATGACGCAGGGAATCTCCCGCTATCTCATTGGCAGCCGGGTGCTCTGAATATCGTATGATTTGGGAGCCTGAAATAGATGCGTATCGGGACAGATGGAACTCAATAAAATATCAAATGGAATTAGGAAGCAGACAAAATATTTCAATGACAGATCAGCAACATGCAGACACTTAAAGAGTCGATCCGTTTTTAGTAAAATAGGTAGAAAACATGGTGCTGATGAAGGTTAAAGGGCGTGATCGGCGACTATTGACTTATCAACCTCTATTGCGGTCTCTCTATTGGTGACCAGGGACATCGACAGGTGTCTGGCACAGCTTACAGTTGCCTGTAATTGACATAGATAATAATATAGAGATGAAGAAGCCAGCCAGCCAGTTTGTCAGAGACCATGTTGACATGACTGTAACAGGAGGAGAGCCTGTGTCTCTTGGCTGGTCCGTTGTGGTTGGAGATGCACATCCTTGGAACGGATAGGTGTCAGAATCAAGCCCAAGGTTTTGGCTTTGGGTTGAGGCAATATTTGTGGCTTTTGACTCCTGTGCAGCGTTTCAAATGAAAGCAAATATTTGAGAAGAGTCGAAAAAGTTTAAAATTTAAATTGCAGACATGTTTCCTGTACTGTTTTTCCTCTTGAGACCTCCCTGATTTATCCTGTGAACCCAACGCGCTGTGGACACCTTGACCCTCAGGTGTAGTAACGTTTAGGCTGAATTTGTAGGAAATATAGGGTTTTTTTAGCAAAGAGATGACCTAGATATTGCTCAGTACATCTATAAAACCCGTCTAGAGCCTGCACATATGTGCTAATATGGTTTGTTTAATGCAATGGAACGATATGCATTACAAGAACCATTTTCTAAATAGCATAATTCAGTCAGCGGTGTTGGATTGACGGCGGTAGATCGGATGCGATACGTACGCAGTGTGCGAAACACTCCAACCACGGTGTGTTTATGTCTCACTCGTCTGCTAGTTTCTGGGCAAAAGAGCAACACCAACGAGGGAAGAGATGCTGCGAGAGTGACATGACGAGATAAGTCACGCGCCGCAGAAGGAGCGGAAAGCCGAAGGAAGGAAATGGTGACCACTTGAGAATAAAGTGTCTAACCACTTATCACACAAAGTGGTTTGATTGATGACTCCCAAATGTTTTTGAGAAAGCGTGTGGCTGGCTAACTAAACTTTTATTCATGGAGATGCTGCCAGCACTGGCAGCATGTGTGAGGGTCTCGGTGCCCATCAATAGCCATGCGTGAGGTCCGCAACGGTCGGCGTTCCTGGCTCACCACGCAGCCCCCACCTGGCCGCTCCTTTGGACGTGCGATTCACAATCAGGCCGAAAACATCACTCAAGAGCCGAACAAAAGGTTTCGCAGATTGACGGCTATCATTCAAGTACACCAGGAGGGAACAGAGGAGGTTGATTTACGAACAAAGACTCATCAAATATGGAACATCGAGTCCGCGCCAGACAAGATGAGGAAGTCAAAGACGGGCGGAGAGAAGACGGGAGCCAAATAGTTGGGATGTAAAGGCGAAAGGGGGAAATGCACGGGAGGGAAACACGAAGGGAGTTGTCGTTTTGCATAAAGCAGAGTAATCACATTGAGAGGAGTAAAGGTGTGGGGGAGGGAAGGGGGGGTGGGGAGGGGGGGAGGCGGCCGTGACTGGAAGAGCAATGAGAGCGAGTGCAGGGAACTGAGCCGAGATCGGCGGAGATGTGAGGACAGCGGCGCGATGGAGGAGGGTCGCGTTCGAAGTGCAACTCGTCAGGGCGGCCTTCCCCCGTCACGGCACTCCTCCGCCCGGGCCGCCCGGCTCCGCGGCCCCCGAGCTGGTGGGTCAGCGCTTTCTTTCTCACGGGGGAGCGTCGGTGGCAGAGAGGAGGGCATTAAACTCTAGACCTTCTGCAGCTTCTCTCAGAAAAAGTCTTTGTTTCTTTATTTCATCCGTTCATTCTAAAGATTGTAAAGAGGCGACGGTGGCGCCAGATAAAAAAAAGATAAAAAGAAAAGATCCTCCTTTGATTTCTCCATTTTGTCGTACGCTTGTTCTTTTCCCCTGACCTCATGTGCTCCTGTCTCAAACCGAGGAGAGAACGGGGGACATCTGGAGATCTCAGGAGTTGGCGAGTCCGTCTCCCCGTGGGAAACGGACAGCAGCTTGACTTCTGATGATCTGAAGCCACGCGGAGGCTCACAGAGAGGATTCCAGCGGATTTGGGGGCTCACAGACAGAAAGGAAACGGAGTGAGAGGAAGATGAACAATCAGACACTGATACAATCAGGATAACGAGGACGGATTCCCTCCTTGAGCACCTGGAAGGCGAAGATGGATGCAGAGGTTTGCAGAGAGGGATCAGCGACGTCTCTCGTCTCCACTCGTCTTTGCTGAGATCTTTTCTGCACATCTTGCTTCATGCAAAGCCGCAATGATGGATTTGCCCTGAAAGGTTCCTTGTGAGCAAAACATTACGCAGCACTTTTTTAATGGGATTAGTCAAACTAATTGCAATGTGAACTTCCTTCTGTTTACACACCGCCACTAGTTTGCTGTGATATCCGGTGTTGCTGTTTGAAGTACAAAGACCTCATGGACAGTTCAACTCACATTTCATCTTTTTGTCTCTCTCTCTTCATCTCACTCGACCACTTACTCTCTCCCTATGTAGGACAGAGCATGCGTATAGATATATTTTCAGTGTATCGGTCCCCGGAAAGTAGAATTGGAGACCATCCAAGGAACAGATTGTCCCACTTTTACGTCCTGCGAAAGTGGAGCAGCCAAGTTCTGTCCTCTATATCTCCGTCTCTCTTTCATTGGGGCCTCCACCCTTCAGCCTCCTTCACACCGCCAGTGACGAGGAACACGGGATGGATGGGATGAGTCACCAAACTGTTTTATGTGAATCGCTGGCCATCAGGTCTGAGGGTGGTGCTCTGACGTAGCAGACAAAGTGGGAGGGGCTAAGCAGGGGATGGATGCCCTACCGTACACAGCATTGGATTCTCCAAAACAAACAGAAGCCTGATAGTCAATCGCATAACTTTGTGTTTATCAAGTGAAAAAATGTAAAAGGTGACCCTGCAAATCATAAATTAATAGAACGATTAAAATGATAAATACATTCAAACCAGTCAGCTCGGTCGGTGGTCTCGTGTAGCTCAAAGTGGGCTCTTTCCCCTCAGACTGGAGAGAAGTGGGTCAGGGTGAAGCGGACGCTGAGGGCCTCGCTGGGGCTAAACTTGGACGGGTGGGCTGGGAGCGTACGCCCCCCCCCCCCGCGCAACATCCCAGACGGCCCCCTTCCCGTAAATATTGTTTGATACGGTTGCTGCTTTGTCCCACAGCACAACAGGAACTCAAGTCCCCAGATCTAGTTTTGTGTTTGAACATCTATCCGTTGCTGCAATGCCGTCCGTGAGTAAAATACCTGATTTCACGCGGCGTCACTTCTCCTTCCACTCTCCTTTACGTGATATGACAGGAAGTGCGTTAAAATGTCGTTAAAAAACAAAATAAACGAGGAGGAAAGCGCCGATCCAGAGGAAAAACCTTTCAAATGAAAGCGACCATCTTTACAGTTCCTGTTCTAACTTTTTATTCGTGTCCTCGGGGCCTCAAACACAATGAAAGCAGGTCAGACAGTCGCACACACGGTGATGAGCGGCGCGGTTTCGGTGGAATTTATGGCAGATCAACAGCCGCAATCAGTCTGTCCGTCAGTGACAGTTTCACTTACCTTGCACGTCCAGTGACACAGAAGGTGACGACGAGAGACAAAAGTCAACAAGACACTGATGAAATCTGTTAGACGTGGCCGACAAAGTGAGCAGCGGGTGGACGGCTGTCAGGCCACATCACGGTCTGTCCACCTCCCATGTAATGGGGTGTAATTGGCTTTAAAGACAGGAAGACCGGTCACTCTCAGCTTTATGCTCTACGAGAACTTAGAGGGGAAAAGAGAGTGTGAAGAAACCCCTGAAATGAATCCAGTATTTGGTATCAACCTGTTTGGGGAGTATTAAATGTGCCGTTTCCATCAGAGAGATTGGGACATCTTTACAACTGCTCGGGACTCCAATCAGATTTTAATTACCTTCTTACGACACTGAATTGAGCCAAGATTCACCAGCTGGAGGGGCGTCTGACCCCGCTGGCCGCAAACAGGCCGCTCAGCAGCCGGAAGGCTGGACGGCGAGGTTAATTGCAGCCGAGGTTAACTCGTGTTTTCAGGCCGCGGGATTCTCCCCCCGCGGGTTCAAAGGCCTGCAAAATGTTTCCTTTAATCGGTGCGATCTGAAAATCTGGTCGTTCCTTTCTGAGCCATCTTTGCCAGAGTGGACTTGAAGTTTCCTCAGTTCTCCATAACGGGAGATGTGTCGCCGTTTCCATGGCTTAGAGCAATCCTCCACATGGTTCCCCTGGGGCAAATCTCCCTGTACGTGAAAAGGCTGCGGAGTTGGGGGGGGTAACAGCTCTTCCCTCCCGCTTCATCTTAATGAGCACAACAATACGACTGTCAGCGCCACAAATAACAATTACACCGTCATCGCGAATCATATTAGATGGTTTTATGTGAACGTTTTCTCTAATATGACGAAGCCACTTTAAATGTCAGGACCAAGATGGTCCAAGGTGGCGTTTCTTTGCAGTGTGGGTCCTTGGATTAAATGTTAATGTGTGTGTGTGTGTGTGTGAGAGAGAGACTGGAATGGGTTCATTGTTTTCTGTCCCAGTATAATACCCCCATGGGACTGATTTATTTTCTTGTGGGTTTTTGCACCTCTGCTTCACAGTCAGATACTTGCAGCTAATCACGTCTAACTGCACTCCTCCACAGCAGGGCGCCGTCACCGAAAATGTTCCCTCAGCACGACCTGCGATCTCCCCATACCGGACCCCCGGAGGATTACTGGGCCACACAGCATCCTCACATCTGCTACCGCCACCGGCCCGCGTGTCGGGGGACGGGGGGGGGAATAAGTGGGCAGTAATGGTGGAATGAAGAGGGACACACGCACATCTCCACTGACGAAGCCGGCTTCCTGGCCAATTCAGTCTAATTCATGTCTTTATTCCTTGCCCTCCATTGTCAGAGTCTTTTGGGATTACACACACATTACTATAATCACTCAGTGGTCCCTCTTTGATAACGTCGCCTGATGTTCTTTGTTCAAACGTGATCAATTGTTCCGTGTTTCTTAGGAAGCCATTAATCTCGGTGTGCCCACTGCTTTAAATTGCCTGCCTTCCTTTCCTCCCTTTTCCAAATGAATTCCCGCAGGTTCACTTCGCCAATATAAAGATAAACTTCTAAAGCCAGCAATGCTTGTTGTGCATTACTGTGCGGGGAAGGTCTTAGGAGGCTGTGCAAAGTCAATTATGTTGCATCTAAAGGATGAAAGTGCTGAGAGCTGAGCTGTGTGTGTGTGTGTGTGTGTGTGTGTGTGTTATCTGTGGTCCTTAGAGGGTTTCCACCTTTCCACCAGCCGACACCATTAATACTGCCAACAGGTAACAATTTTGACAAGTCGCAGCTATACAGAGCTGTGTGAAATGTGGGTGTTGGTGAGCTCTCGTTTGGTCCCATTAAATGTAATACAAGGCTGCAAGTGTCTGGAGGGTAATAATACAGGAAGGACATAAATGGCACCGGCTTTATATGAGCACAATTAGCGTTGTTGCTTTCTCCTCACTCACAGGGGGATTTATACCTTATTCCGTCCACATCAATTATACCCAAATTAATTCGGTGCATATATCACTGTGAAACAACAGTTCATAACCTACTTTGTAACTGTGTTGTAAATACTGCAACGCACACTTCTGATTCATAATGAACATGGAATAAACTAGATGAAACACGGTCTTTAGTCACAGGGGATTCAATTATGGCCACAAAGCAGGATTCAGCAAGAAAGGCTCATTTAGTGAAAGGAACTTTTCTACCATCACTGCCCTCCAGTAAAGAACGGCAACGAGGCAACGAGCCTCACAGTTAGTGTCCCCTAGATGTGTCTTTTTATAATAACAAATGACCTCCGACTGATGTACATAACCTGCATTACAGCTGCTTCATGCTGAGCGTGAAGCACAGCAGCAGAGCTCTCTCATCAGACTTAAAGCGGTTCTGATATGAGAAATTACTCTTTTCTTTGAAGGCTTGGTTGTTCTTTCGCTGTCCCACTTTGCTCTTCTCGCCCAGCTACATAATACTGAGGAATCAGACCTCACAGGACAGTTACATTTCTGCAGTTTGGGTATTTTGTACACTTTGCATTCATTGGTTTAGAGATACACACGTTAGTAGAGTATGAATAAACAAGAGAAAGTAAATACCTTTTAGTCTGCAGTTCAGGCTGTGCGGCTCTGCGTTGTATCCGCAGTGACCTCCTTCACAAGAAAGAGAGTAAAAAAAAGAGCCGGGATGAGAAAAATCAGTGAAAGATCCAGATGATGAAATATAGATGAGGAGAAACACGGAAAAGTGATTTGCTTTTTATCTTCAGCAAAATCACATTTTCACGGCTGCTGGTCTTTAAATGTGCATCGCTGTGAGGCAGCCGAGCCATTGCATTGTGCAGCCCGTCTTTCACACACACACACACACACACACATTTCACCTACTCTGTGCCCAGCAGAGAGCGCTCTCTCTCTCTCTCTCTCTCTCTCACTTCAATCTAAGATCTCTCTCCTTCTCCTCTTTATACTTTCACTGTGTTACATCTGTCAGTCCTTCTTTAAGCCTTTAAAAAAATATATATCCGGGTTCTCTTCTATTAAATTATCCCCATGTTTCTCCTCATCTCCGCAGATGTTACCTGTATTCAAGAAACTCGGCTACATCCCTGATTGATCTGTCAGATGAATTAGAACTGGAAAACAAGGGCGAGGGTGTGTAATAATTATTAAAGATATGAATGTACCAGAGAATGTGTTTAGACAGTTTGAAGTATTTGTCATTTGGGCCATACAAAATACAAAACGAAATGAATAGTATCATGTATAGGAATTTGTTTGTATTGATTCTTATGCTCATTGAATTGTTAGAATCTTTACACAGGAGGGTAATACAACAGAAAGTGTTTTCCTAAAGCCGACTGGGGAACATTTGCTGCATGACGCCATGCGATGACGTTTGGTTTGAGGCTGATGTGGACAGCTGCGCGAGGGTTGTATCCTCGCTGATTTCTTCTTCTGCATCAACATGCATTCCAAGGAGTTAAATAGGGAAAAAGAAAATGGTGCCAAGGTGGAATGAGGAATGTAGAGATGCTATTGGAGAAAGAAATCGTGCCTTCAGAAAAGTAAGAGGCCTTCTGACACAAGATAATGTGATTGACTATCAAAGAAAGAGAGCGATAGTACCGGGAATTAATAAGTCATCCAAGAGGAACGCGTGGAGGCCGTTCTGTGTTTCTATTGGAGGAGAATCAGAGTTGCGTGATGTTTGGGCCATGATCAAAAACGGAGTGGGAAAAGGAATTCAGTTAGAATCCCAGTTTTGGTAGACGGAAAATATTGGGCAATCACAAATAAGGAGAAAGCTGCTGTAGGGGAACATGTTTGTCAGTGTTCACAGCTGGAGTCATTTCTATGAACTGCACATGCAGAGACAAAAGGACGTTTTAGCAGAACATACGGAAGTTAAAACGAAAAAGGACAATGAAGGTTCACCTCTTTATATGGAGTTCTCAATCCAGGACCTGGACTTTCCTCACAACAGATGGTTTGAAAGACAATGGGAGTGGGCACGTGGGGTCAAAGGTCTCCATAACAGAATTCAGTAGGTCTATATGCAAAAGATTTAATGGCAGACTGTTTCTATTCGCCGCTGAAGTTACGGCAATAATCTTGGGGCTGCAGTGGGTGGAAGAGGTCAGGCCTGAGAGAGGTCATCTGCTCAGACTCTGCTGCAGTATTAAACAAATCAACACGAGAGGATTCAGTGCTGGAAATATCACTGTTAATGTCAAGGCTCCAAAGACTTAGAGAGTTTTCATATGTGCTGGGTTCCTGCACACGAACGTGTGGAGGAAATGAGAGAGCCGACCGGATCTCCAAGGAAACGCTTAAGGTCAAAGAAGAGGAAATATACAGAATATTCCTTTCGGGTCACACATGACTGAACTCCGTTTTTAATGGGAACAGATAAGTGTGATATTTGCAACGAGACTGAAGACGTGGAGCGTGTTATGATGAGGTGCCGAAAATAAAACACTGAAAGAAACATGTTGAAGGTTAAAACCTGCCAGCTGGGTAGAAGGTGGAGTGTGGAGGGAGTTCTGGATCAGGGGGGGAGGGGAGAGACAGAGTGCTTTAGGGCACTGCTGCAATTTGTCAAAGGAACGGGACCAGGCCGGAGGATCTAGTTGGTAATATGAACAGGACCCTGAATCTGCGCACTCCGGTACAGTAGGTGGCGGTATGAACATAGACACGTTGGTTGTGATCCGCCATTCCAACCGAAAGATGAAGACGACGCTTTATATCGTCGACTATCGCGTTGAATTATTACTGCTGTAAAGTGTTGGCTTAAAAAAAAAAGTATTTTTCTGTTTTTGCATTGTGATCATTTCAGTTCATTGTTAATAAATGATTTCTTTCTGTATTCCTCCATTACTCGTCAAGAAATATAAAAAAAAATAAGTCCTAATTTGTTATGTTGGAAAATGTTATGGAATGTCCAAAAAAAATTTGAATAAAGTTTAAAAAGTATTCGGACAAAAAATGTTTTTAAAAAAAGTCAAATATTATGTTGACAAAATGTAATTTCTCCGAAAAGTCTCACTTGAGATCAACTGGCAAGCAGATGGTCAATCTAGGTTCCTTAAAGCACAATATAACCAACTTTAGCCAAACTAATTGTTGGGTCGCAGTAACAAACCATGACACCTGCTGATTACACCAGAGAATGATTCACAGCACGAGAAACAAAGACACTCAGTCGGCTGCAGGTTTTACTTGCTGCACGTCTCCCTGGCAGGTAAGATCCACTGAAACCACACTGGGATTGCTGGAGTTAAAAGTTGTTTTATATAACAAGATATTAATCAAGGATTGTCTCTAATATAAATAATAAAAGTGATTCCCCTCAAGGATCAGGTTGATTGGTGATTGGTGACTAAATTGTGTGAATGTGAGTGTGAATGGTTGTATGTCTCTGTGTAGCCCTGCGATTGGTTGGCGACCAGTCCAGGTTGGACCCCGTCTCTCGCCTGAAGTTGGCTGGGATGGACTCCAGCCCCCCCGCGACCCTTTGTGCAGGACAAGCGGTTTGGCGATGGATGGATGGATTCCCCTCAAACTCAGTTTGGCCGAATAAAATAAAGATCACTACGCACAGAATGTTTTGCTTCATTAACAGAACATATAATATAATTCACTTTCAACAAAAAAAGTGGATCATTGTTGCAATGCATTAAGCATTCCAAGTATTGTTCCTCGAATCTTTATTGAACTTATTTAATATTTTTTATTACTGTATTTATCGTGTTGATTATGTGGAGTATTCTGTAAAATGTAAATAGCCATTAGAAGTAAAAAAACGTTAAACAATTATAATTTATTAATTATAAAGTTGATTTTTGTTTATAAAAATGTATTTTCTTCCCCGATAATTTCTGTGACATTGCACGTAACAAACAATAGTTTATGGAGTTTTGTCATTAGATCCTCCGGGAACAGAAAAAACATTTACGGCAAACACATGGTCGAGAAGATACTCATTCAACGTTACGTGGAATCTGCATGAGGAGGAGGAGGAGGAGGAGGAAGAGGAGGGTCCATGTAGATAAATACCCAACTGAGATCGACCACTTTTCGCACTCGACGCTATTGAAATGCAGAGCAGCAAAGGGACAAACACACAAGACAGACAACACCAAAGTCCAAAGAATAGTGATCGACGCTTGAATCCCACGAAAGAAGAAAAGACAAACCGAAAGTAAAAACTTTCCTCCGCTGGTTGGTCCCGGTGACGTCACCCGCTGCTCCGCTTCCAGGGGACGAGGGAAGCTGCAGATAAAGTTGGACCCGCACAGCACAGAAACTGGTTGGAGCTTTAACTCCATTTGCGTGGTGTGAAGCCTCGTTGTCGCCGATCTGCACCCTGGTCCGGATCCCGAAGCAGGAATACGGCCGCTGTTCTCCTGGCAGGTAGCAAGGGATACCTGCACTCAACTCTCTTCCCTTGCACAGACCACACACAAGGCATTTAAAGGGGCAATGAACCTATGCCCATCCTGCTCTGCTGAGCAGGGCATGGGTTCGAATCCTGTTCAGTTCAATCTTTTAATATATATTTTCTTAACTGTATTATTTTGTACATGGTTGTGGTAAACGTCACGCAATGGCCGTCAAAAAACAACCTTTTTTATCCAAATGTGTCGATATAGCGTTGCACATGTTTGGAAGTGTTGTACGACCCGGCCAAGGTAACCAGTTGTTTCAGATCCACTTCACCAAAAGGTTTCCGCCATAGTGATCTACGTCGACGTAATGGATAGATTATGGCAAGGGTGATGTTCCATCAGTCTCCGTCGCATACAATTGGTGTTTTGATGTTTTGCCCAACGGGGTTCGAATCCAGGTCGTAACGATCTTTCCTTTACTATATTTTCTTAAATAAATGTATTCATACGTGGCTGTGATGTTGTGCTCACTTATACAATCATAAACGCTGCAATGGATATGTGATGCTTTTTGAAGATTTTCAGCAATATTACATTACATGTCATTTAGCTGACGCTTTTATCCAAAGCGACTTACAATAAGTGCATTCAACCATAGGGTACAAACTCAGGAACAAGAAACAAGAAAGTGCAATTTCCTCAAATAAGCCAATTCACAATTTGCTATAGATGAGTGACGTTACAAGTACAATTTAAGTGCTACAATTTGTTAGTCTTTAGTCGAGGTAGAGTCTGAAGAGGTGTGTCTTTAGTTTGTGGCGGAAGATGTGAAGGCTCTCTGCGGTCCTGGTGTCTTCAGAGAGCTCGTTCCACCATTTCAGAGCAAGGACAGCAAAGAGTCGCAATCTAGTCGAGTGTTTTGCTCTCAGTGAGGGAGGGACGAGTAGTTTTGCAGATGCAGAGCGGAGAGTACGGATCGGGATGTAGGATTTGACCATGTCCTGGATGTAAGCTGGACCCGATCCATTCACAGCATGGGACGTGGGCACCAATGTTTTGAACTGGATGCGGGTGGCCACCGGTAGCCAGTGAAGGGAGCGAAGGAGTGGAGTAGTGTGGGAGAATTTAGGTTAAAGACCAGTCGAGCTGCTGCATATGTTTGTGAATGTGTGACGAATCAGGGAACTGAGGTGGACACATCTGCTGCTGTGGAGTAAACACAAACACGCACGCGTAGGGAAACCAGTAGGTGTAAAAACCAGTAGGGGAGTAACACCGGCCGCACACCGGGACAACCGCTCCATGTTCTCTTGGCAGGTAGCAAGGGATACCTGCACCCAACTCCCTTCCCTTGCACAGACCAGACACAGGGCATTTAAAAGGCACAATGAACCTATGCCCATCCTGCTGTGCTGAGCACTGGTGGGCAACAGCTGGCTCCAACTACCAATTCACCCCGCACACTAACGCTGTTAATATCCTACAATGGAATGATAGGAGTCTAATCGCCAACGTGCAAGAATTATTTGTGGCTGATCTGAAAGATGTGCCAGACGTTATCTGTATTTATCAGGATCGTCGGGATCCGAACCTGGGTCTCCGTGTAGCAGGCAGATTGCCTACCACTGTGCTACAAGTGATGATGACTCCGATGCAGAGACAGCGAGAGAGGAGTTGCTGGTAGGGAATCAAAAAAGGTTTCTTTATTTGAATAGAGCAGAGGATTCCAGAAGGTTTGACAGCAACTCAAAAATACTTCCAGACAACTAAAAACAAAGTCTGGGCAATTAACAAGGTAACTAAGGGTGTCCAAAAAAGAGGCAACATAATATCTCAAGAACCAAAACAGGATTAACAGAGGTAAAGAATCTAGGCAGAGGTCCTCTTGGAAACTCACATGGCTAAGCTCAACGTGTCAACTTCCCAGACTCGGCAAACACAAGGAAACTCAGGTGGCCTTTTAAAGGCTAGCAAATAAGGCACAGGTGAACACAATGAAAACAATTAAGACAAAACACATGTGACAGGAATAACTGGAACACTGAGGACCCCACATGGTCCTTCAGGGTACTGCAGTCCAAAAACCCTGACAGTATTCAAGAAACTAAATCCTCGATTGGACTGTCCAATCAGGATGCATATTTCAGGATGCAGCTCTGTCAGATGTACTAGAACTAGAAAACAAGGGCAAGGGTGTGTAACATTTATTAAATATACTTAAGCATGTATACATGCTATAGGGAAATGAATGTACCAGAGAATGTGTTTTGTACTCAATCACACTCCCGTGACCACATCACCCCTGTACTCCCCATCTAACAACGGATCAAATACAAAATCCTTCTCCTCACTCACAAAGCCCTCCATAATCAGGCCCCCTTCTACCTCACCGACCTGCTCCACCTCAAGTGGTTCTTTCATCCTGTGTCACAATTAACAAAGTACTGGTTAAGTTCATTTAAGGTGAGGTTTGGTATGCTAGTCCCGACAGCAACTTCCTCAACATGACACAAAACAGACGTTTAAGTGTCCGATCACACTCCACAGCTCATCACTGCTTCTCTTCTCTCCGACAGAGCAATGAGGGCAATACAACGTCTGCTGCTCCTGGCAGGTAAGATCCAGTGAAACTAAACTGGGATTGCTGGGCTTAAAAGTTCATCAGTCATTTTCAACCGCCTATCTGGGGTGAGGGTTGCAGGGGCAACAGTTCCAGCAGGGGACGGGGAATGGAGGGGTGATTCCTATAACATATGCTTTCCGCTCCGGTCCCCTCATACTGTCTTGTCCTATATGCTTTCTGGTCCCCTTCCTTGTACGGCGTTGTCCCGTGGTTTGGGCATTGTGGAGCTCCGATGGGTTTTAAAAGCTTCTCTTTACACCAAGAAGCTTGTCAGATCACTCTCCCCTTTCAGCTAAGTTGAGTCATTGAACTCCTGTCTGTGCTTCTGGCTTGTGTTTGATGATTTTGTGTATTCCTTATTATTGCTAGTCTGTAATAAATACTTATTATCCACAAATTTCCACCACACATGCCTACATTGACCCTTCATGCAAACTTTTCAAATTTTCTGCATTCACGTCTAGTCGTTTTTGACTCATAAACAAAAGTGAATCCAGAAAGAAAGAGCACTCCCTACAAAAGATTTAACTTCAACTTTGAAGCTAAACCTTCATTCAACTTTTCTGCATTCACAGGCTTCCGTGGAATTCGGGCTAAGTTGTCGAGGTCAAACGTTGTTTTGTTGTGATGCTTTGTGATCTTTTTTGACTAATTTCTAAACAAAAATAAACCCAGAAAATAAAATGAAGAGCACTACGCACAGAAGGTTTAGCTTCATTTACCGAACAAATAATATCATTTTATAAAAAGTGGATCATTTTGTCTGAAATCCCCTGTCTTTCTGTTTCGTTAAAACTCTTTAACGAAACAGAATGCAAAACCTTCTCTGTTTAGCACAGAGAAGGTTTTGCATTACCTTCTCGGTTTAGCACAGAGAAGGTTTTGCATTAGACTTGAAATGTGTCTGGCTTTAAAATTGAGCATACACACTGTAAAACAATATCTATATCAACATTAAAATATATTATTAATATATTGTACATGCACAACAAAAAAGGTACATAGAGCAACAAAAAGGGTTGAACCTGCTTCAAGGCCTTTTTCCTGAACTGTTTTCCAGAGAAAGAAACCGATGCAGGGCTGGACTCTGGTGGCCATTTCAAGTCACTGATCCAGAGAACAGTATATTAAAAAAAAAGTTCTCAGAATGTTGCTCTCTTAGAAATATGTCAACCATGGCTGTTTTCTAGTTCTCTGAATGTATTTGCATAAAACGTGTTTCAACGTTCGCGCTGTGGGCTCATCTGGGTTCATCTTCTTCTCGTAAAAAGACGACTTATGGAAATATAATAAGTACATTTAGAAAAAAGTAATACACCAAATAAATGTTTAGCTTTATAAAAAGAATTAAGCTTTTTTTTAAATATGCTTTATTATAATACCTTGGTGTGGATGGATGTGTCTGACTACAGTAAGTATGGAAAGTCCCTGTGGAACCAGAAGAAGAAGCTGAAACATCACTTTCGGGTTCGACATGGTACGGGAAATGTTTTTGCCATTTCGGCAGCTCAGCTCAGAGACGTGCATTTTGCTGACACACATCTGTGTACTAGTTAAGTTCATTTAAGGCGAGGTTTGGTATGCTACTTGGAAAGCCTTTTAGTATGGTTTAATATGGTTGCAGAGGGGAAGTATACTTAATAACCTTTGTAGCGTTTCTTGGTGGGCTCGGCTCAGCCCCGACAGCCACTTTCTCAACGTGACTCAAAACAGACGTTTAAGTGTCCGGTCTCACTCCACAGCTCATCACTGCTCCTCTGCGTCTCTACGACAGAGACATGAGGACAATACAGCGCCTGCTGCTCCTGGCAGGTAAGAGCCAGTGAAACTACACCGGGATTGCTGGGGTTAAAAATATTATTTATATACATATAAATATATATATTTATCTGGATCTTGGTGATCGAGGGAATTAATACATTTTTCAAATTTCCAAAACTAAATGACAAAAGAATCCAAAGGGTGGTGGGAATCAGTGTGTTCCGAATTCCTCTTTTTGAACTTTGTCTGCTCAGCACTAACTTAGTTTTTTCCACTCTTTCTCTTTCTCTTGACTAATATAATTATAAAAGTGATTCCCCTCAAACTCAGATTGGCCGATCATCGCGTTGCTCCAGCCAGCGTCTCCCTGATCCGCCGGGCTTCATTGATTTTTAATGCAAACTGTTCAAATTGTCTGCATCCACAGGCGGCTTCTGTGGAATTCTGGAAACTAGTCGAGTTCAAACTTTGTCTTGTTGTGACGTTTTTTAACCGGAGAGTTTGGAAAGACAGAAATGGTTCTAAAATGTGATCGTTTTTGACTAATTTCTGTCACGGTGTGGTTCACTTCCTGTCTTATTTTGTAGTTTTCTGCCACTCGTGTCCCCGGGTAACTTCACTTCCTGCCTTGTCATGTCATCCCCTGTGATCGTCTTAATAGTTTCCACCTGTGTCCAATCACCTGCACCTCCCCTAGTGTATTTAAACCATGTGTGTCTGTTGTCACTTGTCGCGTCATTGTCTTTCGTCACGCATGTTCTTGTCTCCTGTTGCGGATGGCCGTAGGTTCATGCCTGTGTGTTTTTGCCCCATGGCCTTTTGGATTTTGGATCTTGTAACTATTAAAGTCTTTTGTTTCGGAGAAGTCTGCATTTGAGTCCTGCCTTCCACCCGCACCCCTGACAAATTTCCAATAAAAAATGAACTCAGAAAATAAAATATATTTACTGAAAAAATAATTCGAATTTTATAAAAAGTGGATCATTTTGACTGAAATCCCGTCTTTCTGTTTCGTTATAGAGATTTTGCTACTTGCAAGATGTCAGCAAAAGCCACAAGGTAACCAGCGTCTCGTGTGTCCATAACAACCCTGTGTGGTTCCCCGTAGTGACACAAACCATCTCAATGTCTTTTCTTTGGTCTCCTGCCTCCTCAGTTCAAATGTCACCTCTACTAGAGAAGATCTTTTTAGGGGACTTAATTCTTCTGAGATGTGGCGTCTCCACTGACAGTGAAGTGACATGGTACGTGAACGACACGGTACAAGCGCAGAGGAACCACACCCTGAAGATTGAAGCTGCTGCACCCGAGCACTCAGGCAGGTATCAATGCCAGCATGGCAACGGGCCAAAGAGTGACGACTATCACATCAACGTCCTGGGTAAATTCACCACGCCAACACACGTATTGCATCCAGCTCCCAGTGATGTAAAAGGGAGATATAATTGTATTATTCATCTTTTAACCGTTTAGGTCATGCTCCCAAGGCCACGCTCATCATCCGGACCGGCCAGCCTGTGGTGCGAAACGGAGGCTCAGTCGTCCTGCAGCTGGACAATGAAGATGGTGTAAAGGGATGGAAGTGCTGGGTCAACACGGGAGAGCAGACAAAGACTGTTCGACTCAGGCGGAGCGATGAGAAGGCAGTGAGTATGTCCTTTCAACCCAACAGACTGGAAGTGCCAGAGAGCGTTTTCTGGTGTACTAATCAAACTCTCAGGAGCAACCAAATCCGGGTCAGAACCTCAGGTAGGCAGACTGTTATTTTAATTCTCCACTATAGAGGGACATCCTTCACTAGGAACAATCCCTGTTATATTATTCAGCTCAGTGCCGGCCTCAGAAGTCTGTTTTTGTTTTGTTTTACTTTCAGAGAAGGACGTGTGGTTGGAGATGTACCCTCTGCCCGCTGTGGTTGGAGTGAGTCTGACCCTGAAGTGCCTCGCCTGGGGCACCGATAGAGTCACCCGCGCTGTTTTCTACAAAGACAATTCAATCATTCAGGAAAGCCAGCAGACGACCTACCAGATCAATAATGTGACAGAATCTACTGGTGGAATATATAAGTGTGAGGCCACCTACACACACGTGCAACGCACCGCTGGGCCCCCGTACCAAGTGGTCTCTGATGACCAAGATGTGTTTGTCCAAGGTAAACGTAACCAACACACAGCTTTGCTCTTCTGTGGAACACTGTATGCTTTACACACCTGTTCTTCCTCCAGTAGGCGACTCCTGAAGTCTGTCCCCTCCTTTGTCCCTTTTCAGTGTCTCCCATGAGGGCGGTGCTGGACGTCTTTGGGGCCTCTAGCATGTCGTGTTCTTGCCGGCTTTGTCCCGCCGATAGCACCTATCGCTGGTACAAGACAGATAATGGCCAGGCACGGCCGCTTATTGGTTCCAAGCAACGGGTCATGACGCCAGAAGAGAGAGGCACCTACGCATGTCGATTCGTTTGGACCGAGGGGAGGTCCTTGCTCAGCAACGTCCACAGCTGTAAGCTCCTGCTAATTGAATTTGACATGGTTTCCCTTTACATATTATTACAAATACAAAGACTGATCAACAAATGATGCTAAATAAAGTCGTATTGTGAGAATTGCAGAACAGTGTTTTTGATCTTAACCCACGTGCAGAATAAATGTCTGAATCTTTGTGGCATCACATTAACTAATTGAAGAATAATACTAAACCGCTAAAAATATTGAGATATTTATCGATATAAAAATAATGACAAAAGCGGAAAATGTAACTCATATTTACCATTAAAAGATCTCAGTCACAAGCATTTCCACTCACGTATGTTTAATCTCTGTTTCAGATCAACCCAAAGGCATTCCAATTACAGCTGTAATTGTGATCGTGGTGGTTCCTCTATTAGTGTGTGTGTGTGCGGGTTTGGTTGTTGTTTACATATTTTATAAGAAGAGAAATACCACTGGTAAGTAACAATTACGTATTCTCCACTTTTTTAATAAACTGATGCCATTAAATAGCACTTCCCTTTTACTTTTAGAACAACTTTACCAGGACGTGCCAATGAGATCTCGCGACACCGCTGACGGCGGATACGATGAGCTGCAGACAGGTCCCCAAAAGGAGGCGAGCACGACGCACTGAAGAAACAAGATGTTGGCGAGGGGATCTACCACACCCTGGGGATGGAGGGGGCAGCGGGGGGGGAGTGAGCGTAGGCGGCCGTGGGGAAGGACAAGGATTGAGAATAGGAGATTGGGGAGACAGCAGAGGAACAAAAGACATAGACACATAGACACACATGAAGGACCGATGGGTCTCAGTAGCTTTTTATTGTTAGAAAAAGTTCATTTTTTCCACAAACCAGAAGAGTCCAGGAATACCTTTGTCCAATCCTTAACATCCAATTCTTTCATCAGAAGTTGACTTTGTGAAGATATAAGGGAAACAGAAGCCCGGGTCATGACCCACAATTGTGAAATTAAAGTTTTACTGGGAGTTAAGAAAAAAAAAAGCCAAATAACAAAAATGATATATACTTTATGAATGTATGTTGCATAGCACAGCAGGAAGCAGTTTGCATTTTATTTTATTTTACTGTAGTGTTCTGTAAAATGTAAATAGCCATTAGAAGTAAAAAAGAGAGAATTATGATTTATTAATTATGAAGTTGATTTTTGTTTCTGAAAATGTATTTTCTTCCCCGATGATTTCTGTGACATCGTGTGTAACAAACAATAGTTCATAGTCTGTGCTTTTGCATTCTAAACATAAAACGTCTGTATATCATTGTGCCGAGCAGATATCGGGTTAAAATGCAACTCACCTTTTGGGGAGTGAAATTTAAAATAAATCACTTTCTCTAGCAGGGACCAAGTGAATGTGTTTATCGATGGGATTGTGAGTTGATCCGTGTAGTGGTCGGATGGGTTGAGAGGAGCTTCGTCATTAGATCCTCCGGGAACAGAAGACCCCCCAAACGGTTTGGCCGGACAGGGGGGGGGGACCCCTGTTATAATCATGCTACTTACGAGTGTTGTGCCAGATTCTCAACACAGTTAGAAAAAACCTTTACGGCAAACACATGGTCGTGAACATACTCATTTAACGTTACGTGGAATCCTCATGAGATGGAGGAGGAGGAGGAGGAGGAGGAGGAAGAGGAGGGTCCATGTCTATAAATACCCAACTGAAATCGACCACTTTTCGCACTCGACGCTACTGAAATGCAGAGCAGCAAAGGGACAAACACACAAGACAGACAACACCAAAGTCCAAAGAATAGTGATCGACGCTTGAATCCCACAAAAGAAGAAAAGACAAACCGAAAGTAAAAACTTTCCTCCGCTGGTTGGTCCCGGTGACGTCACCCGCTGCTCCGCTTCCAGGGGACGAGGGAAGCTGCAGATAAAGTTGGACCCGCACAGCACAGAAACTGGTTGGAGCTTTAACTCCATTTGCGTGGTGTGAAGCCTCGTAGTCGCCGATCTGCACCCTGGTCCGGATCCCGAAGCAGGAATACGGCCACTGCTCTCCTCCGCGGAACCAGCCGCCAACAGACAGGTAGAACCGGCCGCACACCGGGACAACCGCTCCATGTTCTCTTGGCAGGTAGCAAGGGATACCTGCACCCAACTCCCTTCCCTTGCACAGACCAGACACAGGGCATTTAAAGGGTCAATGAAATATGATACGAGGGTGTGTAACGGCCCTGCGGACGGCCAATCGGCCGGGGAGCCGACGGGTGTCGGCCCGGAGGGCGGCCAGAAGTCTGGCTCGAGGGCGTCGGCTGCAGGACACAAGCCGGGCACCGGTCCAACCCCTGACAGAACCGCCCCGCCCCCCTCAAGGGCCAGATCCCAGATAGCCATAGAGTTTATAGATATCCGATGGTGGTTGACGCACACGTCTGCAACCTTGGAGTTATGTTTGACAGCAACCTCTCCTACGAACACCATGTCAAACAAATCTCTAGAACTGCCCTTTTCCACCTAAAAAACACAGCCCGTCTGAGCCCATCACTCTCCACATCTGCTGCAGAAACTCTGATCCGGGCCTTCATCACCTCTAGAATAGAATAGCATTAGTTATGGCACATCATCCCAAGATCCTAAATAAACTCCAGTACATCCGAAGCTCTGCTGCTCGACTGCTCACCCACTCACACTCCCGTGACCACATCACCCCTGTACTCCCCATCTAACAACGGATCCAATACCAAATCCTTCTCCTCACTCACAAAGCCCTCCATAATCAGGCCCCCTTCTACCTCACCGACCTGCTCCACCTCAAGTGGTTCTTTATTCCTGTGTCACAATTAACAAAGTACTGGTTAAGTTCATTTAAGGTGAGGTTTGGTATGCTAGTCCCGACAGCAACTTCCTCAACATGACACAAAACAGACGTTTAAGTGTCCGATCACACTCCACAGCTCATCACTGCTTCTCTTCTCTCCGACAGAGCAATGAGTGCAATACAACGTCTGCTGCTCCTGGCAGGTAAGATCCAGTGAAACTAAACTGGGATTGCTGGGCTTAAAAGTTCATCAGTCATTTTCAACCGCCCATCTGGGGTGAGGGTTGCAGGGGCAACAGTTCCAGCAGGGGACGGGGAATGGAGGGGTAATTCCTATAACATATGCTTTCCGCTCCGGTCCCCTCATACTGTCTTGTCCTATATGCTTTCTGGTCCCCTTCCTTGTACACCGTTGTCCCGTGGTTTGGGCATTGTGGAGCTCCGATGGGTTTTAAAAGCTTCTGTTTACACCAAGAAGCTTGTCAGATCTTCCGGCTCCTCGACTGATTTGAGTCATTGAACTCCTGTCTGTGCTTCTGGCTTGTGTTTGATGATTTTGTGTATTCTTTATTTTACTTACTGTTACTTATTATCCACTAATTTCCACCACACATGCCTGCTTGTTTTGTGCGATTTCATATACCTTTATTAACCATTTTGTAATCGATGGGGAAAAACAAATCTCATTTCACATTTGGTAGAGAACACTGAGGGGGAGGCCTTTGATGGATCTCGATGATCGAGGGAATTAATCAATTACTCAAATTTCCAAAAATTACTAAATGACAAAAGAATCCAACGGGCAGCAGAAAGCTGTTTGTTTTGAACTTTGTCTCCTCAGCACAAACTTTTCTCTTATTAGTTCTGTTGGAATAAAAGATGTCACTGTTATTGTCACTAATACAAATAATAAAAGTGATTCCCCTCAAACTCAGTTTGGCCGATCATCACGTTGCTCCAGCCAGCGTCTCCCTGCTATCCGCCGGGCTTCATTGACTCTTCATGCAAACTTTTAAAATTGTCTGCATTCACGTCGTCATTTTTGACTCATTTCATTTGACTCATGAATCCAGAAAATAAAATAAAGAGCACTTCCTACAAAATTCAACTTTTGTGCATTCAAAGGCTTCTGTGGAATTATGGAAAACAAGTCGAGGTCAACGTTGTCTTGTTGTGATGCTTTTTACCCAGAGAGGTTGGAAGGACAGACATGCTTCTAAAATGTCTTTTTAGAAACAATCTTTTTTGACAAAGATAAACCCAGAAAATAAAATAAAGAGCACTACGCCAGAAAAAATAATATAATTCACTGTCAACAAAAAAAGTGGATCATTTTTTTTGAAATCCCCTGTTCTACGTGGAAGAGACTACAGTTTGCTGTGTATTACAGATATTTATTTTAAATAATACCTATTGTGGCAGGGCGGCATGGTGGCGTGGTGGTTAGCACTGTTGCCTCACAGCAAGAAGGTCCTGGGTTCGATTCCACCCAGTGGCCTTTCTGTGTGGAGTCTGCATGTTCTCCCTGTGTCTGCGTGGGTTCTCTCCGGGTTCTCCGGCTTCCTCCCACAGTCCAAAGACATGTTACATCAGGTTAATTGGGGACTTTAAATTGCCCGTAGTTGTGTGAATGTGAGTGTGAATGGTTGTGTGTCTCTGTGTCGCCCTGCGATTGGCTGGCGACCAATCCAGGATGTACCCTGTCTATCGCCCGAAGTTGGCTGGGATGGACTCCAGCCCCCCCGCGACCCTGTGTGCAGGATAAGCGGTTTGACAATGGATGGATGGATGGATGGACCTATTGTGGCTAAAAGTTGTCGCTCTTGGCCTTTCCTTTGTCCCCTATTTATGCGTCCTATTAGTTTTAACCACACAGGGAGATCGGGTCCAGTTGTCCGACGCGCAGCCTTGCCTCCCAACAGAAAACCAGGAGCAAATTGTTGTTCACTTGCTTGTTATTTATTGTAATAAAAAACATAAAAGAAAGATAAGTTGTAAGTCATCAATTGTTTGGATGATGATGCCAATGACCATCAGGCGCAGTCACAGGGCTGAGGCCGAGGTCAAAAACCCATTTCTCATTCACACCAACATATAGGAGCGCGCGACTGACCTGTAGGGCCACACTTTAATTATAACACAAATAAAAAAATAGAAATTAGTTATTTAAATATATGGAAATGCAGCTCCTACAATACCTTTTTTTCTGTTTCGTTATAGAGTTTGTGCTCCTTGCAAGATGTCAGCAAAAGCCACAAGGTAACCAGCGTCTCGTGTGTGCAGAAGCTCCAGTATCCCTGCATTACCTCGTGCATAACAACCCTGTGTGGTTCCCCGTCGTGACACAAACCATCTCAATGTCTTTTCTTTGGTCTCCTGCCTCCTCAGTTCAAATCTCACCTCCACTAGAGAAGATCTTTTTAGGGGACTTAATTCTTCTGAGATGTGGCGTCTCCACTGACATTGAAGTGACATGGTATGTGAATGACATGGAACAAGCGCAGAGGAACCACACCCTGAAGATTGAAGCTGCTGCACCCGAGCACTCAGGCAGGTATCAATGCCAGCATGGCAACGGGCCAAAGAGTGACGACTATCACATCAACGTCCTGGGTAAATTCACCACGCCAACACACGTATTGCATCCAGCTCCCAGTGATGTAAAAGGGAGATATAATTGTATTATTCATCTTTTAACCGTTCAGATCACGCTCCCAGTGCCGCGCTCATCATCCGGACCGGCCAGCCTGTGGTGCGAAACGGAGGCTCAGTCGTCCTGCAGCTGGACAATGAAGATGGTGTAAAGGGATGGAAGTGCTGGGTCAACACGGGAGAGCAGACAAAGACTGTTCGACTCAGGCGGAGCGATGAGAAGGCAGTGAGTATGTCCTTTCAACCCAACAGACTGGAAGTGCCAGAGAGCGTTTTCTGGTGTACTAATCAAACTCTCAGGAGCAACCAAATCCGGGTCAGAACCTCAGGTAGGCAGACTGTTATTTTAATTCTCCACTATAGAGGGACATCCTTCACTAGGAACAATCCCTGTTATATTATTCAGCTCAGTGCCGGCCTCAGAAGTCTGTTTTTGTTTTGTTTTACTTTCAGAGAAGGACGTGTGGTTGGAGATGTACCCTCTGCCCGCTGTGGTTGGAGTGAGTCTGACCCTGAAGTGCCTCGCCTGGGGCACCGATAGAGTCACCCGCTTTGTTTTCTACAAAGACAATTCAATCATTCAGGAAAGCCAGCAGACGACCTACCAGATCAATAATGTGACAGAATCTACTGGTGGAAGATATAAGTGTGAGGCCACCTACACATACGTGCAACGCACCGCTGGGCCCCCGTACCAAGTGGTCTCTGATGGCCAAGATGTGTTTGTCCAAGGTAAACGTAACCAACACACAGCTTTGCTCTTCTGTGGAACACTGTATGCTTTACACACCTGTTCTTCCTCCAGTAGGCGACTGCTGAAGTCTGTCCCCTCCTTTCTCCCTTTTCAGTGTCTCCCATGAGGGCGGTGCTGGACGTCTTTGGGGCCTCTAGCATGTCGTGTTCTTGTCGGCTTTGTCCCGCCGATAGCACCTATCGCTGGTACAAGATAGATAATGGCCAGGCATGGCTGCTTATTGGTTCCAAGCAACGGGTCATGACTCCAGAAGAGAGTGGCACCTACGCATGTCGATTCGTTTGGACCAAGGGGAGGTCCTTGCTCAGCAACGTCCACAGCTGTGAGTTCCTGCAAGATACTTATCAATATCAAATTAATGACAAATGCGGAAAATTTAACTCATATTTACCATTAAAAGATCTCAGTCACAAGCATTTCCACTCACGTATGTTTCATCTCTGTTTCAGATCAACCCAAAGGCATTCCAATTACAGTTATAATTGTGATCGTGTTGGTGGTTCTTCTATTCGTGGGTGTGTGTGCGGGTGTGGTTGTTGTTTACATATTTTATAAGAAGAGAAATACCACTGGTAAGTAACAATTACATATTCTCCACTTTTTTTAATAAACTGATAGCATTAAATAGCACTTCCCTTTAACTTTTAGAACAACTTTACCAGGACGTGCCAATGAGATCTCGCGACACCGCTGACGGCGGATACGATGAGCTGCAGACAGGTCCCCAAAAGGAGGCGAGCACGACGCACTGAAGAAGGAAGAAGTTGACCCTGGGGATGGAGGGGGCAGCGGGGGGGGAGTGAGCGTAGGCGGCCGTGGGGAAGGACAAGGATTGAGAATAGGAGATTGGGGAGACAGCAGAGGAACAAAAGACATAGACACATAGACACACATGAAGGACCGATGGGTCTCAGTAGCTTTTTATTGTTAGAAAAAGTTCATTTTTTCCACAAACCAGAAGAGTCCAGGAATACCTTTGTCCAATCTTTAACATCCAATTCTTTCATCAGAAGTTGACTTTGTGAAGATATAAGGGAAACAGAAGCCCGGGTCATGACCCACAATTGTGAAATTAAAGTTTTACTGGGAGTTAAGAAAAAAAAAAGCCAAATAACAAAAATGATATATACTTTATGAATGTATGTTGCATAGCACAGCAGGAAGCAGTTTGCATTTTGCATTTTCTTTTCTTTTACTGTAGTATTCTGTAAAATGTAAATAGCCATTAGAAGTAAAAAAGAGAGAATTATGATTTATTAATTATGAAGTTGATTTTTGTTTCTGAAAATGTATTTTCTTCCCCGATGATTTCTGTGACATAGTGTGTAACAAACAATAGTTCATAGTCTGTGCTTTTGCATTCTAAACATAAAACGTCTGTATATCATTGTGCCGAGCAGATATCGGGTTAAAATGCAACTCACCTTTTGGGGAGTGAAATTTAAAATAAATCACTTTCTCTAGCAGGGACCAAGTGAATGTGTTTAACACTTTTATCTGTCTATCTATCGATGGGATTGTGAGTTGATCCGTGTAGCGGTCGGATGGGTTGAGAGGAGCTTCGTCATTAGATCTTCCGGAAACAGAAGACCCCCCAAACGGTTTGGGCGGACAGGGGGGGGGGGGACCCCTGTTATAATGATGCTACTTGCGAGTGTTGTGCCAGATTCTCAATACAGTTAGAAAAAACATTTACGGCAAACACATGGTCGTGAACATACTCATTTAATGTTACGTGGAATCTGCATGAGGAGGAGGAGGAGGAGGAGGAGGAGGGTCCATGTCTATAAATACCCAACTGAGATCGACCACTTTTCGCACTCGACGCTAATGCAATGCAGAGCAGCAAAGGGACAAACACACAAGACAGACAACACCAAAGTCCAAAGAATAGTGATCGACGCTTGAATCCCACAAAAGAAGAAAAGACAAACCGAAAGTAAAAACATTCCTCCTCTGTTTGGTCCCGGTGACGTCACCCGCTGCTCCGCTTCCAGAGGACGAGGGAAACTGCAGATAAAGTTGGACCCGCACAGCACAGAAACTGGTTGGAGCTTTAACTCCATTTGCGTGGTGTGAAGCCTCGTAGTCGCCGATCTGCACCCTGGTCCGGATCCCGAAGCAGGAATACGGCCACTGCTCTCCTCCGCGGAACCAGCCGCCAACAGACAGGTAGAACCGGCCGCACACCGGGACAACCGCTCCATGTTCTCTTGGCAGGTAGCAAGGGATACCTGCACCCAACTCCCTTCCCTTGCACAGACCAGACACAGGGCATTTAAAGGGTCAATGAAATATGATACGAGGGTGTGTAACGGCCCTGCGGACGGCCAATCGGCCGGGGAGCCGATGGGTGTCGGCCCGGAGGGCGGCCAGAAGTCTGGCTCGGGGGCGTCGGCTGCAGGACACAAGCCGGGCACCGGTCCAACCCCTGACAGAACCGCCCCGCCCCCCTCAAGGGCCAGATCCCAGATAGCCATAGAGTTTATAGATATCCGATGGTGGTTGACGCACACGTCTGCAACCTTGGAGTTATGTTTGACAGCAACCTCTCCTACGAACACCATGTCAAACAAATCTCTAGAACTGCCCTTTTCCACCTAAAAAACACAGCCCGTCTGAGCCCATCACTCTCCACATCTGCTGCAGAAACTCTGATCCGGGCCTTCATCACCTCTAGAATAGAATAGCATTAGTTATGGCACATCATCCAAGATCCTAAATAAACTCCAGTACATCCAAAGCTCTGCTGCTCGACTGCTCACCCACTCACACTCCCGTGACCACATCACCCCTGTACTCCCCATCTAACAACGGATCCAATACCAAATCCTTCTCCTCACTCACAAAGCCCTCCATAATCAGGCCCCCTTCTACCTCACCGACCTGCTCCACCTCAAGTGGTTCTTTATTCCTGTGTCACAATTAACAAAGTACTGGTTAAGTTCATTTAAGGTGAGGTTTGGTATGCTAGTCCCGACAGCAACTTCCTCAACATGACACAAAACAGACGTTTAAGTGTCCGATCACACTCCACAGCTCATCACTGCTTCTCTTCTCTCCGACAGAGCAATGAGGGCAATACAACGTCTGCTGCTCCTGGCAGGTAAGATCCAGTGAAACTAAACTGGGATTGCTGGGCTTAAAAGTTCATCAGTCATTTTCAACCGCCCATCTGGGGTGAGGGTTGCAGGGGCAACAGTTCCAGCAGGGGACGGGGAATGGAGGGGTAATTCCTATAACATATGCTTTCCGCTCCGGTCCCCTCATACTGTCTTGTCCTATATGCTTTCTGGTCCCCTTCCTTGTACACCGTTGTCCCGTGGTTTGGGCATTGTGGAGCTCCGATGGGTTTTAAAAGCTTCTGTTTACACCAAGAAGCTTGTCAGATCTTCCGGCTCCTCGACTGATTTGAGTCATTGAACTCCTGTCTGTGCTTCTGGCTTGTGTTTGATGATTTTGTGTATTCTTTATTTTACTTACTGTTACTTATTATCCACTAATTTCCACCACACATGCCTGCTTGTTTTGTGCGATTTCATATACCTTTATTAACCATTTTGTAATCGATGGGGAAAAACAAATCTCATTTCACATTTGGTAGAGAACACTGAGGGGGAGGCCTTTGATGGATCTCGATGATCGAGGGAATTAATCAATTACTCAAATTTCCAAAAATTACTAAATGACAAAAGAATCCAACGGGCAGCAGAAAGCTGTTTGTTTTGAACTTTGTCTCCTCAGCACAAACTTTTCTCTTATTAGTTCTGTTGGAATAAAAGATGTCACTGTTATTGTCACTAATACAAATAATAAAAGTGATTCCCCTCAAACTCAGTTTGGCCGATCATCACGTTGCTCCAGCCAGCGTCTCCCTGCTATCCGCCGGGCTTCATTGACTCTTCATGCAAACTTTTAAAATTGTCTGCATTCACGTCGTCATTTTTGACTCATTTCATTTGACTCATGAATCCAGAAAATAAAATAAAGAGCACTTCCTACAAAATTCAACTTTTGTGCATTCAAAGGCTTCTGTGGAATTATGGAAAACAAGTCGAGGTCAACGTTGTCTTGTTGTGATGCTTTTTACCCAGAGAGGTTGGAAGGACAGATAAGCTTCTAAAATGTCTTTTTAGAAACAATCTTTTTTGACAAAGATAAACCCAGAAAATAAAATAAAGAGCACTACACCAGAAAAAATAATATAATTCACTGTCAACAAAAAAAGTGGATCATTTTCTTTGAAATCCCCTGTTCTACGTGGAAGAGACTACAGTTTGCTGTGTATTACAGATATTTATTTTAAATAATACCTATTGTGGCTAAAGGTTGTCGCTCTTGGCCTTTCCTTTGTCCCCTATTTATGCGTCCTATTAGTTTTAACCACACAGGGAGATCGGGTCCAGTTGTCCGACGCGCAGCCTTGCCTCCCAACAGAAAACCAGGAGCAAATTGTTGTTCACTTGCTTGTTATTTATTGTAATAAAAAACATAAAAGAAAGATAAGTTGTAAGTCATCAATTGTTTGGATGATGATGCCAATGACCATCAGGCGCAGTCACAGGGCTGAGGCCGAGGTCAAAAGCCCATTTCTCCCCCAACCATGCGCCATTCACACCAACTTATAGGAGCGCGCAACTGACCTGTAGGGCCACACTTTAATTATAACACAAATAAAAAAATAGAAATTAGTTATTTAAATATATGGAAATGCAGCTCCTACAATACCTTTTTTTCTGTTTCGTTATAGAGTTTGTGCTCCTTGCAAGATGTCAGCAAAAGCCACAAGGTAACCAGCGTCTCGTGTGTGCAGAAGCTCCAGTATCCCTGCATTACCTCGTGCATAACAACCCTGTGTGGTTCCCCGTCGTGACACAAACCATCTCAATGTCTTTTCTTTGGTCTCCTGCCTCCTCAGTTCAAATCTCACCTCCACTAGAGAAGATCTTTTTAGGGGACTTAATTCTTCTGAGATGTGGCGTCTCCACTGACAGTGAAGTGACATGGTATGTGAATGACATGGAACAAGCGCAGAGGAACCACACCCTGAAGATTGAAGCTGCTGCACCCGAGCACTCAGGCAGGTATCAATGCCAGCATGGCAACGGGTCAAAGAGTGACGACTATCACATCAACGTCCTGGGTAAATTCACCACGTATAACAGACGTATTGCATCCAACTCCCAGTGATGTAAAAGGGAGATATAATTGTATTATTCATCTTTTCCCCGTTCAGGTCACGCTCCCAGTGCCGCGCTCATCATCAGGACCGGCCAGCCTGTGGTGCGGAGCGGAGGCTCAGTCGTCCTGCAGCTGGACTATGACGATGGTGTAAAGGGATGGAAGTGCTGGGTCAACACGGGAGAGCAGACAAAGACTGTTCGACTCAGGCGGAGCGATGAGAAGGCAGTGAGTGTGTCCTTTCAACCCAACAGACTGGAAGTGCCAGAGAGCGTTTTCTGGTGCACTAATCAAGAACTCAGGAGCAACCAAATCCGGGTCAGAACCTCAGGTAGGCAGACTGTTATTTTAATGCTCCACTATAGAGGGACATTCTTCACTAGGAACAATCCCTGTTATATTATTCAGCTCAGTGCCGGCCTCAGAAGTCTGTTTTTGTTTTGTTTTACTTTCAGAGAAGGACGTGTGGTTGGAGATGTACCCTCTGCCCGCTGTGGTTGGAGTGAGTCTGACCCTGAAGTGCCTCGCCTGGGGCACCGATAGAGTCACCCGCTTTGTTTTCTACAAAGACAATTCAATCATTCAGGAAAGCCAGCATCCAATCTACCAGATCAATAATGTGACAGAATCTACTGGTGGAAGATATAAGTGTGAGGCCACCTACACATACGTGCAACGCACCGCTGGGCCCCCGTACCAAGTGGTCTCTGATGGCCAAGATGTGTTTGTCCAAGGTAAACGTAACCAACACACAGCTTTGCTCTTCTGTGGAACACTGTATGCTTTACACACCTGTTCTTCCTCCAGTAGGCGACTCCTGAAGTCTGTCCCCTCCTTTGTCCCTTTTCAGTGTCTCCCATGAGGGCGGTGCTGGACGTCTTTGGGGCCTCTAGCATGTCGTGTTCTTGTCGGCTTTGTCCCGCCGATAGCACCTATCGCTGGTACAAGATAGATAATGGCCAGGCATGGCTGCTTATTGGTTCCAAGCAACGGGTCATGACTCCAGAAGAGAGTGGCTCCTACGCATGTCGATTCGTTTGGACCGAGGGGAGGTCCTTGCTCAGCAACGTCCACAGCTGTGAGTTCCTGCAAGATACTTATCAATATCAAATTAATGACAAATGCGGAAAATTTAACTCATATTTACCATTAAAAGATCTCAGTCACAAGCATTTCCACTCACGTATGTTTCATCTCTGTTTCAGATCAACCCAAAGGCATTCCAATTACAGTTATAATTGTGATCGTGTTGGTGGTTCTTCTATTCGTGGGTGTGTGTGCGGGTGTGGTTGTTGTTTACATATTTTATAAGAAGAGAAATACCACTGGTAAGTAACAATTACATATTCTCCACTTTTTTTAATAAACTGATAGCATTAAATAGCACTTCCCTTTAACTTTTAGAACAACTTTACCAGGACGTGCCAATGAGATCTCGCGACACCGCTGACGGCGGATACGATGAGCTGCAGACAGGTCCCCAAAAGGAGGCGAGCACGACGCACTGAAGAAGGAAGAAGTTGACCCTGGGGATGGAGGGGGCAGCGGGGGGGGAGTGAGCGTAGGCGGCCGTGGGGAAGGACAAGGATTGAGAATAGGAGATTGGGGAGACAGCAGAGGAACAAAAGACATAGACACATAGACACACATGAAGGACCGATGGGTCTCAGTAGCTTTTTATTGTTAGAAAAAGTTCATTTTTTCCACAAACCAGAAGAGTCCAGGAATACCTTTGTCCAATCTTTAACATCCAATTCTTTCATCAGAAGTTGACTTTGTGAAGATATAAGGGAAACAGAAGCCCGGGTCATGACCCACAATTGTGAAATTAAAGTTTTACTGGGAGTTAAGAAAAAAAAAAGCCAAATAACAAAAATGATATATACTTTATGAATGTATGTTGCATAGCACAGCAGGAAGCAGTTTGCATTTTGCATTTTCTTTTCTTTTACTGTAGTATTCTGTAAAATGTAAATAGCCATTAGAAGTAAAAAAGAGAGAATTATGATTTATTAATTATGAAGTTGATTTTTGTTTCTGAAAATGTATTTTCTTCCCCGATGATTTCTGTGACATAGTGTGTAACAAACAATAGTTCATAGTCTGTGCTTTTGCATTCTAAACATAAAACGTCTGTATATCATTGTGCCGAGCAGATATCGGGTTAAAATGCAACTCACCTTTTGGGGAGTGAAATTTAAAATAAATCACTTTCTCTAGCAGGGACCAAGTGAATGTGTTTAACACTTTTATCTGTCTATCTATCGATGGGATTGTGAGTTGATCCGTGTAGCGGTCGGATGGGTTGAGAGGAGCTTCGTCATTAGATCCTCCGGTAACAGAAGACCCCCCAAACGGTTTGGGCGGACAGGGGGGGGGGGGACCCCTGTTATAATGATGCTACTTGCGAGTGTTGTGCCAGATTCTCAATACAGTTAGAAAAAACATTTACGGCAAACACATGGTCGTGAACATACTCATTTAATGTTACGTGGAATCTGCATGAGGAGGAGGAGGAGGAGGAGGAGGAGGGTCCATGTCTATAAATACCCAACTGAGATCGACCACTTTTCGCACTCGACGCTAATGCAATGCAGAGCAGCAAAGGGACAAACACACAAGACAGACAACACCAAAGTCCAAAGAATAGTGATCGACGCTTGAATCCCACAAAAGAAGAAAAGACAAACCGAAAGTAAAAACATTCCTCCTCTGTTTGGTCCCGGTGACGTCACCCGCTGCTCCGCTTCCAGAGGACGAGGGAAACTGCAGATAAAGTTGGACCCGCACAGCACAGAAACTGGTTGGAGCTTTAACTCCATTTGCGTGGTGTGAAGCCTCGTAGTCGCCGATCTGCACCCTGGTCCGGATCCCGAAGCAGGAATACGGCCACTGCTCTCCTCCGCGGAACCAGCCGCCAACAGACAGGTAGAACCGGCCGCACACCGGGACAACCGCTCCATGTTCTCTTGGCAGGTAGCAAGGGATACCTGCACCCAACTCCCTTCCCTTGCACAGACCAGACACAGGGCATTTAAAGGGTCAATGAAATATGATACGAGGGTGTGTAACGGCCCTGCGGACGGCCAATCGGCCGGGGAGCCGATGGGTGTCGGCCCGGATGGCGGCCAGAAGTCTGGCTCGGGGGCGTCGGCTGCAGGACACAAGCCGGGCACCGGTCCAACCCCTGACAGACCCGCCCCGCCCCCCTCAAGGGCCAGATCCCAGATAGCCCTAGAGTTTATAGATATCCGATGGTGGTTGACGCACACGTCTGCAACCTTGGAGTTATGTTTGACAGCAACCTCTCCTACGAACACCATGTCAAACAAATCTCTAGAACTGCCCTTTTCCACCTAAAAAACACAGCCCGTCTGAGCCCATCACTCTCCACATCTGCTGCAGAAACTCTGATCCGGGCCTTCATCACCTCTAGAATAGAATAGCATTATTTATGGCGCATCATCCAAGATCCTAAATAAACTCCAGTACATCCAAAGCTCTGCTGCTCGACTGCACCCACTCACACTCCCGTGACCACATCACCCCTGTACTCCCCATCTAACAACGGATCCAATACCAAATCCTTCTCCTCACTCACAAAGCCCTCCATAATCAGGCCCCCTTCTACCTCACCGACCTGCTCCACCTCAAGTGGTTCTTTATTCCTGTGTCACAATTAACAAAGTACTGGTTAAGTTCATTTAAGGTGAGGTTTGGTATGCTAGTCCCGACAGCAACTTCCTCAACATGACACAAAACAGACGTTTAAGTGTCCGATCACACTCCACAGCTCATCACTGCTTCTCTTCTCTCCGACAGAGCAATGAGGGCAATACAACGTCTGCTGCTCCTGGCAGGTAAGATCCAGTGAAACTAAACTGGGATTGCTGGGCTTAAAAGTTCATCAGTCATTTTCAACCGCCCATCTGGGGTGAGGGTTGCAGGGGCAACAGTTCCAGCAGGGGACGGGGAATGGAGGGGTAATTCCTATAACATATGCTTTCCGCTCCGGTCCCCTCATACTGTCTTGTCCTATATGCTTTCTGGTCCCCTTCCTTGTACGCCGTTGTCCCGTGGTTTGGGCATTGTGGAGCTCCGATGGGTTTTAAAAGCTTCTGTTTACACCAAGAAGCTTGTCAGATCTTCCGGCTCCTCGACTGATTTGAGTCATTGAACTCCTGTCTGTGCTTCTGGCTTGTGTTTGATGATTTTGTGTATTCTTTATTTTACTTACTGTTACTTATTATCCACTAATTTCCACCACACATGCCTGCTTGTTTTGTGCGATTTCATATACCTTTATTAACCATTTTGTAATCGATGGGGAAAAACAAATCTCATTTCACATTTGGTAGAGAACACTGAGGGGGAGGCCTTTGATGGATCTCGATGATCGAGGGAATTAATCAATTACTCAAATTTCCAAAAATTACTAAATGACAAAAGAATCCAACGGGCAGCAGAAAGCTGTTTGTTTTGAACTTTGTCTCCTCAGCACAAACTTTTCTCTTATTAGTTCTGTTGGAATAAAAGATGTCACTGTTATTGTCACTAATACAAATAATAAAAGTGATTCCCCTCAAACTCAGTTTGGCCGATCATCACGTTGCTCCAGCCAGCGTCTCCCTGCTATCCGCCGGGCTTCATTGACTCTTCATGCAAACTTTTAAAATTGTCTGCATTCACGTCGTCATTTTTGACTCATTTCATTTGACTCATGAATCCAGAAAATAAAATAAAGAGCACTTCCTACAAAATTCAACTTTTGTGCATTCAAAGGCTTCTGTGGAATTATGGAAAACAAGTCGAGGTCAACGTTGTCTTGTTGTGATGCTTTTTACCCAGAGAGGTTGGAAGGACAGACATGCTTCTAAAATGTCTTTTTAGAAACAATCTTTTTTGACAAAGATAAACCCAGAAAATAAAATAAAGAGCACTACGCCAGAAAAAATAATATAATTCACTGTCAACAAAAAAAGTGGATCATTTTTTTTGAAATCCCCTGTTCTACGTGGAAGAGACTACAGTTTGCTGTGTATTACAGATATTTATTTTAAATAATACCTATTGTGGCAGGGCGGCATGGTGGCGTGGTGGTTAGCACTGTTGCCTCACAGCAAGAAGGTCCTGGGTTCGATTCCACCCAGTGGCCTTTCTGTGTGGAGTCTGCATGTTCTCCCTGTGTCTGCGTGGGTTCTCTCCGGGTTCTCCGGCTTCCTCCCAGACATGTTACATCAGGTTAATTGGGGACTTTAAATTGCCCGTAGTTGTGTGAATGTGAGTGTGAATGGTTGTGTGTCTCTGTGTCGCCCTGCGATTGGCTGGCGACCAATCCAGGATGTACCCTGTCTATCGCCCGAAGTTGGCTGGGATGGACTCCAGCCCCCCCGCGACCCTGTGTGCAGGATAAGCGGTTTGACAATGGATGGATGGATGGACCTATTGTGGCTAAAAGTTGTCGCTCTTGGCCTTTCCTTTGTCCCCTATTTATGCGTCCTATTAGTTTTAACCACACAGGGAGATCGGGTCCAGTTGTCCGACGCGCAGCCTTGCCTCCCAACAGAAAACCAGGAGCAAATTGTTGTTCACTTGCTTGTTATTTATTGTAATAAAAAACATAAAAGAAAGATAAGTTGTAAGTCATCAATTGTTTGGATGATGATGCCAATGACCATCAGGCGCAGTCACAGGGCTGAGGCCGAGGTCAAAAACCCATTTCTCATTCACACCAACATATAGGAGCGCGCGACTGACCTGTAGGGCCACACTTTAATTATAACACAAATAAAAAAATAGAAATTAGTTATTTAAATATATGGAAATGCAGCTCCTACAATACCTTTTTTTATGTTTCGTTATAGAGTTTGTGCTCCTTGCAAGATGTCAGCAAAAGCCACAAGGTAACCAGCGTCTCGTGTGTGCAGAAGCTCCAGTATCCCTGCATTACCTCGTGCATAACAACCCTGTGTGGTTCCCCGTAGTGACACAAACCATCTCAATGTCTTTTCTTTGGTCTCCTGCCTCCTCAGTTCAAATCTCACCTCCACTAGAGAAGATCTTTTTAGGGGACCTAATTCTTCTGAGATGTGGCGTCTCCACTGACAGTGAAGTGACATGGTACGTGAACGACACGGTACAAGCGCAGAGGAACCACACCCTGAAGATTGAAGCTGCTGCACCCGAGCACTCAGGCAGGTATCAATGCCAGCATGGCAACGGGTCAAAGAGTGACGACTATCCCATCAACGTCCTGGGTAAATTCACCACGTATAACACATGTATTGCATCCAACTCCCAGTGATGTAAAAGGGAGATATAATTGTATTATCCATCTTTTAACCGTTCAGGTCACGCTCCCAGTGCCGCGCTCATCATCCGGACCGGCCAGCCTGTGGTGCGGAGCGGAGGCTCAGTCGTCCTGCAGCTGGACTATGACGATGGTGTAAAGGGATGGAAGTGCTGGGTCAACACGGGAGAGCAGACAAAGACTGTTCGACTCAGGCGGAGCGATGAGAAGGCAGTGAGTGTGTCCTTTCAATCCAACAGACTGGAAGTGCCAGAGAGCGTTTTCTGGTGCACTAATCAAGAACTCAGGAGCAACCAAATCCGGGTCAGAACCTCAGGTAGGCAGACTGTTATTTTAATGCTCCACTATAGAGGGACATTCTTCACTAGGAACAATCCCTGTTATATTATTCAGCTCAGTGCCGGCCTCCGAAGTCTGTTTTTGTTTTGTTTTACTTTCAAAGAGAGAGATCCAAGATGGCGCCGTTGATGGCCGTTGATGGCCGCCTCGGTGCTTCGGTGCGCTTCGTTTTTTGTTGTTTTTGTTGTTAATTATGTTTCCTGCTGCGATTCCCGGAGCTCTTTCACCAGAGATGAGCTCTTGAACATCCGTGGAACAACTCCAGCGGAGTTACTTCCAACTTTCCTGCTTTCTTCCGTGGAATTACTGGACATTCTAGTCAAAGGTGAGCTCACCTTTCGTCACGCGGTGAGACGCCGTAGGAGAGGAAAACGGGCCGGCTCGCTGGTGAGACTCCGCAGGCGTGGTTCTCGCACTCCGCTGCCGGGCATCTTTCTCTCCAACGTGCGCTCACTGTGCAACAAACTGGACGAAATCCAGCTGCTGATGAGGAGAGACGGAGACTTCTCTACATCCTCCGTCTTGTGCTTCACGGAGACGTGGCTCTGCGGATCGATACCGGACTCCGCGCTCCAGCTGGCGGGCTTCCAGCTGCTCCGAGCGGACCGCGACACGGAGCTCTCCGGCAAGACAAAGGGTGGAGGAATCTGCTTCTACTTCAACAACGACGTAACGGTGATCCTACAACACTGTTCTCCTGATCTGGAAACTTTTTTCATCCACTGCAAACCCTTTTATTCCCCCCGTGAGTTTGCTTCATTCATCCTGGTCGGTGTTTACATGCCGCCGGCGGGCAACGTGCACGAGGCTCAGCGGACACTCGCCGACCAGATACGGCGTGTGGAGCGGACCAACCCGGACTCTTTAGTTATTGTCCTCGGGGACTTTAACAAAGGAAATCTCACCCATGAACTCCCTAAATACAGACAGTTTATTAAATGCCCCACCAGAGAGGAGAACACGCTGGATCACTGTTACACCACAGTAAGCAGGGCTTATCACGCCGTCCCTCGTGCTGCACTGGGACACTCTGACCACGTCATGGTCCATCTGATTCCTGCATACAGGCAGAAACTAAAGCTCTGCAAACCTGTGGTGAGGGAATTCAAGAAGTGGACCAGTGAGGCGCTGGAGGATCTTCGGGCGTGCTTTGACTGCACAGACTGGGATGGTTTCAGGACTGCTACTGACAGTCTGGATGAGTTCACAGAGGCTGTAACTTCCTACATCGGCTTCTGTGAGGACAGCTGTGTACCATCATGCACCAGGGTGAGTTACAACAAGGACAAACCCTGGTTCACAGCGGAACTCAGAACACTACGCCTGCAGAAGGATCAGGCATTTAGGAGCGGGGACAAAGACTTGTACACAGAGGCAAAATACAAGTTTAGCAAGGCGGTGAGAGATGCTAAACGACTGTACTCTGAGAAACTCCAACAACAGTTCTCAGCAAGTGACTCTGCTTCGGTTTGGAGAGGCCTCAAACACCTCACCAACTACAAGCCAAAAACCCCCCAGTCCATGAATGACCTCCGCCTGGCAGACGAGCTCAATGAGTTCTACTGCAGATTTGAAAGACAATGTCCTGATCCCATCCCCCACAGCTCCACCAACCTGCTGCAGTCCCCCTCCCCTCCCTCCCCCAGCCCATCAGGTGCTCACGCCTCTTCATCATTATCACCTTCCCCTCCCCCACCAGCAGCGACCCTCTCTATTCTGGAGAGAGACGTTAACCGGCTCTTTAGAAGACTAAATCTCCGTAAGGCAGCCGGTCCGGACTCCGTTTCCCCTCACTCCCTGAAGCATTGTGCTGACCAGCTGTCTCCGGTGTTCACTGACATCTTCAACACCTCCCTGGAGACATGCCACGTACCAGCCTGCTTCAAGGCCTCCACCATCATCCCTGTCCCCAAGAAGCCCAGGATCACAAGACTCAATGACTACAGGCCCGTCGCCCTGACCTCTGTAGTCATGAAGTCTTTTGAACGCCTAGTCCTGACCCACCTGAAGTCCCTCACCGACCCCCTCCTGGACCCCCTGCAGTTCGCCTACAGAGCCAACAGGTCTGTGGACAATGCTGTCAACATGGCCCTCCACTACATCCTCCAGCATCTGGACTCCCCAGGAACCTACGCCAGGATCCTGTTTGTGGACTTCAGCTCTGCTTTTAACACTATCATCCCGTCTCTGCTGCAGGACAAACTCTCCCAGCTGCACGTGCCCGACTCCACCTGCAAGTGGATCACAGACTTCCTGTCTGACAGGAAGCAGCACGTGAAGCTGGGGAAACATGTCTCAGCCTCTCGGACCATCAGCACCGGTTCCCCCCAAGGCTGCGTTCTTTCCCCTCTGCTCTTCTCCCTGTACACCAACAGCTGCACCTCCAGCCACCAGTCCGTCAAGCTCCTGAAGTTTGCGGATGACACCACCCTCATTGGACTAATCTCTGGTGGGGACGAGTCCGCCTACAGGTGGGAGTCTGACCATCTGGTGTCGTGGTGCAGCCAGAACAACCTGGAGCTCAATGCTCTAAAGACAGTGGAGATGGTTGTGGATTTCAGGAGGAACAGAGCCCCAACCTCCCCCATCACCCTGTGTGACTCCCCTGTCACTATTGTGGATTCCTTCCGTTTCCTGGGCTCCATCATCACCCAGGACCTCAAGTGGGAGCTGAACATCAGCTCCATCACCAAGAAGGCTCAGCAGAGGTTGTTCTTCCTGAGGCAGCTCAAGAAATTCAACCTGCCAAAGACGATGATGGTCCACTTCTACACGGCCATCATGGAGTCCATCCTCTGCTCCTCCATCACCGTCTGGTACGCTGCAGCCACAGCCAAGGACAAGGGCAGGCTGCAGCGTGTCATCCGCTCTGCAGAGAGGGTGATCGGCTGCAATCTGCCGTCCCTGGAGGACTTGTTCGCTTCCAGGTCTCTGAAGCGAGCTAAAAAGATTGCGGCCGACCCCTCTCACCCCGGACAAAAACTGTTTGTGTTCCTTCCATCTGGCAGGAGGCTGAGGTCCATCAGGACTACGACCTCCCGCCACACGAACAGTTTCTTCCCGTCGGCAGTCGGGCTCATCAACAGAGCCCGGTCCCCCACTGCCTGACTATAACACTCCACCGATCACTCCCCCTCATACTGCACATGTCACTTTAACTGCAATTCATCACTTTGTCACTTTGTCTCTTGTCTGTTACTTGTTTGTTAGTGCACTTTATGCTTAACATTTCTTTTTACCTTTTTAATATTTAAAATTTGTTTAACTTTATTCCCTTGTTTTCTTACTAACCCATAGCCTTAGCCTTATTCTTACTAACCCATTGCATTAGCATTTCATTCCACTTTATTTTATTACCTGTGCACTGTTGTCTTGTCTGTCTACTGTCGCGCACTAACCGCCAAGACAAATTCCTTGTATGTTTGACATATTTTGGCCAATAAATGTTTCCTGATTCCTGATTCCTGATTCCTTTCAGAGAAGGACGTGTCGTTGGAGATGTACCCTCTGCCCGCTGTGGTTGGAGTGAGTCTGACCCTGAAGTGCCTCGCCTGGGGCACCGATAGAGTCACCCGCGCTGTTTTCTACAAAGACAATTCAATCATTAAGGAAAGCCAGCAGACGACCTACCAGATCAATAATGTGACAGAATCTACTGGTGGAAGATATAAGTGTGAGGCCACCTACACACACGTGCAACGCACCGCTGAGCCCCCGTACCAAGTGGTCTCTGATGACCAAGATGTGTTTGTCCAAGGTAAACGTAACCAACACACAGCTTTGCTCTTCTGTGGAACACTGTATGCTTTACACACCTTTTCTTCCTCCAGTAGGCGACTCCTGAAGTCTGTCCCCTCCTTTGTCCCTTTTCAGTGTCTCCCATGAGGGCGGTGCTGGACGTCTTTGGGGCCTCTAGCATGTCGTGTTCTTGCCGGCTTTGTCCCGCCGATAGCACCTATCGCTGGTACAAGACAGATAATGGCCAGGCACGGCTGCTTATTGGTTCCTAGCAACGGGTCATGACGCCAGAAGAGAGAGGCACCTACGCATGTCGATTCGTTTGGACCGAGGGGAGGTCCTTGCTCAGCAACGACTACAGCTGTGAGTTCCTGCTAATTGAATTTTACTTAGTTTCTCTTAACAAGTGTTTTGGATTTTAACCTGCACAAGGGAATAAATGTCTGGATACGTCTGAATCTTTGTGGCATCACAATAACGTTATAGAAGAATAATACTAAACCGCTAAAAATATTGACAAGATATATGTCAATATTGAAATAATGACAAATGCGGACAATTTAACCCATATTTACATTCACAATCATGTTCCCTCTCTGTTTCAGATCAATCCAAACCCATTCGAATTTGGCTTGTAATTGGTGTGATCGTATTGGTGGTTGTTGGATTAGCAGTGGTTTGCATATGTTTGAAGAAGAGAAATACCACTGTCGGCAAATATGAGCTGGCGCAGAAAGGTCGACCCCGAAAATGAGGCCGACCGTTCAGAAATGTATGTTGCAGATGCAACATTGTAAGGTTAAGTGCTTGATCAAAACAATACAAATATAATAGCAATATTTCATATAATGCACATAGCCTGCGCCTTTGCATTCTAACATAAAATGTCTGTATATCATTGTGTGTGTCAAGAAGATATCAGATTAAAATGCAGTCTCGGCAGAATCTTGTTTCTAAAAAGCTATTTTCTTTACCGCTGATTTCTGTGACATTGCAAATAACAAATGGTATAATATTGCATAGGCTGTGCTTTTGCATTCTAAAATGCAGTCTCTTGAGAGGGAGTGTCCTCCTTTCCTTTTGTGTGCAGAAATAAATATATTTGATTCCATCCAATTAATGACATATATGTATATATGTATTAAGCATACAGGTGTTAACTCTCTAAATGTTAGAAGATAGAAGACAAACAAGAGGACAAAAATGTTCTTTATAATCGTAGCGTCATGTTAAGACACAATCCAGTGCAGCCAGTTCAGCCAGCAGCAATAACTCACCTTTAGGAAAGTGAAATTTGAACTAAATCACTTTCACTAGCAAGGACCACGCCATCAGCTGAATGCGTTTGACAATATTATTTGCTTGACGTGAGCGATAGGATTGTAAGCTGATCCGTCTAGAGCAGGGGTCTCAAACTCGCGGCCCGCGGGCCAATTGCGGCCCTCGGGACGATATTTTGTGGCCCCATCCTTAATATGAAAGTGTAATGTTAGTGCGGCCCGCAAGTTTTATACTGTAACCCCACTGTCAGCTGCTGTGTGGGACATGTTATGATGTTCTGGTTTCCTACTGTGTGCTTGTCCAGTGAACGTGGCATGCATGTGACTGACATGGGGGGGCGGGTCGTGTGTGTCGGCCGAGGTGCAGAGAGCAGGAGGGTGAAATTCAGTTTCCTGCCCTCTTTCGCGCAGGTGATCATGTGACTAACCGTTAGCATCGCTCGTTTAATAAAGTTTTCCTTTACGACTCACACGAACAACACATGAAGCATCTGACGTCACCGACGAGCGTCTCCGTCCATTACTACGCAGCTTCGATTCACGTAACTTCACGTTTGGCTATAAAGGAATTCCACGGTCACATGACCTTAGGTCTCCCCCGCTGAGTTAAAGGAGGACTAGTGTTGTAGTCTCATTCGGACCGATCCCCCAGGGTGGGGTTCAATGACTGCTTTTGAAAGTGAGTGTTAAGTTGTGTTATTGTCGACCATGCCGTTCGGACGCTAGTCTGGCCCGCGTTCGGTTGAAGTGGGCTGCATCTGGCCCGCAGCTGATTTGAGTTTGAGACCCCTGGTCTAGAGGGATCCGGATGGGATCCGGATGGGTTGTGAGGAGCTGCGTCAGAAGATCCACCATGGAGGCCGATCACAGTTGACTCCCATGTGTGAGGTGTGATAAGCAACTCGAAGATCTTTGAGATCCAAGTGGATGTAGCGGTGCAATGCTTTCGAGGACCGGCGGCTCATGATTTGGATGAGGTATTCTGGGTTACCGGAGGCTGTAGTCCGGCACTTTGCCAGATTCTGAGGTGAAGAGTGGGTCCGTTGGTGAAAGGCTCTATGATTTTCGAAACTGCACATATGTGGAATAGGTCTCAAATAGACTAGGGGGTGACTGTAAAGACGGGTGTAGGTCAGCCGGATTTGTTGGTTTTCGTTTGCTTTAAGTGGAATGTCATGGTGTCTTCCGAAAGACAGGATAGGCGGCATGTGTTGAACGTGAGAGTTGAAGGGGTAAACGGTCAATGGAATTTTTGGAATAAGCAGATATAACAAAACCTGTCACGTGGACCGGATCAAACGACGGGACGGTTACTTGTATGGTTGTAGAAGCTCTTCAGACGAAAGGCGTTTACGAGTTGAACATCAGTGCTGATCATGGAGGAACTGGCCTCAGAAGGGCCAGGCTTCTGAACCTGGCATGATGGATATCGCATGCAGCATCTTTGTTGATATCTCAACCACTGGGAGTGAATCAGGATGGGCTTGCGAGACCACTCGTGGCTGCACAAGATAGGCCGCAGCTATGATGGGGAAGATTTCGAAGAGTGCGGGAAGTTGCCAGGCAATCTCTCGCAAGCTTTGGAGGCCATCTTTGCTGTGAACCGTCTTCTGTTGTAAAAGCCCCCAAAGACCAACAGAAGGAGCTGCATCCGTGTACAAATGTAAATCATGTGCATGTGTGAAGGTGGTTCGCATGTGTGAAGGTGGTTCCAGGAGTGATGGGACAGATGCGTCTAAGAGGTGGAAGATTTCCCTTGAGGAAAGATTTGTAGGGCAGAGTTAAGGTGGCCCAGAAGGAAAGAAGTTGGCGTTTGCTAAATGTATGGCAAAGAGGAAGCTCACTGCTGAACTCAGAAGGTAGGTAGGAAATCATTTAAGGGGGGTGGTTTGCAGAGCTATGGAGGGGCGGTCTCGGCCATTCCCTAAACTGAATGTGTTGAGGACGTAAACGTTTTGATGCATGACAGATGACCAGGGAGGTATCAATGCATGGACAGACGGTGTAGGACGTAGTGATGCATGGAGGGACGACGTATTTAAGCATAGAGGGACAACGTAGAACGCGTCGATGCGTTGACGGACGCCGGATGATGTATTGAGGGGTTACATTGCAGCGCCGTGTGGTGGTGCTAGTAGCTCCAACTAGCGCGGCGGCCATGGATGGTGCCACTGGCAGGCGCGAAGGTCGTCCCGTTGCCAGGGGTTACGCCGAGCTGTTGAGATGGCTGGGAGAGGGCGGTGGGGGTTGTCGGCATCTCGGTGCCATGCTGTGATACGCTGCTATGTCGTTATGCTAAGTTGTTATGCTAAGTTGTTGCGTTACCTTGTTGCGTTACCTTGTTGCGTTACCTTGTTGTATTCCTTGTTGTAATGTAACATTCTTAGTTACATTCTTAGGTTACCTTGTTGTGTTACGTTGTTACATTTTACAGTATGTAAATACTGAAGACTAAAGTTAGCTGTGAGCTCCAACATGGGCCACAAAAGGCGAGACTAAATGTGTCTTTATTATAATATCAAATGACATAACCTTCATTACAGCTGCTTCATGCTGAGCGTGAAGCACAGCAGCAGAGCTCTCTCATCAGACTTAAAGCGGTTCTGATATGAGAAATTACTCTTTTCTTTGAAGGCTTGGTTGTTCTTTCGCTGTCCCACTTTGCTCTTCTCGCCCAGCTACATGATACTGAGGAATCAGACCTCACAGGACAGTTACATTTCTGCAGTTTTGGTATTTTGTACACTTTGCATTCATTGGTTTAGAGATACACACGTTAGTAGAGTATGAATAAACAAGAGAAAGTAAATACCTTTTAGTCTGCAGTTCAGGCTGTGCAGCTCTTTTTTTGGTTTTCACTCTCACACACACACACACACACACACACACATTTCACCTACTCTGTGCCCAGCAGAGATCTCTCTCTCTCTCTGTCACTTCAGCTGTTAGATTGATCTTTCTCCTTCCCCACTTCATACTTCTACCATGTTCCATCTGTCAGTCCCTCTTTAAGCTTTTAAAAAATACACCGGGTCCTATTCTATTAAATCCTCCCCATTCTTTTCCTCATCACTCTCTCCGTCCTTTTGTCCCTCACTGTTTCATTCTCTCCTTCTCGGTCTCGCATCATCATTTCAGTCACTGTATCAATCAAACACACTTGTCCCGTGATGTGGTTCCGTCCTCTTTATCGTTGCCCGTCTCACACAAACACTGGATGGATTCAGGCTAATGATTCTGTAAATTAAAAAGGGTCTGTTAATCGAATTCACTTATGTAGACACGTTAAGAGTTTCCCCTTGTGGGATCTTACCAGGCATAAAGTGAGGTTTTATCCAAATCTGTTTGTAATGCTCACCTGGTTGAAAATTACATTCAAGAGACTAACAGAAAGATAAATAATGTCCCATTTATGCTGAACGATGTCAAACAGATGTCAAAATAACTGTTTTAGTATTTACGGTGAACAGACCATTTAATACATATTCATTGAGTATGACTTCTCCCATGCGGATGGGCTCAATCAAGAGGGAACCTTTACAATCATTTAATGCCAAAATATGTCAGACATACAAGGAATTTGAACACATAACGCAACCTCTGTGTGATTCTACCACCATACCATGATGCCAGTGCATTGAAGTACATCTCATTTAGCTGAAGATTTTATCCAAAGCGACACACAATAAGTGCCGGTATTGAACCAGCAGTATAAAGGGACATGATACTCTATGACGGCGATAATCTCTGCGGTGTTGCACTTGTCTGGAAGCTGTCAGGTGATGGAAGAATGGAAATCAGGGAGTTTCATACAGACCTAATTTCTCTTCACACCTGCCCTCTCACTGCATAAAGTGAGTGTGAATGTTGGTTTTGACTCGTTAAAGAAAAGGTGCGTTGGGAGGTTGTTTCAAACACTGTACTTCAGTGTCAATCTTGTTACCTCAGCCGCTAAGAGAACGCAGATATAAGTTTCAACACAGGACGTTCTGTGGCTGTTTTAACGCTCCTGATGGATCCTGAGTACACAGTAGAACCACAAAGGGAACAACTTATATAAGAAATTATATATTCTCTTTTTAATATGTGGGATGATACCAAATAAGTTTATGTAATAATTCTTCAGTGAAGTGGTTGAGTGATAACTGCCCTTTTTCCTGCTTAATGGTCGCTCTTAGAGCCCCTCAAAGAGCAGGACAGAGAACACAAGAAGGTTTGCTGGGTTAAAACACATTAACGCACACAATAGTACACTCAGTCACATCCTGCCCCTTGTGCGACACGACACCTGCATTGTGACTGTGGAGGGTGCTCTCCTTTAATGGCGCATCCACTCCGCGTCCGGTGCATTCAGCACATTTCCTCCCAGCCCGGTGCGCTCGGCGCCCATTGTCCTTATTGTGGGAAGGAGACACTGGCTTCCCTCCGTGTGAACGTCTTTCAAGCCAAAGGCAAGGATAGAAAAGTGGGTCACGGGCAGCCGGACCACAGTAAGAACAGGCGAGCGAGGGGCTTCTTTTCTATTTTTTTTTATTCGCTTTTTGTGCAGGGTGTTTTATTGAGCGCATTTACTTAGGGGAGTATAAGAGACGGAAAATGAAAACAAAAGCAGAAGAAGAGATGAATTATTAATGTATGAGATAGAAGCTCTGCAGCACAGAGAAGGTTTTGCATTAGACTTGAAATGTGTCTGGCTTTAAAATTGAGCATACACACTGTAAAACAATATCTATATCAACATTAAAATATATTATTAATTTATTGTACATGCACAATAAAAAAGGTACATAGAGCAACAAAAAGGGTTGAACCTGCTTCAAGGCCTTTTTTTCGTGAACTGTTTTCCAGAGAAAGAAACCGATGCAGTGCTGGACTCTGGTGGCCATTTCAAGTCACTGATCCAGAGAACAGTATATTAAAAAAAAAGTTCTCAGAATGTTGCTCTCTTAGAAATATGTCAACCATGGCCGTTTTCTAGTTCTCTGAATGTATTTGCATAAAACAGGTTTCAACGGTCGCGCTGTGGGCTGATCTGGGTTCATCTTCCTCTCGTAAAAAGAGGACATATGGAAATATAATAAGTACATTTAGAAAAAAGTAATACACCAAATGTTTAGCTTTATAAAAAGAATTAAGCTTTTTTTAAAATATGCTTTATTTTAATACCTTGGTGTAGATGGATGTGTCTGACTACAGTAAGTATGGAAAGTCCCTGTGGAACCAGAAGAAGAAGCTGAAACATCACGTTCGGGTTTGACATGGTACGTGCCGGTAAATGTTTTTGCCATTTCGGCAGCTCAGCTCAGAGACGTGCATTTTGCTGACACACATCTGTTGGATGCAGAAGTCAGTTGGCTGATGTAAAAGTACATCAGCGTTAATGAGATGTATGTTCTAAAAAAACGGTGTTGTGCTTTTCTAAAATGTGTGAAAGAAGAAGTTTATTTTTGGAAATCTCACTGAAAGCCACAGTGTAATGAGATGAACTTCCCGTACAGTTAACCGTTACAAAGTACAACTGTATCTTGTTAAGTTATCCGAAAAACATTAGGTCAACAAACATTTTGAAAAAAGAGACAAAATACGTTGAAAAATATGGAAAAAGTGGAAATATTTCAGGTCAAAAATGTTTTGAAGAAAAGTCTGAAATTATTAGAAATGTTTTTGAACAAAATGTCTAAATATATTTTGTCGAAAGTCTAAATTTGATGTGTCAAAAAAGTTTGTAAAATATTCAGTCAAAAAATGTTTTGAAAAAAATGTCCTAATTTGTTATGTTGGAGGATTTCATGGAACTATTTTTAGTTAGTTAAAAAAAATGTTTTGAATAAAGTCTAAAAAGTATTAGGACAAAAAATATTTTGAAAAAAAGTAAACAATTGTGAAACGAAGTCCATAAATATAATGTTGACCAACGCATGTCATTTCTCAGAAAAGTCTCACATAGAGACCAACTGGCAAGCAGATGGTCTATCTAGGTTCCTTAAAGCACAATACAACCGACTTTAGCCAAACTAATCTTGCCATTCTCGCTGAATGTCGACTTGTACATCGTAGAAGTCTAACTTTTTTTGTGGATAGAACCACACGATTATTGGATGAGGGTCCATTTATTGTCCAATCAAAACGTTTGAATGTGTCTTGACCTCCAGGGAGCAACGGACACTTCTAAATCAGGAACTTATTTCATTGCAAGTACGTTATACACGCAATGAAATGCTGCACGTAAATGTCTTGTTGAACTAGTCCTTTGACTTTATAGTTTTCCGTCTTAGTTTACCTGTGGTTCTCTAACTTTACATTTGGCCCTGTAAAGCTTTTCTGCACTTTGCCATTTCTTTTTGTTTAAAGAGAATATTATGTGCAATCTGCAAAGATGCAAAGAAGTCATGAACTTCCAGTACTTATTCTTCCTTTTTATTCTAACTTCACTTTCAATTCACTCAGTCTTTCCTAAGAAGGAGCTGCCGTCTTAATGTTGCACTCAGCACTTTCTTAGGCAAAGTTTTTCAAGTGGTTCTTTCTTTCTGCGTCACAACTAACAAGTACTAGTTAAGTTCATTTAAGGCGAGGTTTGGTATGCTACTTGGAAAGCCTTTTAGGGGAATATGGTTGCAGAGGGGAAGTATACTTAATAACCTTTGTAGCGTTTCTTGGTGGGCTCGGCTCAGCCCCGACAGCCACTTCCTCAACGTGACTCAAAACAGACGTTTAAGTGTCCGGTCTCACTCCACAGCTCACCACTGCTCCTCTGCGTCTCTACGACAGAGACATGAGGACAATACAGCGCCTGCTGCTCCTGGCAGGTAAGAGCGAGTGAAACTACACCGGGATTGCTGGGGCTAAAAATATTATTTATATACATATAAATATATATATTTATCTGGATCTTGGTGATCAAGGAATTAATACATTTTTCAAATTTCCAAAACTAAATGACAAAAGAATCCAAAGGGCGGTGGGGATCAGTGTGTTCCGAATTCCTCTTTTTGAACTTTGTCTGCTCAGCACTAACTTAGTTTTTTCTCTTATTATTAGTTCCTTTGGAATTGGAAGTATTGTGACTAATATAATTATAAAAGTGATTCCCCTCAAACTCAGATTGGCCGATCATCGCGTTGCTCCAGCCAGCGTCTCCCTGCTATCCGCCGGGCTTCATTGATTTTTAATGCAAACTGTTCAAATTGTCTGCATCCACAGGCGGCTTCTGTGGAATTCTGGAAACTAGTCGAGTTCAAACTTTGTCTTATTGTGACGTTTTTTAACCGGAGAGTTTGGAAAGACAGAAATGGTTCACAATGTGATCATTTTTGACTCATTTCCAATAAAAAATGAACTCAGAAAATAAAATATATTTACGGAAAAAATAATTCGAATTTTATAAAAAGTGGATCATTTTGACTGAAATCCCGTCTTTCTGTTTCGTTATAGAGTTTTTGCTACTTGCAAGATGTCAGCAAAAGCCACAAGGTAACCAGCGTCTCGTGTGTCCATAACAACCCTGTGTGGTTCCCCGTAGTGACACAAACCATCTCAATGTCTTTTCTTTGGTCTCCTGCCTCCTCAGTTCAAATGTCACCTCCACTAGAGAAGATCTTTTTAGGGGACTTAATTCTTCTGAGATGTAGCTCCACTGCCAGTGAAGTGACATGGTACGTGAACGACACGGTACAAGCGCAGAGGAACCCCAGCCTGAAGATTGAAGCTGCTGCACCCGAGCACTCAGGCAGGTATCAATGCCAGGATGGCAACGGGCCAAAGAGTGACGACTATCCCATCAACGTCCTGGGTAAATTCACCACGCCAACACACGTATTGCATCCAACTCCCAGTGATGTAAAAGGGAAATATAATTGTATTATTCATCTTTTAACCGTTCAGATCACGCTCCCAGTGCCGCGCTCATCATCCGGACCGGCCAGCCTGTGGTGCGAAACGGAGGCTCAGTCGTCCTGCAGCTGGACTATGACGATGGTGTAAAGGGATGGAAGTGCTGGGTCAACACGGGAGAGCAGACAAAGACTGTTCGACTCAGGCGGAGCGATGAGAAGGCAGTGAGTGTGTCCTTTCAACCCAACAGACTGGAAGTGCCAGAGAGCGTTTTCTGGTGTACTAATCAAGAACTCAGGAGCAACCAAATCCGGGTCAGAACCTCAGGTAGGCAGACTGTTATTTTAATGCTCCACTATAGAGGGACATTCTTCACTAGGAACAATCCCTGTTATATTATTCAGCTCAGTGCCGGACTCAGAAGTCTGTTTTTGTTTTGTTTTACTTTCAGAGAAGGACGTGTCGTTGGAGATGTACCCTCTGCCCGCTGTGGTTGGAGTGAATCTGACCCTGAAGTGCCTCGTCTGGGGCACCGATAGAGTCACCCGCGCTGTTTTCTACAAAGACAATTCAATCATTCAGGAAACCCCGCAGACGACCTACCAGATCAATAATGTGACAGAATCTACTGGTGGAAGATATAAGTGTGAGGCCACCTACACACATGTGCAACGCACCGCTGGGCCCCCGTACCAAGTGGTCTCCGATGGCCAAGATGTGTTTGTCCAAGGTAAACGTAACCAACACACAGCTTTGCTCTTCTGTGGAACACTGTATGCTTTACACACCTTTTCTTCCTCCAGTAGGCGACTCCTGAAGTCTGTCCCCTCCTTTGTCCCTTTTCAGTGTCTCCCATGAGGGCGGTGCTGGACGTCTTTGCGGACTCTAGCATGTCGTGTTCTTGTCGGCGTTGTCCCGCCAATAGCACCTATCGCTGGTACAAGACAGATAATGGCCAGGCATGGCTGCTTATTGGTTTCAAGCAACGGGTCATGACGCCAGAAGAGAGAGGCACCTACGCATGTCGATTCATTTGGACCGAGGGGAGGTCCTTGCTCAGCAACGTCTACCTTCGTGAGTTCCTGCAAGATACTTATCAATATCAAATTAATGACAAATGCGGAAAATTTAACTCATATTTACCATTAAAAGATCTCAGTCACAAGCATTTCCACTCACGTATCTTTCATCTCTGTTTCAGATCAACCCAAAGCCATTCCAATTACAGCTGTAATTGTGATTGTGGCGGTTCCTCTATTAGTGTGTGTGTGTCTGGGTTTGGTTGTTGTTTACATATTTTATAAGAAGAGAAATACCACTGGTAAGTAACAATTACATATTCTTCACTTTTTTTAATAAACTGATAGCATTAAATAGCACTTCCCTTTTACTTTTAGAACAACTTTACCAGGACGTGCCAATGAGATCTCGCGACACCGCTGACGGCGGATACGATGAGCTGCAGAAAGGTTCCCAAAAGGAGTCCGAGTACGACCTCCTGCAGCCAGGAGCGTCGGGCGCCCCGGCGAGAGGAGGCGAGTACGAGGCTCTGAAGAAAGAAGACGTTGCCGACTACGACACCCTGCAGGCAAAAGCGCCGGGCCCCCCGGCGAGAGGAGGCGAGTACGAGGCTCTGAAGAAACAAGACGTTGGCGACTACGACACCCTGCAGGCAAAAGCGCCGGGCCCCCCGGCGAGAGGAGGCGAGTACGAGGCTCTGAAGAAACAAGACGTTGGCGACTACGACACCCTGCAGGCAAAAGCGTCGGGCGCCCTGGCGAGAGGAGGCGAGTACGAGGCTCTGAAGAAACAAGACGTTGGCGAGGGGATCTACCACACCCTGGGGATGGAGGGGGCAGCGGGACGGGAGTGAGCGTAGGCGGCCGTGGGGAAGGACAAGGATTGAGAATAGGAGATTGGGGAGACAGCAGAGGAACAAAAAACATAGACACACATGAAGGACCGATGGGTCTCAGTAGCTTTTTATTGTTAGAAAAAGTCAAATTTTTCCACAAACGAGTCCAGGAATGCCTTTGTCCAAATCCTTAACATCCAATTCTTTCATCAGACGTTGACTTTGTGAAGATATAAGGGAAACAACAGAAACATGACCCACAATTGTGAAATTAGTTTTACTGGGAGTTAAGAAAAAGAGAAGCCAAATAACAAAATGATATCCTCTATATGAATGTATGTTGCATAGCACAGCAGGAAGCAGTTTGCGTTTTATTTTTTCTCACTGTATTTATCATGTTGATTATGTGGAGTATTCTGTAAAATGTAAATAGCCATTAGAAGTAAAGAGAGAATTATGATTTATGTTCAGAAAATACCAAATATTTTGTCAGGTCTGATCCTGTCGACCACTTTCTTCATCGTCATATTTGTAATCCCACAACGGTCGTAAGATTTTTCTTAATATATAATTTCATTGTACAGCCAAGGAGGAGTTGACTTTTGTTTCTGAAAAGGTATTTTCTTTACCGATGATTTCTGTGACATTGCAAATAACATATGGCATAATATTGCATGTGCTGTGCTTTTGCATTCTAGCATAATGTCTGTATATCATCGTAATTGTCGAGCAGATATCAGATTAAAATGCGGATTAAACGTCTCGTGAGAGGGAGCGTCATTCCTTTTATCTGCTGACATAAATGTATTTGATTCCATCCAATTAACGACAAATCATTCATATGTATTAAGCATACTCTAAATGTTAAGACAAAGGACAAAGTGCAGCCAGTTCAGAAACATGAGCCAGCAGCAATAACTCGCCTTTAGGGAAGTGAAATTCAGTTATCAGTTATTTTACAGGAACACGGCCCATTTGAACACTAGATTGCTAAGCTTTCTTTAGGTTTTTAGGACATTAAATATGTCTTTCCTGTTTTGAAGCCTTACATCCAGAAACTTCAGTTAGAAAGATGAGACGTGTGAAATGTACTTGAGTATTTTCAACACGGAGCACAAAGGGAAGCCGCGGCTCTCTGGCTCCGTGTGTCCTCGGCCCCCTAATCGCCACACTGGGATAAACATTTCGCAATCACCCCCCAATCAGGATGTAGCCGCCGCACAGCGAGCCGCCCGCTGTTCCACCCGCTCGTTCACTTAGGGCGAGGACGTCCAACCTCCAAACTCTTTGACAGCCGGCAGGCTTTGTGAGTCGTCTGCTTTTAAGGGTTCCGGCTGGTCTCCACACAGACCGCCGGCCGTCCACCTGCACCTCCGTGCGGTCAGATCTCCAGGTCCACGTCCAGGTCCACCATTTGTTAACCCCCCTCCCCCCGAGCCGGCGGCCAGTTGGCCGATTGGAAACGCTGGGCGGGCGATGCTCGGGGGTCTTTCACCCAGTCAGCAGTTGAGTCTGGATTAATGAGGTAACCCAATATTAAAGCCTGCTAAAGCGGGCAGATGGATGCAGGATGATCCGATTGAGACCAGAGCAGGTCCGTATGAGTGACCTTTCAGCCAAAATCTATTTTTCCTCTTCTTTTCTGTGCCGTTATACTCGAGCGCATTGATCAATACACCGTCTAGGGAAGAGAAAAGCATTACGTGTAACATGAAACCGCAGAGGTTCCACAAGCTGCATTATTCACGCCTGAATCCTGCGTGAGGCAGAAGGAAGTTGTCTCATATCAGGTGCTAACATGCAAAATGTGAAACGTTATTTAAAAAGCTCTTCTTCCTTTCTTGAAAGACTTTTACACCTTCTCATAGCATCGAAATATAAAAAACAGGAGTGATGATAAAGCAAATAATAACTACAATGTATAATTATTGTGCAGGAATTTTCCCCTCTAGTTTTTATTATACAATACATGTACATGTACATTTTTACATATACATTTTTAGTTAACAATCCAGAACAAAACATTTAACAATAAAATAAATGAAAAATGACAGTAAAAACCTTAACATTTATGAGGCTATTTAATTTGCCCGTGAACTATGCAAGCGTTTCTGTGATCTAACACAGGGATCTTTTTAAGTCCTTAACCTTCATTTTTGGGCTGCCTAGAAACGTTACGACATCTACTAAAACAAGTAAATCATAATGCTCATGTACAGTGAATTATGTTGTATTGTTGTCCATTATCAGCCAGGTTCCTCTTCTTTTAACGTACCGTCGGCTCGCTGCCATAAAAAAGAAAAGTCCACCATTAAACGTGACTGACTGTCTGACATCTACACCACGGCAATTTGTTTTATTTCGACATAAGCTACACAACTTGCACCATACAACGGCCTCGGCTCGGTGTTCCTTGTGAAGGAAATGTGTGGTGGGAGGCTGGTTTTTACACTCCTACACAACAGTAACAGAAAGTAAAATCGACGACGCACGTATTGCTAGTAGTTCATGTTGAAAGGAGCTCTGACGTCGGACAGTTGGGAGGAAAACAGATGAAAGTGTCTGCAGCTACTCTGGATAGTAACATCTCTCCCAGGGTTACATGAGGCTTTTTTTATTCCCCAGTTTGTCAGCAGGCAGACAGGTTCGAGGCCTGGTACATAAAACATTTTTGCACAAGGAAATCAAAGTGCTGCATCTAAAAATATCAGCATGGGCTATTTAGACTTCACACGAAGCTGTGTGCGGGAACATTTGTAGGTGTTGCCATTATTTTCTTTGCAAATGTGTGAACCAATACTACAGAGCAAAACATTTCCTTGTATTGGCACGAGAAGCATGCGTTTCCTTAAAAGTGTGCACATTAAAGACGAGGCTCATAAATGACCTTAATGACATTGTGTGAAAACCAGATTTTATCTTTTTTTAGTGCGCCGAGTGATCCGTGGTGATTAAAGTGAGAGGCATCCGAATGAAATACCGTCAGATAATATAGAAACGTCTACTATTATTACAGTGAATGAACACCAAAGAAAGCCACAGCACGCCTAAAACACGACCTGCTCCCCTCTCCACTCCCCCCAGAAAAATGCCGGGGAGGTGAAAAATCCTAATGCACTCACACTTAGGCCCGTCTGTCACACGACGCAAACACACGCTTTACATGTACTAATGTCTTCACCTCCGCTGTGGAGTCTCTTTGGATCCAGTTCATGACATTGTCAGGCTTGCAGAAGAAATGGTTCATCCGCACATTCAAAGTGGAGCTCTGCCTCTGTGGTGTGCAGCAGCTTTTATGTTAACTCTCGGCCTCCCCCTCCTCCTTCGTGAAGGTAATTATTGGTTCCCGGCTGGACGTACTCCTCGGTTTTGTCCCAGTCGGAGACCCAGCCTCCTCCTCCTCCTCCTCCTCCCCCCGCGCCTCCGGCTCCGTTGGGGTCCGCTCCCTGGTTCATGGCGCCGTAGCCTCCCCCGCCGCTCGTGCGGTACAGCTCCTCCGTCTCGTTTGCGAGCTCGTCCTCATCCAGGATGCCGCATTTCTCGTCGCTCTGCTCCTCCGGCTCGGCCCAGGCTTGCTTCTCTCCGGATGCAAAGAGTCCTGCGGCACCAGAGAGACACGATCCGGGCCGTGAGACACAGAGCCGCTGCACAGCATGGCAGGCTTGTGACGACCAGCATGAGGAGCAATTCATTCATACTGGAACGCTGTAATGCTCTGATTCTGGAAGTAGAACACACCATAGAATATAACACCTCCGTAATGGACCATCGAGGCGATGAGAAACACTCCTTGCCACTCCTGCCGCGTCTGTCCAAGTAGGTCGAGAGGAGGAAAAGACACTGTGAGCATGAAATAAACACCAAAAACTGACAATACTTTTCATTCCTGTCAATGAAATTTGTTGCTTAAACAGCTTTACATTCATCTTCGACCTGAGGCTGCGACATCTGGTGCGAATTAAAATTTATAGCGGCCCCTTTTCAGTCATACATTTCTCCCCGTATGACTATTGGACAAAGTGATCAAATTCTTTGGAAAGGAAAGGAAAGAACAGCTGTTGCCCAAAGCTGGAGGTGCACATTTATCCACAATAAAGAAATGCAACACACTTGTTTGTGCCATAATCTATGACAATGACAAAAACACTCCCAACAGACAACTGAATAGTCGTGTTTTTTTTACAACACAGGCCTTCACCTTATGCTTTGTCATGGCACCAACGATCAGCGGGCAAACCATTCCGGACAAAGTGCCCACGCCGTTGGAGATGCCCATGAGGATGCTGGCGTACCGCGGTGCAATGTCCAGGTGGTTGACATTGAAGCCTTACGGGGTAAATAAAGAGTTATACAGCCACAACCTCTACAAATTGTACTTTAATGTGAGGTTAAAAAGCGTAGGTGTAGATGCATTATCCAACTCTTACTGCTGAACGGTAAGAACGCGTTTCACCTGAGATGGCGAAGCCAGAGAAACCCACGGCCAGCACCAGGAACGTGATTGCAACAACTTTGGTGTGAGAGAAGCCCACGACCAGCAGCAGGGTCGCCTCCATCCCGAACCCTGGCAAACGTAGAACACTTTAACTAACGTCACAAAACAGCAGCTCTGGAGTTTTGAAGTGAGGTTGGATGAATGAATCCCTCTATTGTCGCTTTGGGATTCTTTTAGCAACATTAGCAGAATGCTAATTGACGTCAAGTTAAGTCTGTTTTCTTCATGCCTTTCTCTTCTCCGGTCTCCTGTTGACTTAGCAGTGACTTTGGGCCTTTCATGTACCGACAGCTTCGCCCAAAGCGGCACGTACCGCGCATACTTCTCCATTTCACTTTGCTATCGATTCCTTTGCAGTTCAAAAATAGCCGTCAGAGGCCGAGCTTCTGCTTTACGGTGAGTCATCGTTTCCCTTCTGCAGCAACTCTCTTCCCATCACAGCTGACTGAACTCTGTAGTTAACTGCAGAATAGTGTTGCGTTGTCTGTTAGTTAAGGATAACCGTTTTAATCTCAGCTGCCATGAGCAGCTACGTGTCCTGCGTGTGCTCCACCCAGGGATCTGCCTTTCTGCTCCCTTACCTCCACAGTTCATAAGCTTCCTGACGTTAGTGGTGGTCATGATCTGGTTGGTGCGCAGATAGTCGGCGAGCTGGCCCCCGATGGGCACGATGATGGTCATGACGAGGTGGGGGAGCGCGGAGACTATGCCCACCTGGAGAGAGACGACGCAAAGAAGACCGTAGTTTTACGTAACCGACTCTTTAGTGGTTTGATGCTGCTGCGCATGCATCCCTCCACGGAACGCAGCGCGCAAACCACAAGCCGGGGTCTGTTCACCTTGCTGATCTCGAAGCCAAACACCTCTTCGAAGTACGCGGGCTGGCTGATGAGGAGCAGGTAGAAAGTCCAACTTCTGCAGAAATTGGCCACGATGATGGCATACACCGGCATGGAGGTGAAGAAGCACCTCCACGGCGTGTTGAATTTCTGTGTCGCGGCACAAATATAATGCGCCCATATCAATCAAGTGTCCGACTTGTTTCTCAAACATTTTTTAATCACGTCATACAAGTCTACTCGATGTACCGTGACTGCGTGTTGGGCCGTCACTCCGATGCTCTCCTCGATGTAAGTTCTCTCCTCCTCAGTGATGGTGGGATGGGCTGCTGGACTTTCATAAGACACCAGGAACCAGAAGCAATACCACATGATCCCAAAGCTTCCTGGAGGGGGGGGGGGGACAGGCAGGGATGAAAGAGCAATGCAAGTATGGAAACGGGGGAGAAAGGTCATGAGGAACAAGGAGACGTGTTTACTCCGGTGACCTCACAACACACTAATGTCTAATAGTGGAACTAAAACCAGCCGCCCCGTGTGTGACCTCTGTGTTGTGTCTCTCACCGTAGACGTAGAAGACAGATGACCACCCTGAGTACTGGACCAGGATCCCAGCTAATGGCATGGCGATCACAGCCCCAGCATAAGAACCTACACCAAATAGAGTATTTAGGGCTGCCGTTGCCTTTCACTTGAAACTGTGAATAAGTTATCGAAATAGTGGCTTTCATTTTCTTTAAATAAGCTAAAGTAATAATAGACCAACTGTTTCAGCTGTAATTGAGACCTTATTCAACTCAGGTTGAGTAGGAATGCAGGTATCTCAATGTGAAAGCGATCTCTTGCGCAGTGGTAACGGACTCACCGCAGAAGGCGGTTGTGGCCAGGCGACTTCTTTCAAGAGGTGGCGCCCATTTGGCCCAAATGCCGTGACAGGCTGGATAGGAAACACCCTGGGGGGGGGGTTAGGTGAGAAAATGCACCATGAGAATGTGTTAGCAAAAATGGAAGTATTTCTCGTTACCAATTCTGCGTGTGTCTATGAGCCGGCTGCAGGGGGAAGCACCTCCACAAGCCCTTGGCATATTCTGACAAGGATAACACAGCCGAAGTGCGTGCGTGCCGCAGCAGGGATGAGCATGTTTAGGAACGACGTGGCCACTATCGCAAAGCCAAACACCCTGCAAGAGGAGAGAAGAGAGACGCAGAGAAACACTCAGTGTGGATGCCAGAATGCACAAACACCAAGTGTGTAGAACAAATAGTGAATTAACGGACCTGTTTGCTGCAAACTTTTGACAGATGAACCCTCCTGGGATTTGGGTTATTATGTATCCCCAGAAGAAGGAGCCGTGGATCATTCCCACTGTCTCTGGATCCCAGTCGAACTGAGCTTTCTGTTGGGACACACAGGGAACATGTGCTGAATTGAGTTATTTACCAGAACCGTGTGTAACTGTTAGAAAAAACCTCTCTCAACAACGGCGCAAAATCATTTGCAAGTAGAAGACAGAAATAAGACAAAAAGGGGGGTTTCCTCCGGCTCTAAATGTTCACTGTGAGCAGATGTCACACCCCGGCCCTCGGGGTCGCGGACGCCACTCACCACTATGACCTCCTTGTTGTCCCTGAAGACAGTGTGGCTGTTGACCATGCTGACGATGGCCACGCCCAAATTACATCGGATGCCGAAGGAGATGCAGAAGCCGAAGCCCGAGAGGATGGCGATGATGTAGCGCCGGGGCAGGCCGAAGCACGTGCAGTCCACCACGGGGAGCTCCTTCTCCTCCACCAGCTCCGGCCGGCCCTCCGCCGACAGCTCGATGGTCTCGCCATTTTCTTGCTTCTTCTCAAGAGCTCTGCAAGGAAGGGATCGAGTCGAGGCAGTTACGCTTTGATACAGCCTCAATCCCGCAACACGTGCTTTGTTTGACTTTCTATCCCATTGCAGTGTTGTACAGCAACACTCGACAGCTCGTAACAAAAACAACTCGCTGTCATTTTGGCTGTTAACGAAGAGACATTCGGCGCGGCTACTTGTCAGCCTGCCACCACTGGAGCTGACGTTGACTTATCCCGTCTTCCCACGGTGTTAATAAACCAGCTATCATCCCAGACTGTGTGCAATACGGTTGGCCCGCCGTCTACAAGCTGCGTTCATGCGCTCGCCCAGAGAACCCTGAGGAGCCGTGACCTCTGCGAACCTCGCAGTCGAACGGGCATCAAATATGAATCTAAAGGCAGCGGGTCATCTATTAAACATGTGCAGTGCTGAGTTCTCCGGCAGACTGCAGCACTGCGTGGTCCAGACGAGGGAGCAGAGATCCTTTCAGAGATCAGCTTTCGTTATTAAACACATTTTTCATTGGACACACTCGCGTAAAACTAAAATAGCAAACGTCCCTGTGGCCTGATTGTAATTTACAGCCACCGTACAGAGACACGTACACGAGAGTACATATCAGTCCACTCAGCCCTGCAGCTTTTAGTCAAAATACAACACCCAGCGGTGCAGAGCGTGAATGAAGGCCGCATTGGGGGATGGGACGTATTCTATAGACTACTCTGTCTTACAGCTGGTTGTACAGGACAGGAAATGAAACCAGCATGGGCTAGAAACTTAACCCCACTGATGTGTATTATGACTCAGTTGAGCCACTAGGTAGAACCACTAATAACAGCAGCCTAATCCCACGGTGGGTGGTGCGAGTACTCGGGCGGGTTGAAACACATTGAAGTGAATCAATGCTTTCTGTGCAAAAGGTGTTAAACGACGGGTCAAACTTGTCAAACAGCCAGAGTTGTGACTGGAGCTCTTCGCTTAATCATGGCGCATAGATTTAAAAGTAGGGTTAGATGCAGCAACAAGACCACATACACGACCTCACTCATTTTGTGCGTCCTGGTTGCATACAGGCCTTTGCGACTGATTTGGAATAGAGGTTTATTCTCTCAGCGGTGTGCAGGATGTTTTCTCTGCTAACGAACCCCCGAACCAGAATGTCACGGCTCCGTCAAGTCAGCGGGGACGAGGACAACAAGCGCTCTGAAACACCGGGGAAAGAGAAGCACCAGGTGATCTTCACACGGCCATCAGCGAAGCTCTCCAGCGTCAGGAGATGTGCTTCCTGTGGAGGCTTAAAAATCACGTGGACAGCAGAATATTGAGGGAGAAACAGACTTACAAACCTTATCAGAGCGGTCCCCTCAAATCAGTAATCTCACTGGGAAAATATAAGCTAGATAATTGTAAGACAAAATGATTTATTTGTTACTGTAAGCAGGGGCTCTGTCTTCAACACTGATCAAGTATTTATGATTCTCACTCTTGAATTATTAATAACCATGACTCTCTCGGACTATTTTTGTCCGGGCGGGCTTCTGTCTTCATCCTTCCTGTGTCGGCTTCATCTGTTACCCTCCCTTTTATCGGCAACTCCCCCGACTCACTCATCGCCTCACACAATTCACAACATTTCCTTCATTTTTGACACCAATTTCTCTCCCAGTATCCAGAGGATGTCCACATGGAGCTTTCGCTGCTACTGCACGCAGGAGATATCTGCTGCAGCGACTTTTCATGGCCGACCCGGAGTTAAAGAAAGCCTTTGTAATCCTCACAATCTTCCCAACGTCCACTCCTCCGCTCCTCCACGAGAAACCCGTCGGGCCCGCTTCCTCGAACCAGTTTGACTCAAGAAGAAAAAGTGGTCTGTTCTGGACGTGGAACTCAAAGCTGAATTCACACCACCTATTGTGCTCAGTGTGTGTCGCTGGTTGTGGTTAATCTCTTAATTCATACGTCAAGGACAAACGTCAGGGCAGGTCAGCAGCTTGGTTCAGCGGCTTGGAATCATTGATCGGATAAAAGAGTGTCAAATAACTGCTGATTGTGTGAAAGGTTTTTTTTTTTTTTTTAAACCACTGCAGTTACACTGAGGCCAAATCAGAATGAATTGTCTACAATGTGCAACTACTTCGACTACTTCTTTGGTTGAGTTTCTCAAATGTTTTGAAATTCGATTTTCCTTTATAGTAAATTGAATATTATTAAGGTTTTGCACTGATGGTGATTTAGATAAATATCACTTTGGTTGAACAGAACAAGGCTGGTCGTGTTTTTACATTTCTGTGCACAAAAGAGTCAACCAGGCATCGTCTGTCCCTCAGCGCCCGTTAGCGTGCAAAGAACCGGCGGACAGACCCGTGACCGTTACGCACGCCATCCCGGTACCGCGGAAACGCCGGCGCACAGGCCGCTGTACAGGATCTCTGTCGAGGGTCGAGCGGCCTAATCCTGCCCGTCAGAGAGAGAGAGAGAGAGAGAGGTGTCCAAGGTGTGTCGCCTGCAGGGATTTACGTGGGCCGACAGCTTGGACGAGCGAGGCTATTTTCGGAGAGGATTTAAGTGTTTAGATGCTACACCAAATCCCGAGAGGAAGAAAGGGGAGTTCATCAATACCTTCTCACGTTCAGACATCAATCACTGGCCAGACTCCTCCCGAGGATCCTCACCTTCCATTGTTTCTATTTCTTCTTTTGGCTGCAGACGTTTTCATAAACTTGAGCTTGATCTGAGAGTCTACAAGTACAATAAGATCCGCCGCCACGTTCCCACCTCGGTCCTTTATCACAAGCCGCGTTGCTCGGCTTTTGAACCCTTCCCTCGAGTTGAGGGTCAACGAAGGTCCTTTTACGCGCACTGTTCCATAATTACAGGTGACACCGCAAAACGGGCCGCACGTCCTGTTTGACATTAAACACAAAGCCACAACTTATCTCCGTGTGAGGTGGACAACTGAGACACACCAGATAAACCTCCACATACCACCGGGACAACGCGTCCATCGGTGAACAACGTGAGAGCCGAAATGTATTCAGCCATCGATCCGACGCCTCGTTTTACACCGACACGACAGTTTTCAGACTCAAATGGAACTTAATTATCTTGGATTGTTTCTCTGGAAAAAAAACCCATTATGTATTAATAAGCAATGTTCGTATCTTATCTTCCACATATGCTTAAATCGTGGCACGTTATGCCAGTGTCTTATGTGTCTTATGGAGGGACAGATGTTGTCCCAGGTCATCCGAACCCACTAATCCATCCCTCTGGACACCTTGATCTTCAGAGGAGCCGCTTGCTTCTTCTTAAAATCAATTCCCCATAATACAATCATGTTTTAATGTCGCACAGAGCCAGTATCAATGGCACGAGACAATAAAAGGCCAATCACGCCTGTGGTAATCAGCCCCAGACGGATTGTACGTACCCGTATATCTTCCCCAGAGTCTTGGCTGCCACGAGTTTAAACCTGTCCGGCCGGATCTCCATCCTCACGACTCCAGGATCCGACCAACGTGCGCGATTTGCACGCCCCCGATTGAGCGCACGGCCTTTTCCTTTACTCCCTCCGCCCCGTCCTTATCACTCACACATGCACACACACAAAAAAAAAAATTAAAAAGCAACTTGATTTTACTGGCCCGCTTTAACCCGCCGCTCCCCGTGTACCGGGATCTGTTGCCGGAGGTTTAATCTGCTTCAACCGCCTTTGTGTCAATTCAGCCGAGCAAACATTGTTCTGTCCGTCCTTCGGCCGAGTTCTTCAGGTCCAAACGAACTTCCCGGCCCCCGGAGGTCTCCGCGGGGGGTCCGCAGCGCGCCTCGTAGGGAACTTTGGCGCGGATCCGTTGGCAAACGGAGTCTCTGTCCGTGGTCCTGAAACCAGATTACCGCCAGCGCGCTAATCTCTCCAAGTGTGTGTAGTGAGTGGAAGGGAACATGTCACTTCCTCCCTCACGGCCAGCCGGGCGTTATAAGCACGGGCTTTTTCTTTTCCCCTCTTTTCCTTTTTTTCAAGCGGAGTCTATTCTTGGCACTTGGAGTGGAGACAGTTGGAGCAAACAGCGTCCGATCAGGTACTCCCGCGCGGGAGGGGCCGGCTGCTCCCGGGACGCTGCCGGGTTTCCTGGCCTGGGTTTGGGATCATTTGATTTGAAATGACCTGCGATTTTATTTTTAAAACAAGAGAAACGGGATTTTAAAAGCGACAGGTTCCGGATTTTCGCGGCTCCTCTCGTGCGTCATACCAACATTAAACTGAATAAAGTATGAATTGCAGAGAGCTGCTTTCTCTGCTTGTGAAGCAAGTGTGAGCCCCTTGAGTTTATTCTAGGCCAACTGATATGGAGATATCTTTGTATTTAAGTGTCCGAAACGGACCAAAAGGTCAGTTTAATATTTACATTATATTAATGAATCGGAAAATAAAGCATTGCAGCCATAAGTATGTATTTCGCCTTCTTATTCAACTGCAATGTGTCGTCTGTCAATATGATGAAAGTGTTACTGAACGCATAATAATTTTATTTGTTTTAAACTCTTAAAATTCCAACATCTTAATCCTGTATTAGCCAAGTCTGGAATAAAAGTCCTTGAACGTAAACAGCAACAGGCCAATGGTCATAACTTCATTTCCCAGGTGTGAATACAAGAAAACGGCTCATCTGTGTTCTCGATGGCGGCTAACTGAAGGCTTATTACACTTAAACTGCACATAGCAATAATTTACGACATTAATAATTAAAATTATATCCGGTTTTAACTAGGGACTGCAATGAGCGAGACAACATTTCTTTAATAACAGGAACATTTTATTTTTTTATATACTCAACGACCACTGAAATGTTGGTGTCTATGAAATAAATGTGAGTGGAGTTTAATGTTGCTATGCAAATGTGGACGGAGGTGTTTACATTACGTGGAGATGCAAAGACAAATGTTTGGGGCGGGAGGTGCAGGTGGAGCTTCTTCTGCCATCAGCAGCAAGTATCTGGAAAAGTCCCTTAATTTCTAGTGAGCAAAGTAATTTGCCTGCAAAAACGAAAGCTGTCAATGAATATGGTAAAACCAAGTGCATATTAAACAACATCCAATCAGAAGGTCAGATACAGCTCTTCTCCAGGTCTCTGGCCGATATGGTCCTCAGGGAGTGAGAGGAGAGGAAGAAGGGAGGGAAGGGCATGGCAGAGGGAGGGGGGGACAGGCTGGGGGGCACAGAGATGATGGACGGGGTGTCGGACAGCGAGCCGTAACCACGTCTCTGCACATCTACCGCACTGGAGCCGGGAGAGGCGTAGAAAAACACGGGCGGAGGGTCCATGGGGTCCATGGTTAAATCTGCAGCCAAATATATGAGGGACAACTCTTAAAATGTGTAGATATTTTCCCCCGACATTCGCTGTTGTATTTCTACAATCACGGCAAACAGGCAATGCAGCCTGCTGATGTTGTTAATAAACCAGCCTGCCAGTGATGCTTTACAACGAATGATACCCGAGAGACGAGTGAGCAGACAGATGCTGAGCGCTCCAGTCTCCTCTGGAAGTCTCCCCTCTGTGTCTGATGATGAGGAGACGGTCTTCAGCTTCATCACGGACAGGTCTCACTGTCCGATTCCTTTTTGTTTTCTGCGTCCATCTGCTTTGTAGTGAAGGCCGATTAGATATCTTAAGATTTTACTGACAGTCCCCGGGGGACGACGCAAATTGGTACCAAGGGGACGCGGTTTCCTGTTGAACCGAAAGAAGAAGAAGAATTTGACAAAGGTCCCTAACCCTACCTGAGTCGTCGTTGAGCTGCGTGTGCAGGTACTGCTGTTTGGTGTAGAACTTGTCGTAGATACAGTAGACTGCGGCCATCAGAGCGAAGGTTCCCATGGCGGCGGCGATGAACAGACCCGCCCTGCCGTTGTCTTTGTCTACACGGGCGTCTGTGGAGGCACAAGCACCGCCCGTCAAACCTTTCAAACTCGCTTCATGTCGAGCAGCTCTGCTGCCTCTCTGACGTCGGCCATCTTGCAGGACGGAAGAACTTGTTTATTGGAGCTGCACTCACAGGTTCGCCTTGTGTTCAAATGAGCGGTTTCCTCTTTTCTGAGCAGGTCGTGGATGTGCGGCGGGGGAGGAGGAGGAGGAGGAGGAGGAGGAAGGGCTGCCGGGGCCCGATGGGCGACGATCTGCTCAGACTGCAGGGTGCTCTGGGAGCAGCTCAGAGGGAACGCCAGCAGCAGGCCGAGAGCTGCAAGGCCCCCCATGTGTGTCCCAACACCGGTCCGTCTGCAGGGCAATAACAAGACACTTTGACATCCATCTGTATTTTGTGCCGGTTGTTATAAACTTAGGGTTAGTTATATATAATAGTTCTGCGGTTTTTCACATGTTTTCAGTCTTAAAAACATGTCGGCAGACTCACGTTTTAAACACTTTAAACGGATCTTACCTGAGGTCGAAGCGAGCGAGTCCTCTCTGCCTCTCTGGCTGACTGATTGTGAGGCTGCAGCCAAGACAACTGCTTTCCCCAGACACGCAATGTTTCCAAGGACACACCTGGGGGAGCCGCCGCCGCCCCCCCACACACACACACACACAACAAATCTTTGTCTTTCTTTTAACAGTAGTTCTGAATTGGTTTGCGCTTTTAAAGACGTTCACGTTGTTCATGTGAGAAACACAATTTCATCTTGGTGATTAAATCATCGAGGGGATAAAAAGAGCGAGATTTAACCAAAAGTTGAAACATAGAAGTGCTCCGACAAGAGTGCAACAGAGCGCCCTGCTGACGCGTGAACGTACTGACGCAACCTGAGAATAGTTAATAGTTCCGAGCAACGGAGGCGAAAAACAGAACTTTTTGAAGATTTTTAAAGAACATTAAAGATTTTTGTTTTATCCAAATGTGAAAAATGAAAACTCTGCAATCGGTGGGATCCTCCTGAGTACAAAATAAAATGTTTTATTTATATACATGTTGTGTTTGTTCTCTAAAGATAGATGAGACTGTATATTAATTTACTGAACATCTTTGTATTTTCCAAAGATGTACATTAGTAGGTCAATACAGTTCAAGGTATCTGACACACGACCCTCGACTCGACTTTATTGATTGGCTCTGAATATCTGCAAATAAATATTATCTTGTCGATGTGAAGGGCCCCAACACTAAAAATGTAAATACAGAACACCATTTAATTTAAGGCAATACTTAAGGGCGCATCGGGTTAAATCTGAGCATTACTGGAATTGTAATCTCAAGCTTATGTCAAAAAGAAAAGATTCCTTCAGTCATGCTGAAATAATTTTATTAAAATGTCAACAAATATTACATTTAGAGACTTTAGTACTACTATTTTAGTACATAAATACACAACATGTGGATTCATTCTGAAAGCAAACAAACCAAACATATTAAGTAAACTACACCTTTCTTCTCAAATAACATTTACTTTTACAAAACAATCACTTAGATGTAAGAAAGTATTTTATCTGGTCCAACTCAAACTCACACATGCAACTATTTTCCTCCTAAAACCTCAGCTTCAGAAGAGAAAAAAATAAATGACGCATATTTTCATTTTACAAATAATAATATTTACACTACAAGGAGTCGACCCTTATATTTGTACCACGGCACCAGAAGGCTGCCAAACGTTTCATGTCCAGAGTCTGGCTCAATATTTTGACCAATGGACAGAAAAGCTTAAAAAAAAAACGAGATTCATTATGCTCCTGCAGACATGAGTATTTTTTTGTAATATTGAATATATACATACACAACATTGGGGTAAACAGACAGCCACAGACCTTCACCAGGTGGAGCCTTCAGCCTGTGGCTGGTTGTTCTGTGAGAAGTAGCCTCCAGCAACGAGACCCCATGTGACCAGGAGACGGGCGTCAGACATTCCGCCACTTTTTGTTCTTTTAAATTCAGTCAGAGCTGATTTTCATAAGTACCAATCTTAAGCACAGCCTAAAAACAATTCTCATTACGGTTCAATAACAGTAACGTTCACTGTAAAGTAGAAGATAAAAAGTTGTATTCAAGGACGAATGACCTCTTGAGACGTGACGTCTGTGGCAAAATAAGAAGCAGTGTTTTTTTTGCTCATTTGGACAAAAATTCAAACAATTTAAAGTTATATTTAAATTTAAATTCTACCTTGTGTAACCAAGAAGCAACAAATTGTTTATTCCATTTTGTCCGAATAACACACTTCTTTTAAAAGTTTCTTTTTTTTTAAGTATACTGCTTTGGATACCTTGCACATTTTTCCAAGTTAAAAATAAAAAAATAATTTTAAAGTGTAAAAGCTTTTAAATATTAAAAAAGCATTTTTCTCACTTTCCCACCAAATGCTGTGAGATTCAATTGTCCTTTAAAATTGCGAACTGCAATGATGACGATGGCGTTCCCCCCCGCGTGGCATCACGTAGCGTCACGTAGCGTCCAGGGTTTAGGGAGAGGAGGCGTCGGTACCGTTTCTGTGACTCAGTTCGGACATGTCGGTCATCGGAGTCTCACAGTTGTCGTCGGTGCTCACGATGCGGTACTGACCGGTCACCGCGCCTCTCGCCGCTCGCCTCGTCCTGTCCTGCAGGACGGCGTGGATCAACGCCACCGGGACGGGCATCATGGCAAATACGATCAGCAACGCTAAAACCGCCAGAGCCCAGTCGGGGTAGACCAGGCGGTTCTCAGACGCCTGAAGACAGAAGGAATCAAACGGCCGATCAAAGAGCGTCAAGCTAAAAGCTAAATACGCAGACTGGTCGCTCACAGCCACATTCATTCCACACTATACGCACCGTCTCCTGGTTCCACGCCAAATAAGTTGGGCGCTCGATGAACATGCGGACGGCGGTGGCTCCCAGCAGCCCCAGCATGGCGAGCAGGCAGACGTACTTCCACATGTACTTGTAAATCGCGGGAGGACGCCAGCCCAGCATTTCCTCGATGTCATCAAGGAACCTGCAACGTCCGACGCGTTACGCCTTCAGAACAAACACCACCTCCGCCCTCGGGAGGATTTCTCCACCTCACCTGTCAGCCCCGTACAGCCAGGACACGCTGAAGGTCTCGAACACCACCACGATGATGAGCGGCAGGGTGGCGGAGTAGTCGTCGAACATCGCCACAAAGTAGTTCCCGCAGCGCTGCGTGAAGAGCAGGCCGATGAGGAAGCCCAGGACGCAGCTGAAGACTGCAAGGGGAGCAGAAGAACTTCTGTATGCTGCCCTCGGGTCAGGGAAATCAGCAGATACGCTCCGTCTCCTCCAGGCGAACACGTTCTTTTAAAATAACAGCCGCTTACTTGTGAACTTGGTCTTGTTGTTGGCCAGAGTCTTGAAGCGGTCGGTGAGCGGGGCGAGGATCCCCTCCATGGTGCCGAACATGGTGCTGAGTCCCAGGTTGAGCAGCATGAGGAAGAAGAGCGCCGACCAGAAGGGGCTGCCGGGCAGCAGGGACATGGCCTCCGTGAAGGCAATGAACGCCAGGCCGGTTCCCTCCGCGCCCTTAACGCAAACAAGCGCTCCGGCTCAGTACACAAAACCCCCCAACGAGAGAACATGCACGGCAGCCCAGAAACCCGACATCTACCTGCTGCATCTCTTTCTCCAGGTCACAGTCTGTGAAATTGCCCGAGATATTTTTGCCGATGAGACCGAACCAGGTCCTGTAGAGCTCTGGAGTCACGGAACTGGGATCGGAATAGTTGAAGCTGGGCATCAGGTGCACGTCCACGTCGCTGCGCTCGGATAACTTCTTTAAATTACTGAGGAAAGAAAAAGACGAAACTCCGCAGTCAGACACGGAGAAGCCGTTTTTATAAAGACTTTTGTTTTGGGTGCAGAACCCGACGTTCCTGCTTCGCTCAAACGCACCTGGCGACGCACTCCAGCGTCTTGTTCTTGGCCCGGAAGCCGAGCACAGCAAACACCACCAGCGAGGCGAGCACGGACGTGAGGAAGTTGATGCCGGAGACGGTGAAGGCGTCGCGGTGGCAGTTGTTGTTCTTAGGGTTGTAGGAGGAGTAGGCGATGATGGAGCCGAAGCCGAGGCCCAACGCGAAGAAGACCTGCGTGGCTGCCTGCCGCCACACCTGAATGTCCGCCCAGATCTTCAGCTGCGCACGGAAAATGAACGAAAGGAGATGTTCACATCCGCCTCGCTGCTCTACGCGCGTCTTTAAACGGCGAGGATACCTTGGGGTAGAACATGTAGGCGATTCCATCCAAGGCCCCGTCCAACATGAGCCCCCGGACCAGGAAGCAGATCAGCACCACGTAGGGGAAGATGGAGGAGAAATACATCACCTGGGAAGTGACAACGGACGGTTTTTAAGACAAGTGAATCCAGACGGCTGAGACAGACCTCAGTGGATAAAAAGATTTGAAAAAACAAACAATTCTACTTAAATGGCTGCCTGTTTTTCCATTAAATGGCTGTAATTTCTCCCCATGTCCTTCGATATTTGTTTAGAGTTCCTCGTTGAATCCTACAAAATGCACTGCTTCAACCTCCTCGCTCCCCATTGTGTCCCAGATAACCTTAAAGGGCCAGAATATCATTCATACCTTTGTATTTATCAGTGCTTTTAGCTCAGAACGAGCCCTGCGGCACTGCAGCCTTAAGCAGAGAGGACTGAGCGGAGTGTTCGTCTGGTTGAAATCTGCAAACACACCACTAGATGCCACCAAACCCTCCACGCGGTCTCACAGTGCGAGGCTGCTGGTCGCCACTAGGGCTGTCAAGTCTCAAAAATGGTGTACGAATATGGTTGCGCATTAGACACGTCAATAACAGGACAAATTGATACATCGAGACATAACTACTTGAATAGGTAATTTATTTAAGTTTAAACCAATTTAACAACATATTACCTACACAAAAATAAGTAGACGGCCAGATCTAGTCTATTTTATTCATGCAACACAGTCAGCACAGGCGTGCGCCCCCCGCTTGGCAGACAGTCGCAGACCTTTTTTTTTTTTTTTACATTCGAATAGTTGTTTTTAACAACTATTCAAATACAGAATCAAACCATCAGGTCGTCAACGGAGACGTTTAAGTCAGTAATTGTGTGAAACACCTGAGGTGAGACTAAGCAGCGTTAAGCCTCCCCTCTGATATCATCTAACTTCATCAGTATCGTTGTTCCCACACCCTGACGCGCGGCGTGTTTGCCCCGGGCAGAGCCAAATTCCTGTGTTTGTTAAGTAAACATGAACCGCCATCATACCTGGTCTGCAACACAAAGGCCACCTGATGGAACTTAACGAGGAGCGTGTACGTTTCTACAGCAGGCTGATGTTTTTTGGGAAGAACAAACGTCAGCGGATCCCACGAATGCTAATGTGCAAGTGCTTTGAGAAACAAGGTCCATGCTGCTGCTTCAAGTGGGTCAGCACCTCTAGACATTCCAGAGGGATTAAATCACCCGCGATCACCCTGAAATCTAAAGCCCAGCACATGACGGGGATCTGAGCCCCGTGCAGCACAGGATACCGTTTACGCTTTGCTTCACATTTGACATTTTTGAAACAATATCCTGGTACCCAAACAAATCCCCGTAGTGCTGAAATCACCACAAAATGTTCAAATGTAATATTGTGTTTAGTGAAAACAACTAAAGCTCCAGCTCATGACAATCGGGAAACGTCTGAGAACTGTTCAACGTGAGCAGATAAAACTCCACGTCCCGTTTGCAGCCGCCCGGCGGTCACATGGTCACCTGCAGCCGCCCGGCGGTCACATGGTCACCTGCGGCCGCAGACTCACCTTGACGGAGCTCTTGATGCCCTTGAACATTCCCAGGCACACGAGGGTCCAGGCGGCCAGCAGACAGCCCACGATGTACGGGTTGAAGGAGCCCGTCTCGTCGATGGAGTCGGTGATATCCAAAGCTTTGCGGTACCAGAAAAACGACGTCGGCGAGCTCTTTTCACATTCCTTTACTGCCGTTAAAAAAAAAGGGGGGGGGCAAAAAGATCTTCCGTTAGCAGCCTCACAGGTGACTCACGGCGGAGAAGTTAACACGCGTCGGGACCACGGCCGACCAAACCACCACAAACCGCCCCTGAAAGGATGCTGATCCAAATGCACGTGTTCTTTTCTGCAAGTGGGTCCAGCTGCGCTTTGTTAAACAATGAGAATAAAAAAAAATCCCTGAATCAGTTTTCGAGTTGCGCGTTTACCGGTTCCATTCCCCTGTTGTGGACACTGTTCCCAAGGCAACGGGGACTGGAACGAGTTCCCAAGATAGAAAAGGCTCCACGCGAGGATCACGTTGTAGTACAGAGCCACGAAGAAACACACCTGAAGACAATTGAGAACAAGACCATCAAGTTAGTAAGAACATCACTTGTCAAAAACCGTTGACATGGTTGTGGTGTCGAACGAAAATAACCCAGCCAGCGCCTGCCGACACCTGGAATATGTATTTTTACACCCGATAGCGAACAGCGGCGTCTCACCACGCAGCTGGAGTAGCCGATGCCGGCGAGCCGGGGGGAGATGAACTTCCACACCCCGATGCTGCCCTGTCGGATGGCCTGACCGGCCGCCAGCTCCAGGAAGAACAGGGGGATTCCCACCACCAGCATCAGCAGCACATACAGCAGGAGGAAGGCCCCTGAGGAGAAGAAGCAGGAGGTCAACAAGGTCCCACGGGACCTGAAGGACCCAAACCCCCGGGAAAGACATCTCACACGGCCGACGACAGCAGGCACTCACCCCCTCCGTTTTGATGGCACAAGTATGGAAACCTCCAGACGTTGCCGAGCCCAACGCTGAATCCCACCTGAGCCAAAAAATACTCTATTTTACTGTCCCACCCCGCTCGGGCCGCCGGCTCGGACGAGGCCGGCTGGCCGGCCTCCACCTCGGCCTCCGTGGCCTCGGGCTGGTGGTCATCCGTCGGCAGCGGCTGCTTCTCCATCTCACACTGGAGGGACCAAGAGGAGGCAAAGACAAAAGGAAACGGTGAGAAGAACGTGGAATAAGGAGGGTACGAGGCCGTGGCCGATCCCCCGTGATGACCAACACAGCCATTGTTGAGCCGAAGTAGATTTATCTTAATTGCTTTAAGGATGCACCGATATATTTGGCAAGCAGAGACAAACTGTTATTAATCTAATTCCACCGCCATGAAATAAACCCCACCTGCATGGAGGTCTTCATGTTCTGCTTTACGGAGTTAATTATGGGTAATTGAGGAGGGGGGGGGGGTGAACTATGACAGAACTCAATAAAAATCAACGAGGACTCGTCAGTTGCTTCACCACGTGGCCGAGCAGCGCGAGCGTAAACCGGACCGGAAGTCTTTGTCTCGCTTCTTCTGTTTGTACATACTGTCAAATTAAAATGCAACGTGTCGGATACTCGCGTTATTTAACTCCACGTACAGGTACTGTTAGCGGGATGTGCTTTGAATTTCTCTTACCGTCCCCGCGTTTTTTTTTTTGGCGTAATCGTGCGTTTGTTTCTTCCTGTTTGGGGTTTTACAGTCAACCGCTCCCCTACTACGTAGTGGTGCTGCTTTCAGGGGCCGCAGGACATCTGCGCACCGCCGCGGAGCCGGGTATCCTGTTGAGAGCGACGCCTAGTATAGCAAAATGTATTGATTATCTATTATGATCTATAAATCTACCACAGATCTATGATCTATGCCACCAAAGGTGATCTCTGAATACCTTTTTTTGTCAAATGATAAACTATCATATAGTTGCAGAAAATGTACAAACGTAGGTTCAAGAAAAAAGAACGGTGATCGGATTTTGTGTAGTACTCAAGTACATATTAATTCCTACCAATACTATAATTATGTAGTGAAAGGGTATTAGTGCCTCAACCGACAGCCATAGATAATTTGAGCTGGTATAAAGTTTGATTCAAATACAGCGGGTCTCGTGTATACATGATGAGCCTGAACGCAGCATTTATCCAAACAATGATCCTCTTAATAAGATTTAGACTATTTACTGACACGCGTGACTGATGCTGCCAGTTTAAACCCCCCAGTTTAACAGGGGAATCGGGCCCCCACACTTCATTCATGATGGATTGTCTGTAACTGAACTGCCAACAAGTTTGATGGAATAACGTTTTAACACTTGATCTGACGTGTCATGCATTGCCACACATACCACGTGGGAAAAATAACGTCACACTCCCAACTATCGCTGTAAATTATTCTATTTTGGTTCAACTTTAGTTCTGGAGAAACACCGGAAAGTCGAGGCTGATGCAACAGTCGCTTCGTGTCACCGCGCAGCGTTTTCTGAATAATTTCACCATTTAAATAACATTAAAATGTCCCACTGCACTTTTCCTCATTAATGTTCTCAGTGCTGTTACAGTATTTTTTTTAAAGGTCACATTAACCGGCATTGACAATTCTCTTGACCGTACCACATATTCACGCACGCACACGCACACACGTATACTCACCCACGCTGCACATGCCACGTATGCTTGTTTTGGATGCAATTAAAAAACAGCCTCCTGTCACCATCAACCCATCCCTACAGTACCGCACGTGCACATGACGTCATGCAGTTATGAATAAGTGGAAAATACCTCGCGACGTGAAACGACGCGGATCCGTGAGTAAATTCCCCCAAACACCCTAAAAGCAAGCAAGTGAGCTCTGCTCAGCCGACTCCTCCCACCTCCTCTGTCGGAGGGGAAAATGGAGGCCTGTGCTCCTCCAGCAAACACTGTTATGAAACTTGACACCCTGCTTCTTTCAGCTGTGCATGTGTGGTGGGACCCCCCCCCCCCCCCCACACTGAGGTGCACGTGGTATAAATGTTTCTGCTTTATTTCCTGTGCGGTGTGAAGGGTCTAAAATCACCAGCTGCCAGGTGTGTCTGGACAAGGTGGTTGTCCAACATCTCCTGACAGTTTATTTAATTCCCCCCAAACTGCTGGAATCAAACTGGTGAGTAGAATGTGTTTCTTCGTCCGTGTGCATTCCTCAAAAGTAGCCTCATTTATATTTAACAAGCCTAAAACATGCACTTATCAGTGCACATCTTATGAGAAAACACATTTAAATTAACTCTGTTTTGTCAGTTTTCGCCCCCCTTCACAAGTCTCCTAAACGTTTCCCAGTGTGACATGTGTGCACTTAGGAGTCTGTGGGCGCGCAGGGAAGGAGAACAGGTAAATCTTTTTATCACCAGGTGGTATTCTGGGCGGGACTGCGAAAAGTGGCACACCTCAGCTCTGTAAAAGCTTTCAATTTCAACGAGAGCAGGTTGGATTGAGACACAGAACGGGTTTTTACGGTAAGCATTCGCTCACTCACACAGCTGGTAACACCTGGAATACAGTATTGGAAGCCTATAGACGCAGGTGAGTTGATCACGCATCCATTTCCTATCACCGCCGCTTGTCAGAACGTGTCAACTTAACGACTGGTTCCCTCCTGAAGGAATCTGTGGAGTGACAACCGATCGGAAACTGTGCTGGAAGCGACTGTGAAACGTTCTGGCACGTTCGACATGTTTCAATACGTTTCTCTTCTTCCATTGTTGTAGAATTCCTGTGTAGTAATTTGTGAAACGCAGGGACGAATGTGCTAATTCAGTATTTCTTACCATTTAATGGTATTTTACTGAAATCAAAAACTAAATCAAGGCTCAGCTGCCCATTGCCACTCATTTCTACTTTTTACTAAAATTCCAGTTCTGTAAACCAACGGCGTTGGTCACAATCTTATCTTATAATGTATTTCTACTAATCCTCAGAAAAATCAGGGCCAGACTTTTATTTTGAAATACTACATTATTATTACATTAAGCTGCAGCTTGGCTCCTGCTGTAAACAATATAATAATATGGGACACATTTATGTCTTCATGAAACCGGTGTTTAGGAGACGCCAGTGGCGCCGGCGGTTTGCTCTTTTGAACCCAGTGATTCCAGTGGGCCTTTAAAATAGCGAGGTCCGTGCCGTCGGACCGGCTGGGCGGCTCACGTACTCTCACGACGTCGCCGCAAGTCAGCGGAAGCTGGCGAAGCTGAAGGGGGGGGAAAATGAAGAAATGAATGTTAAGAATAGTTTGTGTAGAGCACGAGGATCCGCGTACCTGCTGGCAGCGTTTAAACGCCACCACCGCGTGCGGGTGTGACCCACCGCCCCCACCTTACATCTCCTTTCTGTTCTCCTCTCCACAGCTGTCCGTTCTCCAGCTCAAACCTCTGCATTTTCTTCACACTGGACAGAGGATGATAAACATCTCCCGTTACCGTGTCAACGTGAGTCTCCTCTTCGACACCCACCCACCTTTTGTGTGATTGATTTTAAAGGCGCAGTTCGCCTCGAGTCCTCATCGTCTCTCCCGCTTGCAGCACCTGCTGACTTACTCTCTGGAGGCCGGGGATGTGCAGAACGTGGAGGAAGCCCGGGCCCGGCTCTCGGCCCTGGCTCGGAACGACAAGCTGTGGAGTCAGCAGATGTACCTGGATGTCGGAGCGGAGGCCGTCGTCCTGCGGGACACCGAGAGCCAGGTGAGGACAGCGGCGCGCGCGCGCGGTCGCTCGTTTGTGCTGCGCGGTTGGCGACGCGCGATTGACGACCTTTTTGGCTCCGTGTGCTCGCGCAGTACGAGCTGGAGAGCTACGGCCTCGCGTCCATCCTGCGCTGCGACGCCATCGACCCCGAGCAGCAGTTCACCTCCCTCCTGCTGCTGGTCTGCCAGGGTGCAGACCTGCAGAAGCCGGACATTCACTTCTTCGACTGCGAGACAGTGAAGGTGAGTAATAACACCTGAACATTTGACCCCCCCCCCCCTGCTGAGTCAGTGTGTCAGTTTGTGTCGTCGGCCTGGTTCAGGTTTTACGAGTGACTCCATTACCCGATTCTCCTCCTCCTCCTCCTCCTCTCAGGCCGAGCAAATCTGTGACGACATCACGCACTCAGTATCGGGTTCCTCCGGCAGCCGCAGAAAGAAGCTTCCGGATGCCCTCAGGTAGACCGACGTACACATCCGTGTGCAACACATCATACGCTTGAATACTATATATATATATTCAAGCTTATAATGGGCCCAATTTCCATGTTTGATTGTGGTTTCAATGGTAATAAAGAGTCTCTCTGTCGTGTGGGAGACGGTTCATATGCAGCCAAACAAAAGGCAGACAAATAAAACTGATAATTCTGACTTTTGAATTGTTTCCCTGTTTGCATTTCCCCTTTTTTTTCTTTTGTCCATTATGTAATATTTTCCACTGAATCAAAGCAGCCGGGTGTCACCATCCACCTGCCTGAGCGAGAGAGAGAGAGAGAGAGACGAGCGAGCGAGCGAGAGGACAGAGTAAACAGCTGACAGGGAGACAAAGACCTGTTTGGCCGGTTTGTGCATAGCTCAGGAAGGTGTAACTGAGATCACAAGGCCATTGTGACAGAGCGCAGCGAGAGCAGGAGGACGGATGACCGCGCTCGGCGCCTGAACGGATTACCTGCTTTGATACACCTTCTCTTTTAAAAGACGTGTGAAGGACAGACGGCGGTAAACAAACGACTGTTTCCAATCTCGCAGGTGTTTGCATATTTTGCAACGGTACATCGGCACGTCCGCGGCGTGTTTCCCGCTGATTTGTTTAAACTGAGGCGCGCAGCGTGAGACGAAGCACAGTCCGACTGTTTCCTCTGCTTTTTTTTTTTTTTTTAAGATTGGCTAATGGCAGACGTCGTCCCGCGGACCGTCCCGAGGCCCTCAGGGCGCCGGAGGAGCCTCGCCGGGATCCCACGAGACGCCCGTCGGCATTAACTAAAGTCGCTCTCCTCTCGTCCTCCCAGGCTTTCTCAGAGTGGCGGCGAGATGATGGACCGCCATGGAATCCCGAGCCACCCCATCGCGCAGGCTCCAAATCCACCCCCAGGCAACCCCCCCCCTTACCCCGGACACAAAGGTAGGGGGCAACAACAACAATAACAAAAAGCGCCATTTTCACATGAATGCTTGCGTGAGACTTTAAAGGTAAAAGTATTTGGAGGGATCTGTCATGGCGAGCGGGTAGTAGAGAGAGAGAAGGAGAAGCGAGAGGTATTTAGGAGCACAGAGGTGGCTTTGTGTGTGTGTGTGTGTGTGTTTGTGTAACGGGTGTGCGTCTCAAGGGCAACGGGGTCAGGGATCCCAAATGCTGGGAAAAGCAGGGCAATGAATGCGAACGGAAGCGCTGAGTCGTCTCCTTTCTTCTACAACAGCAAACGGCGGGCCGGATATCTCCTTCCTGCGGGCAGAGAGAGAAGTGGTACGTCACCTTTTATTTTTTGTGCCCTTTTCACTGACCTTTGACCTGACGTATCCGAACGGAGTGATGGGAAAACCCCCTTCTGCTTCTCAGGGGATCCTCAATCACTGCTTCGACGACATCGAGAGCTTCATGGGGAAGCTGCAGCAGACGGCGGAGGCCTCGACGGTGCTGGCGCAGAGGAAGAAGAAGAAGAAAAGTAAAAAGCAAAGTGCTGAAGGTAAAAAGAGGAGGAGAAGAAGTCGCGGCAACACGTTTATGGATCCTGATGAAACCAAAATGTGTTTTTCTTGTGTTCTGTGAGCAGAAGATTTACTCACTGCAAAGGCCCGCCCTCCGCCAGAGGAGGAGTTCATCCATATCTTCCAGAAATTCAAATATTGCTTCAGCCTGTTGGTGTGTATCCGGTCAAGTTATCGCTCTTTTCCTCCTCATTTAAGTCCCCTGGCGGCGTGACGTAGCCCCTCCCTCTACCGCTTTGTCCACAGGCCCGTCTGAAGTCCACCATCTCCGGTCCTTCCTCGGAGGAGCTGGTTCACCACGTCTTCAAACCGCTGAATATGGTGAGTGTCGTTACGTCTTCGTCTCCACCCGTCCCTCCTCCGGCCGCCGGTGCTGCAAACACCCGGACGCGTCTTTCAAACCAAGTTGCACCGCCGAAGCTTTTGGGATTATTTACTTGAAGACAAGAGTTCAGAAATAGGATGGAGGTTCCTGCCCGAGTTGATGTTGAACACAAATGTATACATGCATCAATAATAATAAGTCTTTATTGTGGTTAATACAGAAACTACATGTTCCTGTCAGTGTTGACACAGGGCGGTTCCCTTTGTGGTCATTGGAACTCCAAACACTCCTTACTTTGTTTAATCTAGTTTACATGGCAGAATCTGTATGCAGGTACGTGTCCTTGGTACACACAAGGTTTACATCTGGACTTATTGTAAAAGTTGAGTTACAGCGCAGATGTTTCCTAGGGGTCGAAAGTGGGACATTTAACTCCAACAGTTAATGTGATATAGAAATATAGGGGAGGGAGATTTGGTGGAACTTCACCGTAACTGTTTCCAAACCAATACGTCCGTCATGAAAGCCGACGTCCATGATGAAGCTCAGTTCTTCACATTTTCGGAGAAACTAGAATCATTTCATTTAAATATTTGTTCAACTCGTTTTTAAAATATACAACTCATTTTAAAATAAGAAGTATCAGGTGGGATTCAAGGTGTGTCCCTTTGATGAAGTCACAAAGGGAATCTAAGGGCGAAATGGGCGCGTCTGATTTGCGCATACTGGCACTCCTGCAGGGAAACCGCCTCATATTTATGAGTGTGTGTCTGTGTGTCACGTCTTCCTGATTGTGAATGAATCCATTAGGCTTTTTTTTTTTGCAGGCTTGGATCGACCGAGCTCTCCACAGAAGAGAAATCGATCGTATATCAGATCGATATATAATGTGTACGATGCACGAAAGGATTCTCAGACCGCGACCGTTGAACTCTCTTTGCTTGTGTGCAGATGGTGAAAACCACGGGGGGGCCGTCTCTCGGAGCCTCGGTGTCCAGCCCCGCCATGACCAGCTCGGCTGTCTACCTGCTGCAGGACAACCTGAGCGAGGAGGAGAGGCAGCTGTGGACGTCTCTGGGTCCCAACTGGACGCTGCCACGGTCAGTACCGACGCCCCCGGGTAGTTCTTAATGATTATACGTATAAGTGGAAAAATACAAGTTTGATTAATGAATTAAAACTGCTGCATGACACCTTTTTAAGTGACCTTTTCGCTTAATGCATTTAAGCTTTGATGGGGACTTTTAGTGCGATCCACATATGCATCCAGCCGATGGTCCAGCATGACGATTTTAATTGGTATTGACTATCAAAAACAACCGCAGGAAAGCTGTGTTTGGTTCCTGCTGTAAAGTCGTGCGTCCTCTCTCAGCTCCCAGCTTTCAGGGCCCGTAGCTCCCTACACTCCCGTGTTCTTGGACGGTTGGAAGCCGGAGGCCTCGAGGGCGGACGGGCCGGTTTGGGAGGATCCGGTTGAGTCACAGCACAAATATGAAGCGCTCCAGGTAAATCGAGCCGCCCTCGGTGGGGGCGAGACGGATGAGCGTAATAACAGACAATGATCCCTAAATAACAAGCACCATAAACACTGAAGAGGAACGTTCCTGTAAAGTCGCCTTAGTTCACCTTGGTTACATTTTTTTCATGTATTCCCATGCTTTTTTTTTTTTTTTTGCATGTTTATTATTAACAGTGCTCCCGTTGCTATGTGAACGGTTGTTAAAAGAGGTGTTTCTGCTGATGAGCCCATATTTTGACCCTTTTATCCTTTTTCTCTGTTCTGAACCCACAGCAGCAACAGTCTGTCGCTCAGGACGCCCGAGTCAGCGACGAACCGTAGGTCATCTTTAAGAATTTACGCTGCTATACAGACTTTCTCCCACCGACGCCCTGATAACGGCGTCTATCTCCTTCCCTCTCAGAGACACCAGCAGCCTCCCACCAGAGTCCGAGAGAATCTACAGCTGCACCTACGACTTCATAGCCAGGAACAGCAGCGAGCTCTCGGTGCAGCAAGGGGAGACGCTGGAGGTAAGGAGGTCCAATCTGCACTCAGTAAGACGAGTACGCGGTGCGTTCAGGGGCCTTGAAGCTCCGATTGCCCAAAAGCATGCCGACTGACCGCAGCTCCTCCGCCCGACAGGTGATCGAGTCGTCCAAGCGCTGGTGGAAGTGTCGTAATCGGTTCGACCAGATCGGATTCGTTCCCTTCAACATCCTGGATCCAGTGACCCACATAGACACGCCGGCCCCCAATAAACCCCCCAGTGTAAGACACACACACACACACACACACACACGGATCACCGCGCTCCCGCCTGCACACGCCTGAGGGAACTCAACTGTGTTTCTCCTCGCAGGCTCCGGCTCCACCTCCCCTCGCCAAGACCTTCTCTGCCGTCCCACCGAGCTCCAACGCCCACGGCCCCACCCACTCCCCCAAGCACCCGCACGGCTCGCCGCAATACGGTCAACGCGTACCAGCCGGAGAGGACCAAGACAACAAAGGTACCGGGCCATTGAGCGGGAGGTGTGTCGCGAACTGCATCAGATGTTAAAAGTGACCTAACGCGCGACTTGTGACGGTCCCAGTGATGATGATGAACGACGAGCTGCTCCAGAGGCTGACCAACGGGAAGACCAACCTGAACAAGCCTCTGGTCATCCCTCGCTCCTCGGAGACCTCGGTGCCGCTGGACTACCACTCCCCTCCGGAGGAGGTGGCCGAGTGGCTCCAGGGAAAAGGCTTCGGTGAACCGTGAGTGGCGTCTTCTCCCGGCGCAGCGTCACGACATGATGCTCAATCATGAATAAGGGAATTGGAATGGGTTCTCCCCCCCCTCAGGACGGTGCAGTGTTTGGGGGTTCTGACCGGCGCGCAGCTCTTCTCCCTCAACAAGGAGGAGCTCCGCGCTGTGATTCCAGAAGAGGGCGCCCGGGTCTACAGCCAGCTGGCAGTACAGAGAGCGCTGCTGGAGGTAAAAACTGTGATTTCAAAACGAGGCGACGCGAGAATAAATTAAACTGGGCTGACTGGTGAGTGGGGAAAACAAAAGGGCAGCAGATTTGTTTCAATCAGCCACGTCGTCCACATTAATTCCCCTGGAGCTCAGCAGCTGAGGGCCGTTTACATATCAGGTGCTTCAGTGATGTTCTTTTCCCCTTCACCTGGTCTCACGTGCTTCCACCATTCGCAGGACGCCAGGAGGTCCACTGAGCTGGAGGCCGTCATGGAGAAACAGAAGATCAAGGCGGACGTGAAAGCGGAGAGCAGCACGTTGTGAGCAGACCGACCGCCGTCTACAGGAGTGTTTGGTTCTGGTAGCGACGTCACTTGCGAACTCCTGAATTATTAAAGCTGCTCACCAGAGAAGGAACATGTGACGGAGGCCAGCGAATCGGATGGAAACAGGCCCTGTGCAAATTAAATATTTTCATATTTAGGTATTTTAATGTGTTGATTTGCATGTAAATTGTCTTGTTTGATTTTTTTTTTTCTAGTATGGAGAACTAACTTAAATGAAGTGTATATATCTTTGTAGAATTCATGAATTAAACCGTTAACATGCCTTGACCGAAAAGCACACAAGAAATTGTGATGTGGATTTTTTTTTTCAATTTTATTGAGACTTTAAAAGAAAGATTTCCAGCAGAACATAAACAGATTTGACTCCACACATTAGGTAAAGCGATGCATCCATTAAAATCTGTCCAATTATAATCTATTCGGTGGAACATAAAGACTAATTAAAAGGTATGTACAGTTACAGCATGAATCATTTACCAACCTACTGCTTCACATGCCGACGAACTTTGAAGTCACAATTGATCTTAAATATGAGAAATCAAGATATAAAACAAGAGCCTTTCCCTCAAGTCAAAACAAGTATTTACTGACACTGGTTAAACTCAAATAGATTCCCTTCACTAATGGCAGCACAACAAAGGTTGAAAACAAGGTTGGTAACATTAATATTCGTCGCAACTTTAACCTTTTGGTTTTCAAGTGGATTCCTAAAACTAAGTGGGCTTTAGCAAACTTAATACAAACCCCTAAATGTGGAGAGGTTTTAGGGAACTTCACCAGGAGCTGGTGAAAAGAAATCTTTACGGAGACTAAAAAAAAAAAGACTTATTGACAGGACGAGGCTCTTTATAACTACAACAATCAGTCGGCCCAAAACATAGATACAATATTCAGACAGATTCAGTATCAAAAGACCAGTTAAAAATAAAATATGGAGGAGTTACACACGTTTTGCTTTGCAGACTGTCAGTTAATGTTTGCTTCATCAGTTGGAAACGTTGATACTGGTGTTTGATGCAGACAGGCACCATGCGCCCCCCCCAATCCAACACCGTGTAAACTAGGTCAGCTGCATAAACTTAGAAAAAGGGAAAATTAGGCAGGCGGGGGACAGATGGGTCATCGGGTTATTAGAAATGCACAGACGGGGGAGAGAGACCGCAGGACGTCGGTGTGTCGTGATGGATGGAGTTCCGTCCTCAGAGGTCCCCCATGTCCCTGTCGTCCGCCCGGCGGGACTCTGACCTGCCGTTCATACCGTCCCTCCTGTCCCGCTCCCGTGACCGGTCTCTGGAGGAGCGCTCTCGGTCCCGGGACGACCTAAGTGTCGAGACGCTCAGTTATTAAGAGAAGCACGAGCACGGAACGAGCTAAATATACATGGTGTGTTTATTTACTTGTGTCTGGAGCTCTGCTCCTGGCTGTGACGGTGTCCTCTAGTGCGAGAGCTGGACCGGCTGCGGTGCCTCCTCTTCCTCTCCCTTTCTCTCTCCCTCTCCCTGGAGCGGGAGGGCGAGCGCCGCTTCTCTCGCGACGGCGAGCGCCGCTTCTCTCGCGACGGCGAGCGCTTCCTCCTGCGGTCACGGGAGCGGGATCTGACCCAACACAACAGGGGACACTTGAGCTGCAACGTACTGAAGCGGCGCCTTTAATCACAATGAGGGTTCCTGGAATAACGCTTACCTTTTATGCTCTCTGCTCCGGGATCTGGTCCTATGAAATAAATCGGCCAAAGTTTAAACGGTTGCGGACATTCACTTCACACAAAGACGAAAGGACTTCAAATGTTTGCACTCACTCCTTCTTCATCTTTTCCTCTTTCTCCCGCTCTTCTCGTCTCTTCAAGCGCTCCTGGTTCCTTATCTCTTGCTTGTCGACCACAGTTTTCTGATCACAATAAAAACGCATTACAATTAGAGGGAGAACCATCTAACTCCGAACCTCAGGATGGTTTATTCTCTTGTGTGCGTTTGACTGATCGACCCCTATGTCACCAATTACAACATGCACATGTAACTCATTCAGGATTCTTGTAGCAATGACGGCAGGACAGACTTCTCACCTTGAGTTGGTCCAGTTTCTCTCTGATCTGGATGAAGCCCAGATGAAGCTTCCCACCGAAATGGTCAGCCAAGCGGCGGTCGTTGTCATGGAGGCCGAGGTAGGCGGAGCACACCTCGCACACCCGCAGCTTCTGCTGCTGGAAGCTGGAAGCCGGCATGGAGTTTCTGTACTCCTCCTGAAGAGGGAAAAATGTATTTAAGGATAACAGGGAATTGTTGATGAAGAGCAAAGCACCAGATCAGAGAGAAACTGAGAACATCTCTTTCTGCAAGTCCTTCTTCCTCACCTCTGCATCCTTCTTCCTAGTGCGGACCTTCTCCACCTCCTGCAGGACCTTCTGGGCCTCGTCGACGTTGCCCTCCGCTCCAAGCTGCTCGGCCTTGGCCAGAAGCTTCCCGATTTCCTCGTTCAGTTCATGAACCTTCTCTGCCTGCGCACAACGGAAAACACAGTTGACCGGCGCCTTTCCCACAACACCTCACTAAAGCGCACACGACACGCTGCATTGACATATTAAGGTCATACATGATTCTCACACCAACCTTTGCTGCCACCTCAGCACTGATCTCTTCTTGGGTCTCAGCCAAGCGCTTCTTGGCCAACTCGGTCCTCCGGTCGCAGTCAGCAATGAATGACTCCAGGTGATCCACCGCCTTTGAGAAGATGGAAATATGGATTTTTCAAATTAATTTAAATAAGTAACTCAGTAGATCTGCGTACAAATGCACAAAATGTCTTTAGGGATAAAATGATCTTCATTAATCATTTGATTGCTTTGACATATGCTGTCTAAAACATGGCTGCAACCTGATGGTTATTCATTATTTTTGATACAAATAATTGGCATTGACTAAAGTATGACATTTTCATCCTTAAAGCAACAACAAGTATATCGTTGTGTCCCCGCCAGGCCTAAACTTAATCACACACACACACACACACACACACACACTTCTATGATCAGAACAACTTTACTATTTATTGCAGAATAGCACTTACGTCAAGCTCAAAGAACAGATCTCGGTTCTTGGAAGCAATTTCATAATCTGCCCGGAGTGCGAGGTCGTGGATCTTTGTGCACTCTCCCAGGTCCCATCCCGCTGTCACCAAAACAAAAGCACACATGACTCAACCTGCACCGACTCAAATACAAATTACATGCAGTGCATAGTTTAGTTTCATTTTAATATCATGTGAAATATAAACTGCAGTCATCTGGAGGCCACTTACAGTTCCAGACAGGATGTCATGTGGACAGCAGTTCAGAAGATGACTCTTGCAGACCCGCTCGTCGGAGAACTTCACCCTCTGCCGCGTCTCATCGCCTGAAACAGTCCAAAAAGCAACCAGTGAGAAAGACCTCACGTATTCATCATCGTGGGCGAGGTAACCAGTGCTTTAACATACAGGACTGTCATCATACAACACGCGTCACTATAACTGCATTCAAGGATTCTGTACCCACCTAAATGGGTGAAAGCAATTCTTTTATTTTCAATTGTCAACGTTTTACATACATTTCATTTGTAGAACATTGTTTGCTAATAATAAATACTGTTTCCGCCGGACTATGCGTAGGATACATTTATGTGTCAAGATTAAAGAAATAAAAGTAACATGTGGCTCTTCCTCTTATTCTCGGTGCTTACCGTACCCCAGACTCAATGAAAATATGGCTGTCAGTTTAACTTATCATACGGTTCAATGATCAACTACGAGATTATGCTAAAAAGGACACAAAACAGGTAAATAAATATAAACGTGTATTTCAATTAACTTGAAACAGGGGTACATTGCTTTTGTAATGGTTTCATTACATTCGAATGCATTGGACTATACAGGGAAGATGCAAACATTTCAGACAAATGTTCCAGCCAAGCCTTTTACAAATACGAAACATTGAAAACAAAAATATAAAAACAATTCCAAGGAAAAAAATGTGTTTATACACACTGCGATCTGCACCACATACTGTACCCTTCTGCATCTTCAAGACCTCAGCTGCAGAATTTTAAACCCGCTGTAGAAAAGTATAAATGGGAACAGTTTTCTTGCCCATACCTGTAGTAAGAAGTTGGGAGTCATACACAAGTCAGATTGTAAATGATGTGTGCCACGTTTTTTTCTTCCTTTCTTCGGTGACAAACTGTCTTCTGAAAACAGTCTCATCGAACTGCTCGATTGGATTCTGCGCGATCAGACGTCTTAGCTGAAGCGGCTTAACACTACCCCAAAGGGAAGAGCTATTGTGTCCCTGAAGATGTACCATTTGTGACTTAAAAAAAAAAAAATTAAAAAAAAGCTACAATAACTTCCGGAAGGTAAACAAATGGTTTGGATATTCATCATAACAGCTTTAAAAATTATGTGTGACTCACGGCTCGATGAACATGAGGCTTTTCTGCAACTCCTTTGCAGATTGTTGTAGGCTGGCAAAGATACACTGAACCTTAATGAATAAAATAAAGGGGCCACAATTGTTCAGTTTGTATGCAACAAATGTATGGGAAGAATTTTATATCAATCTCATCACACATACACCCACAAACTCACAACACAAAGTCATTATTACTGTTGAGATCAAATTATCAACTTATTAAAAGAAATCCACAGTTCCATTCAATAAACTGTCAGGACGAACCTCTAATTTATACAATAACTGGGCAGCGATATGCTGTCTATCCTGCCCTTGGAAATCAGACACAACAGCTTGGTTACCTCTTAATGTTTGTATCCAATTTGCTGCGAGCAATTAAAACTAAAATGGTACTTTCACATGTCAAATTGCTTTTAAAAACCACCGCTATTAAATTAGCAGGAAATTAGCGTTTTAAATTAGACTGTAGACATTAAAATGCCACGGATCATTGTGTTCGAAACTTGACACCCCTTTGCCTCACTTCATTATTATGTGTATTCCAAATTTCAGAGGAAAATATTGTGCTTTTTACTCCAGTAAAAAGTAGTTTGATTGTTGAGGTGTTTTAATCAAAACATACATCAACTTGCAATGCAAGTTAGGAAGCAGTTACAAAAAAACTATTATAAATGAGCCCCACTAGCTACCAATGAATAACAAACACTCTTTCATTGGTAATAACATATTGCATGTTAAAGGTTAATCCGCTAAATGTATGGCCGATCATGTTAGACGAGATTTACTGTAGAAACATTATTAGGTACAATACCTTTCCTTCTACAGATGTGAGCATTGTTCAACACTGTTGAGCTCTTGTTGACATCAATGCTAATATTATACATCGGCTCTGTCCCATTATGACGGTGTCCATCGACGGCATTAGTTGATAAACGATTAAACACATTAAGCTTAAAGTCAATTCGGGAAAAACGGACAGGCCTGTGCGACGCATAACAATGGTGTTCGTTATAGCGCATCAACTACACGCTGCCAATGTAACGCAGTGGCTTTTACGCTATCCACAAAACCATCATTGGTTACAACCTAATAAATGCCAGGGATTGATGACTTGTAAATCATTCAGTGTTAGATAACATAGTAGCCAATGCTAACTTCGATATCTAACGTTAAAGCTAGACATTTCGTCAGTAGGAACTTAAAAACTCACCATTAAAATCAAGCTGACGTTAAATGGATACAAACATTAAAGCCTAACGTTAATCCGTAGGAGCTACTTGAATCTCACGTAACTGTATTTTACACAGCCCCCTGCAGTACTAAATCCATTCATGCAGGCCTGCCATCACACACCAACACAAGCCAGCCGCAGCAGTGGCTCCATCTTGGCTAGCTAGCTAGCTCAGCTAGCATGCAACAGCAACTCACCATCCCTCGCTGTTCCCATTAGCTGGTCGAGCAACGCTCTCATTTGAGCTTGGGCGGACATGGTCGTGGGTCTTCCGTCGACGGCGCTGTGTGATAGCAAGCAACTGAAAACAGTTCCTTCGTATTTTCTATCAACTTATCGTTTATTTATTCGTCAAAGCATCGCCTCTCGCCCGCTTTTCTCGATTTCGTGGATTGGTCAGCTTCCGTTTCATTTAAGGGGAAGTGACGACACAGAAAGGCCCTTTTTCAAAGTTTTCGTTTCCTTCCACACCAAAGGGCGGGACATCGAACAGGCTCAAGAAACGACCAATCGTAACGTTTCAGGACTGGCGAATGAACCAATCAGAGTGACTTGAACCCAACGCATCGGCCGGAGCATACGGGTACCTGTGAAGCCGTAAAGGCCGCGCCCCTTTTGCAGGGGATAGAAACCGACGATAGGATAGATGTCAATGACGTAATCCACTAAAGCAGAGGTCAAGTGTATTATTTGGGGAGCAGCAATCAACCAATGGGGAGAAAAATGTGGGACAGAGAGGATAAAGGGCAGCTATTTATATCGTATTCGAGTGTCAAAGTTACTTCCGGAGGTATTTGAAGCAGGAGATTGTGAAAAATGTTGACGAGTTTGAGATTGTGTGCTAAACAAAACAATGCAATTGATAAGAAAACCCGAGATAGGATCGTGTGAGGAATGTGGAGGAGTCGAGTTGTAGTGAGTAAGAGATGCAGAACGGGAGGAATAATCTGGGAAAATGACGGGTGCATAAACCGACATTAAAAGGCGTAAGCATAGGTGAGGGAACACAGGTTAGACTACGTTAACTCTTTTAAGTTACTTTTTTTTCATAGGAGGTCTACTGATCTTTAGAGTGTAAACGAGTAGGGGGGAAAAAGCTATTTGTGTGGTATCTTTGTTTAGATAGTTGTGAGGGAAGATGTAAGTTTAAGGATGGGGCCTCTGTACTCCTCCTTTAAGGAGACAGCGCGTGTCTGTGCCCGGAAGGGGGCGCGGTTTTCATGAGCCCTCGCCGGTATGTATTGGGGTTCTTTGCCCTGAGTGAAACCTCTCAGGCGCCACGACCGCTGTCCGCCGCAGCTCCCATAACCCATATTTATATTTAGGGTTGAGGTTAGATGACATTTATGTTTTGGTTGTTTTTTATCGGTTGTTTTTTGGTTCCCTCATTGGTGTCTATGAATATTCACACAACGCAGAACGCTTTTACCTGAGGCATCAACTCAGGGCAAATGACTTCTTCGGTGGTGTGCCTGATATTTGTTTACGCAGCTGCGGATGACAGGCAGCTCTGCTGGTGTTCGTACCGGCCCGCTCCCGCTAGTCAGCCACCGCAAGTGACCACTGAGGACGACGGTGGAGAGTAAAGTAGGACTTTTTTCTGTCTTGTCCTCATTTGAGCGTCACGTGGTGGTTCTTTCGCGATGACGTCAGCCTGTAGCCCTCCTGCCGCGAGGCCTTTGCTTAAACAAGTTAACGTTAGCAACTTAGCGCTAACTTCCTTGTAGTTAGCAGCCGGTGCTAACTTGTTGCCTAACCAGATGTCAGCGGTGAACTCCCCGAGCCAAAGCTCGCTAAACATCGACACACAAGGCCCGTCTTTCTTGGGCGAACAGTTACTTAGCTAACATCATTTGACAGTAAATTAGCTTGTGAACTTTTAGCGTTTGATGGTTAAGAGCAACACGCCGGTGGCTCAGCGACAGATAACAGGGTGTGCCGGCCCGGGGGTATTGTCTCCTTATTATTGGTGTGTTGTGTTGTCTCATTATGTGTGTGTGTGTGTGTGTTGTCGTCTCACTATGGGTGTGTGTTGTTGTCTCATTGTGTGTGTGTGTGTGTGTGTGTGTGTGTGTTGTTGTCTCATTACGGGTGTTCCTGGGACATCCAGGAACTTTAGTCTTTAAATACTGCCGCCAATGGAACACGGTTTTCACTGTGCGCTCCTTTCCCTGTCGAATAGGTCTGTGGGCCAGTAATGCATTGAGGCCACCATGGAGACCACCGAGGGCGACCCCCTGAAGGTCGGTGAGGGGGAGGCAGAGACGGGGACCGGGCCGTCGGTAACGGAGCTGAAGAAGAAGAAAAGTTGCAAGGAAGTCTTGGGTTTCTCAAAACTCACCCATTGGCGAACGGCGGTCTTCTTCTTGTCCTTGTTCCTGTGCCTCACCATAGTGTTCGCCTTCTCATTCATCATCCCTTGTCCTGTCCGACCACAGTATCTCAGTACCTGGAACAGGACTTTCTCTGAAGCAGGTGTGTCAAATTGTGTGCTTTTCACTGCTTGGTTGTGTTTTTATTGTTTGAGGCACTTGCTAACTTCACCTCCTCCTCTGCCACAGTGACCTATGACTTCTTAGCTATTGAAGATACAAACAACGACAATGTGATGGATGTCCTGTTTGTCCTCAAAAACACAGAAATCGGTCAGAACAAAACTTGCACTGCAGGTATGACGGGTCATTCTGTTTTAATCCCATTTATTCCTTATTCAGGAGGATTGATCTTCATATAGTAGATCTAATTACATTCGTTTAGTGTAATTCTGAGGCGCTCTGTGTTTTTCAGGCCTTCCCTCGCCGTGTGTGTTTGTGTTGGCGGTGGACGGGACGGATGGAGAGACCCTGTGGGGCCGCGCGCTGGACCCAGAGTTCCACTGGGCCCAGTGCGGTCTGGATGCAGAAAAAGGCCGAAGCTGGCACTGCCTGCTGTCCCATTCTGACCAGCTCACTGCTGTTGACAAATACACTGGTTGGTTGACTCATCGCTCTGTGTTGTAAACAAATATCAAGGAATTACAGATCTACGCAAACATATTTTCTACAATTTAAGTAAGTTATCAAAAACAAGACTACCTGTTTTAATTTGTACGTTAGTGTTTTGACAGACATGAAGATGCGTGTGTGAAGTTTCAAGTGATCGTAGCCCTTTTAAATTGTCCTCTGCTCAGGACAATCTGCTCATTTATCGCTTTGTCTGCAGGTTAAATTTGGTCTAACAATTCAAACAAGGGTATAAAGCGACTCTATTTTTTAAAATTTTCTTCTAAAATCAGATACATTTAGTGAGGTTGAGTAGCCCTTTGCTGTCCGGTGTGTCTACAGGTGAAATCCAGTGGCAGCAGCCTCAGCCTGCCGGTCTGAACAGCACCGCACCGGTTCTTATAGTCCCAGATCTGGATGGGGACAAGATCAGCGACGTGGCTCTGGTGGCGTCTGACCTGACGCAGGTAAACACCGGCGGTGTCGTACGTTTATTTACTTGCCTTGCTTCATGTTAACGCTGTGAGGCTTCGGTCACATTGAATTTTGGCGTTTTCTTCCACGATAATGATTTCGGTGTCTGGCGTCATATCTGCAGAGTCGGCTGGCGTTCCTCTCGGGGACGACGGGGGTGCAGATAGGGACCACGGTGGTTCTTGACTCCATAGAGACGGTCAATCATCTTCTCCATTGCACAACCGACGGTTCTTACTATGTGCTAATAAAAAAAGGTTTGTATCCTAAACAAGCTTTGACATGATTCACAACATGTTGGTGCCCGTTTATATTTGGAAGGAGCAGCGAACTGTGTCGAAATAGTTAAAACTGTAGGTCAGTTTCTCTGCTGAAAAGACAATAACTCAAAACAGTTAGAAGTTAAAAAGCTGATCCATATGAAAAGGAAAAAATGAATATATTCATATATATTAAATGACCCAATCCCGCTTGATACCACTGGATGGCAGTAGTGAGTAATCTTGTGCCCATTCAGGCTCTGGCTTGTATGGACTGGCCCTGTGGAGGATTGCTGCTAAAGCCGGCATGGAGGGGAGCCTCCAGAAGGACAAAGACTGGGAGGACGACGCCAACGCAACATCTGGCCTTGTACCCATCTATGAGTAAGAAGCAGGAAAAAAAGTACCTTTTTGGTTATTACTTCAGCAACAAAGATTCATCGTCACGCCTTAATCTTTTGTTTTGTATTGATTTTTCACTTCGTAGGTCTGATCCAGTGAGACAAGTGCTCCGAGTAGAACAAACGGGTTGTGCGCCCAAGCTGCTGCTGGTGACTGCAAACAGCGTGGCCTTAGTTGATGGAAAACATCGGCAGCTACTGTGGAGATTCAATACAAGCGCAATCCTCACGTATGATTTAGGATCACATTCTGCTGTCCAATCTCATCTGTAGCTACACGGGTCACTTTAAAAATAGATGTACACCTTGTTCTGTTCAGTCATTTCAACCGAGCTGTTTGGATCAAATACGTCTCCTCTGTGTTTGCGTTCATTCAGCGAGCCGTCCTTCGGCCACTTTAACAAGGACGATGTCCTGGACGTCGTGGTCGAGGAGGACATCGGCAACTACACCAAGAGGGTAAGACCGCCGCGCGGCTTCTGCCACGCGGCGACGAACCCGCGGGTCCCACACTCACTCCACTGCTGTCCGTGTGTCCTGCAGGTCATGATTCTCGATGGGAAGTCCGGTGGTTTGCTGTGGGAGGTCAACCTTTTGGCGAGTCCCAACTCGCCCAGACCCGCCGCCATACACACCATCAACTCCTTCTCCATCTTTGTGTTCTGGGGCACGATGCCCTCACAGGCCAACTCGTCTGTAAGCACGCTGTCCTTATTAAAAGATGCACGTTGGCGGATCCGCACTAAAAGCTTATCGGACTGAAATGTTTCTTTCCAGGAACCGTTTGAAAGTGATCGCCATTCTTACCTGCTGCACCCTCTCTACGCTGGAGTCCTCCTTCAGTCGGCCAACGTCATGGACCACATCCTAACCTTTCACGGTGCTCATTATTTTAAATTGTCTTTCGTCAAGTCGTGAGACGGCGGTGGGCGGGATGAAGGACGACGGACCAAGTCCAGCTCTTGACCTGCGTTTTTCTTTGTATCTCAGCCACTCTGTTGGAGAAGGGACGCCATGCTGCCTACATCCTGCTGACGGGTCCCGGCGCGGTGGGAGCCGAAGGCACCGTGGTCCTCAGCAAGCGAAAGATGAAGCAGGAAGTCCTGGACAGCCGAGTGCTCCACATCGGTACCGGCGGAAGCGCAGCGACCAGCGAGGAGATCAAAGACGCCTTCGGTCGCCTCCGCTTCAGCGATTGGTGAAGAGCGTAGAGTTCATCCTGCGTGGCGAAACGCGGCCGGCCGCCGTAGTGGCTTCGAAACCAAAGTGTGTACACGAGCTATGCTTTCAAACTGCTGACCGCCAAAACATCCTTTTGTGTTTAGAGACTTGGGTTGAGTTGATTTGACAGAGCTCGTCCATTAGTCTCCATCGGGCATTACCTGCTTCCAGACTTTACTGCTGCGGGAGTTTGATTTCACTTTGTATCCAAAAGAGGCACAACATGTCTGCTCCGTCCTGCTGATGAGTTCCTGCCATGCAGTAGCGTTTCTTAGCACTTTCATGCATTAATGCGATGCTCTTTTGTTTTATTAGCGGCTGGATCGTTATTTGAATCTACGCATCTTTGTCGTATCGGGCTTTGAAAGCAGCCGACGCACAGGTGTTAGTTCAAGTGACGGCAGTCTAAAAGGCACAATCATAGGGCTTTTCTTTGGTACTGAAAGACGTACTTGTGGTTACACTATGCTGAGGCTAAGCTGACACTGTGGTTACATTTAATGTTCACGGGATCCGTTGTTTGTGGTCAATGTATCATCGTTTGTATCATCGTTTTCAATCCAAGATGCTGTAACTAGTGATGCTCTTTAATTCACACTGACTTAACCTTTGAACTCCTTCGTCCCGAATGCTCTCCTTCATATCTAGTTACCTTGTGGGGGTTTTTATGTTGATTTGTTTCTGTTTTTGCTGTAATGTGTTGAACCAAAAAGGCCTTTGTCACAGCTGACGTTTCTGTGATTTGTTTTGAGCAATATTAAACTACTTTAAAATATCTGCCCCTGTGTTCCCTCAAAGACGTTTTATTAGAGAAAATAGTGAAAGTAGAAATACCAAAGACATCTCTTAAATTAAAATATATCAAATAACTTTGGTCTGCTCTGGTGTTATGACCTTGGCAAAACAACTTCTAGATGAATAAATCCCCTAATAGTGGATGGCTATGATATTAAATAGATACGACCTAATATGTTGTCTCATTTAAAGACACGCTTTGTCAAAAAACACATGTTTTACTGTCAAACAATGAAATACTAGTTGCTTCTCATATTCCTTTTCAAGGACATCCTGGTAAACGCACCACAGCTGGCGCGCGTGCGTGTGGAAGGTGGTCACGTGTCACACCGCGCTATTTCCCATCACCTGGATGGAGTCTGAGACCCCCCACGGAGCGCACCTGTGCGCACGCGTGTCCGCCATGGCGCCGCGAGCCGCCCGCACGACCGTCTCTGCGCGCGCCCGCCGACGCGCGGTGCGCGGGCACGCCGCCTATCGGCAAACGGACACTTTAACCGCCCGGTGCGAAAGTCGTTGGAGCTCGCGGGTCCGAACTGCCGCAAAGGTAAAAGCCGTTTAGCCTTTTAACACCTGAGGAGAAAACATTGTTATTAGACCTTTTACCAAATGTGTTTGATAGATTGTGTCTATTGATTAGGGGAGAATTGGTTATCAATACATTGAGGGTCACGCATTTCTATTTGTTACGGATGTTTCTCTCCAGTAGCGAGTATCGCGTCTTTAGCTCCGTGATATTTAACGTTAATTCGCGTTTTGCTTGTTTGTATGAAAACGAAACGGGAAGTGATCCTGTGGAAGGAGAAATGCAGGTGAACAAACGTAACACACATATCGTGTTATTACACACGTATTCATATATAATGACGTTATGGTCGTGATAATAGTGTTGCGCCACACCTGAGACCCGGTCCGTCTATTAGACCTGTACGGGGGGACCGACATGATCTCACGTCCGCGGACGCGGATCTGTGGACAGGATTCTGTGGACAGGAGTGAACATGGCTGAGGACATTCAGGCCAAACTTGAGAAGTACCGCACGGCCCCCTTTGACGCCAGGTTCCCCAACCAGAACCAGACCAGGAACTGCTGGTCCAACTACGTGGGTGAGACAAAGACGCCGCGCCGTTATTCAAAAACGTGAATGAAGTTGCTGCCAAAAATGAAATAGTGCTCTTTAATGTTGTTGGTTTTTTTTTTTGTGTGGCTGCTTCAGACTTCCACCGCTGCCAGAAGGCGCTGGAGGGCAAAGGAGCGGACACGGCGCCCTGCGAGTGGTACCGCCGGGTCTACAAGTCCCTGTGCCCCATGGCCTGGGTACGCTGCGCTCTCGCCGACTTCTATTCGTATGAGAAAATGTCTCCGCCGTGTCCACGCGGGCCGTGTTTGTTCAGCAGGAGTCAAGACAACTTTATCGGCCCCTCGAGTTCCTGTGCGTCCTTTTTAGGGCCCGAGAACCGAAACGAGAGAGTTTCAGTCCAAATTTGGAAATGAGCCCTTTAAAACAATTCTCAGACCAGTCGTCTTTTCTGCCAAATCATGTAAATGACGTCCTCCACATTTCTTAAAGTCTGCCATCAGAAATAACTCTCTTCTGACCCCTTAAAGGTCGTACATGAAAGGACCTTATTGTAGAGGCATGTGGGGCCTTTTATCAGATACAGGGGGCTCTGTCCTCCTCTGACGCTTTGTGACTAAAATAAACCCTGCTCGTGTCCTAAAATAAGCCTCTTTACTAAATGATGTCCCTTCAGGTCCAGAAATGGGATGAACAGAGAGAAGAGGGCAACTTTCCTGGAAAGATCTGAGGACTTCGGAAGCCCTCCGTCCTCGGACCACAGATGAAATCGGTTTGCGTACGTGTTGGGAGACCACGTGGCTGCGACCTACAGCCGACCTTCATTCCTGACCAATGACACGAGATGTAAAACAGATTCTGCATTAAACTATCAGGACGTATTTATGTGGATCAGAGTTTTTTTTCTCCTCGCGGTGAGAGATCTCATGCGCTGTCAAGTAAGGAGTGTTTCTTTAGTATTTTTATTCATTTCAAATAAGGCTACATCAAATATACATATTCAATAACGATTAGAAAAATAAATATTTCAAAATAGGTGTCACACATAAAATAGAGCCACCGCCCTACAGGGCAGGACTGAGTAGTAATAATAATAATAATAATAATAAAAGTATAATGACCACTGGGACACGCTGAAATTAAATACAGGAAACTGCATTTCATTTACAATCACTCATAATTGGAGTAATTGGTGTGAAACATATCGGGGCTCAATGAAGCAGTAAGAACTCAACATATCGAACAATTTAAGATGAACAGCTAAGCTTCCCATGCAACAAGTTAGTAAATATTGAATGAGTGAATAATACGACATCGACTACCAAGTAATATAGTGACGTAGAATCAGATGAATCCCTTTTAAAGATCAAACTTCTCATTTTGAGGTAAGATTATAGTGTTTGCATATTAGAAGTTGCCTGTTAATGAATATACTCAAAATCTAATTTGGCAAATGTAGATATTTTCTTTCTATTTCTAACCAAATCTCTCAAACAGCTTTACTGGCTCATGAAATGTTTAATAAAACCTTTATAGCAACTTTGATAAAAGGTCACTTGGATTGCCACCTTTTTTTTTTTCTTCTACCTGATGATAAGCAGAAAAGAATAGACTGACCCAATTTGTGAAGCCAAATGTATATTTCAAGATTCAAGAGTGTGAAGCTTCGTGCTGCTTCAGGTTTGAGTGTACAAAAAAAAAAAAAAAATCAGACTTTTTTTTTCAACTTTGACCACTTACGCCCCCTCGATATATAAACCTTTGAAAAGGGCGAAAAGCACTTTGCCAAGTGAAACCGTTGCTTGTAAATACATCAGCCCACAGATATAAATCACCACCCGATATAAATAGTGTCTGCATAGCATTACGATTGGTGTACTGGAGGGACTGGTTCCCAGTGGGCAAAGAGCCGCTTGTCTGATTAACCTGATGTGAGAACGTATCCGTGTAGCCTGGGAACCTTTTTCGTTTGTTTTTTTTTTTTTCTTTTCCCCCCCATGAGTATTTTCACGCCACAAGCAGCATTTAAATATGCAGCACAGAAGTCACATTAGCAGCCACATATATAGTGTTACGTACGAGGCACAAGAAAAGACTGATAAAATGCAGCCTCGCAGGGTTATCAGGGCACTGTGGGAGGGACCACTGGTACACGTCCAGGAGAACGGGCCCGGGTGGGAGGGGAGCGGCCCAGCCATAAAGTGGAGTCCTGTGTGTGTGTGTGTGTGTGTGTGTGTGTGTGTGCGTGTGTGCGAGCGAGCGGCTCCAACACTTGTGTCTTAGTACCCGACTCTGTCAGTACCTCCTCTTTCCGTGTTTCCCCCCCTCGGTCATGCAGGTTTTCGGCCGAAGAGCTGCAACAAAGCAAAGCGGAACACAAAAGGCTTGAGAATCACAACAGACTGAAATGTGACACAAACCGGTGGGGCGATTCGCCCGGAGACTCACCTGGATCGGCTGCCTGCTGCTGCGTCTTCTTCTGGTTGTGATGGACGATCTGATTCTCGTTGGTCATCTTCACATCCTGGTCCTCCACATAGTTGCTGCAACACACCGAGGGGAAGAACGAATGAAGACGCGGCACAACGCGAGGAGGAGGGCTGACGGGAAAACAAGGCCTGAGGTCACAAGGCCTGAGGTCACAAGGTCAAGGCCTTGAGGGCAAAGACGGAGCATCGCAAGTCAAGCGGGAGGGTGAGGGACGACAGGGGGACACCGGAGGTGGCTTTGGGGATCTGGGTAAACAGGAATTGACCACAGGGAGGTGCTGACGCTACGTCACTTACTGGTGGTGGTAGTGTCGGCTGCCACGGGGGCTGAGGTGGAGAAGAGCACATCTCAAAACCACTCACCACTTGAGACAAAAAGGGGTTTCAATCTGTCTCCAATCACTACGAGTCACGACGTAACGAAGGTCATCGTCCTATCGACATTTCGACCTTCTAGTCACAAAGCAAACATGGCGCATCAATGCCGCACATGCTAGCGTGCCGGGTACCTGATGACGGTGTTCCTCTCCCGGTGGGCGACGTAGGCGTTGTCTGTGAACAGGACGGTGTGGTACGGCACCGTTGCATCACAGGTGGGCAGGATGCCGCGCGCCACGTGGCTCACGCAGTCCAGCACGCCGTTGTACACCAGGAGGTCGTCCACCAGCAGCTGCATTCACACACACACACACACACACACACCCTTTTGTTCGTTGCTAAATGTAAAGCAAACACAATGTCGGCCAGCTGACGGAGAGGCTTACCCCGAACTCCTTCACCCCCCTTTGTGGCGTCTTGGAGTAGTTCCACAGCTTGATCATGGACACCGTCACCGGCTGGTCGAAGATGACGTACACGCGGTTCACCTGAGAGGAAGCAATCGGCACACAGATCCGATGGGAAATTTCTTATTTACTGTCACTTATCGCGGATTCTCGCTCCCATCCTCACCAGCCCGGGGAGCACCGGGGACAACCACATGCAGCGCCCATCGTAGGTGCAGTTCACTCCGTCTATCAACTTATCCGGAGTCCTCACGTCGCCGCTCACGTTGTCCAGCACGTTCACGCTGTCCGGAAAAGCAGCGATGTCTTGTGGACGGAGCGTTGAGGACACAAAGCTCGGATCAGAGACGGTCGGCCTTCTAGACGGCGTATTGTAGTTAGAGGAGAGCGTTTGGCGTTAGGTTTTAAAAGGAGCGTCACGGAGGATACTGTTGTCGCTGAGGCCGATCTGCTCGTGGTTTTGGTCGTAGAACTCCAGGCCGTTGAGGCCGATGTAGTACGGGTCTCCCCAGGTTGTTAACAGCTGCAGCTGAAAGATGACTGATGGGTGAGGGTGAAGGAAGATGACGACATGAAACCCGTATGCAGCGAACAGTCGGTCCGTGTCCACATTCATTTATTACAAAGTGCATTGGATTTATCCTCCACTACTTATGTCTGAATTCAAACTTGGCCTTTGAATAAACATGAGAACAAATCCTACATTTCCAACGAATATATGACGGCACACACGGGAAGATAACACGATCCACATTCAGCACAATAGAAAAGTAATTATTAAAAGCAAATGCAGATCAATCGCCTGAACATACAAATCTAATTCATTCATTTGCAAAAGAACTGAACAGTTTGAACAAATTCAATAAAAACAACCATCCAAAGCATGTCGGGATACAGCCGCAAGGCATGATGGGAGCTTCATAGTCCATGCTGGCCTCTTCTGGTTTCGTAGCGCGTCCTCTGCATTAGAGAGGACAGCATTGTAAACGAGGAGGTTCAGTTCTCTCATGAAATAAAAATAAAGGAAAAATAATAATAATAATGATACATGTCCGTTTCCTACCTGTGGAAGTTCTCTGCACTCCTGTTGTCGCTGGCCGTCTGGAGGAAGTCGATGAAGAGGATCTCCTGAGCGAAGTCAAAGTGACAGTTGCCCGGTCCTTTCCTGATCAAGAATCCCTCCGCTGGGGAGATGGCAGCATCGTCCATGAAGACATGGATCACCTTCACCTGAGCCAAAGACGTGGACAACAAGTTTTTCTTCTCCCAAGTCTCCTGCATAGAAACCTACAAAATCTAATTCTATTACATAGATTGATCTCACTGCAAAGTCATTCATGCCCGACAGAAAGGTGTCTCACCCCTCTGTACGAGTCCTCGGGGGACTTGTTGTAGTTCCAGATACGGAGACCAGCCACCGTCTGGGCCTCGGGGAACGTCACGCTCAAGGTGTGTGGCTCTCCGTAGGAGAACGGGATCAGCCACATGTTCTGGTCATCGGTGGTGATATTGTGGCCATTTATGAGCCTGGGTGAAGAAAACAGACACGGAAGACGGGACGTCACAGTGATCTGATGAGACGTCCCAGACGTCTCTCTGTGCTCAGAGGAAGTAATGATGTGGGAGCCTGAAGTTATTCCACCGGTCAGACGTCAGTGTGTTCAGGCGTGCTCATCAAGCGTGCTTATCGAGCGTACTTATCGAGCATGCTTATCGAGCGTACTTATCGAGCGAACTTATCGAGCGAACTTATCGAGCGTGCTTATCGAGCGTGCTTATCGAGCATGCTTATCGAGCATGCTTATCGAGCGTACTTATCGAGCGTACTTATCGAGCGTACTTATCGAGCGTACTTATCGAGCGTGCTCATCAAGCGTGCTCATCAAGCGTGCTTATCGAGCGTGCTTATCGAGCGTGCTCATCGAGCGTACTTATCGAGCGTACTTATCGAGCGTACTTATCGAGCATGCTTATCGAGCGTACTTATCGAGCGTACTTATCGAGCGTGCTTATCGAGCGTGCTTATCGAGCGTGCTTATCGAGCGTGCTTATCGAGCGTACTTATCGAGCGTACTTATCGAGCGTGCTCATCAAGCGTGCTCATCGAGCGTGCTTATCGAGCGTACTTATCGAGCGTGCTCATCAAGCGTGCTTATCGAGCGTACTTATCGAGCGTACTTATCGAGCGTACTTATCGAGCATGCTTATCGAGCGTACTTATCGAGCGTGCTTATCGAGCATGCTTATCGAGCATGCTTATCGAGCATGCTTATCGAGCGTACTTATCGAGCGTGCGCACGTCGTCCTCGTAGTCCGGCAGGTCGTTGAGGTCCCGCGGGGAGGCCGCCATCATGCTGAGGTCTAAAGGCAAACTCTCTCCATCCTTCCCCACCACCTCCAACCCCGTCAGGCCCATGTAGTGGGAGTCGCCCCAAGTGAACAGCAGCTGCAGTCTGAGGCCTGCGGGGGGGAGGTAACCATCGGTAAAAGCCTCCAAACAACAGCGTCCATCATGTGACGACGGTCTACTCACGCTCTCCGGTGAAGGTCCCAGGAATGAGCTCCACGTTCTCCTCCTGAGGACTCGCAGCGGGGTGGAGGTGGAGTTTTAACTGAGACGACATGAGAACACATTAAAAGCGGTTCTGAGGGCGGATTTGGTTCATACGGTCTCTCCTGAATACCCTTGACCCTGCACAGCGCTTACTTTGAGGTCTTCGTCTCGGAAGCCGGCCTGTGTGAAGGGTCTCTCCTCCCCCTCTCCGTCAGCGGTGCGCGGCCTCTGCAGCTCCTCCTCCGCCGCCCGGCCCTCGGGACCCTCCCCTTCGCCGAGGAAGGTTTCGTCGTAGCGAGACATGGCCTCCAGAATCTCATCGTCGGTGGTGAACAGGATGGTGTCGCCGAACTGGTCCAACTCTGAAGTGACAGCCGGGTTTGGGAAAAGGGGGAAAGGTTGATCAAGAGCGACCCGCAAAGCAGCATTAAAAAGGTGCGTCGCCGCCGCCGCCGCGTCCAGGTACCTCCGGACAGGGTCCCAGAGGCCTTGGCGATCTCGCCCCTGAAGATGCACCGGCCGTCCAGCAGCATCTCCACCTCCCTCACCCCCCGGAAGGAGTGAATGCGTGACTTGTTGTAGTTCCACACGCGGATCATGGCCACCTGGAACGGCGCTCCGAAGTCCAGGAAGACGGCGTGGCTCCGCCCGGGGGTGAACGGCGCCAGCCACAGATGCATGTCGTCCTGGGTGCGGTTTACGCCGTCAATCAGGTTGGTGACCACGCGCGGGTCTTTGTCGTAGGCGGGGAGAATGTTGATGTCCGGGGGGTCGGCGCGGATGTGGGCGGGCCTCAGCGGCTCGCCGCTGGCGCTGAACACCTCCAGGCTGTTGAGGCCCACGTAGTGGCGATCGCCCCAGGTGGACAGGATGTTGAGGACCAGCCTTTGGCCGCGCGGCAGCACCGGGATCTCAAACTCGTCCTCGCGCTCCGCGGACGGATCGTCGTCGGGGCCTCCGTACGACGGCGCCCGAGCGGGGACGGGGCCGTGCGGGCCCCCGGGGGCCGTGGAGGCGCTGCCCGGGGCTGACGGCGGAGCGCGGCCCTGCCGCTGGAGGAACTCGTCAAAGATGTCTCCTTCGAAGCCCATGTTGGAGATGCGTCCGCGCTGGAATTGGTTGAATTTAGTGAGAGAGTCCCAGGACTCCATGAGGGTGTCGTCCTGTTGGCTGTGCAGCCGGCCCAGGGGGGGGCACTGCCTCCTGCTCGGGTTCACCAGGGACATCGGCTCCTCTGAAGACATCACAAAGAAAGCAGACATATAAAGTCAGGCATTCAGGAAACATCTCATGGGCACATTACACAGTTTACGCTATCAGCAGAATGGAAAGACAGTGCTGACATCTCACAAGCTAACGGCTAACCAACTTATCATGTGGTTACGTCTTTCACATTACACCTTTAAAGTATTATAAGATGACAGCAAATGGAATGAGCATCTTCACCACAGCACGTTCAGTTTAAGGATGCTGGGAAACGGATTAAGGGAGCAACACTAGCCGGGGATGAGACGTATGAAGCCACGTGATCCAGAACTCCTAAAATAAACTGTAAAAAATCTATAACCCAAACCTTTAGCTAAAAGCTGTTTGGGTGAAGAATCGGGGCGTAAAGTCTTCCGGTTACTAATAAAGTTCAATAGTAAAATCCTTTTAGGAGACGATGACGTTGAGTTTAACGGCTTCCTACCGGTGTTTGAAACAACAGAAGCGCCGTGCTGCTGCTCCTCCGCGCCACAGCTTCGGAACGAGCTCCTCCGTCCGCTGACGGGCCGCTCTGGCTTCTGCTCGCCGAGCTCCAGCAGCTCGCCGCTCAGGTCCAAAGAGTCCGCCTTCCACTGACCCCCGTTCGCCGTCCTTTCGATCACCCTGCACACTCGGCCCGGGTTGCACGGCAGCTCCGGCAGCATCGACGACGACGATGATGAAGAGGAGGAGGAGGACCTGGGCTCCGCAGAGTGCTGAGGCACCAGCCATCGGGGCCTCTCCCTGCTGGCCTCGCATCCCTCTGGAGCCCCTCGGGTCAGCGGCTGCAGCCACTGGGGGGCCACGCGGGAGGACGACGGCTGGGTGGTGACCGTCTGCTCCATGGGTGCGGGCTGCTCCGCCTGCTGCCGGAGACGGAGGGGCTCCTCTAAGACGGACAGGTCGAAGGAGTTTCTCTGGGTGGAGGAGGAGGAAACCCCCGCTGGGGAAGGAGTGATGGGGGGGAGCAGTGGGTGTGGTTTCTCCTGCATGTCCATCATGGCCCGGCCTGCGTCTGACGGCTGACGACTCCAACTGTGGTGGTGCTGGGTGCCGCCACCCTCCACAGCCGGGTCCTCGTGGTGCTGGGGGCTCGTCCCCCCTAGATTGTGTCCCGAAGACACGGGGCTGGAGAACCAATGGAAACCCTGCAGGTCGATTGTGGTGCTGTAGTCAAAGACCTGGTTGCCGCAGCCCTTCTCCAGCTGCCCTTCAAACACCGCGGTGCTGTTAAGGTAGAGCTTTACACGCCGTGCACCAATGTCTAGATCCTGGAGAAGAGAAACTCGGCTTGGATTGAACTCAATATACAGGTAGAAACAAACAAAACCGTTACAGAAGGCCTTTGTTTAAGGTTTGGATATCTGGCATCTGCACAAAAATGTGTGTGACAGCAAAATAATTGCACGAATGCATTCAAAATATATATATTTTAGTACTTAACATACATTTCATTAACATACATTTGATCCGTTTACCGTTTATGTCTCACCTCATCCATTCAAGCAATAATTAGTCACGGCTCCCGTGAAGAAACTCAAATCCACTAATCTCCTACACAGTAAAGAAGTTCCCCACTAACAGCCGCTTACCTTCCAGCTTCAAAACATCCACTAGCTCTGGAAAGCTGTGGTGACATAGAGACGTTTTACCGCTCTACGAAGAGCATTGAGACGCTGACGCCCACGTTTCCCTTCGACACTAATCCTCTACGGCTAATCTCCCCCTGTTCCACATTTGGACCGAGTGACCGGCAGCCCAGCCAGCCAATGCTAAAAGAGAACCCCCCCCCCCCGACCCGACGGAGCCACGAGCACGTTGGAGTTAAGCGCTCTGGTCCTACAGACAGCGGGATGAAGAATCTCTACACCAATCAAAAGCCGCGACGGACAGACGGCTCTTTTATCGAACAGATGTTTATTTCCTTTAATCCCTAATCCCCTCGTGAACAATGGGAAGAAAAGCACGTACATCGAGGCTTCTGTTGTAGTTCCAGATTCTTATGCGAGATATCCCGAAGTCTGGGGCGCGCTCGGTGTTCCTGATGATGAAGTAGAGCTGGACGGGCGGGTGGAACGGACACGTCCACATGTGGCGCTCTTTGGTGGTCTGTCGACCCAGGCGAAGAGACAAAAAAAAACCACGAATACTTTGTATTTAAAAGAGTTTGCTGTACAAAGATGATTTGCAAAGGTTATGACAACCGGCTCACCTTCACCCTTCCGTTGACGAGGGCCCCCAGGTTCCCGGGGCAGTCGGCGTTCCTGATGTCGAGGTCGTGAGGGGACACGAACAGCTTCTTGTTTCCGAGGCAAAAGAACTGCAACTCAGTGAGCCCGACCTGCAGCGCGTTCCCCCAGTTGGACAGGATCTCCATGGTAACATACAGCGCGGGGGTGACCTCGGCCGACGACAGCCTGGTCTGCGACGACAACACAAAACATTCACCGGAGCCTCTGTGCCACCGTGCGCACGGTCCATCACGGCCAGCGCCGGGGTCATCCGCCCGGCGGCGGCGGCGCCGCGCTGCCGACTCACCGGCTGCTCGCTGCGGTCGGCTCGGACGCCCCGGGAGATGCTGTAGCTCGGCGCTGCTTCGAGCTCCTCCAAGGCCTTCAGCAGCTTCTGTTGTTGCCTGGACAGAAGGGGGGGCATGCTGAGCTTCATCCATAGCGCCCTGCCTTCATATCGATGGTGACAGAGGAGCAGATGAGGTCAGAGGTCGTCCACACCATGCATTTCTGTAGGGCCGCCCCTTCCTGGTGGACTATTCTGCTTATGTGGGCTTAGTTGACCAAGATTGCTTTAGTGACTTGTTTGAATAATGAACGAATTATGGCCAAGAAACGTATCACTTCCTCTCTGGTGACCATGCGCACGCCGCAGCGTCACCATAGCCACCGTGTGTCGCGGTGCAGCGTGCGGTCAGCCTACCCGGGGCCCATAAGCGTAATCCTCTGCATGGCCGCAGTGACTCTGCTCTCATTGTTGTGGTGCAGTAAGCCATTCATCATCTGGTGTCCTCTGGCCTGGATAAAGGGAAAGAGTCAGAGACACACACACACACACAGAGTTCATGATACTATCAATCGGTTTAAATCAGCACATTAAAGTATTAGGCCTTTATATGAGCACCAAACAACTCTGGCTTTCAATAATTAGTGGGCTGAATTGAGCAGGCGGACCGTGTTGCGGTTGCAGAGCTCAGCGGTCTGCACGGACTCGTTCTCCCTCTGGACGGCTTGGCGCACGCTGCACGCCGTCTCCTCCGGGTCGCGCTCCTCAGCAGGGGCCTTCCGGGCGGCCGACAGGGGCCTCTCCGCCCGACTCCGTGGCCCTGCAGCGAGAAGGACACGGCTTTCAAGATTAAGATCGCGCGCCGATTTAACCCGACGGAGCGGCACGTCTGCGGTTTTACTCCAAATCTGCCATCTGTGGAATGTACGCTTTCAAATCAAGAGCTCTCATAACATTAAAAGACTCACTCGGACCTTCCCAGCTTTCTTTGGAAGGTGGCCGATCCAACGTTTTGCTCTTCACCAACATCGGCTTGCTGGGTACGAAGGTGTCAGAGTGTTCCTTCCTCTTTGCAGACAGAGAGCGTTCAATCTTACGACCTGGAGTAAACGGAGGAAAGTCCAACTGAGGATGCTTTCATTCATTTATAGTGACACGGGGTTTGCCGGCATGGACGGGCCATGGGATGGACGGCTGGTTACCACCTGAACCAGGCAGACAGCTCGCATTCTTACCCACTGTCCAAGTCCACACGTCATATGAGGGGATGGAACCGCTCTGGCCAATGAAGACCCCTAAAAATCAACAGGAACGTAGATATAAAAGTGGATGCTGACGACTACCTTTAGTCGAGGGTCCAAAGTCCAGCACGATGAGGTTTGAGGAGTCAAAATGGCTGCGGGCGGCGCCGGGCGGAGGGTTGGAGGAGGACTTGGAGGCCGGGAGAGGCAGCCCCAGTTCGTCCAGGCTCTCGGCGCTCTCCTCCCTCTCGATCTGCTCCTCCACCCACTCCTCGTCCGACTCCTCGCCGGCCGAGCCGCGGTTGCTGCGACGCATGCTGACCTCCAGGCTCCGACGCAGAACCTGGTTCACGAAACGGTCCAACGCTCACGCCTGCGTCACGCCGCCGTCACTCAAACAACTGACATTCTTCTGCTCACCTTCACTTCTTCCAGGTTGAGGAGCACCTTCTCGTTGTGCTCCGGATTTGCTTGGCCCCCTTGGCTCTCGTGCCTGGAGCCGAAGGAGTGCGAAGCTCTGCAGGAACCGCGAGGCGAGCGCGGACCGGAGGTCTGCGTTAAGGGAAAAAGTGGTTAGTGAAAAAGGGAAATGGAAGAGAAGATGCGAAGTAGAACAGGCGGCTGCCGCTGACACGTGGCTCCGCCCCCTAAAAAAGACAGACAGGCGTCGCGGTCATTGACACGTCTTGACTCTACCTCCATGTCTACGCTCTCGTATGGCTCAAAATCCTCAGAGTAGCGCTTTTCTGGACAGATGTGCAACCTTGGTCCTTCCTCGGTGCAAATTCTGACAGAGTCCTGCAGACAATTAGAAAAAGAGAGATTTAACGCACGTGCCTTCACAGGGATAAACATTTGGATGATTTCACTTCTCCTAGTGAAGCTCCTACCTGCACCCATTCTTTCCTCCGGGCCTTTCCGGGGGCAGTGTGGCTCCGCTTCCCGTGGGTCTGCTCCGGATCGCGGCCGTCTCCAGTTAACTGGCGGACATCTGGCGGGGAGCAGCGAGGAACAAGAGAGGAACGTGAGCGGGCCGCCTCGCCTCGGGGCAGAAGGAACACGCAGTCACGATGTGCAGACGGTCCACGCGGCACACAGAGGAAGAACGCAGCACCGGCCGCCAGCTGCAGCCGTCGCCATCATTAACTCACTGGGACCCGGCGAGGGATCCCACCATGCTAACGGCAGCGTACCTGCTGTGCTTGCGGGTCTCCAGGCCGACGCGGAGGTCACACACTTTTGCTTGTTGCTCTTTGGCTGCTTCCTACTGGCTTCAGCGTTGGCTCCGTTAAGATAAATGGAAAATCCTTGCTCGAGCTGTTCCAACTCGATCTCCCTGGAGTCCTTGACTTGAAGGCGCTTCAGGATCCTGGGGAGCAAAGAAAGCGGGTGACTGCGTCTAATGGTGGATCACGTTTGGGATGGCTAACGTTCCACGTGCTGCACTCAGAGGAGGACGCCAAACGTTTTAAGGCATTTCCGACTCATGTTATACACTAAGTTTATTCCAATGCATCGAGCCAATCGGTGCTCCTGTTAGAGGGGATTTCTGTCTCTCCTGCAGCATGCGCTCACACTTCACCTGTTTTTATGCTGGAGGGCGATTAAATATTCATCCAGGGTGGTGTCCACAGCAGAGATCTTCTCTCCTCGACACTTCTTACTCTCCTTAAAGAACAACGGCATGAGTACACACACACACACACACACACGATGCAGAGTCATAAAAGCCGACATCAGCTATTTGAGGAAAACAGATCGCATACACAATACATCCCATCGTTGCACTAACACTCACAATCACAGACTACAATCAATATCCACTTTATTCCGTACATCACAAAATGCAAGCAAACAACTTGCTGCTCCAGACTCCTTGACTAAATGAAACATGGAAACCGCTGATGCAATGTGTCAAGATGAAGACGAAACATATTGATGTAACTTACAATGTGGTCAGGTGCCAAACGAGCCGGTTTAATCATCTTTCATGTGCAAACTCCCATGTGCATCGATCTGTGAATCCCTTTACATCTTTCCTGCTCAATAACACTTTGTAGCTCTGGCTGAGGATCTAGTTTGTGTTTGGTGAGATAAAGACTTAAGGAAAGCAGACCTTTTATTTTTAGATTACATCGGCGAATAGTGATCACAGCAAAAGGCACCGAGTAAGCATGATCCATGCCATGATAAAGTCATGCTCTACTGAATAAGGCACTGCTACCCGGTGAGACCACTTTCATGGGGACTGAATCTGGCAATAACATGTCATTGCATATTACATAAAGCATCGCCCTCTCAGAGAAACTAGCATTGACAATACTTCTCACAAATCTATGACACCGATCAATATATCATCACTTAAAATGTCATTTAAGTCGAGATTGATGAACAACTGACCATTCGTGTTCTAACGTGGGTCCAGAAACAACCCCCCACACTGCCGGACTCAATCTAAATGAAGTCCTCCACATTAAAACTGCAGACGTCGGCCTTCTTCCTTGTGCAACATGTTTTGGTGGTCAGAGGTCATGGAAGGAGCATCAGTTGTCTGCTTCACACAGTCACCTACAGCTCATGCCATTCCGTTTCCACAAACCAGCATGCAAGACGAGCAAGAAAATCAGAAAGCCCTTACTGAGTTTCTACAAGTCAACTAGGCTACAGCATCTGCCAGTGCCAGGAGAAGGGAAGCAGAGAGAATTGTAGTGAATAATAGAAGGGACTTGTTAGTGACAGAGACTAGAGACTGTAAAATATGACACGCGATGTGGCGTTCACTGCCCCGGAAAGCAGCGGGATTTTGAGAGTGACAGAGAAACGCGGGTGGCTTACCTCGTTATCCATCGTGCGGCCGCAGACAGTGCTGTTCCTATGATACTAACCGTATCCCATATTGTGCAGGAGGCCAGTGATGCTGCGAAGATTTCATTGAAATCGGTGTTGGGTTTGAATACCGCTGCGGAGGGAGCAGCGAGGAGAGACCAAGGTTACCTGTGACACGAAACATGCATTATATATATATATATATATATATATATATATATATATATTATAACGAGTGCAGTTCGATTAAATTGGCACACTCGGCAGATCTAAGCGCATCATATCCACGTTATTCCAGATGTTATTGAAACCAGGCGTGCGCATTCGGGACGGCTTGGCGTTGACCTGGCCTTTCGAGTGGGGTATATACAGATGTGCGGTGCGGTTAGCACATCACATGGACTAATGTGACAGTAACATCGAACACGCTTAAACGCTCCGGACTGTTAACACGACGTTGTTAGCTAACGCTAGCATGGCGGGTTAATGGTTATTTGCAGTTTACCTCCCGGGGTTAGCTTGTGGCAGACGCCTCGTTAGCAAGCGGCTAGCACAGACGCTAACAACAAACAGACTCACCAGTTAGCTTTAGCATGTAGTAAACACATTAAATAACACAAAAATAGCCTTTGCTCTCATGTCGTCACACGCGTTTGTGCCCTGGTTCGAATACGTATTAGAAATAAACTTACTGGTCTTGTGAAACTATACTTTGTTCGGCATTAACATTGAAATGAACGACTTTTCATTTTTTCTCATGTGGCCAGTCAGTGGTGTTGGTAAGTAACCAGGACAGCTGTCCGCCAATGGGGAGAGCCGCATCGGTGGTAACCACGCCCCCAGCCGCATCGGTGGTAGCCACGCCCCCAGCCTGCTGCTCCTCTCTGCAGCGTCCAGACGAGCCTCCACGAAGACCTTTGCTGCAAAACCATCTTCCAGCAGCATAACTTTAGATTAAAGATTAATAATTAGATCGTTGAAGTAAGAATCACACAGATCTCTATGGTCCAACAGTCAAAAGTTCAACACTGTTTTTATTTATTATAAATCAATACATTTTATATAAAAAGGACAACGGGGGTCTGAAATAAAACCATTGTAGCTGTAAACCGAACAGATTAGGTTATGGCCACCCTCTTACCACACTGGACCCCCAGGCTCTTCTGGTTAACTCATTCTCTCGAACACCGCAGGCTATACTTAAGATCAATATACAGTTTTGAAGAGGTTGGAAATTGAAAATAACGTGAAATTATTCTTTCTGAAAAGTGTGCAAGTATAGCGTCTCAGCATGCCATGGGGTTTTGTGCAATCCATTACAACCATCAGCAGCAGCAGTCATCAATATTTGTGATGTACGCATACTCTTTTTGTATGGAAGTTTAAGGATGGAATGACTCTTATACTCATGAAGGTAAACACCAGCTTTGTTAGAAGCCCGTTTGTGACGGTCCTGAACGTTACACAGGTTGAGGCATCAGTTATTGGGGAAAAAAAAATGGCCAAGACCTATAGCTTTTTATAGAAGCATCCAAAAGCCAGCATCATTGTGTTGTACACACATAACCGCTTATTGAAAATAGGTGGACATCAAAATAGTAGATGCTAGAGGTCAAAGGGCAGCAAAGCCAGCTGCACAAGCTAAGCCGCTCCGGTACCACTGCACACAGGAAAGATGTGTCTGTTACCATCAACTTGGAATTCGATGTATATAATGACATTGTATTATCATTAGAAATGTCCTGGTGTCATCTGATTGCAGGCGATACAAGAGCAACCGATTCATCTTCACAGCACTGCAAGATAAACGCATTCAAACCCAGCTGGATTAGTCACATCAAGAGGATTTCACTGACCCTTACGCATAATCCTGTGTTTTGATGGTAAAACATTTTTGGACAGGTTGACAAACGTTCCATTCCTCTTTTCATTAACTAGAACCGAGTACTAAACATATTGGCAGGGTTATCGAGTCAAAGGAAACCGTGTAAATGAGTGGTGGGAAACGTTTGTGGCTTCCTGTCAATTACTTAAAACACACATGAGGTGGAAAAAAATATAAGAGTAAAACAATAACTTAAATAGAAGTGCATAAAAAGAACAGTTCTCAGAGCCCTTTCAACACAAAAACAAAAAAGGGTGCAAATCAGGAATCCCAAAATGAACAGCTGTCATTGTAACACTAATATTCATCCCACGATTCACAGTTCAGGTGCGGATCACAACGTGCCCTCCAGTCCTGGTCAGTGGCCCCCCCACGTCTGTGAGCCGCGGCTTCCCTCCGTTTCCAGTCTCTCTGGCGTGGGCGAACCCTCCGTCTCAGTACACCTCCCCTCTTCCTCCTGTGCCCTCAGCGCCTCCTCCTCCTCTCTTTTCCTGCGCTCCAGCTCCCACTCCACGAAGGTGTCGAAGAGGCTGGGCCACGCCTCGTCCTCGCTGTAGTTGCTCAGGTCCGGCCCGATAGCTTGGGTGAAGTTGAGGAACATGTTCCACGTGTCCCTGGAGATGCCCCGGATACTCGAGGGGTTCTCCGACAGGAAGTCCAGCCAGTGCTCCAGGATGGCGGGCGAGTCCTGGGTGAACACCAGGCGCCACAGGGCGATGGCGATCTCCCGCTGCAGCGAGCGCTGGCCCTCGTCGGCGTCCAGGCCGAACTGGAAGGTGAAGCGGTACAGGTCCTTGAAGTTCTCCTCGCCCCGGGCGTCCAGCAGCATGACGGGGAAGCGCGAGCAGATGCCCTCCAGGCTGTCGGCCTGAATGGCCTTGCAGCCTTCGACAAACTCCTTCCTGGAGACACAGAGCGGGTGGAGAGGTGAGGGTGGTGTAATCGATCATTGGTGTTTGGCACGCAGGTGAACAGCGGATAAATGAAGCAGGGCTTGTTTACCATCGCAGTGTGATAAAGTTTGACATACATTCAAGATCTGATAGTAAAATGTGCAATTAGGACATAATTTATCATTAAGGTGGCTAAAAATCCAGATCCGGCATAAATAAGTTAAATTTGCTCACTGATTTCTTTTGACCCCATCAACAGCTAACTACTATCTGACTAACTCCTACTACAACTGCCTTTAACTTTGTATTTTCTCTATTGACTTGTCTGTTGTACTGATTGTATTTGTACATATAAACTCACTACTGGAGGAGGCAAACAAACGCTTGAATGTATAATGTCGACATTTGCCGATATGTGAAAACAAAACAACAGAAACGAGGAAGGAGGCCGTTTCAAAATGCTGCTACTATTACAAAGAGCGTTTCGCTTCAAGCTGAGAAGACTTTTATTTGAGCACTGGACAATATGGGCTGTCAGAGGCGAATGGGACGTAAACAGCTTCACTCAGCATTAGTTGACAATGAAGCACGTCGGTAACCACAGTGGTGTCGTCCAAAGCCTCTGGATGGAAAAGTGCTGAGTTAAAGCTCAGAGGGGGGAGGTGACGAGCGGACGGCTCTATTCATCTCGGACACAAACTGCAGCGGGAGAGCAGAGCAGGACACACACACACACACACACACACACACACACACACTGAGGTGCCCTTGAGCAAAGAAACCCAAACCTCTAACTGCTACGTGGCATCTGACAACAAGGCCGCTGCATCACTGTGAAACCCCTCACACTAGATCTCTACGTGTGTGAACAAATACCACACTTACATTAAATAAACTTATAAAAGCAACACGGGCGGGTAAACTCTGTTTCAGTTGTCGGGGATAATCAAATATCGGACCGGTCCTCAGTTATTGCAAATAGCCGTTGAGCCGTAATGCTAATTCGTCAGAAGCAACACCCGCCATCTCCCAGGAATCCACAACGTACCTGGTAAACTTGCACATGGTGGCCGCTTGAAACTTCCAGGCAAGAACAAGCACACGAAACTCGGCCGGGTCCACGCGAAGGTCGTTGCAAAACATCTCCATGCCCTCCTCCAAGATGGCGTCCTCCTGTTCGTCCTTGTAGCAGCAGAAGAGCTCGTCGAGGCGCAGCAGCGACAGCCCGTCTCCATCCAGGCACTCGTCCCGGCGCGGCTCCCCCATCACTGCGGAGATGACGGGCGTCTCCACGCTCACCTCCGAGGCCTTGGTGCCATTCGACAGGTCGACGGTGGCTTTGCTGCTCTGAGCGCCGGGCTCCTCTTTGTGGCCCCCCCCGGCGCTGCCTCCTTTCTTGTGGTGGGACTTGGAGCCGCTGTCCTTGTCTCCACTCTTGCTGCCGAGCGAGGACGTTGGATTCTTACACTTGGTGACACATTGACCCATGTCTTCCTCCCTCGCTCTTCAGTCTGTCCTCCTCACCTTCAGTCCCCGTCCGAGCCACCCAGGCGCCTCTTCTCAGGCCCCGCGAGACGTCTCCACATACCCTCAGGCCTGGTGGAGGGAAAATGGAAAAATTGTTGTTGACCGTCTCAGAGTGGAGCTTTGCTCAATATCAACAGGATCCACAGGAAGAGCCACCGCTCCCTGCTAGACTTAAAAACCGTGAGCACACTTTGGGTTTTACTTGTGTGACTCCAGATAAAATAGGCCTACATTACCAATATACTTATTTTATTTTTAAAATAGTAATCATGGACCAAGACGGTGTATTGACTTAATATATTGTACGCCATTTTGCAACAATCGTTATGATTAAACAGACTTCAGACTACATGATTACTCCCAACTTTTTGGGCGACCGTAGCACACGGTTCCGATTTCCTGTATGTGTGAAATAATACTTGGCAATAAAAATGTCTTCTTTGCGCAGCAGAAGTTGCAGACGGGAATCCTCTCCCACTATTCATCATCTACTCACTTAAAACCTGCTCCGTGACTCGCAATAAAAAGGAGCTGGAAGGTACTTACAGACAATCCCTCTGAAGGATCACAGCGTCCTTCTATTCGGCTCCATCATTGTGACCTTGACATCCGCAATGCTGAAAAGACACATTATCTCGTCATCGTGAGGAATCGATGGCTCATCATCACAAAACCCTGCAGGACTTATTTTGGTCCACGTCCCGTGAGTTCGTCACTTGACCATGAATCTCTCTTCCTCCCCGTGGGGGGGAGGGGAGGGAGTCAAACGTGTTCCCACAGACGCACTTCGCCCCGGAGTTTGATTCAAGCGAAATCCGCAACTCCACCTCCGAAACCCGACTTTTGCTTTGCGAGGCTGGTTCGCGACTCTTTTGTCCGGCGGTTCGCGAACTCGCCGCCGGAGTTCGGATCGGATCGACCGACGTGACGCCCGATCGGGGCATGTCGAGGCGCATTCCGGCAAAAACCCTCACCTCGCTGACGCCCCGCTTGCTCACCGGGTTACCGCACAAACACCGAACAAACACCGCGAACGTCCGGTAACGCCAGTCCTCACGTTGACGACCAGATGCAGCCGTTCGTCCCCGAAACCGGGGAGACAACTGAAGTTGAGCTGGACTCTCGAGTGCGTGATATCGCGTCATTTTACCGAGCGCGTTATTGACTGTCGAGGTGTTTATTGCATCGACAAACAAACCTTCTGCCCCCGACGACGTCGCCATAGCTAGCTAGCATCAGCTCGTTCAACTAAAAGTTAGCCGTGGGCTAAGCTAGGTCTCCCCCGCCGAGACTCCTCCCGAGACACCTCACAGGTAACATCGTTAACCAACTCACCTGTTTGGGGAACCGTGTCGTCGGGCACTGGGCGCACATCACCTCGGGGTCGCCGGTACAAGTCAAGCGGCGTGTAAGTTGTCGGTTTCCGCGCACGCGAGCAGAAACGAACTGGGGGAAAACTCGTCGCGTTAACTCAGGCTGCTAGCTACCTAGCTAACTAGCTGACAGAAAAACTTCCACATCAGTATCATATTTATCCCGGCGTTTAAAGAGGAAAATAGGCGAACCGCTAGCGTCCGGACGGTACTTTTTTGTCCATTTTGAATAGGGTTTGCTCTTTGGAATGAGTTACAGCAGCAGCTCGGAGCAAAGCAGTCAATGTCTTTGTGCTTCCCCCTTCTAGTCATTGAGTGCAGCGTCTCCTGCATCACTTCCTGCCTGCGCGCAGCCAACAGCTGATCCTCACGCCAGCGCCCGGACGTTTTAACTAAATAACATGCTGGGAATTAATACATGGAATCACAGCGTCAGGTTAACGCGAAATAAGTTAATTTAACTCAATCACGTGTTTTGTTTAGGTCGTTTTCGACATTTTTCAGAAGCCCTTACGGGTTTAATGTTGAATGCTGGGAAATGTGTCCTCGAATAAAACATATAATTCATCTGCAATTCCTAAAACGGAGTAATGGAAAAATGAATTGTAGCATTGTTGCTGAATTAGAATTAGAATGAATTCAATTTGATAAAAAAAATATTTATCTTAATGTTGTTATCCTCTTTTATACGGAACCACTTCTGACGTCATCAACATGCGACATATGCGTGCGCGCTGCCTTCTTCTCCAGACAGCCCGGTAGGTCAAAGTTTGTAACATTAAATCCATTGATAGCGTAAATCTTCTCTGTTAATTACACGCGGGTCGCATCTCATTTCTTCTCCGTTATTCGTGACGTCTTATTGGGGCTGTCAGGGGAAAAGCTCGAGGATCACTAGCAACATTTTCGACAGGTGACGCTGAAGTGTCGCCTCGCACTTGAACGCAAACGCATCGGTGGCATTCTTGTGTTTAACCTGGACACATAGCAGAGGATACGATGTAACGTATACCTCACAGTCAGTCACGTAACCGGCTGTGTTTGGAGATACCAGGCTCCTGTTGCCTTTGGTGACATCTGGTGAGTAACAGGAACTCTGAAGGCTGGATCAGAAAACAGCAAACTGAGCCGATGCTCCAGGGGCCCCAAATGCTCCCGCTTTGCAGCAAGCGCTATTTTTATAGGGGCCGTTACCGTTTTGTTTTACAAATATGATTTCTTTATTTCTCAAAGCTGTTAAATGCAATCACCAACGACTTATCACTTGGGCCCGTGGTATTTTCCCAGTATCGTGGACTGGTTCCACTGCAGCGGGCTCCGTACACAGTACTTAATGGCTTCTTTCTATTCTCCGGTAACCTTTAAGCGATGTCCAGCAGATTGGCCTCAAATCATTTAATTTCCACCTCAAACCGCTTAATTGTGCAGGTGACCGCCGCCTGTGAGCCCCGATGGCGGCCTCCACCCGCCGGGCGGTGTTGTCGCTGTACATGCGGGTGTTTCGCGTCGCCCGCGGCTGGCAGGCGCTGAGCGGAGTGACAAGTGACACCGAGGCGGAGAGAAAGTACATTGTGCAGGAGGCCGGCACTCTGTTCAGACAGAACCAGCAGGTGTGAGCCGCAGCACGCCGCCACGACACTACTGCGTTTTCATTTTCTGAGGGCGGTTCGCGCGGCTCATCGCCTGTTCTTCTGCTCCTTCTCAGCTCACAGATGAAGAATCAATAAAACAGTGCATGGAGGAATGTGAGGCAAGGATAGAAATGGGTAAGAGCGGAGACATTCCACACATTTACCTGACTAAAGCTTCTCCCCCAGTAAAGCTGTTGTGTGCTGTCTTCTATTTATCGCAAGTAATGTGAATCACCGATCATACTTCCACTTTGACACCAAACCTATAAAATTGCATTAAAGCCACATAAATCCAACAATATTTATAATCATGGGTGTTCTGACCTGACGAAGATCCAAGTAGCATCAAAACACGGTAATAAAAGATTGACAGATTACTAACTAGAGCACCATAGTCTTGTCATTCCAACATCTGGAGAATCAGCTGCTCTGCTTCTGACTCCAGAAGATGGACTAACGGCATCGTTGTTTTCACAGGTCTACATTACAGGAACCCTTACCCCAGGGCTGTAAGTAACAACTAGTTATTCCACAAATACGTTTTTCTCTGCGTGGGTTTTTTTGTGATTTCGAGAAATGTCTCCCGCCTCCTCTGTCCCCTGAATGTCCCTGCAGACGTACCTGCCACCACTGGGGCTGGCGACTCAGAGAGGCAGGAAGCTGAAAGCACAGCAGCGCCTGAGGAAGCAAGCCAAGCCGGTGTACTTACAGTCACAAGACGAGACCTGAGGCTCCGTGTCCTCGCCGACAGTTCGGGTTACCGCAGGCCGGGAAACCGGAGCTCGGTCACGAGCCGGTCCGATGGGCCTACAAGCGCCGCGCGGCGCTGGAACGCGATCGGGCATTCAGGAAGGAGCCATGTTTCACCGTTGGTGTTCTCTTTTTTTACTACAAACTGTTTGAACGTGAGCTTCTCAGTGTAGCTGGAGGGTGACGGCTTCTGTTGGGCTCAGGGAGGCTGTGAGGGTGGAGGAGCTTTAATATGAGATCAAGTTGTTATTGTGTGTGTGTTTTGTCTGTGTAAAAAATGCTATGAATACTTCACATTCTGTAACGACTGCTAAAAGAAACAAATAAAGTTATCTTAATGTTTAACTCCAGTTGTACATTTGTGTGGTATCTTTTTTTATAGAGCCAACACCTTAACGTTGGCCCCTTTCCTCGGCTTTTTCTTATCAGCAGCTTGTTGATTCACACAGAAACTATAATTGGAGGAATGTTGGCAGCTGCTCAGAGGAAGATGGGGAAACCGGTCATGTCCCACTCATCCAAACTGCTGAACCATTGTGTGCGCAGATGTTCTTCCTACGAGCTTTAGCTTTTCTGCAGAAGGACGGAGGAAGGGCCTCCAACAGAACAGCGTTTTCCTCCCAACAGACCTCACGGGGAAGAACTTACAAAGAGCGTTCCAGGAAGACACAAAAAGAGGAACAAAGAGCAGATGGAAAAACTGAAATGTAAACTTTGTGAGGCGAGTTAAGAGGTTGAAATATAGTAAGTTTGTCTTTATCCAAATTCCTTTAACTAAGAATCTCATTACTCAACATTTCTGGATCTGTATTTAAGAGTCAGGAATACATTTGCTTTCATATTGGATATTTGATCGTGGAGGAAGAGTTTTGTTTGTACGTCACTTTCAGTTCTGTATAGAAGCTTTTTTTCTTGTGACTGTTGACTCATCCAGATGTTGACAAAAGCTCTGCAGCCGGAGTCATTTTCAGTTTGCTTCCTCTTCAAATGTTCTGAATACTACTGCAAAATAATGTCAACATTTCTTCTTCAGATCTGATGTGACACAACAAACCACATTGTGTGAGTGACCTTTGCACCCGTATGACATCATCCACATGTGCTGCTTCTTTGTGTACAGTCAGTGCTGGTGACAATGTTCTCTCCTGCTCTAAAATATTCTAATTTAAATCACTATACCAAGAGAACAAATGACCTTTTCTGAAAAGATAGTAAAGAAATTGAAATTCAAAGTTATCTTTAATGATTATTAGATCAAACCAGCTTGCATGAACGATGAATGCCTCCACTTCAATGAGTTGGCCACAGCTCAAATGTACTTGAAAAGCCCTCAACCTGACGTGTTCTGTTTGGTCTATTATGTTTTGCTCAACTCTCCAGCAGCGGGTGGAAAAACAGAAATGCGGACGAGCAAACATGACACCTGAGGACCTGAGCAGGCGCACATTTGAGCCCCATCATTGTCCCGTGATGGAGGCCCTTAAACTGTAGAGCATCTCCTGGAAGACGACGGCGAGGAGCCTGCAGCAGCATCAGAAGAAGCTCAAAGCAAAGTGCATCGAGAAGACAAGACGCCGGAGTGATTCTGTCAGATGGACCGAGTAGAGCATCTTAAATGACTACATGAAATGATCCAAAACAGGTTGAAAAGATTACTGAGATACATAAAAATAAAAGGCCGATCTGATGCTCTTACTACGGTGAACTACACGAGCCGCCACTCTTCGGCCACCAGATGTCCCTCCACACCAAGTACCGGAGCCTGCAGCGGTTCAGTGGGTCCAACCGCGCTGCACCAGTGGAGTGGACCGCTGGCCTTTCTGTGCGTCTGAGCATCGCGTGTGACTATTAAATATGAACAGGAGTGAAAACAGGTAAACAGGTGACACCAAAAGTCCTCTGTTTGTTTGTATGAGGATTGTCTCTCAGTCTGAGACTTAAATAGGTGTCCGATGCACATTGATGCCGTCGCTTTACGTGTTGCCGTTGTTACCTCAGTGATAAATCATTCCGCTCAGTAATGGACCACTGATGAAGAAAAGCTGCAGCCGCTGCTGCACGCTGTTAACTGTTTAAAGTTTGTACTAATGTGGCGACTCACTCGTTGGATTCATATGAAGTCTACTTGTTCTCTCAGTGGAGTGAATTATGGGTAAATACCTCCTGGATTGTATTTGTGCCGCGTACCAACACGCTAGTCTAAGACAGTGGGAATGGAGGACAGTTTACAGCCTCACGTGCATTCAGGCCACTTTGAATAAGATTGACATGGCTGCAGTTTAACGCAAATTTCATAAAATTTGGAGCACATTTGCAATGAACGTTTCCTTTCTTACTCTATAAAATAAATAACGAAGCTGCGACAACTAAGCTCATTCATCTGTTACTTACTTCTGTTCAAGAGGGGGAAAAGGATTGAAATCCATCAAAGATTGATGGCGTTAGGGGAACATGCTGGTTTGTTTTTTTAAATGTGCCAGCCTGCGTTCTGTGATCCTTCTGCTTACGATATTGATTTTGAAGCCTAAAAATACCAAACATGAACCACTTCAATAACAGAGCGCTGACTCTCTTCACAGCGCGGCAGCGTGCGGAGGGAGAGACGCTCCTGTGGTTGAAAATATAGCTGATGCTTTTATAATGATCGGAAAGTTAAGGTGAATATGTGTAGTTAAAGAAGACTGTTGTATACATACTTATCTGCATTTGAATCCTGAGGAATATGTGCCATCTTTTTGGATGGAATACACTATTCTATTTAATGTTATTTTATACATAACAAAATACATTTCAAAATAAAAAGTTGTTTCACTCTTATGGCAGTGAATCTTTAGTATTTGTTGTGTTTTCTTATATTTTAGTTCTTCCTGCTGGCCATTAAACCTTCATCTTATCTAATCTTATAGATGTGATGTCATCATACTGTGTATTTCCCTCTCTGGACAAAAATTGTACAAAATGTTTTCAATTACAAATCTTTTAAATGTATTCTCCCTTCATGCAGTACACATATTATTATTTTTTTGCTTCCTTGTTTGCATGTAAACTTTCAAAATAAAAGTCTGAAAGCGGGCTGATGACCCATTTATGCGCTGATGTCACATTCTAAGAACTGGATCATTGGGAAAAAAAACGGTTCTTTTTAAAGGTTTCCTCGGGTAAATATAGATATTTAGAGACTCACCTGAGACAAGTTTCATTATGGAAATGATAAATAAGCTACAGTACAACAGCTCCACACAGACGAGGGTGATCCATCATTCGGCCCCTTTAAAGCCCTTCACTCTGTGTGCATTATTTAGGGGTTTCAGAGGGACCCTGGGGGAAATATGGTGGAAGAAGCAGGAGGCAGCAGGGAAAAGGGAAAGGACAGGTTGAAGATAAGGAAGAGAGCAGGAGGTGGACAGGTAACGTTGTACTCGGGGAGCTACGGTAATTAATTAGATGCCTGTAAATAGGTAAACACAAACTCCTTACCTTACCAACTAATGCCTCGACACACGGATCAACTTGAGCCGACATTAAATAAATAACAAGCTTGTTTTCACTTTACAAAGCAACACAAGGCAAATAACATCACCGCCGTGACGGTGTGCAGTCTGTGATGAGTTAAAAGACACAGACCATAACGCACGTTCCAAAAGCTGCCGGTTAAAGACTAGAACAATACAGACATGATAATATTTTACCTTTACAGCCTTTGGTGCTTTGCAAAGTAAAAGCACAACTGCAGCTCTTTGCACATTGGACCCAGATGACTGTAAGCTCTTGATTAGATGCTCGGTGCTCCAGTAACTCCATTAAAAACAATCCTCCTCATCAGGGGAATGCCGCATACTAATTTTAAAGGCTTTTTTCAAGCCTTTAGGATTTGAATGCAGTTGGATTGTGTGATTTGATTTAATTCAATTATAGGTTTCTCAGACTGGATGCAGTGCAGCATCACTTCAGACTGCACGTTGTCCCCGTCGGCCTCCATTGCGGACGCGTATTTACGGGGGCAAACCAGAGCTTTATCAAAGACGATACGGCACAATACCTGTAGTTGTTGCTCTTCAAAGTGCAGCGAGATGGACGAGAAACGGCACAAAAAAACAGCACAACATATCAGACAATGATTGGATATGTTTTTGTGTGAAAGTGTTACATTTGGAAGGACACAATGCAGCCAGTGAAAAGGATGAGATGTTCTTTCATGACTAAGCCTTTAATTGCCCCTCCGTGTAGCCGCAGACGTTTGTCTCATCTCCAGCTCCCTCGCTCGCTCCCGTCCCACTCACTCTTTGTCTTCCTCTCGCCTTTTGTTTGGACTCTGCGTTTCAAAATTGTCTCAGCTCAAAGAGCAGCTACTCTGAGATCCGCAGAGGAGGACTGAGGTGTTTGCGTGTGTGTGTGTGTGTGTGTGGTGCATGCTTGGTTAAACTCTGTCCACTGGGGCGCCGCGAGGGAAGCGTGTGAAGCGTATACGAGTGTCTGTTGGGGGGGTCGGGGTGGACGAGACTGACGAAACCAGCTTCTACATCTTGAAAAGGCTCGCGGCCTGTTTGCTATGACGCTGGATGGAAGGGTTTGTGCGGCGCGTCGAGTCCTGTGTCCCGTTAGAGGTGTTTAACCTGAGTGGCAGGACGACGTGCAGAGGTCCACCTCCACCGGTAACTCAAGGAAGTCATCAAATATTCAGCTGGCCTGCTTTTCATGAGCACGGTGTGTAAACAAACACATCGTCCGTGTGTATTCATCTCGATTGGTGTCGGGGGAGAAGACGGTCGCAGTGGAGGAGGACCCCTTATCAGTCGTACATTAGTCCTCGGAGAGCACACTTTGGGGAAGTAATCCCGCTGTCCGCTAATCTGCTTCAAGAGATGAACGAGGAGGTGACAGAGGAGCCGTGTGCTTCCGGGGGCTGCTGTGGTTTGTAAGGCGAACTGAAAAATGTTCCCCTCACTTTCCATTTCCAGGCCCATACGTTTCTCCTCACGCGTTTGCCTAAATTGCACACTTAGGAAGCACTTACAACAGGACAGAGGCATTTGTACAATGTGATACTTTGGTGAAATCAAATTAAAGTGATCAAACTTGTAATTGTGGTGGTTGCATGAAGGCGGATGGAAAACTCATTAAAGGGGGGAGATGAATAATGGAGGAGGTTGTGTTGGTGCAAGCTTAGTTTACATCTTCGGCGGATGGATCGCTGTTGTGGCTCGTCGGGCAGGTGGGGGGGGTCAGATACAAGGCCGGAGGAGGAAGAGGAGGAGGAGGAGGAGGAGGAGGCGGCGGAGGCGGCCAGGGCAGAGAGCCAGCCGGTCTCAGCGCTGCGGAGTGAAAGTGAGGAGACGGCCTCACTG